TGGGGCATGGATTCCTCGTTTCCTGCTGCCACAATCATTCTGAGTCGAGCTATGCCGCGCCAGCATCAGGGTCTGGCTGCGTCGCTGGTAACCACGTTTGTCAACTATTCCATCTCTATTGGGCTTGGCTTTGCCGGTACTGTCGAGAGCCATGTCAATGGTCAAGGGAAGAATGTCCTGCAGGGCTACCGAGGGGCGTTTTACATGGGTGTTGGGCTCGCCGGGCTAGGTGTAGTTGTTGCCTTGCTTTTCTGTTTTGCGGAACGCTTTCAAGGCAAGAAAGAAAAGGCCCAAGAAGAAAAGACGGATTCGCAGCAAGCGTTAGTTTGAATTTCGTCCATACAATAATATTTAATTATTTTCCTTGGACTGTGAGTTCTGCTGTTTGAGTTACATCTGATTGTTAGGAAGCATCGATGGATATGGCTCCACGAGCTGGTCCCACTGGGGTCTCCCTTGTACCGGTAGATTTCCATTCCGCCCGGTCTGGGAATGATACCCAGAGCAAACATTGCTCTGCAGATTGATGTAGGTATGACCCAGAGCATGTCTTGAAAAAGACGTAGAAAACATTCCACTTGTCAGTATTGTCTGTCGAGTAGTCCGCACTAGGTTCTTGGATCTTCACCATCTATTCTCACCCAGGCATAAATTGACCCGTCAAACAAGAGGCTAATATGTGACATTGACGATTGCACCGATGTCAGATTGATGATGCGATGGGAAGGGAACAGCCCAAAGTCCACGACGCAGTGTCGCGCTTTGCGGGGTTGATGTCGTGACATGAGTGACAGTACATCGCGCAATCACAAACGCAAAGCTGCGCCCATTAAAAGGATCTTTAACATCTGCCATCCACTTTGGCAGTTATCTGCATAATATGTCGGCTGTTCAGACTATTACGGTGCCTACCCAGCCCGACATTCAGTATCATCCTGAGTATGAAAAGTACAAGGAGCGTACTCGTCGTCGAAAGGAGACCGAAACCCTGCAGTCTACTGTTCCGGCAGGGTTTCCGGAGAAATTGACATCGCCGCTGGTCTGGGAAGGAAAAGAGGTTGAGGAGCGGGATGACTGGATTTATCAGCTGAACAAGGATCAGCTGGATGAAATCGACGCTGCGTTGAAGAGCTTCAAAGGTGGGTTGATGATGACTGTAATATCAACCTCGGAAGACACTATTGCTGACCTAACAGCTCTCGGTCTTTCCCTGGGCCATATCAACCAGTCGACGTTCCCTCTGCCTACCCTTCGGCCTGCTCTGCGCGATATCTCCAAGGAGATCCACACCGGTCGAGGATTTGCCGTTCTCCGAGGTCTGCGCATCGACGACTACTCCCGAGAAGATAATGTCATCATCTACGCCGGGGTATCTTCCCACATTGGAAATATTCGAGGACGTCAGCAAGAGGGTCGATTGGCAGATGGCACTTCGCCCGTATTATCCCATATCAAAGACCTCACCCGTAAGGTCGACAATGGTCTTATCACTGCGCCTTCAAACACGGCGGATAAGCAAGTTTTCCACACCGACGCTGGCGATATCATCTCACTCCTTTGTCTGAACCGAGCTGCGGAGGGTGGAGAAAGCTATCTTGCTAGCAGTTGGCATGTGTATAACATTCTGGCCAAGGAGAGACCCGATCTCATTCACACTTTGTCTCAGGATTGGCCACTGGACGGGTAAGAATTACCTAAAGGACCAGCAAGCGCATTTCAAAACTCACATTATTGTTCAGCTTCGGTAACCCGGTCAGACCCTACAGTCTCCGCCCGCTTCTATACCACCAACCCGCCACTGCTACCACCCCTGAGAGGGTTGTAATTCAGTACGCAAGACGATACTTCACTGGATTCATGGCTCAGCCCCGATCGAAGGATATTCCCCCTATCACGGAAGCGCAAGCCGAGGCACTCGACACTTTGCATTTCTTGGCAGAAGAGCATCGCGCCACTCTGGATTTCCAGAAAGGCGATGTGCAATATGTGAATAACCTGAGTATTTTCCATGCGCGGAATTGGTTCAGAGACGAGCCTGGTCAAGAGTATGTTTCTTTTTCTTTCGCGTGCTTCCGCTTTTGAATATACTGACGGTATGGTTGTGTTAGGCGTCATTTGTTGAGACTCTGGCTGCGGGACCCTGAAAATGCATGGGAAACGCCCGAGAAACTTCAGGATCGCTGGGATATAGTCTACGATGATCTCCCAGAGGATAAGCAGACGTTCCCATTGGATCCGGCTCTGCGCAAGAATGTGGGCGCGTAAGATGTGCCTAGCATGATAACATGATAAGGTCATATTTAGTCAATTGTTAGCAATTGAAATCAATATTCGGCTATATTTATATCTATATCGGTTATTCCAATGAGCTGTCCATCTTCGGGGCAGTCTCCTGCGCGGCAACATGCGGTACTATTCCGGGGCAGTGTTCCGTCATAAATAGGATCGGCTTGACTGGCCAATATTAAACATTCCAACAGTTTAAGGCCCAAAATGCAATTTCAATATACCGCTCTTGGACTAGTTACATATACACAATATCGAGACCTCGATCTAGATCTCTCTAGGCTGATAGGTTTGCGAGCGCATAGCCTCTCACCTCTCATATACTCAATATAGACTCGAAAGCCTCAATAACAAGCCCCGATTTAGGCAGGCCGTGCATCCTTGGCGTCGCTGGAGCGGAATCACATACCGACAGCGATCGAAGAATGCGGAACGGAATCAACAAAATGCTTTGCGGGGCCCCGGATTTTCCCCATCCAACGCAATATAGCGGCTTGTATAAATTTCTTTAAAAACAGCTTATCCCGCTAGGCCTTTGGATCATTTTAGTTGCCATTTGTATTTGGCATACTTGAAATATCCACAATGGACTCCGAAAAAGTCCACCATGAAATGGTCGAGGATGTCAAGTCCACGGTTTCTATGCCAGAGATAGATCCAGCGGCGGAAAAACGACTACTGCGGAAACTCGACCTCCATGTCGTTCCCATACTTATGTTTCTGTTCCTGCTCGCCTTCCTTGATCGTATTAATATCGGTAACGCGCGACTTCAAGGTCTTGAAGGCGACTTGGATATGACGGGACATGATTATAATATCGCCCTATTCATCTTTTTCATTCCTTATATCCTTTTTGAAGTTCCTAGCAATCTTTTCTTGAAAAAGGTATCACCTTCGTGGTGGTTGAGTGGGATCATGTTTTGTTGGGGTATGTTTCAACCGATTTCAGTGGAGGCATTAGGACTGACTGTGTTGTTCTTAGGGGTCGTTACAACATGCCAAGGTGTAGTAAAGAGTTTTGGGGGTCTCGTTGCATGTCGATTCTTGCTGGGCGTTTTTGAAGCTGGATTGATGCCAGGTTGGATAACCTCGATCCCGTAATAACACAACTGCTAATGGGAAGCAGGCTGCATCTACTTGATTGCTATGTACTATAAACGCCACGAGTTGCAATGGCGATTCAATATTTTCTTCAGCGCTAGTATTCTAGCTGGTGCAGTCAGTGGAGTATGTATTGCCTGCATGAGTAAAAAGTTGTCTCTATACTAAACTGTTCCTAGCTTCTTGCCTACGGAATAGCCAAGATGGATGGTATCGGAGGATACAGCGGCTGGCGCTGGATTTTCATCATCGAAGGTCTACTAACAGTAATAACCGGAATTGCTGCCAAATTTCTGGTTGTCGATTGGCCCGAAACGGCTTCTTTCCTGAATGATGAAGAGCGCACTTTACTTATTCGACGTCTATCGGAGGACCGCGGTGAAGCACAAATGAATCGCTTCGACAGGCCGGCAATCAAGCGCACATTCTCAGATGTCAAAATCTATATTGGGTAAGCGTTTGTCTCCTTCCTCCACTCCACCCTTTCCCCACTGACAACGAGGTTCCTTTAGTGCTGTGATGTACTTTGGAATTGTGAATACAGGCTATGCAACCGCCTTCTTCACCCCGACCATCCTCCGACAACTCGGCTGGACCTCCGTCCGCGCCCAAGTGATGAGTATCCCAATCTACATCGTTGCAACAGTAATCGCACTAGCTACAGCCTTTGCCAGCGACCGACTCCGCCATCGATTCGGCTTCACCTTGGCAGGATGTCTCATCGCCACTGTTGGATATGTGATCCTCATCTGTCAGGAGTCGGTGCCAGTCGGTGTCCGATACTTTGCCCTATACGCGATCACGGGCGGGGGATACATGGCGCAGCCGATCTTGTTGGGCTGGCTGAGTAATAACATGGCTGGGCACTACAAGCAATCTATTGCCTCAGCTATGCAGATCGGGTTTGGTAATTGTGGCGGTCTAGTCGCTAGCAATGTTTTCTTTGACTCGGAAGCGCCGACTTATGCAACTGGATTCGGTGTGAGTCTAGGGATGATATGGATTGGTGGTGTGGCGTGTATGATCTTCTTTGGTTATGTATACCGTGAAAATCGGCTGCGCGATCAGGGGAAAAGGGATCATCGGTACCATTGGCCTAAAGAGGAGCTGGAGAATGCTGGTGATGATCATCCTAGTTTCCGGTTTACTTATTAAAGATGAAGCGGGATCTGTAAAGAGCTATATACAAACATAGATGTGAACGTCACATACTTTAGCAAACTTAGTCCAATGGATTATCTTTTCAATTTCCTTCGAAAGAACATTGCTGGATCGATATGATATTGGCCAGTTGATGCCAAGACCGGCATGTGCGGTATGACGTAGTGATATTTTGGCCACTGCAGACTGTAGAAGATGCACTGCAGATGGTCGAAAACTCTGAGATTCCGGTGAGCCCCAGGGATCTGCTATGCCAATAAGCGTCGATCACCCATGGAAAATAAATTGGGGGAAGTAAAGCGAGTGGTCAAAAACGATGATCCAATGAGACTATGACAGGGCACGACCCCCATGGGTCCGCGGAGTTAAGATAGTACTCTGGTGCTCTACTTAAGAGAAATCCCTCTCCACTCAATCTCAAATCTCAAATGCGAACACCCAAACTCCACACAATGTCGCGACCACTGTCAAAACAAATGCAACCCGAGACTGAAGATCGGAGACCCGATCCATTCGGTCCACCTCAAGTTCCACGCTCTGGTGGCATCCAACGACTTCGAAACACACTCTCCAAACTCTCGCCATCTACCTTTGCAGAAAAAGAACTCCTCCGAAACAAGAGCCAGTACAAACCCTTGACTCAGAGAAACGTCGACACGTTGGTCACCGAACAAGAATGCAACGAAGCCTACAGACCTAATCTCAATTCGCCCGAGATTCAAGTCACGGAATGGTTGCGACAGGTTTCATGAAAGGACCCATTTGCACCAACCCATAGGTTGTATGGGAAGTACGAGCACCAGTACGAGTACGAGGATGTGAATGTCAATGCGACAGAGTTCCACTAGGCCTTTTCTCGAAGTATTCTCGACTTCTCTTCCCCCACGGTCTGCGCCCGGCCCAATATGGAGAACGCCAAAGCTGGTCAATGCTGGCCAATACTGGCACGAAGGACTTTTGCTGGGGCGAGAGACGGGTGATTTGATTTGTTCCATAGCACGCCCTGCGGTTGTGCTTGGCGTCAACGTCATGATTTGCTGGGATCCCGAGAGTGTGATCCGCTTTTTTTTGGAATTTGGAATGTACATCGTGCATGAGATAATGTCTAATTGGTTCTAAGAGTGTTTTAAGCCCGTGGATATAGGTAGGAAATGTGGAGGTTTACCCGATCATTCTTGATTATATCTCTGACTTGTAACTCCTTGTCTAAGTATATACTACATACTACATATTCCCAAAGATGCTATTCTATACATCCATCTATCAATCCATCTATACCATTTATACCCTCTATACATACACGCCAAATTTGTAAAAATAGAAAGACCGCCGAGTCCGAGTGGATATAAGCGGGGTAACTCTAGCGACAGGTCGGCCTTTGATTTTTTATATCGAAAGACATCCTCTACGTTGGGAATGTCACATCAAGATGTCCAAAAAAGTAGCAATAATCGGTCAGTCAAGAGACCCCATGATCACAAGTCGATACCTATTAACATCACAACAGGTGCCGGCCCCTCAGGCCTAGTCACAGCCAAAACCCTTCTTCATAATTTTCCCGGGACATTCTCGCCAATCATCTTCGACAGTCAAAACAACGTCGGAGGTCTGTGGTCAAGTCATCATGCTCCCCGGGAGGAGAGGCCCGTAACACTAGACCCTCGAATGCGGACCAACCTCAGCCGCTTCACAGTAGCCTTTTCAGATCTTGCCTGGGAGTCTGTAATACCTGACGATCCTCCGATTTTCCCTCAGGCGACCCAGGTTGGAGAGTACTTGGCCTGTTATGCAGAGCAGTATGTTCCAACACATGTGCTTAGGCTTGGGTGTAGAGTAATACGGACTATACGGAAGGTTGAGGATGGTAATGTGAAGTGGAATGTCCAGTGGGTTCAGGAGAGGTATGTTGGAACTTCCTCGTGTATCGCTGTACGCAAGCTGTACATTGACTCATATTTATATACAGCGCGGAGGAATCTCACTCGGAATCTGGGTTATTAGACGATGCAGTGCTGTCGGAAGAGTTCGACCTGATCGTCATCGCCTCTGGATTCTTTGCCCAGCAGTATATTCCAAATATACCAGGTATAAAGCAATTCCAAGGTCAGATCATTCACAGCTCTTCACTCCATTCCGAGCGAGCGCAGCTTCCTTTTGACAACACAAATGCGAACGGGCAGGTCGTCGTCATAGGCGGCAGCATGTCAGGCGTTGAAGCCGCGTCTGCTGTAGCTCTCCACCAATCCTCATCTGCACTTTCTTCAAACCAGATCCCACATACCCAAGAGACAAAATTGCATCATATACATTCAAGACCCTTCTGGGCTCTACCAACTTATCTCCCCCACGACTCTCCCGATGGGGCTCCATTGTTTTTACCATTGGACTTGGCCATGTATGACCTGGGCCGCCGCCCACCAGGTCCAATAAAATATTCTTTGGGCCCGATCCCAGAAGAAAGAGCAGTCCAAACGAACAGTTACTTCCACTCCTTGCTCGGCAATGACTACGAGAAATACGCGCACATGCATTCACCACTTGGCCCCGAACGATTCAGGATCCAGCCCCCATGGGTCGCGATAGGCAATGACTACGCCGAGTTCGTCAGAAGTGGAGCGATTCAAACATCGATGGGACGGGTGTCTTGTATCAATTCTGATCCGATTACTAAAAAAAGTTCTGTCCAATACGAAGGGCCCGACGGGGTCACCAATACGATAGAAAATGTCACGACGATCATTATGGCCACTGGGTTCACTCCATACAAGTCCCTGTCCTTGTTACCAGACGAAGTGTTGACAGCTCTCGAATATTCCAACACGGATCCCTTCACACCGTTGATTCTCGACAAGGGAGGCACGGTCCGCTCTGAAATTCCCGACATCGGATTCGTCGGGTTCTACCGCGGCCCGTACTGGGGTGTGATGGAGATGCAAGCGCGGTACCTTGGGAAATTATGGAGTGGGAAGGACAGCGGTACGATCTGCGAAACAGACGAGCAAAAGCAAAGTCTTCGCAGGCTCAGGTCGGCACACCCGGATCTAGACCGTGGTCAATTCCCCATGTCCGACTATGTCGGATTAATGGAGTCATTTGCCAAGGATCTGGAGATTACTCGGTCGGGATTGCAAGCAGGCGATAGCAGGTCTGGTCCTGCCGTTCCGGCGAGATATCTTCACGGCGGTATCCCAACGTCATTCGCAGAGAGCGAGGCGAAGAGGACACTAGGTGCTTTGCGCGACGCTTTGATCCCTATTCACGAGGTAGCACAAAAGGCCGCAGCATCGGCGATATTTCGGGCTCTGCATGGGACTTGGACGTTCTCCAAGCAAGCAGCAGATGCTAAAGGCGAAATATATGGGACTCTAGCTTTTTACCCGCGGTACCCAACTAGCCCGGCATACGAAAGGGAGTATGTCTGTGTGGAGACATATGTGGACTCGGGCGGGCGGGAACAGCCTATGCAAGCCAATACCCGCTTCATGCGCTTGGGGGAAGATGGATTTGATATTGCCACTTCACGAATCGAGATCTGGTCACCGGGCTTAGCCGATAAGCTGTCAGCTGGTCAGCTTACCCAGGCTTGGGAGTTGACGTCTCTCAGTCGAGAGGAAAAGTATGGGGAGACTATTCCTGGCGAGACTGTGATATTCGCTACGAGTGTTGATTCGCTTTCTGGGGTCGAGTATTTGTATACTTTTCATTTTGAGGGGGTTTCTATCTTGTCTTGGGAATGTGCAGAAGATTCTTTCGAAGATCAGATGGGTGTAAAACGCAAAGGGAGTTTCTATTCCTACGTAAGAGACTGATGGATTTGAAATTCCATTTGAGTCCACGGCTGCGTACAAGAGCTTTCAACGGATAAGAGATTAGGATGATCGACAGCACACCATAGTGGATCAAATTTGGAGCTTGAATAGCGTTATCAAATCTTTAATTGCAAGATTAGATGTGATATATTGGCTGGAAGAGAATATACTGGCTGGAAGTGAAGCTCTGAGGGAACAGAAGTCCACCGGGAGGTTCTAGACCCAATGTAATCGTCACCTACCAAAGTGAATTTGCCATGGCGAATATTGATCTCGCAGAAATCTAGAACCTTTCTGTTTACTTTCTTCGGGTTCGATCGGTCCCTAGCTTATCTCTACCAAGACGGTTTCCCCGTTCTCTGCGGAGCTATAACAAATCCCGGGGTCACCGATGCGGGTACAATACATCCATGGTATACAACCGAGAATGAGGCTTTATTCAGAGGAAAAAGACTCTGTGTTTGTTTGGATTAGAAGGCAAACCTTCATGATCTAGCCAATCACTCCATGTAAATAGAGACTTGGTTGGCTCTGGGGGTGGATATCGTCTGTTGATCTGTGGAACTCCCAGCCGGTGGATTCTCTAGATACTCAACATCTCAACATTTATATATCTCGAGTTCTCGATTTCTACATGTTCATAACTACCTGTCAATCTGAGAATAACAAGATCTCAACGACTACATTTCAATCACATCTGAAATTCCAATCAGACCCATACTAGGGCTGTGAAGTTCATACACACTTCAACCTACATCTCCGCCACATTCTCGACAACATTCATATATATCCTCAGATGCTTTGATCAATTCAAAGCCACATATATCACACAATGTCACCTAGTAAAACATCAACGTCCCCCCAACCGTCCCTCCCCTCGACCCAACCTCCGAATGGCGCGCCTGGCAAACCCTCAAAGTACTCTACACCCTCCAACTAAACCAACAAATCCGACGACGCTGCATCCTCGAGCAAAAATGCATGGAAGATCGCGCCTTATCCGATCGCTTTCGTCCCCTGGTCTTCCTCGAACCCGTCCCAACTCTCCAAAAACCCTCCCCAAACCCAAATCCAGCCAAAGAACCAAACAACAACCCCTTCAACGAAACCACCATGGACGCCCTCCACACGAAAGTAAAACTCCTGCGCGCGCGCTCGAGAAAGGGAAGGAACTCGCCGCCGAGATCGAGCGACGCATGGCCCTGGACCCGCCTATCAAGTTTCCCACGCATTTCTGCCACAATTGTGTTCAGGACGGGGAGATGGTCGAGGTACTGCTTACGAAATGTGGACATCGGGTTTGTAGGACGTGTCTTGACTTTTTGACTGATGCGGATGGGCAGTATGAGTGTAGTATTTGTTTTGTACCTGCTGAATTTGTGGCGCGGAGTCCGTTGGCGTTGATTCAGGATTTTCCGGAGATACCGACGCCATTTAAAGGACGTGGCAGTTGGGATGGGGGTGTTCCGACTGGTGATCGGGATTGGGATATGAGTGAGGTTTTGTTTTCTGATCGTTGAGCTAGATTGCATTTATATATGGCATGGTTTGTTAGGTTTAGCGACATTTCATATACAAGATCGGATGGACAATGAAAGCAATTTGAAATCTTTTCACGATCCCTCGTATAACCGAAATAGTCCTGGTATGGCAGTGTCAGTGTGATAGTTCGGCTTTATTATGGAGGATACTGTATCAGGCATATTGTATATTCAATTGCATCCGATTCTATACAGTATGCGAGAAGCTAGGTCGAAGATCGAATGGATTTCTTATTGCTTGATCATATGAGTTCCCAATGCATAGATCTTCTATGGTTTACTTTTCTTTACATTACATGTATAAAAATGTCAACAACATACTACCCTACAAGATATTTGAAAGGACGACTCAAAAGGCTGCAGAAGACTCTCTGAAGGTCCGAATGGTATTAACAAAGGGTAAACTTCATTACAGGAAGTCTCAAGTGGCGCATTGGCAGAGACGACACCTCCTGCACTAGAAGATTCATCTTTCTCCAATCCTAGTCAAAGTAAAAAAAAAACAAAAATTTCCCGATCACAATCTAGCGAACCTCTATTGACCATAAGGGAATATTCATGCATCGTGAGCCATAAGGCCATGCCATCCCAGCCATGGGAACGCCTTTTTACCGAAATCAAGAAACGGGAATCCAAAACGTGGGGACACTATGCCACCGGGGAATGAAGGGGACATTATACAGTAATTATAAGAATGACAAATAAGCATCTACCCCAAAAGCGTACATGAATCCTGGAGATGGCAGAGAGGTATAAGGAACAACGCCCAAATGACTGGCATGCGTGTTGCAGCAATTGCGAGAGAGATCATGTAGAAGCCCTCTTTAGCGGTCCTCTGCTTTTTCTCCTTCGTCAATGACCATATTGACTTCTTTGACGGGGTGCAACAGCATAGGAGGAAGACACATGCGGCCTTCGCCAGCTAGTTCCTGCTGCTCACCGCCGTCATTGTCGACGCGGAGACCAAGCCAGCGGCGCCAGAGGTTTGGTGAGAAGCCTGCGGAATAGAACCAGGTCGTGCCACGGAAGTTGTGTTCACGATCGCCGAAGATGGATGTACGAGCGCCACCGGAGGCTCCATTGCGACCGGCATTGAACACTGATTCCAGGTAACGGGTGGGCCAGCGGCGGTCAACGTAGACGGCGTGTGGGACGAAGACAGCCTTGAAGCCGTGGTGCAGGGCGGTGGTCGCGGGCCACATCTCTGAGAACATACTGTGACGCTTGAGACTGCATTCGCGGTGCATGGTGGTGAGGAGCTTGCGGGAAATACGTGACGCGGTGATGATTGCCGTGCGCCGTGGTGGCATGCCCTTCTCCTTGTTGTAGCCTGTCACGTCGTCGCGCAACAGCCAGGTTGTGCCCTCGGGGTCGTAAAGCGGATTGAAAACGACTAGGTCGGCGTCCTCACCCACACCCCATTGATACTGATCCTTATCCATGCTTGTGGGTGGGATGCCCTCGCCCTCGACTTCGAAAATGTCCCGTTCATCGGGGCGCTCAGGACCCCAGATGGACTTGTCACCCTGTTGGTGCATTGAGCTCCGCGCGCTGCCTCCGGCGCCATTGGCAGCGCTCCACATATTGTTGGCGGAGTTGGTGCCGCTCTCGGTCTGCACGCGGACCATTTGCCGGAAGTCTTCCCAGGAGCCGTGGACGGAGGGAACATAGAAGCGAGCGTTACGTTCCCAGAGACCCTTTCGCGGCTGCTTCTTCGCCCATTCGCCAACTTTGTCGAAAAGGTGGTACCAGTGGCCCGTGTAACGCGCGTCCATCTCCCAGTTCCAGAAGTAATCGTACTCGGGATGCTGGAACGCGAAGTACTGCATGGGCATATACGTGCTGCGGTAGACACCGTGGATTGGCAAACCGCGAGTCAGGGTCTCCTCCAATCCGGGATACATCAGGGCCATCTGAGGCTCAGACCAGAGTGTTCCCATACCGCGGAACTCTTCTGGAAGCGCATCGTCAAGTACACGTTGGTATGTCTCGTCATCAGACCAGATCTGAAGATTGGTATCCTTGACATGGACCAAGAAGTGAATAGTATACTCGCCACCGGACATCAGCGAGAGCTCCGAGATGACAGAGCGCATATACATAATATCTTCCGGTGTATAGTGGAAGTCGTGCCATGTGCGGATCACCACCGCAGTGCGCGGCAGACGCTCGGGTCCAACCGTGGGCGGTTCGTTGCGGCTATCTTCTGCAGGCGGCGGGATGTTCACCTTGGGAATACCCATTGGCATAGAAACAAAGCGGTTGAGACGCGGCTCCGGCAGTTCATTAAAGCGATGGCGGTTGGCTGCGTGACAGCGGTTTTGCGCGGCAGCCCAGTCCACCTGTCGGAAGTCCACTGGCGGAATATCCTCCCACACACGGTCGGCACCATCACGATGGCCCTCCATGCCCGCGCCTGTGCCGCCCTTCTTGACCCCGTATCCCAGTCCGTATGGACCCAATCGGCCAAACCGATCGAAGCACATGTCATCCCGAATACCCAACATCGTATTCGAGCCCAGCACCGGGTCCGGGAAGCCCTTTGGAACTCCAGCGTAGCTTTGGATGGACGGAACCCGTAGCGTGTTTTCAGCATTGAGGAAGCATTCGCGCTTTTCGCCGTGTTTCCCTATGTATTCCGGCGACTGGTAGTCAGGATAAGGATTAAACACATTACTCAACATGTTCGGGGCCAAATTCCTCTTGGAGACCTTCTTGGCGTCCTGTTCCTGCTCCTGCTCCTTCTCGTTGCTTTGTTCCAACCCCATACCCATGTCCTCAGAGCCATCACCGGGATATTCAGGGACATTATCAGCGCGTGGGACCAAGGAAGAGATACCGCCCTCGTAGCGACTGAGGAACGGGAAGCTCTCCCATTGTGGCGGTTTGGGGGTGCCGGCGACCTTGGGCAGGTCGGCTGCGACTGTTGAAGCGGTACCGGAGAGTGTAAATCGGAAGAGGGTGAGGATGAAGAGGACGAGGGTCGCGAACAGCGCGAAGCAGAGCCAACGCATGATTCGTTGGGGCACGCGAAACCCGACGCTAGCTTGGGGGCGGCGAAGACTCCCGCCAGCTACGAGGGGCGGCGGGTAGGACTCCGCGACATTATTGTCGTCCAGCGACTCGTCGCCGGAATTGGCGTCATCGCTTTGGTGGTGATGGTATGTGTGACGGCCGATGGTAGGTTGTTTTTCGACGTCTGTATCTCGTGAATTATAAGGTGATGGGGGCTTGTATGCTGCGGAGTGCCTCCTCGCCTGGACGGTCATGATGCCAGACAAGATATCAACATTGAATGATTCGGGTTTCCCAGATCACTCAATCGCCCATCTATCTAATACAGTGTAATAGGAGAAATCGATCAAATATTGCCCAAATCAGGGGGGTTGTTGGAGGGAGAGAGGCACGCGACTGTGTGTTGATCGTCGGTCCGGCAATTTGGGGGGACCTAGGCCTGCAGCACTTCAAAGAGGTAAAAAAGAAAGTAGAAAACAGAAACACAATCAGAATCAGAGTATCAAGCTAAATTCGGACAATAAAAACATGCAAAACAAAAGGATAAACAAGGCCGGTATTTCGTGCCAAGACTGCTGGCGCTGCCCAAGAAAGGGATTACGCAGTTGCATCCTCAAATGGACTGGTCCAAGCCCTAGCGGAGATTGTTCTTGGTTTTTTAATTTAATTGACTTGGTCTGGGCTTTTTATAGGTCTTCTATCCATAGACTTCATTTGCAGAATATTCATTCCCCATGGAAAATTCACTGCGCGGATCAACCCGCTCATGCCCTTCTTCACATGAGCCAAAACGTAACTGGCCAATTCCTTATACAACTCAGGCTTTTCCTCCTCCTCAGCATCCGCATACAAATATTCCAGAGCTCCTCCGTTGACGGCAATCTCTTCATAAGTTGACCGATCAGCTCTCTCGACTCCAATGCAAGCTACACATGTCCCAAACTTTAACAACATCGCGGTGACAATCAATCGGCACATTCGGCCATTGCCGTCAATAAACGGATGGATGTTAACGAAGTTGTGTGTGAACTTTGAAGCCAAGGCGACAGGGTCAATCATTCCAGCCGTCGTGGCTGCTTTCAGGTCATACTTGAGCTCGCGGAACATTGACGTCATTTTGGATGGAACGAGGGAGTGGTGGGGGAATGCATGTAGGCCTGCACTAACTTCGTCTGCTCGTAGACGCCACTATATTCTATCCAAGCAGTAGTCTCAACGTCCACTTTGTAGGTCAGAATTCGGTGGGCTTCAAGGAGAATTTCTTCGCTGAGGTCTTGGCCACAGATGCACAACTGGCCAATCATAATTGCCGCAGCGTTTGCATGCTACACAACCTCTCGTCGACTACGCAGGACAGCTGAGGTGTCTGTAGGGAGGTTTCGGTGGACTTGGCTCTCTTTGAGAGGATAGTATTCTTAGTCTTGCTCTTCGATCTCCTCGGAAATTTCTTGGCCACGGAAGATCGCGAGACAGACTTTGAGGGTGATGCCTGAGCTACTACCGGCTTCCTCGATCATATTCGAGCCATATACCATCCATGCGAGGGAGTGAAGAATATGGTCCTCACATACCGCTTCTTGGTGAGGTGTGAGATCGGTTTTGAATAACTTGGACAGCTGATTTGTGGGCGTGATAAGCTCCTGGAAGATGCAATCGGGGTCAAAATCTTTGTGACTGATCTTACAATCGCGACAGTCCTCTGCCATGGTAATGGTGAAGCAGGTATCGACTGTGCGCAGAGCAGCAAACATGATTCGTTGACTGAGGTGAAGTGTAGATTGCATAGATTGCATAGATTGCATAGATTGCATAGATTGCGTCGAAAACATTTGGTTGGAGAAACTAAGTGGTGATGGTAAGCAGAAGGTGATGAGCTGAGCCTGATGCTGAGTACAAGCTGGTGATGGAACTGAAAGGTGTAGAAGTATCAAAACAGTCAAAATAAGGTGGTGAGAGTCACCAGGGTAACCTTAGGACGTATTGAAGGCTAGAGTATCTCACCAGTCTTCTTAGATGTTGTTGGTCGTCTTCCTGCATACCTGTTACTCTTTTCACTTGATGAATGAAGAAAGTGTAAGACAGACTGTGCGTCCTTTTCCATGTACCTTTGACACCAGGAAAGCACTAGTTGATGTCAGCACGGACTCTTACCTAGGTATGTCCAAAGTGTAGATTTAGGGACTTTGTAGTAGCGCGCTACACCGCGAATTGATAAGATTTCTTGATTCGTGAAAGCCTAGATAGCTAATAAGATCCTACCCTCTTACTCTATTGAATTTCTAGAGCTTCAAGAGCGAATTGGTGGTATAGTGGGTAGTTGAATTCATTGATTACTAATTTATAGACACGTTTTGGGTAGGGTGCGTAGCTCGCTTGCATGCGTAGCTCGCTTGTGAAATATGTTAGTATTCGTAAGTAATTACATTAGGTGCATTTTACCATTCGGCTGAAAGATCATAATCGGAACGTCCGATTGTCACAGCAGTTGTATATATACTAGGGTCTAGCAACCGCTCGGGACCACAGGGTATGGCGTTCATCATGGGGTAGCAGTAGGAGCTTATAATAAAACAGGCCAAAGCCCCCGCACCACATCATTACTTCAATCTAGTTCCGCCAAAAAAGGGCTTTCTCAACGAACATCATTCTTCACCGAATAACGCGATATGAATCACAATCATTCCAATTATCAGGTCCGCCTTGATTTTAATAATGGCAATCATGGCTTATTGAAGAGAACGTTCGGTCTGCCAGTATGTGCCGGAAGATATTATGAGTTATGAACCCTGCTCAAGAGGCTCACTAGGCAAATACCTTGGTTGAACCAATTGCGTATGATTCTGAGTGCCCCTTTAAGTACAATAACTTTGTGTATCGCGTCTCTCTGCCGTCTCCACTCGAAAAGAAAATGGGGCCTGTCAGAACAAGCCCGGTTGTGTGGCTATTCCTTCCGGCACTAGTGATCTGATCCTTCGTCTGACAAACTCTGATGCTACATCCATGGGAGCAGCGAATCGTGTCGAGAATGAGGTTGCTATGATGACTCTAGCTGCGGCTGCGCTAGACCCAAATTTCGAACCCAACGTTGTGCCTCGTCTGTATGGCTGGGCTGGAACCACATCTAAAAAAGGGGAGCCACAGCAAGGTTGGATCCTCCAGAAGCTCATGCCAGGCGTTCCTCTAGACGAAAAGCTAGACAACATGGAACTCGAGGAGAAGAAAGAAATATTTGCACAGATCGCAAAGCTCCTCAAAAGTCTTCAGGACTTCCCACTACCCGCCTCTGTTACTGAATTTGGAGGACTGACCTTTGATAACGATAGCAACATAATCAGTGCACCAATGACCACCACCAGTACTGGTCCCTGGCCCTCGTACGAGGCTGCATTTGAAGCACGGCTCAAGCAAGCTCTGAAGAAAACCGACGAGAATTCTTATATCCGGGGCTGGCATGAGAATGGCGTCCGGGACCGACTAGAGGCCTTTATAGAGCGAGGGCTCCCAGAATATTTCAAGCAGCTTGAATCGCGCGACGACAAGGCAATAATCCACGCAGATTTCAGTAAGCATTTTTCCCTTTCACCTCCCGAACCCAAACGCTTGTTCTTATAGATGCTTTCTATCAGCACCCAACAACCTATTATTCGACATTTCCTTAGGTCGTATCACAGGATTAATTGACTTCGACTTTTCGTGCGTTCTCCATCCTTCATACGAGTTCCTTTGCTCCTTTAGTGGGTTTGGCGGCAAGTTTGGGGGCTGGCCCGACATTGAGGCCCGTGAAGAAAGGGCCCTAAAGGAAGCCAAATTACACGGCTTCCCAGACCCTCTCCCCAATAATTAGCAAGACTACGAGGGAGTTCAGTGGAAAGTTGCGAAGGCCTGGGAAGACGCCCTTCAGAATGAGGGTTGTAAGCGCCCGATGACAATCCGAGGGATTGACATTGTCGCTGATATCGATGCCCTCCTTAGTTCTATCCTACCCTGGCGCGTGACAAATTCAGATATTCTGAGGAGGCAAACCGATCAAGCCATTCAAAACTGCCGAAATAAGAACGAGAAAGTCCTGATTGAGATTCTGGAGCCTATCGGATTCTAGAATTATTAGTAGTTCGCTTTCGGGTCCGATTTAAGCCTTAAGCGAACAAACCTCGCACCGATTCACTTTCTCGAGCCTCGCCAAGCTGTTGATGTTTCATTTGGACTCTATATTTGTCCAGTTGGTATATTCAATAGCAAAACTTAAGATATATTATTCCACACTCCTTCCAACTTTGAAGAACAGTATATATATTGTGGTACTCTACTTATATGCTGGCTTCTTTATTTATCAACATTGGGTATATTTCCCATAGAATGTGATTGACGACCTAGAATAGATAATCAAGCCTACTGTCAGCTACCCATTGACGGTTCGTCAGGAATATATAGGAGAATCTACGCTATTCGTGGATGTTTGGATTTAGATAAGCTCCGTTGATCATAGGCAGTTTCTCGGTTTAAACTTTGATCCATTTAACGACCACGTCTATTATCTCATGATTTCTTCTTTGTGTCCGGTTGGCAGCATTAATATCAGGCATTGGTGGGAATTCCAACATGTATACCTTGCGCAGAATCGTGTTTATTGATCCATTCTGTAATTGCGCTGAAGTTTCGACATGTGTGCGTCGTGGAAACCCGTGCATCTGGTTGGCTATTCCCGCGATCCGTATATAAAATAAGACCAACATCGCTATTACACATAAGAACTTGTCGGAGGAGGTCGATACAATGGTCTGGGTTAATGTTAGAGGAAGTTGTATGTGAGTTTCGGATGAGGGAGAAACTCACCAACATGCTCCCACACCATCTCAGCAATGAAGGCCGTCATTCCTCTGAGTTCCTTGCTTACTGGAGCTCAGGCTCTGGCCATCGCACCTTCACTCAGTAGAGAGGTAAAATACTTATAGTGCAAAGGCATTTTCTGTTACTTACTTTTTTTGTACAGGATATCGAGATGTTCAAGGGTCCACTATACCTTCTAGTGTATATTATCTTACTAAGGAACAATCATAGTGACTACACCTGCGCATTGGGGCAGAACGAGATTGCGTATATCAAGTCACATGCAATTTCTCGAATGAACTATTATCGGTCACCTAAAACCCAGGAACATCCTGAGGACGGTCTCGCTCTTTTGGCCAAATACATGAGGGTTGCACCTTATCTTATTCCTCAATCTGCCAACGAAGCAGCGTCCAGCAACGTTCTAATGCACCCCGATCTTCATCTGTATAACATCTTCGTCGATCCAGAGACCCTTCAAATCACCCGTATCGTGGATTGGCAATCGGCATGTGTTGCACCATTGTTCTATCATGCCAATGTTCCTAGGATGTGTGCCCAGCGTGGGCCTCTTCCGGAGGGCTGGGCTGTGCCTGAATGACCGGAAGACTTTGATAACCTAAGTGTAGAGGAACAATTCAAGGTTGACAATAATCTAGAGAGTCAGACCCTTCACAAATATTACGAGGCCCAGGTGTATAAGCGATCACCTCGATTTTGGTCTGTCCTCAAAGACAAAAGGATCTCTATCATCCGGAAACCAGTCTGGCTCGTCACGGGAGTGTGGGAGAACCGCGATCTATTTTTCCTTCGTCAATCACTAATGTCGCTCTACGCGCATTGGGAAGAGCTTATTCCGGGTATGCCATGTCCCATAGAGTTTACCATGGAGGATGTTGAGCTTCATTCTAAGGAAGAGGAGAATATCAATGGTGTCGGGGAGTTGCTGACAATTCTCCAAGATAAAGCCTTGCTCCCGGTGGATGGTATGGTCGACCCCGAAGACTATGATACAGCCCAGAAGAACAGCCATAATTTCAAAGAGATATTCATTGGAGCGGCTAAAGATGATGACGAGAAGGAATCATTCACGAAACTGTGGCCATATCAGGAACGCGCAGACGCGGAGGGTTTGTAATCGATCAGGGCGGCAAAATGGCTTTAGATACACTTTCTAGCGGTCGTTCAGGCAGTTGTAGAGAATCCAGGAACTGTAAAAAGTAAAACGATAATGTTAATTCAATTACAAGAAATCTTACCTACTGCCTCGGCCATATACGGTAGTTATGTGTTTCATCCTATAGGCCTAGGGCACGCTATTTGAGACCGTATTAGCCCTAGCCATGTAGATCTTTCTACACGTGAGCCCAAATCCATCAGTTCGAGATCCTGGCAAAATAGAAGCTACATATCTGTACTTCGGCCATGACAACTAAATCAAAACAAACTTGAGCTGCCAAAGATTAGAATGTTGTATATAATCACGTGCCAACCAGCCCGGACTGAAATCTACTCAACCCGACCCAGCCCTACGGGTCTCCTAAAGCGGCCATAAGAAAACAGATGGTAAACAGATGGAAAGTTTGAAATTTCTGCTCATTTGTGCCCTTCTTGTTCTCTCTCTCCTTGCCCAGTTTGAGATTCTGAGATTTTACAATTGAGTACTTATACAGATCTCTGGGGGTTCCAAGGCAGAGAAGCAATTTTGGGAGTGGCGATGCCAAAGAAAAGAAAAACAAATGAGGCTAATAGCATAGCGTAGAGGAAAAAGAGCCGTTTGAAGAGAGAACATCAAAAGAAGTAGCGAACCAGTTGCAGAACCTCTTTCCTTGCAGAGATCAATGTCATGTGTGGCCAAAGAACTCCCCGCCATCGTCATCATCAATCCATCATTTGCAGATTTCGGTATTCTCCTTCACCCAGCTACACGTCCGATTCGAATTCGCATTATAGACCTTAATCGCGGTTGGTTTTCCGGAGCGCATCAGCGAGCCACTCCAGACCCTCGTACAGACCGTCACCAGTGGTGGCGCAGGTAGATTGAATGAACTACATCCGTTAGTGAACCTGTAAACACATATATCAAGAATGTCACCTACCCAAGCACGACGGGTAAGGCTCTGAAGACCAAGCTGCTGCGTGATCTCGGCGGGGCTCATGGCGTTCTAGAGAAAAAAAAGCGGGGGTCAGCATGGACATTTCATCTAGGAGTAAACCATTTCTCGATTCAAAGAAATCCTTACCGGCAGATCCTGCTTGTTGGCGAATACCAAAAGCATAGCGTCACGGAGCTCATCCTCGTTCAACATGCGCTGCAACTCCTCACGGGCCTCAACGATACGATCGCGATCGTTGCTGTCAACCACGAAGATGATACCCTGGGTGTTCTGGAAGTAGTGGCGCCACAGAGGACGAATCTTATCCTGACCACCGACATCCCACACGGTGAACTGAATGTTCTTGTATTCGACAGTCTCGACGTTGAATCCTGCAGGAGTCAGTTTCCGGTAGCGTTGACAGCAGTATCCACCACGGCGTATGATATTGCAAAGAGCGCATCACGGTGTCGACGGTGAATGGGATCGGAAAGGCGGACTAACCAATTGTGGGAATGGTGGTGACGATTTCACCGAGCTTCAGCTTGTACAGGATGGTGGTCTTACCAGCGGCATCAAGACCAACCATCAGGATGCGCATCTCCTTGCGGCCCCATAGTCGGTCAAACAACCGCGAGAAAGTGATACCCATATTGTCGGTAGCGAGATAACCCTCGGATCCTAAGAGGGGTGGATAGGTCAGAGAGATATCGAGGGATGGTGAAAGGGGAAAAGCGGAGGGGTTGGAAAACGTGTTGTGGACTTGTCGGTCAGAGATCCAGGGGGGGGCAAGTCTGGGCAACCAGTTAGACATCGGATCAACCACTTACCGGCAGAAAAAAGGTATAAGTTGGTTTAAGAAGTAATGAGATGCAAGTTCAGGGGAATATGAGAGAAGTCAGAAGGGGAAATTTGGTTTCGTTTTTGTTTTGAATACGCCAGAAATACGACCGTTGGCGGTGGGCGTAGTCTTCGTCACCTGTTTACTGGAGAGCACGCAACACCGTTAAGAAAATGAGGCTGAGAGATTTGAGAAGCACCTTATGATTTTACAGATGTAGATATATATGGTCTGACTATAATAGTTCTGCCTATAGGAACAAATAAGCAAGTCGAGATGTATTTTGTCGAAGAGGACACCGTGTTGGCCCCGTAAATGAAATACAGGGAGTCGCCCCAGGCTTAGACCCAGGTCCCACAGTATCTGATAGGCCCTTGGACACTTATCGTGCCTGCGTAATCCCTCTGGAACCCTTTTTCTCTTTGGTCCACATTTCCCCATAGCAATTTCTCTTTATTGTCGACGTCGTGATATTTTGTCCCGAGAGTTTCGGAAGAACGTTCGTATCATAGATCGATAAATCGTCTTACCTTCCATGGTATCGCTGGCATAACCGAAAACGGTCAAGAGCAAGATGGATGCAACAAAGATAACTGCGAAACTGACCCAATAGTCCGTCTTAGTATACCCATTCTTCACCCCAATCAATTCCGTCGAGAAATATGCACTCATCAAGCTAACCGGCAAGAACAAGATGGTCGCCTTAGCCAGCAGAATAGTGATCCGAGTGAGCTTCTCAACAGCTTGCGAGTCCTTGAGCGCAATCAAGTTGAAGTTCTAGGCCACGTCAGCAAAGCCCTCCAAATCAATACCGGGTCAATACCCACCAGGAATGTCAATGACTCTTTCTCATTGAGACAATTCTCAATCTCGCTCAGACAGTACAAATTAATACGATCAACCAACCGTTCGAAACGCGCCACAGCCGTCGAGCTCAACGGCACCCCGACCGATTTCTCAGTTGTGTTATGATGACCGGTATTGCTCACGACGCTCGACTGGCGCATATCCACAAACTCCATATCGCCAAACGTGGCTCCATACGGGAGAGCGGCTGGTTGGACCGAACGCGCTTCATCGCGGAGCATGCGTTGCCGTTGCAAGAGTCGCCGCATGATAAGCTCATAGCTCTGATATAATCGTTTGAGAACTGCGAGTCGTCGGCCAAGCCAGTGCAACTCATCCACCAAATCCACTACCGGACGAACGAGCATATCCTTTCTCTGCGCTGAGTTAGCCACCGTTCGAATGCATCAACAGAACGTCCTAAAAAGATAATATTTACCAATTTATCCAAAGCAACACCGTATTTATGTTCTCGCTTTGCGATAAGTCCATAACTCGACACCCAGTCATCGAAGATATAGTAGAAGAGCAAACTCGGTCCATCCTCCTGCTTGATATTGGCTTGGTCCGGTCCGAGGTCACTGAAATGTCGCACCCGGATTGTGATCAGCGACTCGCTCTCGGACATGGCAAAATGCTGTCTGGAGACGCCGGCGAAAATAAAGCGAATGTTCCTACGTACGATGTCGAGGACTGGCTTGGCTTCATCTATCGGCACTGCCTTTCGTCTTGGGAACGGGTTCTCTTGGATTGAAATTATCGTGCCTGCAAACAAGTTAGCGACTGCACTTCAGGCCCTGGGAAGGGGGTGTTGGGGTGCGGTCCATACCGTCATCACACTGGATCAGCCAGGTCCAAAGCCGTTTTCCATCCGGGAGATCTTGGGCATTCGGTTGTGATAGTGTGGGAATCACAAACAACGTATTATATCCGATACATGTATCTGATAAATTGTTTAATGTCTTGCTGACTCGAGTTCGATGTGGTATACTCACATCGAGGACCATGATCCACAGAAGAAAAGTGCCAGATTTGATCTGTGACTTGTGAAAAGGTGAGATTCTTGAATGACGCCGACTCGCGGGATTTCTCTGGATCGAGATGCTTGAGTGCATTCTCCGGGTCATCCGCTTCGTGTACGAACGAGGGCGCAATACTGGGTGCTCGTGAAGACCTTTTGGTTGGTATTGGTGTAGGTGTAGGTTCTGGTGTGGGATGCACTGGCTCTGTGCACATCATCCCCTGTAGTCGTTCGGACACTCCATACTGTTTGGTAATTGCCTAGCAATGCATGGTCAGCCATTACCGTTCATGCGAATGAAATCAAAAATCCTACCCTTATGCTTTCCTTCTGCTCCTCTGGTGCCCATATATTACTATACAAGGTCAGTATACACTTTTGAACTTGAGAGATTGGTTCTTACATCCACCGTGTACCGAAACACTTGTCTCTCTGTGCGGTGTCAGACCTTGGATATCGCATAGACGCAACTTTTAAGCCTAGTCGAATGTGAAAAGAAAACTTACCGGCTTGCTCAGCAATAATTTCAGTTCATCGGTGCCCAGATCAGATGCACACCATGCCTCTTCATTCCCGAAATCAAGCACAAAATTCTGAGTAAGGGGATCCTCTAAGCGGCGCATAGCAGTGTAAAACTGCGTCTTATCATCAATATTCTTGAACTTTTCCACGAGCGAACCCTCATCATCTAGACTTGAATAGTAATCCTGCGGCGCAGTAGACTCGTGCGAATCTGTTGTATAAGACATGATGAAGCAAAGTACTGGTTTGCCAGGCGCTCGATTTGGCGTAAAAGCTCCTGTAAATAAACCACCAAATCAATCGCCAATACTCAGAAAATCGGCTGTTAAGTCAGGGGGGTTACCTGATGAGGTTCAGAGTCTTATAACCTTTAGACATGAAACATCAACCCGGCGTATACGGGGAAATTAGCAAAAAGTCAAGGTGAAGTATTCTAATGTCTCGGGGGAGCAGCCTCAATTAAATCAAAAATACAAGAGGGGAGGGTGACCAGTCATCTGAGGCTGACACTGTCGGTCACGTTTAAGCGCTGCGATCATCTGTAGCCCCCCCGCAGACCAGGTCAAGTTCGTTTCACCCGAGAGTTGTCCTAAAATAGATTATGCGATCATCTTGTTGATTCCCGTCTACTGAGCCAAAGCTTGGGTGTTTGTCATCTGGACGGTTCAACCTTGGAATATATATATATGTACATTGGGCCGGGGTTAGGAGGTGCGGAGTCTGGGAGATTTTTTCAAGGTAAACGTATAGTGTAAATGGATCAAATAATTGACCAATGCAGCCCTGGAGGACACCCTGTGAAGATGCCTTGAGTCAGCTCAGCTGGACTATTATGCACCTGGTTAATACGCACTCGTGCTTGTGGCGGAGTAGATCGTCAGAGATATACACAAAATAATGTACCCAAGGAAATATGAGACCAAAGTCCTGACAAGCGCTACACAATGATATTATAAACCCCTTGATTGTTTAGTTTTAACAATGACATACAAGACTAGTTGGCCGCTTCAGTGGTCTTTTCGGTCTTTCCAGTCTTCTTAGATTTTCTGTTTTAGGGTATTTGTTGTGGATTTCCTCTTTGGTTTTCTACAACATACGTAGATAGTAGAAAGGAAGGGCTTATTTCTAAAAACAGATTTCTCATAGTCTTTGACATGGATATAGGATCAATAATAAAGTAATGATCGATACAATATAAGCGGGTCGGCCAGGTGGCGGGGCGACCGGGTCGATGCTTTCTATGTTGTACATTCTGCAGTGAACATACACAAAGCAATTGCAAGCACCGGGTTTCACTTGATGATTAAACAAATTCCCGAGAATGACGAGAAAAGAGCGCAATAGACAGGGCTCGGCTGTTACTTGAAGCAGCAGCAGTGCTGACTCGGCTGAACAGTGAGAGGTGAAAAAGGTACTTTTACTGTTATCCAAGGTAAGGCCGACAGTTGCTTAATGCGATGATTTGTATGAGCAAGTGGTATTGGACTGAGGACAAAGTACTTTGTACCCATGGACATGCTGAGCCGCTAACGTCATGACGGTGCGAAAGTTTGCGCTATGAGGTACTTTTTAACAGCTGTAATGAGACTGGCTGACTTCAATATAACCTTACAGCAACGACAAACACTACGTATTTCCGAGAATTGGGGAGATTGTTTCACGTTGATGCCTCAGGCCACAACATAAGTCAGCAAGAAAAATCTAGGGCACCGCTAATCCCATTGTAGACTAGCGCCAGTCCACACCCACAAGCGGAGAAATTCACGGCCCTCGACATTTTCTTTTCTCAAGCATTCAGCGCAGAGCCATACCATAAGAATTTCAACTTCTTTTGGAAGACTGTAGCAATCATGTCCAAGATCACAGTCGGTACGTTTCGCCTTATACTATCACCTGCATGATCTTACCACTAACTGCTCTTGTCTCTTACAGCCGGAGTGCGCCAGAATGTCGAGAACCTTCTCAACTACTCTCTCAATGAGAAGAAGCGTAACTTCAACGAGACCGTTGAGCTTCAGATCGGCCTGAAGAACTACGATCCCCAGCGTGATAAGCGTTTCTCTGGCACCATCAAGCTGCCTACCGTCCCCCGCCCCAACATGGCCATCTGGTGCGTTTCTCGACAACCCCTCCCGCGGCGCAAAGTTTTTACATTCGTACACGATGCTCAGCCGCGAAGGAAACCTACACATGAAGTGAACACAGAAGCTAACGGACGAAATCTATAGTATTCTTGGTGACCAGCACGATCTTGACCGTGCTAAGCACCACGGTATCGATGCCATGTCCGTTGACGATCTCAAGAAGCTCAACAAGAACAAGAAGCTCATCAAGAAGCTTGCTCGCAAGTACGATGCCTTCCTTGCTTCCGAGGGTCTGATCAAGCAGATTCCCCGTCTCCTCGGTCCCGGTCTCTCCAAGGCCGGAAAGTTCCCTACCCCCGTTTCCCACGCTGAGGACATGGCCGCCAAGGTCACCGACGTCAAGTCCACCATCAAGTTCCAGCTTAAGAAGGTTCTGTGCCTCGGTGTTGCCATCGGTAACGTCGAGATGGAGAAGGAGGCCCTTGTTGCCAACCTCATGCTCGCCATCAACTACCTTGTCTCCCTCCTCAAGAAGGGCTGGCAGAACGTTGGCAGTCTTGTCATCAAGGCTTCCATGTCTCCTCCCCACCGTGTCTACTAGATTATCTGTCGCTTAACTGCGCCGGTGTATTCTAGTTTGAGTCTGAGAACTGGGTTTATGTAGTCTCACGACTGAAAAAAAAATATGAAGCTCATGATCGGTCTCAATTTCTATCTCAATATCGTAATTCTCCTTAGATATGATGTAGCTGTAAAAAAAAAAAAGAGTTGGATAATTTACATTGCTCATGTGGCGGCAAATAAGAGATCTATAATACACATGCAGGGAATCAATTTACTCCATGCCTGCCATCAATTCGGTCTTATCCAGAATCATACCCCGCATGCCAATGAACTCACGAAGACTTGCCCACTCTTCACCAACCTCCTCACCTCTCATATAAGGATCCTTGAAACCCCACGCGCAAGCAACTCTATCCATGGCAGCACGCTCTTCCTCGCGCAACCACCGTTGTCGCAGAGGGATGCCAGGAATCCAGACCACACGCTCCATCTGATCGTTAGCCGTGGTGATAGCCAATATACCCATGGAGGATGTACCGCCGACATAAGCCAGCGTAGCAGCGAATGCAATACCAGTCGCTACGTTCGGATCCGTGGTGTTTTGGAATGTTGCAGCCCATGATGCAAGAGCATAACAAGCAGCCGGTGCAGCCGCAATACCAACTAGAGGGACGCCGGCTTTCTTGAAGATCTTCGCGCGGTGGAAAGCGGGGGCGCAGAAAGTGTTGTCGATGATGGCTAGCACGAGCGAAAGGTTTTTCTGTGCAATGGCGACCCCAAGAGCCTTGTTAGCCAACTCCGCCGGAACGGCGCTGTTGATACTCTTGGGATTGGCCTTCAGCAACTTCACTGGAGAGCTGCCTTCTTCTGGGACAGGCTTGTAGGCGTAAAGGTGGAAGATCTCGGGGAAGTGCTCGGCTCGTCGTAGCATAGTCAGGGTCTCGGTGCAAGATTGCAGAGCTTCGGGCGAAATGAAGACCTTCTCGTCCTTCAAAAGTTCAATGGCAATTCCTGCGACTGAATCTGCCAGTCGGGCGTCCGGGTGTTGTGAGGACTGTGCTTTGCCTTTGTTCTTCGCGGCAGTTTGCTTCTCTTCCAGGTCCAGTAAAGAAGAGATCGCGCTGCCCTCGCCCTTTGAGGGCCCCTCGCTTTGATCCCGTTCTTGCGAGACAAGGGACTCCGCAACTCGCTGGCATCTTTGTAGCAAATCTACTACTACTTCATTGGAGGCCGCCGCGTTCGATTGATGCACGGCAGACGCATCCCGCGCAATCTCTTTGATTGCAGCCTCCGGGCTTATCTTTGTTGTTGTAGCGGATGCATACCGGCGGGTGGGAAGTAGAGGAGAGCACAATTCTAATCTATTGGTTTGCTTTGAGGGCTGTAGACGGAGGTTCGAGGCCGCAGGTCGAGTGCTGGGTATACGCGCGATAGGGAGACCATGACGGGGCGCTGAAGTCGAGAATTGACATAATCGACAGATCGAGCCCTGGGGCCGGGAGACTCTGTTGGCTGTAAGAACAACTCTTTTCATGGCTTTGGTGGTGAGTGACGTTGGAAGGCAGCTGTATTTTTTTTCGATGGGAGGCTCCAGGCGGAGACTTCGCCCCGGCGCTGTCCACTTCCCCGTACTCGCACCCTGACGTCTTCTCACTTATCTGCCTAACAACTCCATTTTCCCTTCATTCAAGGAACAAGTCTCCTCGCTCTGACTATTTTCTGAGCTATATGCAATATTCTGCCTGATAGTATCATTATCTGATTCCTAACTATGCCACCACCACCTCCTCCCCCGCCGCCGCCGCCGGGAGGTTTGGGCGGTCCTCCCCCACCGCCCCCTCCAGGTAGCCTCCCAGGAAGACCTCCTAAAGCACAGGTTAAGGACCGGGTAAGTTTATAAAATGCTTCAGTTTCATTGACGCAAGCATCTTGTCGCCCAAGGAATTCGGTAGCTAACTCATAGATAGGGCGCTCTTCTTTCCGATATCCATAAGGGCACGAAGTTGAAGAAGGCTGTTACCAATGACCGGTCAGCACCTATAGTGGGAGGCTCAGGAGGTGTCTCATCAGCTCCTCCTATCGCGGGTGCGCCACCTGTTCCTGGCGCGAGACCGCCTCCAAGCGGGCTCGCACCGCCTGTACCATCCGGCCCAGCCGCGAATCGATTACGAAGTAACAGCGAGGGAGTTTCTGGAACAGATGGGGCAGCTAGTGCAATGCCACCTCAATTAGGGGGTATTTTCGCTGGTGGAATCCCCAAGTTACGCAGTCGTGGAGGTGTCGATACAGGTGCCAGTCGAGACTCGCCATATATCTCTGATTCCGAAGGTGCACGTCGACCACCTGTTGCGCCAGCTCCCAAGCCTCCAACAGCTCCTAGGCCTCCTGGGGCCAGGCCACCTCCCCGTCCCTCATCAACCGATGCGCCGCCTGCACCACCGGTCAATCCTTTGGTTGCCGGCTTGAAGAAGCCTCCCCCAAGACCTGCTTCACGATCCTCATCTACAGTTCCAGCGCCAGCTACAAAGGCCCCTGAAGCGCCGCCTCCACGTGCGCCTCCTCCACCTCCAGCACCAGGCAAGCTTCCACCGCCGCCTACATCGAGAAGACCGTCCGCACCCCCGCCACCTCCCCCCTCAGCCCCTGCGGCCCGGGCACCTCCTCCCCCCGCCGGCTGCTTCCAGATCGACACCACCCCCTCCCCCATCGATAGCTCCACCATCAATTGCTGCACAAGCCGCTCGTTCCGCCTTGGGACATTCTTCACCTTCGGCACCTCCCCCACCACCCCCATCAGCTGCCCCGGGTGCTCCACCCCCGCCGCCTCCAACTTCACTTCCTGTAGCCCCGTCAAGCGAGCCGCCATCCCGACTACCCCCTGTTTCCTCCCGCCCTGTCTCTCATGAACCATTTGCAGCGCTGGACCCTAGCGCTTATACACTTTCTAATGGTGGATCGCCTGCACCAAGCTCACGAGCCCCTATAACACATGGACGTGGCCCAGTGCAGATAGAAGATGTGCGATTCAAATTCCAAAGCGAGGGGCTGCTCCCTAAACCACGGCCATTTGTCGGTGGGGAGCGCCGATACCGTGCTGGAAGGGGCAGCAGTGTCCCTTTAGATCTGAGTGCTCTGCGAGGCTGATTCGAGTGCATGGGAAATTGCGGGCGATATCGTGCACACATAGTGAATTGCTATACATAAATCCTTACTAGAGTCATCTATGTAGATCATTGTCACTGTATCGAAATTTGTACCACAACACCTGTCTTTTGTGACTTAGTAAACTTGTTCATCTTTCGTCAAACAGTATAAAATGATGTGGTATCCACTTTTCATGAGCTTCCCGCACGTGATCGAATCGGGGATGTCAATCGTCCATCGTGGAAAACGACCATGAAGCACCGAGTCACGCGCTGCCCCAATCTATTCGGTAGTAATCGAGCTTCACGACTTGCGTCTTCCAAAATTCTATTTTTATCATCCAGGAGGGTTCTCGGACACTTCACTTGAGATTCGAAAAACGGCACAGACCCGCTCCATTGCAACCACCTTACATTGAATTGGCCTTGGACTTTGAACGAAGCTTCTACGACTTTAATTCTGTGTCGACGAGCTTGAGGGTTTTTGGCAAGCCAACATTACCGCGTTACGACCAATCACCACCACTTCGGCTCTTTTACCTCGGCGAACACTTTTTGCGCGAAGTGACGAACTCCGAAGGGAACGTAGATCTACGAACCCTCTCCTGCACACGCAAAGCAAGAGACATACTCCAAGCCTACTGATAGAACCACCTGGCTTGAGACACAGCTCTATCTTGACTCAACGGTGCACCCACCTGTACCCGATCAACCGCAAATTGAGATACCCTTGTACTTTGTCCAACCGTCGCTTCCCCATCCAACATGTCTCTCCACTTTTACGTCAATAGTGAGTTTTGCAATTAGCTCAGATGCTTATGCTCTCACATAGACCAATCACTGACCAGCCTGGGTCAAACAGAAAAAGTCCTCATCCTCACAGTCGACGGCCGCACACTCATCGGCGACCTTCTGTCAACCGACCAAACGACCAATCTGGTCCTCGCTAATACCGTTGAACGCATCATCCGTACCCCAGACGACGACGAGCCCTCAACCGAGATTGAACATGGGCTGTACTTGATCCGCGGTGACAATGTCGTGGTGTGCGGTGAAATAGACGAAAAAATGGACGGAGACATTGACTGGTCCAAGGTGAAAGGCGAGGTAATCCGAGACACGAAGAATGCATGAGCAAATTTCTCACGGTGCTATTTTCCATTATCATTTTCTGGGCGTTTTGGGTAACCCATTTGCATGCAATACAACGATTCAGCAAGCCGGTGAATGCTGGGGTTCTGCCCGCGTTGCATGGCCCTTTGACTATTGAACTCGCTGTCGCGGGCTTGGCCCTTGGCCCCTATAACGATACGAAGATATGCTAGGTTTTGCATGTCCACCATGTTTTGATTATTTTCCGTTGCCAACCTTCTTCGATCTCCCAGCTATCGATGATTTGCCGACATCGTGTGCAATGATGCAATGGCCACAGCAAGTTACATCAAGGATGGGGCTACACAAGGGGATTTGCCATCAACTCGGCATTCTTGCCCTTCGAGTGACTTTGCGGGGGGCCAAGAGCACACAGACAATGGGCACAAAGACAGTGAATTTACAGGGGCTGGATTCTACTCAAGTTCCCAGATGTCGCCCCTCCGTTCCAGAGGAATGTGATTTTACAGTACGGTTCGATAAGACGTGAATTACCATTCTAATTTTCCTTACATTCCTTTTTGAAAAAGGAGTAATCTCCTGCCGTTTGCAGCCACATTCCTTTTCGACTCTCCACGCGGGAAGATGCCAAGGCTACTATGTACGGTGTATGGAGTACGTACGTAGAATACTACGTAGATCAAAGAAGCAAGTCCCTCAAGACAAAGAGGTCATCTGTAGAGGAATAGGCAGTCATGTTACATACTCCGGACATCCTTGAGTCGGATGTGGTTGTACTCCGTACGGAGCACATATACTCCATCTCAGGCCCCTGTCGGGCCTTGGCGCAGCAAGTTAGGAGACTGTGGCATGAGGTGTACAAGTATAAGATTTAGAAAGAAGTCGGTGAATCGTAGACTTTATATCTTTCCATATCTTTGTACCCAGTTTAGGCCGCAAACAGTAAAAAATCAAAAAGAATACTAAAGGCGAAACACCAAGGCAGAAACTACCGACGCCCCCCTCAGACCTCCCCTAATTGCCATCTCAACCTCTCACCTCCCCTTTCTTACTCTTCCCTTTACCCAACTATTTTTTACCCTCACTTTGTCTAAAGATCGCTGGGCGATCTCCAATTCCTACGTCTCCCCTATATCCCGCCCGTTTCCGCAGTTTCTTCCCCCTATCCGCTCAGCCCTTCATGTGTCCGATAGTATCACTACAACACAACAAGCGAATACCGGGTCAATTCAAACAGATTTCCCGGGCTGATAGCCCGTCTTGAACGACGGTTTACCACCCAAGCAGTCCAGTCCAATAAACCAACCGATATCCCCTCACATCCCCCCGCGTCAGCCATGTGGCTCTATCGAGGCGCGCAGTCCGCAGTCTTTTACTATGCCAGTTGCACCCCCTGCGCTGAAAATGTCGATCGTCGGAAACGTAGAAAGGATGCTGCCCGGGTCCAGCGAGAGAAGGAGAAGGAGCGACGCAACAACGAGATCGTCACCGACCAACCCCGTCCATTTGCACAACCAACCCCTTTCAGTACCAATGTAGGGTGGCGGGAGGAAATATCCCTAGGCCCTGGCCCCCCAGCCCGTCGGGGTGGCCATCGCAACGTTCAACGAACGGATAGTTGGAATACCAACCAGAGCTCGCAACTCAAGAAAGACAAGAGTGGTGGCCTGATGCAACCACTCGGCGAGAAGTGGAAGTCGATGCGGTACCAACGGGAAGATGAGCCTCTTTGGGGACAACAAGAAGTTCGCGGATCGTCGATTGGGTTCTCTGGACGCGGTCGTGCAGACCCGAATGAATCCTCCAAGTACTACATCCCCCGTGTGCCGCCTGTGAACGACCTCCACCCGCCCATTGTTAGTGGACCTTGTAGCCGTGCCGATACCAGATGGATGCTCCAGCCGCCACCAAGTGCCCGAGTGATGGCTGGTAAAGCAGACGTCACTTCGCCGACGGCAGCACGCTCTGGACTTGGCAACGTATCCTGGGCCCCCAAGAACGTGGTCAGGGAGGAGCCTGAAACAATCACCGAGACCGGCGACGACGCTGTCGATGACACCACACAGAACCATCGACCTCGGCGACCATCGTTGGCTCGACTTCGTATCGAATCCGATGGGCCGGCTCCAGAATTGCACTCTCGGACTGACTCCATGTTCTCCACCACCACCTCCAACTCCGATCTCTCACAGAGTCTATCATGGAAATACCCCGACACCCCGGCATCCCGCCCTCAATCAAAAGCCACAGATGACGTTGACAAATTCTACCGCCCAAATATCTCAAAGACTCTCTCCACAGTGCATCGGGACAACAAGAAGGTTCACATGCTACACCTGGAGATCAACGATGACAACCACAATGAGATCGGCCTAGGTGAATTCCAGCCCATCCGCCCATGGCGTTGGAGCATGGACATATAAAAGCTTTTCGAAAAGTCCCACCCCTCATCCTCCAAACCCCCTTATCCTCCTTCCATTCATCTTCCCTAGGTATCGGGTATACGGCGTTAGCATCAAGACCAGCCTGCATTTGCTTTTTTATCTCTTATTTCTTCTCAGTTCCCTGAGACCCTACGTTTGCAAAGTGATGCTTGATCTTCAACGCAAACACCTCATTTTCGGGACGTCAGATCCCATATAGGCATGCACCTGGCTGGTCCGGTATATAAAAGCGAGATGCCTCACATCGCCTACAGTTCCTCCGTTGCTTCAACCCAACGGTAAGAGAACAGACGAGTCCACCATGATAGCACTCCTTCCTATCATTCTACAATCCTTTTTTCTTTTTTGTCTCTTATTTGTTTCCAGCATTCTCGTGGCCCTCCCGACACCTCCTTTTTCTACTCTTCTGCTCTCCTTCAATTCCTAGATCTTATATCTTTCTTGTACCATAATCACTCCCCCTCTGCTTTGGGTTACCAGTACATAGCGTTTCGACCAACAATGAATTATTTTTTTTTTTCCTTTTTGGGTCTTCACCAGTTTAGATGAATATTGTAGAGTGGAATTAGATCAAAGGCTTTCAACTCAGTAGTCTTTACACATGTAATACCAACAGCTGCTGTCATTGATCCAGAGTTGGGGTGTGGTTTTCTCTTTATATATTTGAGCACGCACTGTCCAAGTTGTACAAAATATCATGCGCAACATGACTAGAAGGACAGTGGCAGACATTTTTAGGATGACCTGGTGTACGCGGTGGAAAATTTGTTTAGGTCTGGTCTGGTGGGAGCATATATGTCAACAAAGGATAGGTCGTCGTTGAAGATGACTAGACATGTAGATTCCCAAGTTCAAGCCAATAGATCTCCTATACAGTAGCCTATAATACAAGCCAAGGTGCACTCGCAATACTTCTTCAGCATGTATAAGCGTATCTAAATGATGTAGGCTTGAACAATGGGCAAAACATGATAATATAGAGGGGTAGCTTTGGAGTTGAGCTAATTCCTTCTAGCTACCCTAACTCCTTGAATGTAATCCTTCAGGTTTACTATTATTGTATGCCGAAGGCGAAGAGTCATGCAGATATGCGACGCATCTAGCGTTAGATTTCCGATTCAACCCGTCTTCGTGATAAATGCAATTCAAATGCATATCAAAAATACCGTATGCAAAGGGCATGTCTTTTTGATCTCGATGAAACAAGAGACCAGGACGCAAAAGTTTAGCTCAAAAACAAAGACGCAAGAAAGAGATCGTTGGATCTCCTCTGCGTTTCAAAATTATCCCAAATGCAAAAAACGCCCAACCCGGCCACGCATAGCCTCTGTAAACCAGTCAAGAATCCAAAGGAGCCCATTTTCAAATGCTCGGAGCCCGCGGAGCACCAGCTAGGCCACCCCTTGTTCTTTCCTGTCCCTCTTCATTGTGTTTGCTAGATGAATGTAGGTGCCCGGGAGATATATAGAGAGAAAGAAAATCGCTATTCGATATTCTTCTGCTCTAGTAGACCTTCTTCTTCTCGTCCATGCTCAATTGGCCGGGGCCCATGTTGACGAGTAGGACCAAACCACCACTTTAGAAGGTGTTAGCGCCGAGAATATATCACTACCGGGGAGAGGGAACATACACAATCGACAAGATTTGGAAGAAGTCGTACTTGGCAAAGTCCTTTTGCGGGTGGTGGGCATGAAGCTAGACAGAGATGTCAGTAACCGAAGATGCATAGGATTTCCCAGTAAACATACCGTCCAGAAGTTGTTCACAAACACGTTGAACAAGCTCAGCAGGACCACCAGAATGATAGCGCTCCACTTAGCCTTGAAGCCAACAATGACCATGACACAAGCGACAAGACCGAAGAAGCTAACCAGAATGCGCCAGAAGCCCCAATCGCCGGAGAACACGAATCCAACGAAGAGGAAGATCAGCAATACCCGGCCAGCGAACTGGACGTACATCTTGCGGTCCTTTTCATCAAGCTGGGGCAGACCGGCGGGAACGAACTTCTTGCGCACCCACGAATCGGACAGGACCATAAGCAGACCACCCACAACACTCAGATTGCGAAGGAAGAAGTTCAAGTCGAAAATAAGACCGTATCCGAGACCCTGTGTGATTACGACGGCGAGCAATCCAGCGACGGCGAACTCGGTGCGTTTGCGGGCGATGACCAGAGTCGAACACACGGCCATGGCGATGACATTAACGATAAGGAACATGTGTGTGATTCCCCAAGGAACTAAAGCCACCCAGAAAAGCGCGTTAGATAGCGTTACAGAGGTAGTGTCGGACCCTCGACCCTAGATCTTGCAGATCAGGGTCCATGAGCAAGGGTATTATCTTACTCTTGCGGAAATCACGGAGGTAAAGGAGCTGATCATTCCATTGTGTGAGGATGCGCAGCGAGTCTTCAATAAAGGTCACTACGATCAAGAATCGGCCGATGGCAGGAAGGTAGCTAGAGAGCGAAAGTGTTAGTCCATGCCTCGAATCCCTTGTTTCGAGCTCTCTCGCGACTCGAACCATAACATGGGTGGATGAAGAAATTCAAAACAAAGAGCGGAGCTGAAACGTACGGCTTCACTGGATCAGCCAAGGTATCTAGCCAGTCCTCGATCTTGCTTGTCTGCTCGCGGATCGCGTCCAGTGGACTAGGGTCGCTGGTGGCATCTGCGCTACCGGGCCCGCCAAATGGGTTTTGGTGGCCGAGGTTGTAGCCCGCAGTGCCGCGAATTTGGGCCATAGCGGAAGAATAAAACAAAAAAGAGATTGAGAAGAGAAAGTTGGAGTTGAGAGACAGGTTGGGGAAGAAGAAGCCAGGAGCAAATACCAAGTATACAAAGCCAACTTCAGGCCACGATAACCGGAACTGGCCGCTAAACCGCATTTGGAATCGTGACGACACAGACTCGACCCATGATGATCTACGGAGTATATACTGAATACGCTGAAGAAATTTCAAGCTCTACATTCCTGTTTATTTTTGTTTTAGGTTGGTTATGGTTTCATTGCAATACAGATTTTGCCATAGAAAAAAAAAAGAACTTGCAACACAGCATCAGATCCATTCCCGCAATTCTGCTTTTGTTCCCGCAGTGCAGTTCTTCCTCCTTGCACAACTTGCAAGGGGAACCTACCAATTCCGCTCCTAATGCGTTGTGGCAATCTCCCAAGCCCCCATTGTTAGTGAAGGGAGGGAGAGTGCTCGAATGATGTGACACCCCCAGAACGCCCAAAAAAACAAACAAACAAAAAACAAAACACAAAAGGGTAATAAATACAATTCAAGATGAAGACATCGGAGAGAATCAGAGAGAGAAAAGGCTTCAGATAGAGGAAATTATTCACGCAGCCCAGTCAGAGTCCAGGGGGTGGCCCTTCTCACGAGAGCGAAGGATGTCAGGGAGGTAGGTTGGGGTCACTGTCACGCGAGGCTCAACGGGGGCAGGAGCGACAGTGGTGGACTGGTTCTCCGAAGCACTGGTCTCACTGACACTTTCGTCAGTCTTGCCGCCCTTCTTCTTGATCTGCTTCTTGGAAACGGTGGTCCATTCGTCATCGCCCTTGGAAGCTCCCAAGAGGCGCATCTGCTCCTCCTCAGAGGGAAGGTTCTGGGCCCACTTGGTAGGAGCAGGGGCAGCGGGGGACTCAAAGGTGTCCAGAAGGGTCTGAGAGGAAGTGGCAGGGGCGGCGGGAGCGGGACGGGATCCGTTGACCACGTTGGTCTTCGTTGGAGCAGTCTCCTTAGTCTGCCAAGCGTTGGCAGCAGGTGCGGTCGACCGGGCAGCCTCGCGGCGCTCAGACTCACGAGCGGTGTGCAGCTGCTTCTCAAGCAACTTCTTACGTTCGATCTCGGCCTCCTGAACCTGCTGCTTGCGGGCCTCGTTCTTGAGACGCTGCTGGCGCTGCTTCTTGGTTTCCACCTCCTTGAAGGTCTGGGCCTTCTGCTTCTTGGGCTGGTTCTCAACATTGCCAGTAACACGGAGCACAGATGCACCGGGAGCGGGGGCCTCCAGCATATCGGAAACATATCCGGCCGAGGGGACAGTGGCGTTCACGGAGGGGGAGGCGGCGGGAGACAGATCATCGTCAGCCTCGGCGCCAGTGGTCGAGGAGGCACGGGTGTCGCTAGCCTGGAGCTGGGTAGCCTTCTTCTTGTTCTTCTTCTGGCTCTTGGTAGGAGCGGGCTTGGTAGGAGCGGGTTGAGCTGGGGCGTTGGTCTTGAGACCGGCCATGCGGCGGGCCAGCTCCTTGCGGTCAATTTCCTCGTCTGGCTTCTCATCCTCAGTGGTGGGGGGCGACACGACGGTCTTGACCTCGGACTTTTTGACAGCTGGCTCGGGAGCGGGCTTAGACTTGCGTTTTGACTTCTTGGGTGCTACAGTGGCCTCGGTTTTCTCCACGGCAGCTCGAATCACGTTGGCCTTGGGGGTTGTGCCATTGGTGTAGTACCAGCCGAGGCCACCTGCCACGACGAGCAAAATTGCCCAGCTAATGTAAGGGTTCATGGTCATGGAGCTGTGCACTCATAAGTCAGTACCATCACTGTTGCCAAGATGGTTGGAAGCCTAGAACTTACTCTCCGATTGAAACCTAAGTAGGTGGAGGATGGGGTTTAGGCGATAGGGGAGGCGGGATCAAATTTGCCGGATGAGAGGGTAGGACAATTGCGCACGCGCACTCTGAGATTGACAGGCGCACTGAGAGCCGAGACGATTGCGCTCAGCTACGGGAAGCTTTTTGTATTCAGTAGGGAAGGTCTCGAGATTCCAAGGCGGTCAATTGACCGGAGCGCGCGAGGTGATATCGCGGATAGGAGTAGTAGGAATAGCGCAATGGCGCAGAAGAGATAAACAAAAGAAGTCGAAATGAGTAGAAGATGAGAAAGGAGGAAGAGAGGGAGTAGAGAGAGGAAAGGGCAACCGTGGCAGATCCACTTGTACTGTGACCGTAATGGTAAGTTACCAAGCCCTTGGCTTTTGGGAGTTATTGCACACTTCTGTACGGAGTATCTGACAGATTGTATGTCTACCTTGACACCTTTGTTTATCTGTCTCATGTTCTTGATTAATCTCAAGACTGAGCTTCTCTATGTATATCATCTTGGTACTGGCTGAAGAATGCGACCGGCGATCAGCCCAGGTGAGCACTGACTGCACACTGTCATCTATTTACATGTATTCAATATACGGAGTACCTGGGGAACAGTTGGCCAATCTCCAAGCTGATAGTTCCATATGAGATAACTTGAAGTGAACAGGCCACGTCTCCGCCTATCTGTTCTCTCCGCTTTTTGCGCTTTCAACCGATTTATATCTTACTAGCGTGTTCTAGGTCGTTAAAGGATCTCCTGAGTTGTTTGCATAAATCGATTTTCCCGGCAAACCGGGACGCTTGAAGATTGCCGATCCGACAGGGGGATTTATCTCTCTTTCAACATTCTCTTACCTCCTTATAGGGGCTCGCCCACGAGGAAAAGAGTCATGTATTCATACGAGGACAACCTGGTCCAATTGGTGCTCTGAGTTGACGTGTGTGAAGCATACTGTGTCTTAGCTAGTCTCCGACACTTGCAGTATGCAGTGGAAAGAAGGGGTCGGGATTGGTTCGCCGGTCATGCACTCCTGAAAGCGCCATCCGAATATGTCTTTTATATATCCGACTAGTTTCTAATGTTGCACACTTTCGTGTCATACTAGCTATACTGTACTCCTTTAATCCCTCTTTGCTCCCATTTTTACCCTCCGTTCTACTCTCTTTCCAAGTTTGTCCGCGCTACGGAGTATACGAGAGCTTTCTCCCAAAATCTGACCGGCTGACTCAGTAAAGACCTAAGAGCCTTGGAAGCCATTGTGACCGATTCTCATAGGCACTCTATTAATTTCAATGGTATAGATTTTACCTCCTTATATGTAGTCATCCGAAGAATCTAATATGCCCACTACTAGGGTGTTGGGTCAAGTAAATACAAAACCCCTATAAAATGCATGTGATTGAGATGCATATTTGAACGACATCTGATCTCAAAATCTGAATGCAAATGGTTCAAGGACCCATGATTTTGCGTCCAGCAAATCTTCATTCGATGATAGGAATGTCTAATATTGAACCACCATAGAAGACTGGAAAGCTTTTTAAGAATAGAATTTTCACTCTTCCCAACTACGTTGCTATGGCTTTCAAAACCCTCGAAAGGTCCAAATCTACGACTACAGAAATCTTCTATTAGAAAAGAAATGCTCCGAAGAAAATCTGTAAAATAAGTGAAAGAAAGTTATCTATCAAGAGGACTTGATATGGTGGGAGTAAACAATCGAGATATTGGGTCCATTGACACCCCTAAGCCCTAGCAAATTAACGATGGACCCCGAATTTGCTTAGTCTCTATAGAAACTGGAAGCATGAGCGTGCGCAACGAGTAAAATCGCTGTCAGAACTGTCCTCAGCTTGCCCTTTGGAAGTAGCAGCGGCAGCTGCACTCTTGCTGCCAGCCACCTTAGAAGCCGAGCTAGAGTCTGACTCACCGGTCCAGACCTCTGGACCAGGCATTGGATAATCCTTGTAGCCATTCCAGATACTGAAGTTGAACGAAGGGTCGTCTTTCTTGTAAGCACCGGGGAATTTGACCGTAGGTCCAGGGGTTCCATTGCCACCACCGACAACCTTGACTTGAGCACAGCTAGATACTCTGTCAGTATTCACTGAAAAAAGAACAGTAATAGGATACAAGTGAGCAAGCTAGACTTACGAATTGTAAAATTCGGCTTGCCCACCGGCGGCACCGTGTACGCCTGTTCCGGATATTAGCACCCTTCACCTATACTAGTGATATAACAGACATACCAATGTGCTCCGGCCGAATCAGATACTCCCCGTCAGGAAGAATCGCAGGAATTGTGAACTCAATACGATCCTTGTCCCAAGTGCACCAGGCATCCTTAGTAAAGTCCTTGTTCTTGTCGCAGACGCTTTCTTGGTGAATCTTGAACCACTCGCCATCACCTTCGTATTCCTTGGCGGTGGTAGGAGCCTTCGACATGTAGACGAGAGCAGGACCAGGGTGCTGCATTCTAGCACCAACAGCAAGCTTCATGGCGACCTTGGACCCGGCCTTGACCTCCGCAGTACCGGTTTGGCCAGCGAAGCTAAAAGCGCCCTTGTTGCAGCGGAAGTCAGGCATGTCGGGGGTCATATCGTCGCGGGTGTTGACCCATTTAGTTGGGTTGTACTTCGCGGGACGAGTATTAGACCGGACATACTCAGAAGCTTCCTTGCCGTCAATGATGATTGTGTCGAAGAAGTAATGGGCTGAGACCATAGGCGCAATGGCTGTGAGGGCCACAAGGAAAAACTTCATTTTGAAATGAATGAAAGAATCGACTGGCTTTTGTAGAGAACGAATCGAGGGACCAGCCCAAAGAAAGAAAATATACTAGGATAGAAATGAACGGACGAAGCTGCTCAGGATGAATGTGCTACAGCCATCGTTGAGGGAGATATGTCGTCCTTATATACTCTAATGCGTGAAGACTTTACATAACACATTCATCATGGCCCCTAGTCATTGCATGAGACCGAAGTATTCCTTATTATTTTGAAACAAGAGGATTGAGCTGGGCCGCTTGGACTAATTTAGTCAGAGATGACAGAGGCATAAATATGGACCAGGACGGAGATACATGAAACGCGGCTTAAATTTACCTTGGTGAAGGCTACATGCGAAGCCCTGGCATCTGGCATGTATTTTTCTACGACAAGGCTGCCGTCGTAAAGGCTAGCTGGTCAGCCTTGACATGATCTGTCTTGGGACAAAGAGGCCTTGTAGGAAGGAAGGTCTGGTTGGAGCCTAAATAGGATCTCGAGCGGAGCAGGATTTAGGCAAGCATGTGGTACTCGATGAGAGTGCGAGATTGCAAAAGAGACATGGATTTCGGTAGAAAAGTTGGTCCCACATGCCGATGAAGGCTTGGCATGTCAGTGTCTTACTTTATTTAACGAGGCAGGAAGCGATATGATCGGCGGATGGAATATAGTACGTCTTGGCGCAGTCATCTAGGCTTTGGGTCACCTAGCTTGTTACAAAATGTTCCAGAATTTAGCCTGGTCAGAAACAAGGAGTATAAGGAGGCTTGCCTTGGGCTATTTATCCAAAACGCTTGGTCCGATGCTTGGCCACATCTGCTCCAATGTGATATACACATACATCAAGCGGGGGTGACCTCGGGACTTGGACCCTGAATACTACCTGCCTCCCATTTTGGCAATTCTCCGGTTGAAGAAACAGGGGAGACGCTTCTCGCGTCTTGGCTTTCTCTCTACTCCGTAGAATCCCAACCTGTGACGTTCATTGCCAGTTGCTGTGCGGCATTTACCCGGCAGTTGTGTGAACAGTATCATAGCCGTGCCAAACTAGACACGGGTCGTGGAAAAGCTCGAATTTTGACGATCCCAAGGTCGTACTGGCAGCTTGATCATCGAACTCCAAGAGGATGGATATATAAAGCCATGGCGTTGGCGGGAATCTCACATCACTTTACTCTTCTTCGACTAGTCCTGAGTATTGAAGCAACTTTCCGAGCTTAGACTTGATCAAAATTTTCTCGTCTGTGATATCTCAGTATTTTGTTACCTCAATATGATGATCCTATCTGCCCTTGTAGCCTTTGGGCTCCTATCCTCGGTCGACGCTGCCGCATCATCAGGCTGTGGCAAACAACCTACTCTCGCCAGCGGAGTCCATGATATCAATGGACGACAGTACATCCTGAAAGTGCCCGACAATTACGACTCAAACAAACCACATCATCTCGTCTTCGGCTTGCACTGGCGAGGTGGAAACATGTACTCTGTCGCCAACGGCGACGGCATTCAACCCTGGTACGGTCTCGAAAGCCGAGCGCAGGGAAGCGCAATCCTGGTATCTCCCAACGGCAAGAACGCTGGCTGGGGCAACACCAATGGCGAAGATGTGGCTCTCATTGACGCCATTATCAAGCAAGTTGAGGGTGACCTCTGTGTGGATTCGAGCTCTCGCTTCGCGACGGGCTTCAGCTGGGGCGGTGGGATGAGTTATGCACTTGCTTGCTCACGAGCAAAGGAGTTCAAGGCCGTCAGTGTATTGAGTGGTGGTGTGATTAGTGGATGTGAAGGCGGCTACGACCCTATTGCTTACTTGGGTATTCATGGGATCAATGATCCAGTATTGCCATTTGATGGGGGTGTGGCTCTGGCGAATAAGTTTGTTGGGAACAACAAGTGCCAGCCAACAAACATCGGTAAACCTGCGTCTGGCAGTCGCGGCTCTGTTCGATCGGACTTCCATGGCTGCTCCAAACCAGTTTCGTTTATAGCTTATGATGGAGGGCATGACGGTGCGCCCCTTGGTGTTGGTAACTCTCTGGCCCCTGATGCGACCTGGAAATTCTTCATGGCGGCTTGAAGTTTCGCTTAGTACTTGATAGTGGTCATAGTCGAAGGACTTTCACTATTTTTTTTTCCTGGCGATTTGGTCATCGCCCATGTGATTTATCAAGAGAGCTTTGAGACTCTGTTTTCGCCATGGCTCAAGCACGTTCCAGTAACAATCCAGTGATTATTTTCATCCAGTGGCCCATATCTCTTGTTGGTAGATAAAGATTTCTTCCAAGCTTACCAAATTGCAAATTAATCTGCCATCTGGTGGGGCATGAGGCTCGGGTTGATAACGGCCGGCCCCGGGGGGTTGTTGGGTTGGCAGTCCGGGGGGCCGTCGGTTACCGGGATTGTAATCCCAAGCGTCGTACTGTCATTCTTTTCCCTGAAGATATAAAATCGCTTAGGATCGGACTGCAATATAATGATTAGTTTATTAGTGAAATGTCCTAGCTGAGAAGTGCCCAATACATTTTGCCTACGAGGGGTTTATAGCCAGACGAAACCCCCGCTGATAACATCGATAAGCTCCCACTTTCGTCCTTCCACATTTTGGTCAACATTCACCATGGCAAAGAAGATTATCATCGACACAGATCCGGTATGCTCATATCTTCTAAAAATAGCTTCAGAGCTGATTTATCACACAGGGTATCGACGATATCTATGCCCTTTTGCTGGCTCTGTCTGCCACCCCGGAGGAGGTAGAGGTCCTCCTCATCTCATTGACATTCGGTAACATCGAGATAGAGAGGTAAGGGATCGATCACATCCTTTGAGAAGGTTACACACTCTGACATAAGATATAGCTGCCTCCGCAATGCAGTGTCAATGTTCCATATTCTCGAGCGGGAGATGCAGTGGCGCCGCGAGAACGGCCGACCTGAAGGCTTTGGCAGCTTGAGAGCTTTCCGTCCTATATTGGCTGTCGGTGCAGAGGAACCCCTCGAAAGCCAGAAAATGCTCGCGGATTACTTCCGTATGTATTGCTCAATTATACCATAAATATCGCTTACTGATATTGTCGCAGATGGAACGGATGGACTTGGTGGTATTCACGCAACGGTATGTGATGCCCTGTGGCCTACAAAACAAGGGAACCATGCTGATATCTAAATAGCACCCACATCTCACTGCTAATAAGGCTTGGGTACACCTTTTCGCTAAAAGCCTGGATGGCGAGGGAATCAAGCCTGCGGAGGACTGCACAGGCCCCGACGACCACGCATTCACCCCATCTAAGCTGCCGGCACACAAGGAGATCCTCCGCGCACTCCGTGAAAATGAGCCAGACTCAGTGACCCTGGTAGCGGTGGGACCGCTCACTAATCTGGCTTTGGCTGCAGCAGAAGACCCAGAGACATTCCTTCGCGTGAAAGAGGTAGTCGTCATGGGCGGTGCTATCAACGAGCCAGGAAATGTGAGCCAGGCCTTTTCCAGATCTAAGAAACATCGAGACAGAACGACTGATATCATTCATAGGTGACACCAGTGGGCGAGTTCAACGCCTACGCAGATGCAGTGGCAGCCGCGCGTGTTTTCGCACTCACTTCGCCCAACCCGCACACAACAATCCCACCCACGAAGAGCGACAAACTCCCGCCCTACCCCCAAAATCTCAGCCGGCAACTGACCCTTCGTCTTTTCCCGCTGGACATCACCCTCCGCCACAACATATCACGGGGCCAGTTCCGGGAGGCCATCACACCTCTTCTGGCTGCTGGCTCCCCGCTCGCTGAGTGGGTGAATGCGTTTATGGGACACACATTCAGGACCTTGGAGCGTCTGCACCCTGGGCACGTTGGTGACGATGCTATGCTCAGTCTGCACGATCCCGTGTGCGTCTGGTATGCCTTGACGTCCGATGACCCCAAGTGGGTTTACTCGAAGAACTCACCAGAGGATATTCGAGTCGACACCTTGGGCCAGTGGACTCGCGGTATGTGCGTTGTCGACCGCCGTAACCGTCACCGCATCGAGGGTGAGGAGGAGAGCTCGAGTGACCATGGTCTCTGGCTGAGTGGCCGTGCTGGCAATCGCATCTGGCGGATGGATGGGTCACCTGTGGAGGATGACTTTGGCAAGGTCATCCTTGACAGGCTCTTCAAGTAATCTCGGTTTGATAATTAAAGGGAACACATTTGGTTGGCATAGACACACATGGTTGATGATTTCTATAGAGACTGAAATATGATTCCTTGTTTTGGGACCTGAGAATCGCAACCAATCAATCTCGGATATCCTCTGTTGTTGCTGACCAAGTAGCCTTCAGCCATAGCTGGGAGTTGGTCCATACTCCTGTCATATCAAGCCACACATAAGCCCCGTCCACTATAATGCGGGTTAAAGTCGAGTGTGACGTCAATTTTCTTCTCTCATCTCTACTCTGGAGTACAATTGGGCCAATGTCACGGTATAGCCTCCCGCTGGAATGTGCGGAGTATGCGGAGTATGCGAGGTGGCGACATGAGCTCGCCCAAGCCACGTAAAACATGCCCTTTAGGCACCACCCGAGCAAAGAATTGCAATCGATCACCCATGTACTCAGTAGTGCAAAAGACGATGCCCAAATACCTAAATTATCAGAAAGTTACTATCAAATCGTGAGACGAGGCGGATATCTCCAAAGGTATTCACAGGAATGTGGAATGCCGTAACCTGGAGATCAACCCTGGCACTTGCTACTATAGTCCTATCTAAACTGCCAATATGCAACACTGCACAATCCAGGAGGCCCTTCCCAAGCAGGTTGGGGCTTGACAGCCAGCCACCACATTATCGCAGCCGTCAAGCGGTTTCTATATAAACTAGTACGGTCCAGGGATCAGAGTCTCATAGCTATAGCAACTGATCTCAGCTTGAATCAATTCTCATTGAACATCTGCCCTTCAAAGCTTATTCTTATCCTCATTCACCAAGTCATTCTCCACATTTTGCCACCATGCAGCTCACAACCCTGTTTACTGTCTGCGTCGCTGCCCTGGCCAGCACCGCCGCTGCAATGCCCCGTCTTTCCGGGGCATACCACGGTGCCCGTCTCTCTGTCCGTGTCCCCACCAATGAAACTAGTTCCTACAACGCCACTACAACGGGTACACGGGGCAAGGCTCCCCTGTCAACAGGAACAGCTCATGGTAGTCGTGTGAATGTCAACCGTTGCCATGAGCTGTGCTCTTTGCAGTCTCAGACCTGCTCGATTGCTGTACCGGATGATGATAAGTTTTGGTGAGCTTTTGGAATCCAATCGATACTGTGACTTGGGCTAATGTACTGGTTTAGCTGGTCGGTTTACTTGCAATGCACGGAGAAGTGTCACCCCGAGAATTTTACTTGAATGGAATTGGATAAGGGCGATGTATAGAGAACAGAGACTGTCGAGTGTTATGGGCCATGTGCAACGAATGAAGGATCTTGTTTTTAAGAAGAAAGTAAATTGAGAGATTTGATTACGGTTTGTCGTTGTTTCTTGTGAATTGGCACCTGTAGATGCAAGTCAGAGTAGCTAACGTGAAACGGATAATGGGTTAGGTAGTTTTCTAGGGAGTAGCCTTAAAGCAATGTAATGAAGGATGCACCCGCACATGAAAGATCAGACAAGGGCTGTTGCCCCCTCAGATCGAATATTGACGCCAAGGATCACATAGTCAGGCTCACCCTGAAACACAAAGGGTTCTTAGTCCGTTTTCCATTCCACAAATTAACTATGACCCGAATCGGCAGCACGTGTCAGTCGAGAGGTCCACACCTGGGCAATCAATGCTGAAACCTGGGAAACTCAAGTAGCTGTAAGAAAACGCATCTCACCAGTCGGACTATACAACATAAGAGAATTTCGCAACACAACCTTGGAAGTATCAAGTCGAGATTGCACGTGCTGGACTACCTCAATGGTACTAAGTACCCGGTACAATGGGGTAACTCCTGTTTCTCCCTTTTGCCCCACTGTAGCGTAAGTACCCAGTACCTACCAATAAGCTATAAGCCCCACTGCCTAGATCCAGCAAATGCCCTTTCCTCCCTGAGGCACGGGTATCCACTCGACCAATCAGAATCCCTGATCATGACTCGTGGGCAGCACGCGACAGTATCTATGAGGACGTTCACGGTTATATAGTCTGCATCTTTTGCCGACAATCACACAATTTCCCCCTTTTTCACCATGTCACGACTTCCAACCCCAGCCATGTCGGGCGGCTTTATTATCAAAGACAAGCCCGACGGGGATGCCTTCACATTACCTCCCGCTGCATTGAGCGCTGGCAGTCGCAGATCTTCTCGATCAGATCCTTCCTATGTCCCGCCATCGCCCACCTCCCCAGAACTCTCGGATCGTACGAGTAGAACCGGACGAGCATCTATCAAACGCCCACTTGAGGATTTCGATTTGCCTCCGCCACCAACCAGAACCCGCAAGATCATCCAGATGAAACCAAAGTCGCCTTCAAAATCCCTCAAGAGGAAGGAAAATGACAAGAGTGCACAAGATACAGAGGATTCAATGCCCAACCCCACATCAACCTCGAAGCGAAAACAACCCAGTGCAACTAGTGCTGCAGGACGCAAGATCGCCCGCAAGACCGCACACAGTTTAATTGAGCGTCGACGACGATCCAAGATGAACGAGGAATTTGGAACATTAAAGGACATGATTCCAGCCTGCACTGGGCAGGAAATGCATAAGCTGGCCATTCTCCAGGTACGCACCAGTCGCATCTCGTTCGGGGTATCTACAATATACTGACTATCCCAACAAGGCAAGCATTGACTATGTCAATTACCTAGAGAAATGTATCCGCGACATGAAGGCTGGAGGAGCAACCCACAATACTATTGCTCCTGCCGCGCCACCCTCACCAACATCCCCCGAGTTCATCGCAGAAACAGGCATCGAGCCCATGCGGAGGGATAGTTCTGCTACTTATTCGTCATACGCCACCTCTGCATCGCCGGAGTTGCAAGCTGCTCCAGAATTTTCTGATACATCCCCGTCTTTCTCCCCGCGCACTCAAGTTTCCTCAGCCCAGATTCCACAGGACGCTTCATCTATTCTTCCTAGCCCGGCGCTGGGACCGATATGGGCCTCGAGTGAAAAGATGCATGAGTTTCAAGGTGTCGATCACGAGGCTTCGGCTGCCCTGCTTATGTTGACTCAGGACCGGAGAGGGACTGCTGATTCGATCAGTGAGAATTTCTCTGGGGGTACGGCATTGTCAGTGTCTGTGGAAGAGACCCCAGCTGTACCCCAGACTCAAAGGAGAAAGGGTATGAGTGTCCGTGATCTTCTGATTTCATAATCTTACAACCTGCTTGTTGGTTCTGTTTTGGGAAACTGGTGCCTCTTGATGCTTGTGGCAATGGGCGAGAGGCTGTGTTATTAGCGTTTTAGTTTAGCGTTCTTTTTATGATAGCGGCGGATTATTCCCTATTGGAGTATTTTGAGCTTGCCCGACTACGAGGGGTTTAGGGACCATCACGACCACCCGGCTGCTCGGCTAATGCCTCTATTCTGTGGTACTTCCTCTACTTTCTTACTTATCGTGAAAAATGATAACCCCTATAGATTGATATAATCTATATATAAATAGAATGGTGGAAGTAGACAGAATCATGTATAGTGTGCACATAGGCAAGAGGTGAATCGATAAAGGCCACCGTAAAGGAGTACCATGCACAAAATGCATGTCAGGGTTGGTGACTACGTGGTTATAAGGTGCTTTCATAATAAGAAAAAGCTGGCTACCTATCTGGAATTTTCAAGAAAACTTCTTTCTAATAGTTCTAGTGTTTTTTTTTTTTTTTTAAGTCTGCTTGGATATATTGTTGTATTTCTTTTGATCGAGACTTCTTCCCTTCCCTAGCGCTATATCCCCTTGAAAAACGAGAATAATTGATCCGCGCAAAGATTGGAGTTATATGCTATCATTGTTCTCGAGTTCTCAACACCGAAATAAGGTTTCGCCCCTATCGGATCGGCCGTTCATGAATGACCGAGCCCCGAACATCTGTGGTCCAACATCGCAGCTAACATCTTATACATCCTCGATCCGCGGAAGCTTCTCCATAGCTGCTAAGACAAGACCATGAGCCATCAACGCAGGTACAACGTAGAGCGATCATGTTTACGCTGCCACGCGCACAAGATAAAGTGCGATAAGTGCTCACCATGCAACAAATGTCAGCAGAAGAGTGTACCCTGCCAATATCCAGGTCCGAGCCGAGTCAAGCGTCAACCGAAGAAAAGCGCCCATCTCGCAATACAGTTGGAGAAGCTTGAACAATCCATCGCGGCGATGATCAACGAACGGCCGACATACCTGAACGGTCAAGACCAAGGTCCGAGTACAAGCTCACCCACGCCGAATGGCCGATCTGACTACAAATCGCTCTCAACAAATCTCGCTGCAACAGACCAGGGGTTCCTAGGCAAGGATGGCCGGTATATCAACGAGCCTCTTCTCTCGCGAGTGCTGGAGAAAGAGCAGGAGCTACAGTCCGCCATTGGATCACCGATTAGTGCGAGCAGTCCGCGCCGAGGACCGTTATTGAAGGCAGATGGTCTTTTCTCGAATCCGTTCTTGAACCAGATTGACGCACGGGACCTATTTCCGAGTCGTTGGCAGGCGGTTTCGCTCTGGGAGATATTTATCAGCCGGGTGGATCCCTTGATCAAGGTCATTCATGTTCCAACGGCCCAATCGAGCATATTTGCTGCCATTAGTAGACCTGAGAGTGCGCGTGCCGATGTACGTGCTTTGCTTTATGCGATCTATTTTGGCGCTACGACAACCTTGCTTTCGGAGGATACCCAGAATGAAGTCTTGCTTGCTAATCTGCGGCGGTATCAGCAAGGGCTGGAATTGTCCTTGTATCAATCCGAGTTTTTGGATGCTCCAACCATTACTTCGTTGCAAGCGGTGGTGATATATTTGGTGGGTGAATGTTTCCCTGGGTGCATTCGCTTTCCCATGCTTGGTATGACTGATGTATGGTTGATTATTAGGCATGCTTTCGGTTTAGCAATAGCGGCCGGTCTGGCTGGACATTGCACGGTGTAACTATTCGAGCCGCACAATCCATCGGTCTTCAGCGGGACGGGAAATACTTCAAACTCCCACAAGTGGAATGCGAGCTACGCCGACGAGCCTGGTGGCATATCCAATCAGCCGATATTCGAGTCGCAGAAGACCATGGTCTTTGCGTTCCGGAAAATGACCACGGCGACACTGATCTCCCGCTGAATATCGACGATCAGACCATATCAAACACGAACATTGCCCCAGCTGTATCACAAAACCGATGGACCGAGATGACATTCTCTCTAATTGTAATGGAAATCAACCGGGGCCGACCGGCTTTACTTCGAAGCTTAGCGGGAGCCGCTGACCCAGAGCGGCTCATCGCTGAATTCAAAGATGCAATACACGAGAAATATCTAAGACACAGCGACCCAGACATCCCGATCCAACGCTTTGGCTTCCTCCTCGGATGGCTGCTCCTCACAAAGACTGAAGTGTGTATTAGACAAAAACAGCTACAGTCACAGGGACCGTCGGCCTCCTCACTCGACCACAACCTTGTCCAAGAGACGCTGGCTCAAGCCTGCTGTGGGATGGAAATGAACTTCGAGTTGCACAGCAACGAATTACTGCGTGGCTTCAACTGGCTGATGATGACTTTTACACAGTACCACCTCCTCACCTTCATCCTCTGGAGTCTGTGTGTCTATCCCACCGGTCCACACGTTGAACGGGCCTGGCGTGTTATTGATACGCAGTTTTCTTTGACTGATAATCCCTCCTGGCCGGACCCGGGACCTAAGTGGCCGATGATTGTGCAGTTGCGGGATAAGGCTCGGCTTATTCGCCAGGCTTATGATGAGCAGAGTCGGCAAATCGTTCACGAACATCGCCCTTATTCTACTGATGGGATTGGGACTGGGGACTCTAGGATTGAGGCAGGGTTTGGTATTGATAGTTGGGATCCGAATTTTGTCGACTTTTCTGATTGGAATAACCTGGCCCAGAGTCTTTCTCTCTTGGGTTGACGACGTGCTGCCGAAGCTAGCATTTTAGTACGTGTATATATATACTAGTTGGACATACAGTGAGAGAGTCAGCGGTGTCTCAGCCACGATGACGGCCCCTAAAGTCTCAAATCTGTGACTGGCTTTCAGGAGAACCTTCCTTGACCACCTGCAACTCCTTATGTGGGAGCTTACAGCCGCTGAGACGACCAAACCTCACCGCTGCTCGTGCCAGGGGAATTCGTTGACGGTCCCGAGAAGGAACGGAAGAACAGTAAACCTGCTGCTCAACAAGAAATGATAATTCAATCAAGACTTTATCTTTTCACATATGCACAGGGCCAGCAACATCCACCAATTGTCGCACCTTTTGCGCGCACATAATCTCATTTCTATTCCTTACTATAGACAATCCAACTCAACAGATTCGCAGCCACCTTATGAGCCAAATCCGAGAGATGTTATTCGATTTACCCCCAGATGTCGTTGTAGGAATGATGCGAATACTAGGTGATACTCTTAATAGTATTCTTGATCCGAACAATTACTTGGAATCCATACGTCCGTTTGCTTGGAAGGTGCAGGATAGCCTCCATCAGTACGATAGAACTAATATGACTCGTCTCCTTGCGGTCACGATATACCCCGGAAAACACTCCTATTTTGTAGTCCATTCCTTCACACATATCTATTTTCGCTTGGGTAGTGCTTGATCTAGTGCCATCATCCATTAAAATTCTGGTGCTATCAATTTACTTAGCTTATCCTCAGCTTCCTGGAAGAATCGAGAGTTGGGACACAGAACACCGAGATGTGGCCCAGGCCTCTGTCTAGTGGAAAAGGTTCACGACTTATGCACAAAAGCATCACAACATGTTTGACCACTTCCTGTACCTGTGGAGCTCTCATATACGTTGATCTCAATCACGGCTAATCTTGCCTAGAGCCAGTTCCTGAAGATTGTTCATCTAGTCGGAGACCGGAGATGTTGAGTGGGTATATTCTATAAGCTACTCCACGCACTTTTACATTGGCTGTCTAGGATAATATTTAACTGGGCTGAGGGATTAGAGTCAAAATCACCTCGTTGCACATTGCAGTATTAGCTGATGAAGATCTTACAGAATGACGAAACCACATAGACGACTTCATCCTCTGCATCTATGCCTTTTTCAAAAGGCACCTGAAACATAATGATTTCCACTTTAAAACTCCATTTACAACACCATTTGCCGCCCCTTCAATCATTTGTCTGTGTTCTACCACCCGATGCGACGCAATGCCTCAAACCCCCAACACATAAACATACCCTTAACATACATCTCACCTTCAATTTTTCCTCATTCACCATCCACCAGCATGTCTTCACCCGATGAACAACCAGATATCGTGTCCCTGCTACTGAAAGCAATAAAGAAGGAATCCCTCTTTCGCCTGGTAGAACTTCTACGGGATATCATCGAGCACAGCCCAGAAAGTCGTAAAATTGCCTCGAAATGGCTATTGACCGCGAAGGACGATGTGAAATCCGAACCAGTTCCTACCTCTCCCACTACTTCTATCAAGGAAGAGTCCATCTCCGAGCCTACGGTTAGTGTCTCGATGACACCCCGTTTCGAAGAATGCCTCTACTGTCTGGAGAGGTACGATGTAACCAAGAACTCAGCCACAAGTTGCAGATATCACGTTGGTATGTACATCTTCCAAGCATATCTGCCAAGATATGCACTTGCTTCCAGTGGGAATGTAACTAATCTATGGAAAGACCTTGACACGATGGACGAAGAATTTTTCAAGAACGAGATTATCGCTGGGATTGATGTTGATAATGAGGAGTATCGCGAAGCTTGGCCGGAAAAGTTCTTCTATCTGTGTTGTGGGAGGGACTTGCTTGATGAGGAGTGTCAGGTTGGTTGGCACAAGCGTGCGGACCGTCCTAGCAAGCGAGTAATTCCGATAGAGGTTCGATGCACTTAAGGGAGTTGATCTTGGAGGTTTGGAGTTGTATTCAGGCTATTTCCCTGAGGTTTGATGAGTTCATGATCTCCGGTCATCTGTAATCCATGGAAATGACTTCGTTCAATATCACATTATTCTCTGTATGTACAGGCTTCTCCGCAGCGAGATACTCGATTTCGTCTCACTGTAAGAGATGATCATAATTATAACAACCCAGCTCACATTGTATCTCCAAATCTGATCACTGCAACGGACACTGTGGCTCATACTCATCCAAAGTCTCCTCATCCTCACCCAACCCATCTCGTCTCCGCTGCTCTTGTCGCTCATCCTCAGCGTCTACTAATTGTCGAATCCGCGCTCCATCCGGCTCCTCACCCGGTTGAAGATGAAGCAATTCATCCACTATAGCCGCCTGGCGTGGTTGACCCTGATGGCGCAGGTAGCGCTGGAACTCAGTGAGCATATATGCGCGGAGGGCGGAGTTAAGGGGACTTTGTTCTGCAGGTGGTGTCGATGAGGGCATAGGAGGTGTTTGTGGTGTGTCTGGGGATCCAGCTGTGGTCGTGGTTGGAGGTGGAGCACGAGCTTGGGCTTGGGCTGATGGCATTGCTGGCATCTCCGGATTGCGCTTTACATGGTCTATCACTGCTCGAAGGAGATTCCAGCGCATCTCATTGTGATGCCTCCAGATGAATCGCTGCCATGGGATTGTTGGACCGACATATACCATGTTTGGGTGCTCGCATGCTAATGGCCAGTAGTCTTCGAGCAGGAATGCCTGCGCTGCTTGCAGGGAATATAGATCGCCCCATACCAGGCTTCCGAGAATTCGCATCTGGCCGCTGTAGCCTGGTGACTCATCGGGTCGTTGAATACCTTCCTTCGGGTCGAAGATTGGGTCGACGGCGAGGAGGAAACCGGTGAAGTCGCCGGGGTTGAGCTGGGATGTTGCGGGACTGTATAAATTGGTGGTATATGAGGCGAAGGATGCAGAGTCAACGACAAGGAAAGCGTGACATTGTAGCTTTGACCAGTCGTCGTTGCCGTCTTTGATTGTTTTGAAGTGTCTGGATGCTTTTGTTAGCTTCGGAATGTGCAAGGAAAGCGAGAGAGGAAAATGGACACCCACTGCTTAGCTGCATCGATATCACCCTCTGAAATATTCAATTCCTTTCCATCCAGCCAGTGAAGCTTTAAATGCTGCTTGACCGCACTGCTTCCAGTTTGGCCTTTGCCCCAATCCGAAACATGGGATTCCACTTTGCGAACGAATTCAGTCCATTCAGACTCCGTCTGCCCGTATGTCAACCGATACACAGCCAACCCATACTTTTCCGCCTTTCCCTGTTTCTTTCCAGACTCTATCCTTGAAACGGTGCTAACAATCCAAGGCTCACGCGGAACAGGTTCAAGAGGCGCACCACGCACCTCTTTTCGCAACTTGTTCTGACCTTCAATCTGGCTCCGGATTGTCGCATGATACCCCTGTCCGGACGTAGGAGTCAAACCTCTCAACTCAGCTACATTACGGGGGAGGGCTTCCCGAGTAAGCAGCTTCAGACGTTCATGATATGCTTTGCTTCTGGTAAGCAAATTCGCCGCATGAAGTGCGGCCGGACCCATCCGCGGGGGATCCGCGAAGTACCCCTTATAACCGTTCATAGGGATCATGATAGTGAAATCAGCATGGCCGGTGATTTCAGTCAGCATGTGCAATGAATCAGCAATCTTCCACTGCACAGCATCAGGTTCACCACCTAGGCCATCTCCCCCGGGTCGTCGGTGCTCCAAAAGCGCTCGCAACAATGGAGCGCGCAGAGTATTCACATGCACAGTAATCCATCGATGGGCGCGCTCGGTCATCATCTCAAAATGTGCAACCATGTAAGCTGTCCAGAGAGCCGCGACACTGACGCGCTTTTTGCCTTGTTCCTCCCTGCGTTTATTGAGAACGGTGTCAAGCGCGGTCCAATGGTCGTAGATGTAATTGAACGTGTCGCGAAGATACAATCGCACAGTTGGTTCATTTAAATACTGGAACACAGCGATGACGGCTGTTAGATGTTGACAAGCCATATCAAAATGTTCTGGGCTGTCAAGGCTTTTTTCCTGCCATAATTGATCGCTCAGGGGGATGATACCCTCCCATAGACGGGTCTTGAGGGTTTCGATATTATGCCCGACCTTGCAGAGACGGCTGAAATCTCGTGTGGATCCAATACGGGCCATGATACTAGTCATGATGGGTTCGCCATTGGAGTCCGGTGGGAAGTTCTGGTCCGGTTGGATGACGGGAGCTTCATCCACGGACATGCGCTCGATATCGGGTTGTTTACCATTTGGTAGAGGCTCGTCACCAAGCGCAAATTCAAGGAAATGGACGATAGTTTGAGGCTCAAGAATGCGATCGACTTGATCGGCGTTTGTTTAGTGCTCATATTAGACACGAGGAATTGGGGGTCGCGCACCGACTGGCAAGTTTTGTGCCTTGAAATGAGCGATAGTGACCGCAGTCCCTTCAGATTCAATATGTGAGTACATTGTGAATGAAATGAATCAAAAACAGAGAATCAAAGAGTCAATGGACATTTTTATAAAATGTGGGGGCGAAATGATCTTAAAGCCGCCAGGCAACTGGGGGTTCTGGTTGGTGAAGTTTCAACTTAGCGCGCAGGTTATTGATTGCTAGATCTCAATGCAGTTTGGCTTCAAAATAATTCATTCCATTCTAATGTGATTCGTTAGTAGATTGGCCCCTGGAATCATGCAATATTGTAGTAAGGGAAAATTTCAACTAAGATAGAGATGATGTATTTTACGACTATCAACATAAACGTGGATTATTTTTTTTATTGAGAATGGAATCATGAACTTCATTATAAATTAGATATCAAATCATTACTTCGTCCCAAATTATTTCCTGGCCAATAAACGATCCCAAAAATCCAAGCAAAAAGCAGCATTTCATACCTGCGCAGGTGTACTCGCTCCGCTAGCCCTGAGTTTCTCTTCCAAGATCAGCCTTTGACAGAAGGGACTTCGCTCCCGAATCCAGGGACCCCATCGCATCAAAGCAAAAGGAATGGGAATGCAAGCCAGACTAACAAACCCAATCAGGGAAGTCGCCCAAGCAACTCCGAAAGATGTATAGAGCGGCTCAGCGGCTAGCGGGAAAAGCGCACCAGCAATGCTACGCACAATAACGGAAGCTGCCAATGCGCTGGCTGAGTAGATTTTGTATGCGTCGGTGACGTAGGTAAGAAGCGAGATGAAGATGATCTGGAAGCCGAACCCGAAGACGAACCCTGACATCACAGGTGCGGCCCAGTGCATGGTTGATTTTGCTGACCAGGCGAGCCAGAACATGCTTATTGTGAGACAGGGGCCGGCGATGCAAGACATGGGGAGTCGGTGGACTTCTGGACTGGAAGTCCAAGCTTTGTTGAGCTTTTTGGCCTTTTCATAGATTATGTCGTAGTAGAGTGCGACGAAGCCGGAAGATGCAGCGCCGACGCCAACTGTGGTGGGTTAGTTATGTTTGGAGGTATTGATAGATATGGACTTACTAGGGATGAGGGACAAGGAAGTTTGTTCGACGGTGAAACCATAGACACCTGTCAATCTATTAGTACTGAGGCTGACAATCTCAGGTGGAGTATGTATTACCTCCGAAGATGATGGGATAGGCCTGGAAATAGAAGAAGACCAGGCTATATGCGATGGCAATATAAATGGATGTTGAGGTGATGATAGGCTCAAAGAAGAGCATCGCGATGGGACGAGTGATAATCTCCATCGGGGTGAATCTCGAGTCCAGGTTAAGCTCCTGGCGCGAGAAGTATCGATTCGACCCCGTCTCCTTTCTCAATTTGGCAGCTTGTTGCTTCAAGAGTGCTGGTCCGAAGGTTTCTATGTGAACTTGGGATTAGCCAACGACATAGCTTGTTATACCAACACCAAGTGATAATCATACCAGAAGTCAAGAGCAGAGCCAACCAAGTAACGCCTGTGAGAATCAGTTCGATTCTGAAAGTCCATCGCCAACCATATTTCACCGAACACCCGGAGATAATTGGCCCTAGAATGGGACCAAAACTGCAAGCCTGGGAGATGTGTTAGTATTGTCCAAACAATACATCCGTGGAGGCAAATCAACATACCGACATATACATTGCCATTGCACGGCCACGAGTTCGCATATCGAAAAACAGGTCTGCATAAATACCACCAACAACAGTCTGAGGGGCAGCGCCTACCAGACCGCAAATGGTCCGAAAGACAAGAAAAGAGGACCAATTCGGCGCTAGAGCACAACCAAGAGTAGCGAGGACGAAAATAGCAAATGACCAGAGAAGAACGGGTTTACGTCCAATAGTTTCACTCAGTGGACTGAATAACAGAGGCCCAACCACATAGCCAACAAGAAAGACCGCGGTTGGTAAGACTTTTTGTTGATCTCCGGACTCGTGGAAGTCCTGCATGATAGCGGGGACTGCATTGCTAGGAAGTGCAGTTGATATGCCGCTATTGAGCACAACAAATAACGCCACAACCGCATTATACAGCTTTTTCTTCTACTAAGTTGTTAGCGCATATCTTTCTCGTGGTATGTAGATATACATACAAAGGCCCAGTTTGGTGGGTTTCTTGGTGAGTTTTGCTGAAACTCGACAAGTAGTTCATCCTGAGACAGTTGGACTATTTGGTAATCGCCATTTGACTTTTGATTATTCTCCGTTGACGCAAGGGACCTCTTGTCAGAATTTTCATCCTTTTCTAGTACATATTAGAGCAGATCCGACGAACACTAGAGTCGAGGTTAAGCGCACCGGAAGTAAGGATGGCGGTTATCTGAGCCGTTAAAGATTGTTTCGTTTCTGACGCCATATTGCACCATCAAATGAGTGGAGTAAGCTAGAACAAAGGAAGGAAGATTGGAATGTAAGCTTTAATTTTTGACTCTGACTATCAAAATTCCCGGACGAGGGTCGAAGCACTATATATGCCATACCCAAAGCTTTCCGTTCCAATTGCAACCGGCCAACCCAGAGAGGAAAATCTTGTCGATTCTTTGACTCACAATGGCCAGAACCTGTTGGTCATGCATAATGCCTCTATCTACTACGTTGGAGTAAGTAACAAGCCAATGAGAGACTTGTATACTTCGACGTTTTTGCACGCGGAACCGGAGCCGGTACGGGACCGGGAATTAGGGCAACCCACTCACGGCGCCGGACTGGATCCGGACATGGATGGCTGCCCCGAATGCACAGATCGATTGCTATGAATGCATTTTTTTCTCGGTGAAGATGCGTCTAGACTGCTGTTATGAAATACATGTGAATAAAGAAAACATATTGCGTTGCGCGTTGCGGCCCAATTTGTTGTTCACTGGAGTATCAACGTTGACCTACGAGGCTAGAATTTCTTGGTCCTTGTGCGATGTACTCGGTGTAGACAATGGGATTATAATGATATTAACTTCAAGAAGATCTATTAGGCACATTATTGTTATTGTGGCATCGATGGCATCATAGGAAGGAAATCGAAGATGTCGTTCTGCCCCTCCTCAAACAAACCAAAAGAGTCTGCAATGGAGTTTGAAACAGTCCAGTTGGGTGCCTCCATTGTGCCGGATAGCCGAGATACGGGCGCTCTGGCCACTGCAGATGGGTCACTACTTGGCATCGAGACCATATTTGAATCTTTATCGCCCTGAATGGTTGGGGCGGTTCTGTAACGCAGATCGTCAAGGGGACCCACCCCCGATGGAGGCGGGCCGTTGATCATGGGATTAGTATCAGGTCCCTCGAAGGGTGGGCCCTCACTTTGGTCCGACATGATAGGTACATCTGTACTAGGGTTGCTCGGCGGACGCTGACTCGCAATCAAGGCGCGTGCATAGTTCACGAAGATGGAGACGGTGCGGTGGATATCGGGATATGGGGGTTGTTTCAGGAAGTCGCAGATTTTTTCTGCTCTTTCAAGTACAAGGCTTTGATTGATCAGATTTGGACGCCACCTGGCAATCCGAAGAGCGAACGTTGCTTAATCTGTATTAGCGAGTTGTAGGTAGCTAATTGAGGAGATGATAAACTTACTGACGAAAGCGACTGTGAGAGCTGGGTACGTTGGCGCCCAAGGTAGTTGACAACGATATGATGGCTCGTTGATCAAAAAGCCCAATTGATCCATGATGGTTGTGACGAGAGACTGCCACAGGTTCATCACATTCTGGTCGAGAATCTCAGAGCTTGAATCCGAGTACGTCGGTTGTAATTTTTGAATGCGTGCTAAGGAAGCACAGAAAACAAATATCCTGGCATAGTGAAGCATAAGCTTCAGGCTGCTGCGTTGAAAGGCCCCTATATGGAAACCATTGTCTTTGTAGTTTGTTCAAGTCAGCAAGTGACGCAGATCGTGGGTTCATCCAACGCAAGAAAGGACAGCCTACTTTCATGGATTTCGTCCCACGTCGTCCACCAATTTTGCAATCTTGACATAATGGCCGGTATCTCTGTGGACACAATATCGGAAATAGTTGACGTATTGTCAATAATCATGCGAGAATTACCTACCACATGTTAGCGCTATGACACACAAGTCGCACCTGCAGTTTCGTTCGCTTTACCTCGAAGTTGATGAAGCTCAATGATACATACAGTCCGCATATCACAAGGCAAGGAGAGTGGATAATCAAGGAATCTGCGCAGCTTGACCACGTCAACCTCGGCGATGCGTGATTTGCGTCCGGTCCCTGACGCCACGTCCAGCTCCAATGTGAAACTGATTAACCAGGTTCTTGTCTGCCATACCAACTCACGCTCAGCCATGGAGGCCGAGAGCGAACTTCGGGGTACGTTTTCTTGGGACAGCAAAGTGTCTAAAGACTTCTCCAACCCCGAATCTAGAGCGGTGCGAAGAATGAGAGCAATAGAGAACCACGTCTTCTCAGAGTAGGCAGCTAGGAGAATCATTCCTTGGACTGTTTCTAGTTTGGTGGGTCGCTCGAAGAAGCTGTCTTCGGCCAAACGTTGTGCTTCATCTTGCAGAACACGCTGCATATGAGTGTCTCCGCGCAAATCTGTCACGGCGCGACTAGCCAGATATATGATCACGGTAAAGCAAAACAAGGACCTTGAACGGACAGAGTCGAATGTATCTCTAATCGGGTCAAAAAGAGGAAGAAAGTTTTTTGATCCTCCCGTAAACCTGTAGCGGAGTTAAATTCGTTTATCACAGACTGCAATGTCATTCGGATGTTAGTTCCATACCTCTCATACATGACACGAGCAAGCTCCTCACTAACGATTCCTCTAGCGACGACATCTCCTCTGGGGTCACCCTTTGTTGAATTTTCCATGAAAATCTTGCTCTGTTAGATCGATATCGAATATACTGGTGGGTTGTCGAAATGACTCACATCATTAGTACCTAGCAAATTTACAGACATTGAGTGTACCGCTGATGCAGGCGCGATCATTTCATTAGGGCTGAGCTGTTGGGACTCGGGTCCATTGGCATCAGAAGTATAAGACCGCTGGAGGCTATTTAATCCTGTAGAACTAGGCAAAGAGTCAATTGAAGTGTCAAAGCCGCCATCTTGTACGGTGGCAGGTGAGAACCCCTGATCTCTTGATGCCGGTGTGTGATATCCAGTTCTAGGATCTAGTGGTGAAGCAGTATGATGTCTTTGCAGAATATTAGCTCGCTGCTTTCATATGCAAGATCGAAATCTCGAATTGTCACCTTGATGGGGTTGTTGTTTTCCGCCGACGATCACTTCGTCGTCGGCCATCATCGATGGGGTCCAAGATGCAGTCCCGGCCGGTGGAGCGACAGCGGAAGCAAGGGACTTGACTACGCGCATCACATCGCATCTTTTGTCTTCTGCACCATCGACATGCTTTAAAAAAGCGAATCGGGACATTTTCCGCTCGGTAAACGATTTCCGACCCTCTTTCGCTCATGATTCCCGCGTTTCCATACGATCCCAAAGCAGAACGTTAGCCGACCAAAGGTTCTGGTAACAGAAGCAAACAATCGAGTTCTCGTTGGCACAGGTCTGCCGATGTGTATCGATCGTAGACTGTGGCTGAGTCCTAATGTCTGTCAACTTCCTGATAGGGATATGTTAGCCGGTTACCGAAAGCACCGGTCACGTGCCCGGCTAGGTCTTCTCCTTTAGGAAGGTCAGCAACAACGCTTGGGAAGACGAAATTCAAACTTTTCACAAGTGCGCCTCATTTGAAAAGATGATCTCCACACCACGTGGCTCATCAAGGGAATGGTACTCCATAGATACCTGGGAGATCAAACAGAGGGAGGATGAGATGGATCACAAAGTTGCCATGGAGAACCTGGAAGATGCTCGAGTGGTCACCTGACCTTGTTTGCTCCTTCCAACGTTGTTCCCTTGCTAGTCTCTGAGTTGGCGTCGATGGTTTGTATTTACTCTCTGGCTTGAGCCTTACGGTCGGCTTTTCTTATGGTAACCATAAATGGAACTCAATGCAGATGTTTGTGGAGAGCCAAGACGCCAAGCGCTTCCAGATCTATTCTTGTTATGTTGTATCTAGTAAGATTTGGAAAGCACCCGTAAGTCCATAAAAAACACTTGAATTTAGCTGAAAAAACTTCTGAGCGTTGGAAAACCCGACAGGCCTGTTCTTCGACGCATCGAGGACATTTCGTGCCTTGATTCTTCTGAAACTTTACCATATAGCCGGTGCGCAACGTCATAGTAGACATAGATAGCCTTTCCATCGAATTTCCGAGAAAATTGATGAGCGCTTGCCAGGATAATGAACCACGTTGTGTGAAATGATTGTGCTGTTGCTGCTTGCGTAAACATCGTGGCTGATGGGGTCAGAGAAGATGACCCAGGCATTGATAAATGTCACTGTTGTGTCGATATTGTAAGTGTAGAATCTGGCTGCACCAATGCGGGTGGTCATGCTTTTGTAGTCGAGTGTAGCAGTTGGGGTATTGGCCTGATGGGGTGTTAATCAGTACTGGGTCGGATATGTGTGAGACAACATACGATGTCAACGGCGTTGAAGCCGTAGAAACTTGCACAGTCTAGGTTGGTCGAGTGTCTGATTTGAAAGATCTCGATGCCAGATCTTGTAATGAGTCTCTCCATTGGCGATCATGGGGGTGTTGTCGCTCGCCTTAGCGGAGCAGAAGGTGTATCTTGCAGTTGCATTCTCGTTTTCGATCGTGGTAACGGCCGGGACTTTGCCGTTAGTATTGGTACGTCCAGGGTAGGGAGATAGATGGAGCCAATGGACCCTGGCTATGCCTAGATAACGGCAACATCATAATCTGAAAGGACATTGACTGATTTCCAAAAGTTTAAACGAGGCCAGAGCGGCTAGAGCAGGAAGATATGCGAAGCATATAGAAGATTGCTGTGAACAGATTAGCGTGTGATCGTAACCTGAGAAGACTGAATATTAATCCCAAAATGAGAAATAGGTGCAATTCTGTGATATTGAAGCTCCGAAGACTTAAGATATGAGAAAGCACAAACATGGAAAATTTCCCCAGAAAAACAAAATCCGGGGAAGTGGGCCTATGGAAATTGGTAGAATGTTGACTAATATTCCTTCTACAGGTATCAATATCATGCTCACTACGTAGATGAAGTTTTCAATCGAAAAGATGAAATGAGTTCTTTTTGTGAATTAAAAAAAAAGGTACCCCCGTTTGTGTTAAGACTGCGGAGTAGGCCGCCTGTCTTGACCTGTTGGAGGGGGCTATAACAGTGTGTTGTAGCGTTGCGGCAAATCCCTCTATGTGTTTGGTAGGATTTGCGACAACGCCCTGGCTCGAACACACAAGCTCACACCTCACAACCAGCCGGTACTTGTTGAAAGTAACTACAAGCCTATACCGCTGAGCCAACGGGGCTTGGGGGTATTAGACCAGGCTTTTTTCTTCATGGTAACAGAGCCTTTTTGCGGATTCTAGTGATCTGATTGGCTGGGCCCTGCTCAGCCGAATGAGGTAATCATGAAGCTATTCAGAGTCCTGAGGGTCACTTTTCTCAGTCACTTTTCTCAGATGCATTTTGAAGCTATCCAGGGTCTCTCGCTATGTAATTGCTCGGGTCTCTTGGCTTGGTGAAGCCATCACTTGTCTAAGGTGGTTCCTGTCACAATTCTTACGGCTCATGGTTGATGCTATTCGCGACTACCCTTCAAGCGCCCCCCGCAAAATCACCATTTTCTTTTCTTTTCTGATGTTCCTCTTCATCCCCATCACGAGCACGAGCTTCGAAGCTGTTTACGCTGCCCCTCCAGCCTAATGCCGATTTTTTCTGGGGTCATTCGTATTTCCCTTCCTATGTTTATCCATTCAAACTTCATTCATCCCATCTATGGATCAGATCTCTTCCATCAATAAGTCCACACCCTCATTTTACTTGTTATCATTTCTTTTCCCTGGTGCTTTTTTATCCCACATCATACTCCCTTTGCTCTTCACCTTTCCAATTCTCCTCATACTACTCCACTCTTGTTCTCCCAATTCACAAAGTAAAGTCTTACTTGAAATATAAGCTGACATCGATCATTTTCGATTCACAAATATATAAAAGCTGGTGTATCCAAAATAGAGTCGGAAAAACAGGCTATACCTTTCAAAGTTGTCTTCCAAAGTTGTCTCAAACACTTTGCCAACTGCTCAGACTAATAAAAGATAGAGACATTGCATTTATCACCACTGGACTTCACGGCCTGCGCCTTGGTAGGATACACATAGAGACCTCCAAAGTATAAGTTCCCGTTCTTGTCTTTTTGGTTGGCGTACGACTTTTGTTAGTGATCAGTCAAATCATTCTCCTTCAATGCTGGGAATTTAGAAAGTGGGCTGTATATTGCAGTTCAGGGGATTCAACAGAAGACCCTTGTGTTGACTGAAAAAACTTCCGGAGAGGATGTAGGAGTGTGTAAAGTTTTGTAGTGCGTAAAAACGATTCTCCGAAGTCGATGTTGACAGATGGGGTCGGATTCCAAAAATATTTCCGATATGAAGTGGGCCTGCCGCCAATATATCCGCGTATGCTGGGCTCTCGTCTTTTCTATCTCTCCTTCGGACGTGGTCAATTTCTGATTTTTCTAGCATCTAAGTAAAATATTCTTGGTTGATATTGTCCCCACGTTTTGGAAACCCAACTGGCTATTTCAAGCCACCGAGAGCGCAATTAGGCGTGGGCCGCACGACCGCGGGGGTAGCTCAAGTCAAAGCTCCGGATAGAAGGACTACACGGCTCACCTCATGGCTTTTCCACTACTACTTTCGTCGTTGGAACCGTACATTGATATCCCATTCAACGTATGGCTTACCCTCATCCTCATCCTCACCTATGGGTGTGCTTGTCGCAACCCGGGCCTGCTTTTGCTCGTCGTCCTTGGGGTCAGCGCGACTATCTTCGTATTCAACACAACGGCCACCCTCGGCGAAATGACTAAAATCATGTGTTTGCTACCGTTCGGCCTCGGCTCTGTCCTAACGTTCCTGATTGCGGATCGGTCTTTGCAGACGAGATACCTACCCGCCTTTACGACCTATGTTAATTTTGCGGTGTACGCAAACATTGGCATGATGATCGGGACTCCCACAGGCGGCACCCTTCGGGGAATGTGCAGCAAAATCACATGCGTTGCCCTCTTCATTTGGATTGTCCAAAAAGGCCGCCGCGTTGGATGGAAGACTGTCATACTTCACGATAACTTGTTCGTCTTCACTGCTGTTAACAAATCGTGGATATTTGCACACGCATGCTATCGCTTCATTCTCTTGACATTGCCGTGCTTTGGGTCTGGACGCCGGTATCGCCTTCTAGAGTTGTACACTCTCACTTTAACGCTCGCCCTCTCGTCGACCTCAAAACTTCCATTTGAGTATTTCTTTGGTATGGCCGATACATTGGTTGTTCCGGCGATTGCAGGATGGTCGGCAATTGCAACAACTTTCAATCTAATACCGCGCGATACGGTGAACGAAAACGTACTCTCGAGTCGTATCGGGACTGGTGTAGATGCACTTCTGAGCGTGGTATTACTGGCTGTTGCCGCTTTTGCTTTTTTCAAGGTAGCTAGCGCGCCGCGATGAGGCTCTGAGGACGACGGAGTCTTCTATTGAAGAATTTGTACAGTGTGCCATAGTTTGAGACTTTTCTTGGTGGGGAAATCAAGTGAAGATTGATTATGTCACGAAAAATTGGATTGCTGGATCATTTTGTGCGTATTGTTGCTCTTTCGTTGTTTATTACCAGATTGTGCAAAGAAGAGAAGCACGCTTTTTTTTTTTAAACTTGGCCCTACTTCCTCGTAACGGCGATGTAGCCTCTGAACATACCTATGTGCACCACCAATCGAGTATCCTCGCCGTGTACTGAAAGTGACCAATTTATAACGCATGCTGTTCTAATTGAAGTTCTACTTTCAAGATTCCGGTCAATTGCCCGAACGCATTCTGAAAAGTCGCGAATCTCAATGTTTTCTCGTACGTAGCCGGCCATGAAAAGTCGTGGCCAATACTGTTGAATTGTGACCTAATTCGAACACGGACTCTGGCCAAAGAAAGCCATCAATCTGAGGTTAATGCATTGGTTAACGAACTGATTATCCAAGCTCCTTGACGACAAGAAGAGCCCCACAAGTTCCAGCATGGGAAAATTGATTGAGAGTGTCGAGTCTCAGCTCCTCAATCTTTGCCACGAGCTGCTTTCTTGTGGCAATAACCGAGCTAGGCACAAAGATCTGCCTCGAAATGATACCGAAACTTCGTCACTACTGGGGATTATTTAAGCAGCGAAAGATCGGCGTTAGCCAACAGAGTGCGCGTAACTTGCGAAATAGGTCTCAAATACGTGGAGACTGATGAGATACCGGGCATAAGTTCTAATAGACATTTACAATGTTGCACAGGTAGTATCCTAGAGGACCACCAAATCCAAGTTAGTGAACTTCCAACAGATTCTTCCAAACGCTCAATTTTACTGGATCGCGATGAAATACTAATGCTCTAAGTCAGCCTTCTCCCAAGCGAGCCACCGTAACGACCCATCGACCTTCGCACTAGTCATCTTGTCAATCTTCTCTGACTTACGAAAGTCTAAGCAATGGTCAAGCCGTCGTGAGCTTGTTGCATTTACACCCTAAGAACGAGAAGAAAAAGCAACAGCTAAAGGAAACTGAATGCTATCTATTCACCACATCATTTCCATGGGGGCTGAGTATAGGTGCGACACCGCGGTAGAATATTTGATTTGACTTCTGAGGTTGGTATGTACAACGCTCTCTACCCCTATCTCTCAATCTCATCAATGACCTCGTCAGGTACGACGCATTTAATGGCATTCCTTAGTCCTTGCCATCCCATGGTCACTCTGCTCGGTACTGATAGCAGGATTTTGGCTCTACTCAGCGCTAGCAGCGCTAACCGCAGCAATTGCAGCCATCTTCTGTGCAGCCTTGTCGCAAATCAAAGTAATCTCTTCCGAAGAATTCCCTTTTTCTGCGAGGGCATGAAAACTTGCTTCCCAAAAATCCCATCTCTCGCGGGACAGACCCCCTTTTCCTGTATATAGTATCCCAGGGTTCAGGTCCGTAAAGTCAGGTAAATTATCAAGGGAGCAAAACAGTCTTTCTCCAGAATATTCAACCCACTGCGCAGCACCGCGGATTCGACACTCAGAGAATTCGTCCGATTGAAAGGGCTCCTCTTCGAATGCATGACGGAAGCACCGGGTCGTTAGACGAAACCAGTCAGCCAAGCCAGCTTGAAGGACACGAGCTGAAAATGCCTGCCAATTGATCCATCTCTCAAATTCAAAAATTCCATCCTTACGATCAGGGGCTGTTATGCAAGGTAAATGTTAGGCAAAATGCAGACACCCATTGGATTGAAAGGGAAAACTTACTGACAGCATACTCGTACCATACCTCCATTAAATATGGAAGATCTGTCCAAATCCGAGTTGTTGCCTAGAGAAAAGGATAGACAAATCAGATATAGACCGAAATATGATGATTAGGAATAAGATACTGTTTTGGAAACGGAAACTTCCACCCCGGGTAAAGCTTTCAATTCTTGGATGATCTCCACCATCTTATCTTGTGAGGGATGATCATGAGGAATTTGCTTCACGAGTTCGTTGATTGCTCCCCAGAACTCCAAACACCAGCTTTCAGGCTCCTCTGCCTCTTCACCATTTGCCTCACGATTCATTGGAGTGAGCTCGTGTATCCCAGCTGCAGCTTCTGCGGCTGAAACCTGACTATCTGGCTGCAAAGAATTGTTTAGGATCATAAAGTATTTCTGTTCAACAATCCATGGGTCGTCATCGTCGAGAGATGCAAGATGTAGATGGAGAGGTGCAGCCATGATTAAGACAAACAAGCACTTGATCAAGCATAAGAGAAACCGAAGTTTGCGAGGAAGAGACTGTAGACTTTAAGCAAGTGAGGTGAAGTAAAAGCGGGGCCTGTTGAAACACCAACGCGCGCGATTACTCGAACGGCAGTAACCGCCGACACAAAATGTGGTATTTTTCCCTTATACCACTGGGAACTGATTCGTATGCTATTAAAAGCTGCAAACTGAATAGTTTTATGAACACTATGGTGGGACTTTTGATAGTGGAGATATCACTGATATAGGAGCTGTTGCAAGGTGGTTTGGCTTAATATCTAAGCACATCAGTCTTAGAGCCCGAGGTATCGCCCACAGCCTCAAACTCCCTCTTTGGGTGACTACACCCTAGCTATGAGACCCAGATAAATCAGGTAGTGTCAAAGACAAATAGGATACGGCGACGTAATGCGTCAATTAAAAGTAAGGAGGAGAGCCCCCCATGCGCTGGAGTACTATCTTGCCGGGTAGGCGGAGCCCCGCTTTCGGGCCTGCATAGTTCAGCCTCATCAAAAAAAATGAGCTGTCAAAATCCATTAGGCTGTTCAACACAGGCAATTCTGACCTGGCCTGACCCAAGCCTCCCAATCGGCTTTTTGTTTTGCGTACCTGAAGATCATGTGTAACCCGAAAGGCTTTTGAGACTCCTACGTCCTCAACGATGTATGAGAGAGGGGTCAGCTGATCAAAGGGGACCCGGTTATTAAACTACTGAGCGGCGCCCAGGTGGAGCCTTGGTGGAACCGCTATCTTCCCCCCCTATGTTGTACCTACTCCATACTCAGCAGGAATTCACCAAGTTGAGCGGTTAAGATAGGAATCAAGAATAGAGAGATGTGTCGGATACCATAAACATCAGTATGCCTTATAGATCAACTGTATCAAACAGTAGGACATGGGTCCATTTTTGGCAGTAGTACAAACAGGACCTCAGTATCCTATTACTACTTGCTTTCTCTTTCTCCCCAGTCTAGTTCTAGAGAGAGAATATCATCATATCTTTATCGTCAAGATGTGACCCCAATAGCTCTAATGTAGATCCCTCAATAATCCAAAAATAGGGACATGGTAAGATACAGGGTTCGTGAACAGGAACAATTGAACATTGCAAGCACGTTGATGGAAAAAATCATGCAGAATTCGCTCTATAATCGGCCTTGGTTTGTCCCCAAGGATAAAAGTCGTCACTATATACTCGAACTTTCTCAAGGAGGTTTCGCATTACAGATTCTGGATACGCGTATAATTCCCTGACAGATGTTAATAGGACAATGCATATAACAGAGCCAAATTCCTCACAGTTGACTAGGACCGCGGCGAACTGCATAGATCTCATGGGGAAATTCTTTGTCAAGGGGACCCGCAAAATCCTGTGTCTCGAGGTCGATGACAATATGGACCCTGGCATTTACGTGGGGAATATCACTGGGTGGTTGGCAGTGAATGAAATGGCGACTCTCGTCTGAGGCTGCATCGGAGGGAAATTTTGTAAAATAAAAGTCAACGAATTCGTAAGGTTTTTGGTAATTCATCTCACTTTCTGGAACACGGAGAATCACCCGTTTTGCTCCGCTCATCTTTCAGAGGATAGCTTGTGACAACGTTGGAAGTTGTGAGAAAAAGAGAAGGAAGCGCAAGGGGTAAGAGAGGATTCAAAGTCACGAAGCCGCTTCAAGCCCCACATCGACATTGCCCGTTTCAGATTCGGCTATTCTTTCTCGGCTGATTGGCCCGTCGAGGGTCCACTTGGATGCGTGGCTCCGCTCACCAAGCTGATTATGTTTTCTGACGTTTCCGATCGTCTTCGTGTATATATTTCTTGAGGCTCTCGGATCGTGCTGTTACATAATGCAAGAGACCTAAAGCAGCAAGCAGCAAGAGGCTAGTGTATAGAGGGGTAGCTTGAGAGGGGCATGGCAGAATATAAATGGACACCCTCAACCTAAACTTGAACACTTATCTCAACCTCACACTGTACGTACATTACGTCCAGTCATGTGTGATTTAATGTGTAGACGATATAGTGGACGTGGCGGCTGCGGCCACACACATTCCTACGATTTCCAGCGCTGCCAGACTGCCTTTCAACGTCCTGACCGCGCTGTTTGCCTTCCACCAAGTGGTAACCTTCGAGATCTTCCGCGAGTAATTGATATCCAAGACGATGTTTTGGAGGGCCTTTGTCCATACTGCAAAGGAGAAACACCCCCAAAGCTCTCAAGGCTCCGCACATGCGCAAATTTTGTGTATGTCTTTTTCTTGAGCTTACATCGCTTCATAGCTGATAATATTACATAGGATTGCCGAGGTAGGGAAAGGATATATTTTGCGATGTCAGTGGTTGAGGCACTATCATGGTTGTTTTTTTTCAAGTCTTTATTAATGGAAGGTGGAACGGTTAGAATACAATGGTTACAATTTTCCAACTAAACCCCTTGAACAGGCTATAGTAGGGGCCCTATGGGCACCCACGAATGGGCTGTGGGTCGGGTTGAGCTTTTGCGGTCGAGCCCGTAGCCCACTGCTGGTTGGGTGATGAGCCTAGGGTCCGGGCCCATTTGTGGGCTTTGCGGAGCGCTACTCAACAGAAATTTCGGTTAAAAAATATAAATAAAACCATGAATTCTTTTAGGTATGCAATGCCTTAGACCTTATATATACCCATATGTTAGAGCAGAATGATACAATATGATAAACCTAGGATTTCAAAACCATGCCGCAGTATCGCGCAGAAACAAGGGGCGTGACAACTGAGCACGGATCGTCGTCCCCTACTGGCCTAGAATCTGACCCTTCAAATCGCTTGGGAGCACATTCCTAAGCCCCATCATTGACTCTTCAACTCGGTTATGAGTTCGAAATAGCGTGAGAATTATTTTCCCCCGCAGATTTCCAAAGGTCGTCGGAAGCGCATCAGACGCCGCAAAAAGTGCGGTGGTCTGCCACGTCAAACCAACCAACCTTGAAACAACAGAGAGCAGTACCTAAACTACAATACAGAGTATAGAAGCTGACGCACTGATCCAGACATACCATTTCTCATTGAGAATGGCTCCACTAGTGAGGTATCAGACAACTACCCAGCTCATTGAATCCGCCCGCCTCACACCCACCGAGCACTCAATTTGGAGAGCTTTTTTGGATGAGGCCGTCGATCCGGAGTATGCTGCTTGCTATATCTGGGAAAGAATTCATGATCGCGCCGCCTGTTCTATAGAGCAGACCCTGGATGAGTTAAAAATTGACTGGAAGCGACTGGTTACGAAGTGTTGGTCGAACCTGAGCATCCCCTGTGGCCGTCCTGTGTACGCTAACCACAAAATCAGTGGCCAAAAGAGACTTGGTCTCGTCTCAAGCATGCACACTGGTTGAGACTCGAGATAACTCTCATTGTTTTATGCTGGACCAAAAGCCATCGGACCCTAACGTATCCGTTCGGTTTGATCATGCTTGGGTCATTCCACCGAGCCTTTTCAATGACAGTGACATGGACCCGCGGGTAAGTGTTAATTGGAAATCCTCAAAAAGATCCCCATATATAGAAATCTCATTAAACTGGCAAACTCTGACAGGGTTCTCTCTATCCTCTCCTGCGGGCATTTCTGACACCAACGAAAGCATCCGAGCTTCAAGCAATTTTGCAGACTGACACACCGGAATATAAACTGAAGAATCTATTCTTACTATCTCCTAGTGTGCATTCGGCTTTTCGGAATGGAAGAATCCGAATCTTTCCAGCAACTAACACTCCCGACCAGTGGAATGATGAAACCGAGGCCAGAATCAAGACCGCTGGTGAAGTTTGTGTTAGTATTTATTGGAATATTACATATATCTGCAGTACCTTTGACTGACTGGATCTCAGTATTTTGTGCACAGACTCTCACCGGAGCCTTGTGGTGGGTTGTTCCTTAGCGACGGTAGCCACTGGAACTCAACAATGCAAATGTTCATCATGGAGAGCCAAGACACCAATCAGCATCTTCCAGATCCATTCTTGTTACGAACTCATTACCGCATTGCAGCTTCTATGCATCTATTCTATGTCGAAGAACGAATTGCTGAGGGATGGCCTTCACCCCCGTTGTGTATGGTACAAATGACCCTGTTGCTTAGAACTCCGATACTAATTTGCTTGGAATAGTCCGGTTCAATCAAGTGACCCAGAAAATTCTACGCTCAGTCTGGCGTCTCGTGCCTCACTTTCTACGTGTTCAGTGTTACGGCGTGCTCCTAAATCTAGGCAGTCATCTGTATCCGCGGTCTTTCACCGGCCTCGTGCATCAGTTACCGTTCGGACTGTATGCAAAAGAGTGCACTCGCACTCCGAATGAAGGAGAGACACTCAGGCTCATGGAAAGGTATACTTCGATTCCCGCACCCCTTTGGGTAGATGATTACCAAGGTCTACACCGCGTTCTTATCATGACGAGCGTGCCTGGGCAGACTCTTGATGTTGTTTTCCACCGGCTCTCATACTCGGAGCGCAAGCAACTGTCGAAAGATTTGAAGAATGTCTTATCGCAACTACGTTCTATCCCAAACCAGACCCCGTACCGCTTCGGCGATAGTCATGGCGGCCCGTTGTTTGATTATCGTTTCCCGTCTGGCGTATGTGGACCATTTCATCAAATTTCTGACTTTAATTCCTTCCTTGTCCACAAATACGTCCTCAGCGAGACAAGGGAAAAAGTCGCGGCCGTTCATGCCCGTTCGTACCGGTCTGTGTTCACCCATGCAGACCTCCATCCCAAGAATATTATTATCAATCGTGGGCGCCTGTCTGGAATTGTGGATTGGGAATGCGCCGGCTTCTATCCTGAGTATTGGGAGTTTACAAAGCTCTTTTACGGTCTACAGCCATCCCCGGAAATACAAGCTGTCATTCATGATGCATTCACAGGAGATACATATGAGGAAGAGTTAGCAGCTGAGAGGCTACTGTGGTATGCCACACCGTTTGGAGTATGATGAATCGTTGGAGTTGATGCGCATCAGTATCTGCATATACCATCCCGTTGAAATTGTAGAATCAAAGTTGCAATATCAATATATCATTCGGCCCCGTCCGAGTTTTCCTGCTACGTTTCCATTCGGAGTCTTGCAGTCTTCGGCGCGTGGTCTTTGGCTATACACGGAGATGGAGAAAATATCGATGGAAGCCATACATAGGTTTTGAGCGCCTCAGCAAACTCATCCTACAAGCAAGGATACACTTTCATCTTGCCCTCTCTGCAGAAGAACGCCCTCGAGATACTTGTTTACAATTGAGGCATAAACATCCGATACCACTAGTCAAACTCTTGTCTTCCAATATGTAGTTGAATAGACGGTCAAATTTATGTGATAAAGCAACACAGAGATCGCCGCACCCCGCCCGGTTTTCGAGCGTATGGGACTTTGTCGCCCGTCCTGTAGGGCTGGCCGGCGCTTGGCAACCAAGCCAGACCTAAGCCCTAACAAAAAATAGATTTGACAGAGGTGGGCGAAACCAAGTATCTCAGAATTTATGATGAGAATAGCTCTACCTACTGGCACGGAATATTTTTTTCAATGGTAAAGAAAGTCGTCCCACCCATAAGTAAAGAGGCACAAAGTGGCTTTGCTGCCTGGGTGCATCCGAATCTCATGATGCCCCTGACTTAGATTAAGCGCTACCATATGTCTATGGTCTGAGAAAAGGCCCAATGCCGCCTTAACTTCAGAACTGGCCATAGATGAACTATTTTCATGCGTAGATATACTAGAAGGGCTTGCCAGTCGCAGTGATGTGTCAATGCCATGTATGCCATTTGAGCTTCTGGGTACGTTTCATGGCTGTCACTTGTGCAACTAGTCAATCCTCCTCGCTCTAGCTGTTTTACGCTCTAGCCTAGGTCGAATGTCCGCGCATCATTCAGGCGCCAACCCTGAAAACCAACCATATGCCTTTTAAACACGATCACGTGGCGGAATTGGGCTTTGTGGCTGATTTTCCCGTCATAGCCCCCTTCGTACTCAGCCATGCCAAGATGTGGCCCCCACTGTGTAAGTCATATCTGCTGACACCCCCGACATTCCCCAGATTTTGACGAGTTTCACAACAGGAGAACACAATACCATAGCGACCTTGACATAATTAAGGTATAGCGAATTTCTATAGCACACTCATTGACTATAAATGACACTATAACTGACATCACATTAGAAAACATGGGGACTCCACAAACTCTCCCCGAGCTGCCAAGCGCAACGCAAGCCTCAACCAACTTTTGCATGTACTACATCGAAGATGGAGCCGCCGGCAGAAATCAAACGAAATCCCTGACAACATGTTGCTCGCCGAATCCCGTCAAAACCGAATCCCAAAATGCCCAGTGGTGCGAGATTCCTGATCGATTTTTCAAAAGCCTGCCTGAGCCAGGTACACTCGATCTTGAGGCGAGTCGCTGGCTACAGGGTAATTTCACTCTGTGCCAGCAAAGGGACAATCCGGATACGGGCGTCGGGACAAATTACTGTAATCTGCCCAAATACAATCCTAATCTGAATGCGGCTGCTTCATTTCAAGGGCAGCAGCAGCTATTTGCTTTATGTTTGGTCCTTTGGCTTTGGGTCTTTTGTCGTTGATGTGGGTATGGATGGAAGCTGATTCCTTGCTGTATCTATAAATGTGTGAAATAATCTGTCGTCGGCGACAAGTGAGATTGTCGGTTCATGTAAACAACATATTCGCAGAGGTCAAAGTACGTCATCAGAAATAATAGACTCCGTGTTGGTATCCATACTTTAGGCCCAAATATCCGAGGGAGCCACTGCGGACTGGCTTAGGTGGCGATGCCCCACATGGCTTGGCCATGACCGTCTTCCGAACATACCATGAACCATAAGAATGCATTTAATCTGGAGGACTCTAGTCGATATGTCCAGCTCATATTGTTCGCCTGGCTCCAGTATCTAGGGTGACTGAGTAAAATTGGGCGTATCTCCGCTCGCCTGCAGCAAGGGTGATAGTGAGGTAGAAAAAAAGCAGTGTGTGGCCAAGGTGGTTAGTTGTCGCCAGCGAGAGTGGGAAGAAGAAATTGAGTGAAATATGGAGTGGATATCCAATCAGCCTTCTTAAGAGGGGTATGAGGAAGAGGTAGAAGCTGGACCAAATTTTGATGTGAAACGCCATTTGGGATCTAATGCACCGTCGCACGGGATGCACATGTCGAAACTTGCATATATCATCGCGTCGAAACTGTGGATTGCAGTGTAAAAGTTGCAATATAAATATCTCTTTATTCCACCAATTACTTAGCCGTCACAGCTCCACCGCTGTTCCATGTACCCTAATCCCAATCACAGAATATACTGTCTCTTGGAGGTTTACTATGACGCGGATGCTTTTGAGGCTTGAGGTCTCAACTAGTGGGCAGATTGTTTCTACTTAGGTAGCATGGATGGCCGATCAGTTCAGAAACTATGTACATATATCTTGAGGACAGATGCAGAAATGACGGAATGTATCAGAATCTATATAATTGCAAAGGCATGTTCGAGCGAATTTCTACTTCTTCTTTACTGCCGCAGCCCTGATGATATTCCAGCCTCAACAGCCTTGATCTGAAGTGCCAAAAACTTGGAGTAGACACGGCACAATGCGAGATTGCCGCCGAAATACCAGAAACCCGGGTGACCACTGGGGCGCCACATCTGAAAGAAGTGATTAGCATGTGTGTCAAAAGGGATGAGAAAAGTGAATGGGAGCTTACAGCTTGAAGCTCTCCTTCTGCATCCAGATCCCAAACGTCGGAACACCGGTCCGCGACCTTGTCACCCAGGACCTTCCTGACTGTTGTGCGCATGTTATCGTATCCGGTAGCGAGGACAACAACATCCGCTGGTAGGGATTCACCGTTCGCCAAAAGCAACTCGCGATTCCCAAAGCCATGGATGCCGCCCGGGTTGTGTTTGACTTTGATCTTGCCATCGATGATAAGCTGACTGCACCCGACATCGATATAATAACCCCCGCCGCGGGTAAAGTATGCGCGGGTAATACCAGCCCCATCAATTCCGAAATCGAGTTCGAAGCCAGCACGACGAAGTCCATCAAGCGTCTCCTTTTCGGCATTGGCGATTTTCTTCGTCATATGTGCACCCAAAGCAAATTGAACAGGCCAGGGGAGGCTCTCTGAGACGACATCACATTCTTCAGTGGGTGGACTACATGGTGGAGATTAGCATAGTGTCATGGGGGATGAGGCCAAAAGAAAATTGGAGGGACTTTGAAACGAACCCGCCATCTTCATGCAGTCCATTATGCATCATAAAGACACCCTTCTCGGCAGTTATAACATATGTCCCACTGCGCTGCAGCATAGTAACATCTGCACCGTTTTCATAAAAGTTCTGCGCGATATCATGACCGCTGTTACCAGTTCCGACGACAACAACTTTCTTGCCACGAACATCGCTTTCCGACGCATCGCGGTGCTGGCTGCCGTGGTACAAATTGCCCTGGAAATATTCTTGTCCTGGGAATGAAGGTATCTTCGCCTCGCCTGAGTGTCCGGTGCACCATACAAGATGACGAGGCTGAACAGTGCGTTGGGACCCATCGCCGCGAGCGAGGACAACCGTCCACTGACTTGCAGCTTCATCGTAATCAGCCGAGACGACCGAGGTCTGCATCCAGATATTCAGCTCCATAATGCTGGCATATGCTTCAAACCAGTCACCAAGCTTGTCTTTTGGTGTAAACTGTGGCCAATTTTGCGGGAAGGGTAGATAGGCCATGTGTGTGTACTCAGCTGGGTCGTGCGTCACAAGTGTCTGCGTCGCGAAAAGTCAGTACATGTTTCTCCGCATGCGTATATCAAGTGCCTCCAATGTCACTCACCCGGTACCGGTTACGCCAATTATCTCCAACGCGCTCACTCTTGTCAACAATCAAGCACGACACGCCGAGGCTCTGCAAACGCGCGCCCATATTCAATCCAGCCTGGCCTGTTGACAAGTCAGCATTCCAATTGTAGAAAACTTTGTTCACGAAGCAATTACTCACCAGCCCCAACAACCAAAGTAGCGGGCTCCTCATCCAAAAACTCTTTCTGTCGGTTCCTGCGCTCGACCCATGTGCCCCCAGCCAGACCACCCGGCATCGACTCTGTCGTACCCGCAGCCCGACGCTTACCTAGGGGCTCCAGAGCTGAGCTAAGCTCTTGCAGAGCCGTATAAATAGCATAAGCCTTCCAGACTCCATCATCTGCCTGGGTCAGACGCAGCATGCCTGTTCCACTACCAATCGCAGTCTCGAAGAAGAACATGGAAGACACCCAGATCAATCCATCGACGACCTGTTCTAGTCGTGGCTGAAACTTGCCCGTATCCTGGAGTCGGAACTTGGAGAGTTGTGCCTTGGTCTGTAGCTTGGAGAGGAAGTCCTGAATCTCGGTGGCTGTGTGTACAGTGCGCATGTCCCAGTCCAGTGCCAGCATGTCGCGCCACCAGGATTCATCATGGAATAGATCTTTGATCTTCAAATTATCTGAACGGGAGAGCTGGAATTCGAGGGCTGAGAGCCATTGCTGGGCGACGTTTTGCGGGTGGGATGGTACGTCGCGTGGTGTCTTAGGCAGTTGGATGATGTGTGGGTTTCCACCAGTTAATGTTGTTGCCATGCTGAAGATTATTAATAAATTTGCTAAATTGCTCATATAAAAAGTTGGTATAGGGGTAAAGTCGATGCAGCGATGCAAACCTATGGTTTCTGCTTCAGTTGTGGATCCTTGTTCGCAGTTTCTATATCTTTTATATTCCCCTCAGTTTCCATTTTCCCGGATAACCCTGCCATGGGCAACTAAGCCGAGCTCCACGGCGTGTCTTCACGCGAGGGGCAGTTAGGGGACGTGGGGTAGGCAGAAGGCAAATATCCACGTGGAGTCACCGGGCGTCATTCACCCCGGCCTCTTCCCCGAGATCCTAGGGAAGATCGGAACAATGCCCCCCCGAGCTGATCGCTGAGGCAAGTTGGCCGAGCGGATCAGGCCCAACGGGAGAATCCGACGATCCATTACAGGAAGAGTGACAGATTCCATGTTTGCAGGTTCATTAATTTACTTGTGGGATGCTCACACACGCCTCGCCGTGTCGTGTCTAGAAGATGCAGTTATAGACAATTGACAGACCGAGCTAGCGCTTGGTAAAGCGTACAAAGCCCAACCAAACAAAACAAATATTCCAATGAACGTGACTTTTTACTTGTTATATATATAGAGCCAGTTTCTCGCCATTATCTTGGGGTGATATTTTGTTAGTATAACTTGTATATCATTAATAAGTAGTTAAGTTTATTAATCACGTCTGAAAACGCGACAAAGTACGCTATCTCGAAAAGTCATAAATTGAAGAGGTCTACAGTCATATTTCATAAGTATTTGCACCTCAGTACTTCCTAATGCTTTTCATATACTCTCTTCTATCGTAGCCTGCATGCTGGAGCTTCTACCATACATATATATAAGCGTGTATGTAAGCCTTCCACCTACTACTTATCACTTAACGCGTTCAATAAAGTATTAACAAGCAGAAAGGAAGGTGGCCTGAAAATTTTGGTAGTACTGGGGTGCAAATACTCATGAAACGCCACTGTACTAAGAAAATAGTAGTATTCCTGTCTAGATATAAAATATGTCTGATATTGGAGGGTATATTAACCTGTTTTCAACTACCACTAGATAGTCATGGGTATTTTCAGTCTTCTAATCGGTTTTTTTGCTCTCGGACTGAGTGCACCTACTCTCACTCCAATCATAGGCTCTACTGTACCCGTGCTTGCAGGAGGAGCCTCAAGTATGCTTGCCACCGGAGTTAGTGGAGCCATGCTGAGTATTAGTCCGAAGTGAGTCCTCCTATCCCCGTGCGACTCTAGACGAAATTAATCTTCAAAATATAGACCTATCACTGTTACGATTACTAATGTCTATACACACAGAGACTCGACTTTTACCACAGCGTCTGACCTTGGCTTTTTTATGTCAAATATGGTGGTTCAAATCGCAAAATCATTCACCGAGAGCAATAACGAGCTGATGCCCGGTCATGGCTTCGGAACTGGTGATATCCGTGATATACTGAAGGGTGGAGCGTGGCTTGACTATACGGGATTAGACAAGAACAAAGCTGTTGATGTATTTCTTGCGCTCCTAGAGTCGATGATGATCAACGCTCTATGGCGTTCGCAGCGTGTGTTCATTATCGGTGGTGGCGACTGCCATGACGGCCAGGATGTCGGCCGTGGTACCAACGACGGCGATAATGTTTTCTGTGATGACGAAAATCGTGCTTGGTACCTATACTACTGGCAGCGGGATCCAATGGCGATGGGCAAGAATAGCAGATGGATTTCTCGGCCCTGGGGATCCGATCGTATGGGCAAATCCCCGATACTCAAGGCGGACGGCGCCGACGACAAAGAGAAATTCTGGCCTGAAATTGAACCAACGGTATGTGACACCCACATATACTCCGCCAAATGCTGAACCCCTTTGGAATTGCTCGGAAAACAATCAGTGGCAGACGGGAAGAGCCGAATATATAGCATATATCGTATACTAACATTCTACCCCCTAGGGCGTCATTAAATCCTCCCTCAAGTCCTTTAGGGCCGCTGGCTACAACTACGATGCGTCGACCTTGAGCAAACGCATGGGCGAGGTATTCGTTTCCGGCCCTAATACCTATACGGATGGTCTCAGCATGGAAGGCCTCTGGACCATCCCTGTGTGTGATATCAGCAAGACTGTCAACAATCCCGACTACATATATTCTATGAAGGGGGATATCCTCCACCCGTACGGGTACAACGAACTTCCACACTGGTGTGGACCAATTTGTGGAATGGACAAGAACACGACGATAGAATTCTACAAAGCGGCCAACTTCAAAGATGATTTTGCTACCCCATTCCTGCAGGATTGTTCGATCTACAGAGGAGATACACCACAAACCGGTAATGCGTGGGTCTGGACTACGAACGAAGAATATATCTATCCGCGTCAGATTGGAGATGACCAAATCTGATAAGCCTGACTGAGTGGAGAAATGAATCTTTGGTTCATTGTTGGTGAGGAACAAATATCGTTCAGCCTGGATCTGGGGCCCGATCGACCACGTTTAATCTTCCTGCACTTTCCTCGACGAAGCTTTTACCCTGTTCTTTGCATTTAGTCCAAAATATAAGTGCACTACTTGAATTTTGAATCAATATCTCAATGCATTGCTCTTATTACCACCCTTCCCATAGCACATCAGAATGTTCGGACTGAGTGGGCTTACAACATACCCGAGAATGCCGATGGTATACACTCGATTAGTGATTGCCTGCACGATCCAACTAAGACCCACCAAATAAAAGAAGTAGATGGGCGGGCTAGAGTGTATAGCTTCTGGTTATATCTGCTGGTTCGAGCTGCTTGTGTTGTAGGTAAGTTGTCTATTGTATTGGGCGAGATTTTCATCCCCAAACTTACCGAGACTAGATTCAGAGCACTCCAAATTTTGAACTAGCGTGTCGGTCCAGCTGATTCAAATTTTCTTTCTGTTATTTGAAGGTTGAGGTCCCTACATGAGAGGGCGTCTTTCTGCACATGTTGCGAATCTGCTTGATCATTAGTTCAACGGGTTTCTTGTATCGTAGGTTCAAATATTGATATTGACCATGGGAATCCCCGACCACCTAGAGGGGCCAGGCACGGAATGGTGGCTTTACCCACCACGTCTAATTTAAAGCAGATCGCATTAAACTGGTGATCTCTGTTCATGAACTCAGGTGGCGATCCCGGGGTTTCCGTGGAGTGACGTCAAGGACCACAAAAAGACGACATATAAATAGCCACAAACGACATCGGGAATTTTCGTTGTATGCATTGCCTTCTGTATAAAAGTGAGCAGGAACAAATCCCTACAAGTTATAGAAAGTTGAACTCGGGATAGAATCCTTCCAACATTGCAAAATCATGAATGAGCTTGGTAAGGACCAGAAGAAAGAGACACCTTCGAGTCCTCTCCCGAAAGATCTTCAAGATCTTGTGGACAAGCAAGAAGAAGATAGAGAAATCCGCGCAGATTACGAAAATTCATGGACTGAAACGTGAGTAAAGACATTTTCAATTTTGGTATCGGTGGATATCTGACAAGTACACCAGATCTTCGGACCAAGACTTGTCCAAACGGCTGGATAATGCTTCCACCGAATCTGAGAACATATTAGAAAAGACAAAAGATCAGCTATTGGGTAAAGGGACGGAGAAGGAGAAACAATCTTGATATTTGCTGAGGCAGAATCGTCGACGGCCCGTGTCTGGAATAGGGACTATTTCTTACGGCCACAGCCTCTATAATCATATCTCGAAAGATAGATAGGTTCTTTTTTTCTTTATTTCATCAGCCCGTGAGATGTAAAAAACTTTCATAGTTCGTCTTACGATACGTATATGAATGCTTGAGATAAAGTCCACTATCTTGGTCCTGGCGGTGCATGTCAGACCAGGATCTGGCCAGCACCCTCCTCTCCTCTAAACTAACCAGTCCTCGTGTGTTCTTAACCTCGGCGATAAGCACAGCAACCTTAAATATACAGGCTTTAATGTCCGAGATTGTGGAAGCCTGAGCACAGTAGGTTGGCAGATACCAAACACTCCCCACTTTTACCTCTGAGCGGTTAGAATTCACCGTGCTGTATGACACTTTAATACCGACCGATGGCGCTACTCGTGTCACTTGATATGAAGTCACTGATTGCGACACGTGAAAAAAGAAGAAAAAGGCCCATTTCCAATTTGGAACTGAGGAGCGTCACCCCCGCACACGGGGACGACATACCTAGTATATCAATCAGCCCGTATCCTCCCCTGCATTTGGAACTAACCCGTCTAACGAGATAAGCCCGCTCCCAACTGAGCAGTGAGGCACACTCTTGCGGTCCGCCTGCAGAAGCAGTAGTGTGATATACATATCACTACCTGGACTCCTTATCGCGCCTGGCTCGGATGCCAAATATATCAAAATAGACCCACCTTTCGATGTTGAACACTCCAATGTCGGCCCAAACCCTAGTCTAGATGGCAGGCCCATTCACAAACCACATCTTGAAGTTAGACACTTGAATGGGGCTAAGACTTCCCGAAAGTTCTGTAGATCCATGCTTGTGGTAAAAAATAAAGAGTAGACCTGCACCAGAATATTATTCTGAATTACTCACCTCTCCCCAAAACGGACCTTCTAGTAGCCTTGGAGACAATACGCATTGCATCCGACGCCAATCTTCATGCATGCAGCACAAATCATTTTGACTATTGATAGAGCCAGTCAACGGCTTCAGTATAGCACCGAACGTTGGCGTGCCTCTAGTGGTCTATTTATGAGATTGTTGAGTAAGGTGTGGATTTGTCCTGCTTTGAGTCTAGCGTGGTGGCATCTTATCATGAATTAAATATCATCAGCGATGTACAAAGTGGCATAGAGATTAAGGTCGCATGCGATTAATCTATTTTGTGTCCCAGTTGTATGGACCTTGATGAGTCACATTACACTCTATATATCGCGTTCACATGATAGCAAAAACATCGGTTTTGTTCCACCTCACCCTTTCCCCACTGCTTTTCCCATCTTTTCACCCCTCAGCCTGAAAATGGAAGGTCCGAACTTAGGTTCAAAATACATTTGCAAGAGTGGGAGCTCTTTGGGAAGTCACAGTACTATCTATGCAGGCTTGGTGGTTGATACCGTGCTCGATTCAGCGATTTTAAAGGCGAAACTCGCCGAGTTGATTCAATTATGGCCTATACTTGGCGGTGAATTGATCAAAGATGTGAGTCCATGTCACCACTACTATGGCCTACTTATACCTTCTTCCAGACACAACCTTGGTCCTTCAGCTGTGGCTCGACTGTCGATTACGCCAGTAGGGCTATTGACCAATTACTCACTGCCTATCTTCCAATTTACCACGAACAAGGTACCACAGAACCAAACATCATGAAGATGCCGGAAGTATCCGAAGTTGACGATAAATTCATATTCAATGTTTCTTCCAATCTCGCAACCAGCTTCCGCCTTCGTGTTACTCTCCTACAAGATGCCACTTTACTCGCTTTTGGTATTTCGCACCACATCTGTGATGGCAATGATTGCTGGGAAGTAGTCAAAGCATTCTGCGATCTACTGTCCAACAAGCCAATTCCTTTGTTTGCTCTTCCACCTGATGTTGGGGATGTCCGAATGTCTGATTTGATGAAAGTTAAACATGAGAGCACCAAAGCGGAATCAAACTTCCACTACCAGATGCATGCTCAGAACTATGACAGTGGGATATTCAAGCTGGTAATAACTATGTGGCATGTGCTGCTGGCGATCCTTGCCGTTAAGCTCGGATTCCGCGAAGAACTTAAAACCAAGTTCATCCACATTTCAGGTACATGGGTCGACGAACTACGGGTCAAAGCGCAGGCAGAGCTGAAAGGTTGCTCTCCCGAAATTCAACTCACACGAAATGATGTTATCGCTGCGTGGTACCTGAAATGCGTCTATTCCTCTCAACCTGTAGCCACATCCCACCACCCAGTGGATTATTTTGGTATTATCAACTTTCGTCGCTTTATTGAGCCCCCAAAGGCTGGAACATACTACATTCGCTGTAGTGTTTTAGCACTTCGATGCGATTTCTCTATCTGGCAACTGAAAGAAGACTCGGTTGCTGACATTGCAAGGCACATACGCCTCAAAACACTGCAATTTACGTCCACCGAGTCGATCCGACAAAGCCTTCAATTCTCAGAAGATCATTTATCGAAGCCAATCTCATTAGCGCTGCGTGGCACTGGAAAACTAGGGTTTGCTGTTGTGTCCCATTGGACAACGTTCGATTATACAGGCCTTGATCTTTCTGGCGCCAGTCTCAGCGAAAAGAAACCCTCGGTCGTATTTGTCAATCCTATGATTGTGCACAAATTGAATTTCACGTTAGTACCTGTGGCTGTTGTAGCGAAGGATGGGTCCGGAGGCTACTGGATTCGGGCTACGAATACGTCGACAGGCTGGGACCAGTTCAACCGATCTAACGACATGGAAACACTATTCCCTAAATCGTGATCGAAGTTTCCCTTGTTGAATCGAATTCGCAAATCAAAGTTTGACCAATATGGTATGCTCGGGGATTCACTTGTCTCCAATATGGAAATTGTAGTCGTGAAGTCTGTTTATGTCGGAGGTCAACACATTAACCAACTGTACGTCGGTCGTTTTCCCTTTCTATTCTATGATTTTTGTCCTCTTCGGGTCGCTTTCAAGAGTCGTAGTATACTTCGGACTTTCTCGTCTCGGTACATGAGCGTAGGTCAAAGATCTGCCTTCATGGCAATCGACATAGTCCCGCCATTGGGCCTATAAAAACCAGTTGTGATAGAGCAGGACATATCAAAAGGCGCCCTACATGTTGTAGTAATTCAACGCCAATCCTAGACAACCCTCTAAGTACATAATAGGTATGGAACCTCTATGAAGCGTCATGGGCACTTGGGGGCTCTCTTGCGAATCATGCGGAGGGGCATATCTAGACATTATAGCTCTAGCAGATGCTCTGGTGGCTTCAAACTCTCTTTTCAGTCTTCTTAAAATATATCCTTTGTTCCACCGTCGCTACTATGCGATGTTACCTTACCCAGGATAATCACCTCCCTCCACAGAGAGAATGCCTTACCGCACACCCTGTGCGTCAGTTTCAACTAAATGCACACCCTAGTCCACTTTAGGTATAGGTTCTCTTGGCCAACCATTTGTCATGATTTGTGTAATTTAATATGGTGTTTCCATAGTAAATAACACATTTATCACCTAACCTTTGGCCGTAGCTTGCAAGGTTCTACAACATACCGGACTGTGGGGGCTATCTGGGGGCGTGGGAACCAATCAGCATGAGCAATAAGAGCCCCCGACTGTTAGTGGACCTCGGGAGAGCCCCTTGCATTGCGAGCTAAGCCACATTGACAGTCAAAGATCAGCCACCTGCTTGGCCCCCACAGCCCCAAATTATGAACTCTCATTCAACAATAAAATCTACGGTATGCACTCTTCTGATTGATTATCTCTCGTTGGCTCTTGGGTAAAATGACGAGCTTGCGAGAAAGCGATACCTCTGCCTCGGCATCTCTCCATGTCTCACAGGAGCATGTGATTAACAGCGAGGAAGCTATCCCACTTGACACATTACGACTCTCCAAGTGAGTTTTGGACACGAGGATTTCAAAATTTTCCTCCCTACTGACAAGCCACTCCACTTTGCAGGCAACCCCTCATCGTGGACCAAAAAGCATACCAACTTGTCAACAATTGCGAGACCCTAGAGTATGAACCAGCGACAGACGACGACTCAAAGTGTTCTCCCTCATCTGCACTGCCACGCGCTAAGAAAAGATGGATTACTGGGTTATTACTTTGCGCATTGGGAGTGGCACTGGCGCTCCTCGCCCATGTTATCCTCACAGTCAAACTCGCCGCGACAGCTGCGTCCGGTGGACATGGATGGGGTTCCTCATCGGCGGTTATCTATGGAGGCACATGCCACAAGGCAAACAAAATCGCGACCGGCCTTCATGTTCTTTTCAATGTCATTGTTTTGACTTTGACTGCCACCAGCAGCTATTGTAATCAAGTTCTGGCAGCCCCATCGCGCGCAAGAATCGACATTGCCCATGCTCAACGGGTGTGGGTATCAATTGGATCCTCGAGTTTTACAAATGTGTGGTACGCGCCTTTATGGCGCAAGACACTATGGGTCTTAATTTTGGGGACCTCATTGCCAGTCCAGATGATGTGTGTTTCCTGCCGCGACTGTTGGAAAAGTCAAATAACTAACATCAAGTGTCCTCAGATACAACTCTTTCATATACGTATCAATCAACGCCAATGATTTTGGGATCGTTGCTGCACCAACAGACTTCGCCAGTAACTACACAGATGTGTCTGAATTCGATGTCCCTTCCAACTTCCACAAAATTGTTGGCATGAATGCGAGTAGCCTACATGGTGATCTCATGACGGGTAAGCTCGAGAAATTGGGCAAGGACGCTTGTATGCAGGCCTACAGCGGCGCTTATCAAACCGCTCGGTCGACAGTTGTTCTTTTAACCCCCTCTCTTTCCTCAGAGCTCACGGCCTGGTCATGTCAGGTTGAACTGGGCTCTGATGGCATCTCCACCACTAGTGGCGGCCAAGGGCATTGTGTGATTGACAAATATAAAGGTAAACACACAATTACGCCGCCGCCGATTAGTCAAGTCAGCTTCGAGCTTCCGATTGAGAGTTGCTTCAGTCGACCGACCACACCGTTCTGTGAGCTTGGGTGTAGTCTTCCCATTGGATTGGTGGTAATGGGCTGCATCGCGCTGAAGCTAATATGCATGCTTGTCGCTGCTCTTGAGCGCCGCTCCGAGATCTTTTTGACAGTCGGCGATGCCCTCAAGTCATTCCTGACATGCCCCGATCCTTACACGGCTAACAACTGCCTCATGGCTCGAGTCAATAAAGGACAACCAAAAGCACTACATTCCTACAATGACTACCCTTGGGTATCCATATTTTCCCGCGCTGTGCCGTTCCGCTTGGGACAGAGCCCGCCACCGCAGCCAAAAAAGATTTGCACGGTCCGCCAGAGATGGTGGGCTGCCCTACCAAGTCGACTGTTTGCTTTCCTTCTATTTTTCAAGATCGCCCTCCTTGCTATGGCTGGTCTGGCCTTGGGTTTGAATACCTCTATTTTTGGCAACACCCAAGGTGTAGATCTGAATTCGGATGGCATGTCATCCTGGGAACAGACACTTACTTCGCTATACCATACCCAGTTTTACCCACTGGGGTACCTGGGATTTATTGCTACGGTGTTGGCAGTGAATGTCCCTCAGGCCGTGGTTTCAATAATTTACGCAGTATACAACAATACTCTGACTCGAATGCTTCTTGCCGCCGAATATAACGATTTCGGTGTCGAACGAAAGCCCCTTCGAGTCTCCTTTCCCACTGGACAACAACGTTCGACATACTACCTGTCTGTACCATATCGGTATAGTGTGCCATTTATCGTGTTATCTACTCTTTCTCATTGGCTTGCATCTGAGGCCTTGTCCTTCGTCCAAATTATTCCCCGAGATGCTCATGGTAATTCACACCGCAGTCGGGCTTTACACGGCGTGGGTGCGTCCTCTGTCGGCCTGCGGATTATGGTCATACCATGGATCTTAATGGTGGTGATCTTTCTCATTTTGATGTTTCGAAGGTTCAAATCGGCCGCCATGCCGATTGCAATGAACTGTAGCGCGGCTATCAGTGCTGCATGCCATCCGCCGTCAGATGACATGGATGCCGCGGAAAAACCTGTGATGTGGGGCCAGGCTGATATAGAAATTGCAAATCTTCATACATTCCTTGGGCCTGGTGTGGCGGAGATTGAGACAGAGTGTCGCCGTACTACATTCACGTCAAAAGAAATCGTTGAGCCGAGTCCTAAATTCTTATACTACTAGAGTATTGGAAGGAGAGGGGTGGGGGGGGTCTAAAAGCTGCAAGCTCCTGATTTGAATGATGGCAAATTTCTGGTATCGTTCACAGTCGGTCGTCACTCCAAAGTCCATATACTGAGGGGGGAAAAACAAAGTCCATATACTGAGGGGGAAAAAACATTCAACGACCATGTTCTTCCTCATTTATTTAGTGACCTGGCTTGGGCAATCCGCCCAACGGATCTAATATATCCCCCAGGTTGATGACTGAGCACATTTTTTATCCAAATTTTATCGTGCGCAAACGGAATGGCTTCTCATCCGCCACGGTCCCTGTCCCCTGCCTCCGGCTTCACTACGTGAAGCGATTGGAGTACCAGACCTTGACCAACTAGCTATGACACGCGGGCTCTTTGAGACTGGGGCTTTCACGTGGCCAGGTCGTGGTAGTCACTGGTCGGTTTTGTCTTGGATCTCCCTCGCACTCCTGTGCTTTCCTAGCGCGATTACTCGTAATTCCCACGCCCCCTGCTTTGGTGGTTGAGGAAATGTGGCACCTCTTGGTTGAAGCCATTCGCCTATTTACTGTACCTTGCTTTTAATTTCAGCTGATTTCCACTACATTTCCTAAAAGAAGAAATTCTTCAGTCCAGCTCATCCATGAGCCAAGCCATACATACAAGTTACTTGAGTCGTGGGAGTAGGAACAAGGAACAGAGTCAACACGAGAGCGAGACAGATACAGATTTCTACCACTCTCTGGGATATATGGTGTTACCCTGTCGTCGAATCTCATCCATGATATGCAACAAATATATAGTTTTAGCCCACGGCATAACCTTGCTCTCTTTCCGGCCTTCGAGGACATCAAGGGCCGTTTGTTCAGCCTCGTGGAGGAAGCCACATTCCAGCTTCAGAAAGTCATATTTCTTCACTTGACAAATCTCCGAAAGGATTAGGGCTTTCAAAAATGAGATGATATCTTTCCCAGTGAGCCACTTACATTGGGCTTTAATATGTATAACTTTCGGGGACCAGAATCCACGTCCAACCCTGATAGATCCTATTTGACATACCTCTACTAGTCCATGTCTCTGCTATATTCTAACCTAGGAAAAGATCTACATATTGACTTCAGGGTTCAGATCACGACAGAATTGACATTCAGTTTTGCTCCATTCTTCTCCTCTATTGCACCTCCACCAAGAACCTCTTAGATCTCTACTCCTTCGGGAACCAAGACTCATACCCAAGCTTAATGATAAAGGTTCCTTCCACGATAGCTTCAGCTGGAACATCAAGCATCCACTTCCAGAGAGCCTCCAGTGCCTCACGATCACGCTCCTTCTCTTTGTACTCATTAAGACGGAGTTGAACATACGAAAGGCTGTTAGGCTTCTGAATCCACATCACAGTCACTGGCGACGGGGGAACATCCATAGTGCGCGTGGTATTTCCGTGAATCTCAAAGCTCTTATTAAACTGTCTCCACTGTGCACGCCATAACTCGAAAGTATCTTTGTAATCTGGATCAATATTGCTATCTGCAAGCATGGCACACATGCTCCAGACCAAGTGTGAAGCGTTAACATACTTCTCTAGATAACCGGTCAGACCGGGCCAGACCCCGTTCTCTCGGTACAACTGGAAACGGAACTGGTTCAGAGTCGTCGCCGGTGCAGGGTCTGGGAATGAACAAAGCAGACTACCTGGGGGAGAGCCGGTACGGTGGAGTCGGCGGATAACCTCGTCCTCGGGCTCAAAGGCTTCTGCTACCTCGATTGGAAAGCGTTCCACTGCCTCGGGTGTAAAGTGCTCGGACTGCTCTTGAGCTCCGTCGGATTTTGGAGATTCCATGATCGCAACCTGACTTGCTGGTGAGCCAGATAATCCAGAGGGATGTTGATGAGATATCATTTTCGAGGGAATGGAATAATTTATATAATCACCAGGGGCTATAAATCTGAGTCTTCGAGTAGAAACATTGTATTTAATGTCAAAGACTCTCTTTATTGTCTTTGTATCTGAAAACCTCAAGACACTACAGCACAATTCCATTGTACATGAGGGCTTTGCCTCTTTGTATACAGCTAGTAAGATAGCAAATTGTGAGAATGGGCACAAAGAGACGCTTTCTATGTCATGTTGGGTTGACTCCACAGGTGATGGGTCAAAGAAACAAGTAGGATAGTGCTACTAGCTTTTACAGGGAATGACTACTGAAGATCAAATTAGCTGGGCTATCTAATGACCAGACTATCCCACTTTTGCCATATTCCTTTTGGGGGTTCTGTATACTTGAGAACGTTGCTCCTGTGAAATATCAGATATGAGGCCTGCGAGTAATCAACATGCAATATGGGATTATCCAAAGATCAGTGTATCACAAACAGTACTCCAGTCCAAGGGGACCGCAATAGATCTATGCATGTTATACCACAACCCACGAGCCTCTAGGATATCCCATTCAAAAAGCAGAAAAACAGTTATTTTCTCGACTGCGGATTTCGAATGCACGGGTATTCACAGTCTACTACTTACCAGCCTAAACTCATTGAGAATGTTTGGCCACTTGAGCGGAGAATCGGGTCATATTAATACGTTTGATTGGCAGGAAAGAGTCCGACGGGCATATTGGGAGTCACTTGCAAAAATGGTATGACTGAATTCCTTGCTTTTTCAAACGGGCTATCGTCGGTGCTACTACGGAGTACCTACGGAGTCTAGAATCAGGCCGTTTCCCCGCAGGTCATTATAAAAGCCCTCGGTTGGGCATCAGCACTTGCCCCAAGTTTTATCGCAATCCCATCTCTGCCATATTTCCTGACCTCGAAATGGCTTCCGTTGGTGCTACCCTGGAGAGGACCAGGGCCGGACAACCGTCTGTCAAGTCTTGGTGGAAGGAGTCGTCGGTGTATCAAATTTACCCAGCTTCCTTCAAGGATAGCAATGGCGATGGTATTGGTGATATCCCCGGGATTATCTCCAAATTGGACTACATCCAACGACTTGGTGTGGACATTGTCTGGCTCAATCCGGTGTTTGAGTCACCCCAGGTCGACATGGGCTACGACATCTCGGACTATTACGGCATTCATCCGCCGTATGGTACCGTTCAGGATGTGGAAGAGTTGATCCAGAAACTTCATGAGCGGAACATGAAACTCCTGATGGATCTCGTTGTCAACCATACATCTGACCAGGTTAGTATCAATTTGTCCATCAAATTGTGGATGATGAATGACATGAAGTAACTTAGCACCAATGGTTTTGCGATTCGCGTTCTTCGATAGACAACCCGTTTCGGGACTGGTATATCTGGAGAAAGCCAAGGTTTGGGGTAGATGGCAAGCGTCAGCCACCAAACAACTGGATGTCTTATTTTGGAGGCAAGCCATTATCCAATGTCTTGGTTAACGCTAGAATAATGATGAAGAGACTGACGTCGAGTTAGGTAGCGCGTGGGAGTATGACGAAGCTTCGGGGGAGTATTACCTGCATATTTTTGCCAAGGAGCAACCTGACTTGAATTGGGAGAATCCAGAGGTCCGGAGCGCTGTACACCAGATTATTCGGTACTGGCTAGACAAGGGCGTTGACGGATTTCGAATGGATGTTATCAACTTCATCAGCAAGGATCCGTCCTTCCCAGATGCACCGATCACAAATCCGGCCTCAGAATGGCAAAATGGGGGCAGATACTTCTCCTGCGGTCCAAAGCTGCATGACTACCTGCAAGAGATTGGGAGCATTCTCAAAGATTACGACGCGTTTTCCGTTGGAGAAATGCCAGAGGTCAGCGATGTACAAGAAATCCTGAAAGCAGTGGGACATGACCGAGGAGAGTTGAACATGATTTTCCACTTCGAAATGTTAGTATCCCAATTCAAAATCCATTCCACTGCATTTGTTAACTTATCGGGAGTGTTCAACTGGACCATGGGGCAGAAGGCAAGTTTACATCCGGTCAGTGGAAAATGCAGGATCTCAAAGCAATTGTGTCGAAATGGCAGACATCCATGCACGAGAACAATGGATGGAATGCTTTGTATCTTGAAAATCACGATCAGCCGCGGACGGTCTCTCGGTTCGCATCTGACAAATTTGAAGACCGAACTCGGTCCGCTAAGATGCTAGCCACTTTCATGGGCTTTCAAAGTGGCACTGTCTTTATCTACCAGGGTCAGGAGCTCGGTATGCCCAATGTGCCAACTTCCTGGACAATTGAGGAGTACCGCGATATAGAAACACTGAATCATTGGCAGGAGTAAGCATTTCCATTTTTCCTAACGGTTCAGGGGACCACTGACAATTGTCTTCAGAATTACACACAAGCACCCGGATGACCGTGCATTGCATTCTGTTAGCCTTGCAGAGTATCAGATGAAGTCGAGAGATAATGCGCGTACTCCGATGCAATGGGATGCGTCTTCTCATGCTGGGTTCTCTGCTGCCAAACCTTGGATTTCTGTCCATGATGATTTTAAAGCATGGAATGCGGCCATTCAGGTGGACGATGAGGAGAGCGTTTATCACTACTGGTCGAATGTTCTGCGTCTGAGAAAGAGATTTCCTGAAGTATTGGTTTACGGCTCGTTTGAACTCATTTCTCCCGAACATCCGGATGTATTTGCTTATACTCGTACATCCGAGACTGGCTGTGCACTCGCTGTGATTAATTTCCGAGCCAGTGAAATATCATGGTCGGTCCCCGAGCCAATTAGGGAGAGAGTTTCCTCAGGAAAGATGGTCCTGTCCAACTATCAGCAAGAAACAAGATCTATGTTGGATAGTGTGATCACGTTGGCACCATTCGAGGCATTTTTATGGCTGGCCACTGATGGATTGTGAGATAGAAGATTAACCTGATAGTGTTGCGAGAAATTCGCCTTTTTGAGCTCAATATCTCTGAACTCACCATTACATACAGTTCTCACTTTGTCATTAGAGATCGTGCAGAGACAGTCGTGTTCTTGAAGCCGATATGTTAACTGGAAAACAAGAACACCGCCAATTCAATAGAAACAGGTCTAGAAACAGATTTTTTTTTGCATAATCTCATGTCATTTGATGAAAATTACTTCTTTGAGCGAGCTCTCGAACCAAGGGCCGCTTTTTACCGAGCTCTTGAAGGTACAGGATAGTTCCGAAGAAGGCCCGTACTAAATCTACCTTTACATGGCTCATCCGATTAACATTGCAACTTCATTCCCTGTTACAAGAGAAAGCTGCTCTCTACGTGATTATCTGCATATAGTTCTTCTTGACAGTTGGCCCTGATAGTATCGCCGGAGGGCCAAAATCTCAAGCAGTAAACCAAAGTCAAATGATATACAGATTGAATTGATTCCAAATTGTGTTGCTGAGATGAGCAATCTTTGTATTTCCCGAATTTACCAACGATTGTCAATCATATGAAAGTGCATACCGGAATCAATTTCAGAACCAAGACAGGACCGAGAATAACGACCACCACGTAGATACTTCATTCTGCCTCAACAGGATCGGGCCAAGGGCAATTTCCTCATCAGGCTGCTGTGTAATGTCGCAGCGAGTCATCATCTTCAGGGCCGATTTCCCAACAACTAGCTTTGGCAGTTAGATCAGGAACCAAGTGAGAATGGAAGCTCAAGTGGGGCGGGAGTGACCCAAGACCAAAGATATCGTGGGATTTTCGTAGAAGGGGAGCCAAGAGGTGCGACTGTGATCCACGAATATCCGAAAGTCTGTCAAGTAGACCGCACAAGACGTTTTGGGCATCTATGTATAGTTTTCCGCCGTTCTCAGTAGTATTGGGAAGTAATTTTTGTGCCAGCACGCAGACTGCCTCTCCAATGTCATACAACTTTTGTTCCTATAGAGATGATGAGTATAAAATAGATCGAGTTAAAAGAATACTTACAATACCTATGCCATGGGCGTTGGTGGACTTTCGAGACACGGTCGACATGAGAGCCATCACAGACCTTGCCGCCGTTGCTGGAAGATCTAGCGGAACGACGGCCACCTCATCGCAACCCTTGGTGAGCCGATCGTTGAAGATGCTCCACAGGCGTATCTGAAGCCATTGTCGCGTTACCATCAGGTCTACTTTCTGCGTCTCGTTATATTCGGAGAGCAATGGGGTTGGAAGGGCGATGGAATGATAAACAGCGGCGAGCGCCGCGGTGTCATTGTTAGAGCCGGCGGCAGAAATGTTCCAATCGTAAAGGCTGGCGGGTATCTCCTCGAAGACAGATATTAAATTGACGAATCCGTAAGCCAGCGCTGGGGTGTCGGACGTGAAGACGGACGGCTTCTGGATGGACCGCCTGAGCGTGATTGGCATTTTACGTTGTAAGGCATACGCTCTGCCCAGCAATTTTAGCATTTCTATGTGTAAAGTGCAATATATGATGGGTTGTGCTTGCCTCTCAGTAATGAAGAGAAGCCAGTAGATCCTTCTTCGTAACTCGGCTTCTTCTGGGTCCAGAACCAAGTAAGATTCCTCTTGGTGGAGATTTAGGACATGGGCAAATGAAATACTTTGGCTCAGATAATGCCATGCATGGTGATGCTTGTCGAGGTTGCCGTAGGCCGAAAAGAGAAAAAAAGGAGGTTAGCACCGAGTCAACGTGAGGTACATCAAGGGGGTCAAATTCTTGGAGGGATCGTAGGGCTTGATCGATGAGACTTTGGCCACACGGCGAGACCTCCTCGAATGGGCTCCCGTCAGATTTGTCGAGGTTTAATTGAAGATGAGTAGCCGCACAGAGCGCGAGGAGGAGGGCATATCGTCTTGACGATAGTGTTTCCGGATGTAAGGAGTCCAGAGTTACCGAATCCGCATCAAGTACTGGCATGATCGGAAACAGATGTTTGAGGAAGATCTTGACGTGTGCCTGTAGTAATACAGGGGGCATCCTCTGCTGTACTACAGGAGATGTTGTAATCTCTCGCGCAAGGCCGATGGTGTTCAAGTCTATCGACCCATATTCCGGCATTGATGGTAACAGCTGGTCTTCAAGGAAGGACACGGGGAAAATAGTAGCATCGTTCGTGTTAGTTGGCGTTGATTCTAGCGGGGAAGACTCGGTGCTTGACAACAGCGCACTCAGTACCGGTGCTGTGCGGCCCTTGGGGCCTTTTCGCCGGGCTACAGAAGTATACCGACAGTTCAAAGACACTTCTCGGCATTTTCCGCAAGGCTGCTCGCGATTGCACCGGACTTTGCGTCTGCGGCAATTATCACACGCCGGGTGTTTCTGAACGGAGGTGATCATTTTGGCCGAAATGAGTCCGAGTAGCAGTGGTTTTCTGGTTTATATTCACAGCTTATCAAGCTTGAACTTGGGTAGTAAGCTCGAGGGCTCCAGAGACGCCCCTATTGGACTATAAGCTCGGCTATCTGCTTTTAGATTGAATGAATAAAGTGGCCAAGTCCTGCTTGGTCCTCCTTTCGTGTCTTGATTGCGGGGTCCCCGGAAACCTCACCGGCAATCTTCTTTGGAGTTTTGATAGACTGGTAAACGATATACATCTCTAGTATGGAATGTAGTTTTTCCCACGAACTAGCTGGCACTTCAATTTCTCATGTTTCTCATGAAATTGGATAAATATTCGACTTGGGGTTCACCTCATTGAGGGGCTGTCGGTAGTTGAGCCTGTGTGGAGTCAAGTTTCAACGGGCCTTCTTCGGGGGGGCTACTTCGGAATCTGAATCTGAGTGGATAAACATGGCCAAGGGAATATTTGAAATTGGATATCTCGGCCCTCCTTCGGATATCCTCACGCCAAATATCATGATCGCAGCCCTGTGGGCTTTGCTAATAGTGAGTCAACTGACTATCGCTTGAATCACAACGAATTTCAGGTCAATAAGCCACTGTCATATATATATGTTCCAAAAATTCATTGACTATGTGAGACATCCATGGATGTATGCACAATTGCATGGAACGTTTGCTTCTGCTCATAAACAGCTAGTATGTCCTCTCCTGTGGGATCCATCAAATAGAACATCACTGCAACTATATATCTTCGATAAGCCCCTATACCATTTATTAGGTTCATAGGTTATATCACAAAATATTGAGGTCCTTGTCCTATAGATGATGTGGTTTCCATCATGACTTCTTCAACAACTATCTCAGCCCTTTGATCGTGCACACGTCTTGTTCTCGCCTCTCTCATTCCTCTCACCCCTCTCACTTTTCTCACTTTTCTTGCTACCTGACTCGCTTCACTCCCCTGTGGAAAACAAGGGCAGCTTCATTTAGAGCGTTATTCTCATCACCATGTCTTCACAAATGGTCCTATAATTTCCCCGGAAATATATCACCTTTTTCGATGCATGGTTAGTGTCTGCCGTCATCGGTCAACATATCTTAGAAAGTACAACGTGACCTCAGCTAACTATTCTTACTCGTTCTAACAGGCCATATCCAACGATACGGGTATGACCGTCAGCGCTATCAAAAAGAGTTACTGACGCCTCAGGAAGGCTGGAGGACAATCAAACTCCCCAGCATGACAGCCAAGCAAAGAAAATGGACAACAGGAGTAGGAGATCCATACAACCAAAGATCCGTTATAGCTGATCTCGCCTTGAACGTTCATACTTCGGCTCTTTTTCTTTCATGACTTTCTTCTCTGTTTTCCTTTCGGTTGATCTGCTATTGTCAACCATCGACCTCACCGAGTTGGAGGACGATGTCCCTGCGCTCAGATCCCCAATACAATTACCAGCAGGTTGAATCCCACAAGCAACCTCCTTAATCTATGATAGTCGGGGGCGGGAGCGACCATCTCCTGCAACAATGCGTGCTAAACATGAGTGCGAGTATCAGAATAGAAGATAATATTTGGGCGCAGAGTTCAGCTGCGGTGTCCGGAGTGCCCAGTATACAAGGTTGCTAGTTCTGATCACCATTATAAAAGAATCATCGCGCAAAGTAATCTATTCCATGAGTATAAGATGTAATAACACACTGCAAGCATCGAGTCGACTAGGTTATATCACGTCAAATAGATGGCCCATATCTCGACTTCCTCGGCTTTTGTATCCTAGCTTATGGACATGTTCACAGGTCATAAGTCGGGGTCTTGTCTTCATTCACCCTACTTTCGCGTAATACCCAGCTTCCCTCTCGAGAGCTGCTCTGTTTGAGTGGGTCTTTATCCCATTGTAGCATGATTCTTACTACAGCGCTCCGAATCCTGCCCAAATTTCTCCCGTGTATCAGATGGATGTTCGCTTCGCCGAGCACTGATTTTCTGTCACATCAGGGATTGAGTTGGGTGGAGAATCCGTTACAGCGTTACCCTGCGACTCGGGGAGAACTGGTGGTCTGCAAGAAAAGGGTTGGAATGGAGTGGAGGACGCAGATAGCAACGCATCCGCCGCCACATAAGAAGCGAACATGGAGCATTCAAGTGCTGCCATACTGTGATTGATTTGGACCAAGCAAGCAGAGTACAAGACGCTCACAGGACTCATTGCTGCTATGATGCTTCAGTTCGGGTTGTACAAACAGTGTCAATTCAATATATTAACAGCTTCCGGCGATGAAACGAAACAGAGAAATGGCACAAATGTAGACCATCAACTACCAGGTATCGATAGAACTTGAACATCAGAAATGGAATAAACATACAAACATGAATTTCTTCAAAAGTAAATATGGAACAAGAACCTATGTACACCGGAAAGCCCACGGCCGGACACGCCACCACGCTACCCAGATGTATTAAACAAATACGCATGTAGACCTGAGCAAAAGAAAAGAAGAAAAATAAAAATAAAAAATCAATTACTGAGTCCGTCGGGCCATGAAGTAGGTAAGAAGGTTGAGGGATCCTTCACGAGGAGGCTGTGTCACTTTTTGCACTCTCTCGGATCCGAAGGTGATATTCAGGAATGTGCAAAGCTCAGTAGCATTCTTCCTGACACCTGGGCGTGGGTGTCCGAGCTGCTGCATCACGACAGCACCGATGCGAGCCAGAAGCTCATCGTCGATCTCGATACCGGGACGCGATAGCGATTGTTGGATAGTACTCAGACCCATGATGGTGGACCTGTATGTCTCATCATTTTCAGCGTCCGCTCCGAGATCCAGTCCCTGCAGAACACCGACAATCGCGGTCTGCGGCAAGGTCAAGAATACCAGTTTGTCGGCCACTTCTTCCAGGCAAGTGACGAAGTGGGAAGTGGACTCGTAGTGGCGACGGGCTCGAATGATAGCTGCCATGGCGCGGGTATCATATGGATGGAAGTGCTCGCGGGTCCGGAGGAGCATGGAACGGATAGTGGCCAAAACCTGGGTCTTCACGTCATGATCCTTGCGGTTGGAAGGCGTCGCTTCCAGTTCTGCAAATAGAGATTCCAGCAACGCATTGTAGTCCTGGCTTTGGGGCACAATCTCATCGCCGTGGTATTGGATGAGTCCCTGCAGCTTTCGATATCCGGAGGGCTCCATGGTTCTGGAGAGAATACGGGCGAGGCCTTTGCGAATCATCTCCTTGGCATTAACCGGGTCTTTCGAACGTGGGCTAGGGCTGCGGTGACGATCAACCCACTTTCGAGTACGTCTTGTGGACTCGTCAGACATTGTTGATTGGGACAAAGTCGACTGGGAGAGTGTTGATTGAGACAATGATTCAATCAGTTTTTGTCTCACTTCTGGCGAGCGCAGAGCAGGTTCGTTTGCGGTCACTTCTTCGAGGGCGCTCGGCTTAGCTGCAGACCGCGGGACCGCGGGCAAGTCGACAGCCTTGGTGATGCGAGGAGTTGCATTCTCATTGTTGTCATCGCTCCCGTTAGTTCCCACGTTGGGGTCTTGGGGAAGCACTGTCTCAATATCCATAATATTAGAAGCCGCTGGTTGGACACGGCCCCTTGTTGGCGATGGGCTTGGTTGAAGCGGTGCCCGGCGTGTTGGAGATGGTGTTCGAACTTCAAAGTTCATACCGGATTCCCGTCTAGGGGCCAAATCAGGAGTAGGTTTCCTAGCGGAAGCGACCATCGAGGCTGGAGTATCTTCGGAGATAGGGTGGACTTCTGCTTCGCCGAGTTCAGGTTGATCAGGACGACTAGGAGACAATTTTGAAGGGGAGAAGTATCCCACCGAGGTAGCGTAGGGAGGTATATCATGTTTGTCTGCGGTGGGGGTGGTAGGGTCTTCGTATATCACCATTGACTCAGGTTGGGTTTTGATAGTAGATGCGGGTCCAGAGCCAAAGGCTAGATCCGAATGATGGCGAGCAGGAGACACGGGCGCGGGAGAAATTGCAAGATCGGGTTCGGGGATGTAAGGTGGAGGTGCAGCAACGACAGTTTCCTCCAGTCTCATCTGTTCCGGTTCTTCTATCATTGCTTTCGGTTCTTCGATAGGAACTGAGCCAGCGTGAGGGCCATGCGGTGCTGAGTACAGAAGAGGTTGTGATGCATTAAGCGGGGGACTTTCCAACATGATAGATGTTGGGGAATGGCGGTCCTCGGCTGGAGTGAGGTAATTTCCATGACGGGGGATCTTGCAGATGGCTGGTTGGCCAAGCTTTCGCTTGAATTACTGCGAGCGCGACTCGCGGCCACGAGATCGTTGTGAGACTTGGACTTGGACAAATCGAGTTTCTTCGGCCTGCCCTTCGTTGAAGCAGGTTGTACCGACTCATGCGGGCGAGTGCGAGGCGCTGTTAGGGGGGCCTTCGGTGTAGGTGTAGTTGGCTTAGATCTCATAGCCCGGGGAGAAGTAGTCGCTTGTCGGGTAGCTTGGGTACTACTAGACTGGGCTCGTGACTCAGGGCGGCGAGCATACGGGTCTGCAGTTGCCGGACGGCTCAGTTCTGGACGTCGGGGCTTCATGGCGGGTCTCATAGGCGCAGAGGACAGAGACGAGAGAGGAGCCCCGGTGGGTACACTACGGGTAGACTTGGAGGTAGGAGCAGGTGGTCTCGCTTCGGCAAAGGTTGGCTGAGCCGACTCGGGTCTAGAAGGCATCTGGGCCTTCTTCCGAGCAGCAATAGCTTCTTGTAAAGCGGAACGACTCTTGGCAGGGCTCTTAGCAGGTAATGCAGATGCACCTTTTGAAGGGGGTTGGGGTTCGATGAATCCTTTTCCAGCAAAGTTCGCGACTTAGGGTCGAGGGTTTCTGAGATCAGATTGGCCCGCTCCGGCCACACGCCGTAGAATGTCCAGAAGGTACTTCGAGTTGCCTCGCGCACACCAGGATTGGCATCTCCCAGTCCTTTCGTAATCGACTTTTCGATGAGATCAAGGCCACCGCCATGTTCGACTGCGCTTTTATGATGAGCCTGGCGGATGATCAAGGCTTTGAGCCACCCAGTCGCAAACAGCCGTACTGCAACATTTTTATCTTGGGTTGCGAATGTGACGTGCTGCAGGAGACGAGCGCTAAATGAAACATTGCGAATAACGACTTCAACAGTGACGTTTCCGTTTTGCGCGGCAATCTTTTTCAACGCCGAGCAAAGCTTCAACAGGTTCTGCATGATGATCTCAACCATTGGGTCGATTCGTGGGCCACATGTTCGGGCAATATCCTGGATTAAAAGACTGCCATTGCTGGACATTGTGGTTCGTAGAGAGTTGACAACCTTTAAAATGCCGTCAAGGAGGGTCTTGACCGCGTTGATATAGGTCTGCGAGAAGTCGTGTGGCGCGTTGCCTCGAGTCAGCCTGCGGAAAAGAATCACATTCTTTTCACGCTTTGACCAATTCTCCTCAGATTCTTTTCCCTCGAACCAGGGCAGCATCTCGCGCACAAGATCATCGACATCCCTTGCCGAGGCAACATCGAACGGTTCCAGACCATCATCGTCTGGCAACGGTTCCTGGGTTGCTGGTGTCGGGGCGGGTGTACGGGGTCGATTGACAATTGGTTGTTCTGTAGGTGCAGAAGAGGCTATCGGTCTCTCACGATTAGCTCTAGAAGCTGGGCGTGTCTTCACAGGCTCCCTCTCTGCAGATGCATTAGTACACCGAGTGCAAATCTCCAAGGATCCGGAAAGGATCAAGATACTAACCATCATCAGTCTGTTCCATAGCATGTGAACGTGACGACATCACTGAAATCGAGCGTTCAGCCCGAGAGATTGGGCGCGTAGAAGATGCAGTCTCGGGTTCAATGGACCCTAAGCCAATTCCTGAGAGGATAGCATTCGCGATAGATTTCCTCACACCGCGTGTCGCCATTTGCTTTTGTAGGTCGGACTTCGCTCTTGCAGGGCCAGTTCTGGGCTTGGTTAGGGGCATTGAATGCAATGGTTAGAGTGATAACTTTACTCACCGGAACAAATCGATCACGACCAACTTGGCAGTATCTCGGACTGCGCTGTCGGCGTCCTCTAAGCAGGAAACTAGCGAAGGAACATATTGGCGAAACAACAAACCATGGTGCTTGGTCATCTGTAAGTCGAGATTAGTGTCTGAGACAAGCCTTGCAGGGCGCATCCATGGATAAGCCTACATTCGCCAACCACAGCATGCTAGTTTCTTTCGCCCGGTGATTTTTCCCAACCAGCGCAACTTCCAGAACATGATATTCGACTTCGTTGCCTGCAAATGGCCACACTTCAGTGAATATGGATGCAGCCTGGGCTCTTATACGTTCTTTCGGGTCATTAAGACGCTCCAACAGAATAGGGTACAAGCTCTGAGCCTGGTGAACAATCCATTGCTCCTGTTCTTGGATTGCAAGGCGCTTCAGGAAATGGCCAAGTGTGGAAAACCCCGCCCCGAGAACAGAGTAGTGTTGAGAGCCGATGGCCAACCGTAGTGTTTCGAAAATGGGGCGAATCGCGCCCTCGGGAACATTTTTCTGTTTAATATCGGACTTGACGCTAGAGAGGTAGGCGATCTTCGAATCGACGGATAGATTGGGGTTTTTGAAGGCCGCCAGTAGTTCTGCTGCCTTCGCCTCCATTGTCAAGACCGAGCGATTGGGTTCAACTCGGGTCAGACGAAGGGGATGGACAGAACCTTGGAAGGATGGTGCTTTTATGTAATAGACAATCGGGGGACTCAAAACGCGACAAGGCTATTCGCGGATAGGAGCACAGACTCGGATCTCGATTTGTCACTAGTAAAGTAAAACAGTTAGCAGCAAATTCCACCAGCGCAAGAGATTGATAGCTCAGAAAACGTAGCGCGATTGTGATCAGGCAAATATGACAACATGGAGGTGTGCGGGCAGTGATAGCGTCAATTGGTATAGGATGGGAGTCGCGAAAAGGTATGGGCCGGGAATACAGGAATGACAAGGAGCATGCAGCGTCAGATGTGGAGGGTATAGCGTACCTAATGCGATGAAGCGACAAATAGAAAGAGCGCAAAGTTGACCTTGGATATGGTGGGATGTTGAAAAGCGGACGGAGCGAAAACAAGGGGCGATAAGCGCGTGACGATAAGCGCGAGGGATATTTTTGAAGGGGGAGGGATATTAAGGGCCAAGGGGGTTTGGGATCGAGTTTAGGGATTATCAGACATTACTATTCCTATTCTGATCTCTTAGTTGATCCCTGTCTTATACATATCCATGGGTCTACGTATGTGCCCGAGGTATAGAGCCCAACCTGGTTTGTTTATTAACGTCTAATTCACGCGTCGCAGTGGGCAACGTCATGTTTACCTATCTCTTGATGGTCAGGGTCAATTTACAAGTAGACCTTTGCATTTCCAACCAGTTCAAAAGAAAAAAATAATGTAAATAAAATTAGCGGGCATATTTGAAAGCTGTTTATTGCATGAAATGGTACCAAAATACTTGACACTTACATTTCCATACTCCGTACAATATCCAATGTGAACAAAGCACCCCACGAGATCGCCAAAGTGGAGCATGTTACCTATTCAGGATTAACAAGGTGTAGGGATCTAGAAGCCTTTCTATCCCCGATGACTTAGGGTTTGAGGTTTTTCCAAGCTTGGGAGGATCGTCTGCAGTTTGACCCTTGGAACCCCGCTCTCTAGACTATCATCCTCCGACAACTCATCCTCCGACAATCGTGTTAAATATATATCTTCCCAGTCAAAAGCTACAACACCACACAATGACGAGCTCCGTCCCAGCACCTCATCCTTCCGCAATCCCCAAAGACGACATCCGGCAGCCGCAGACCTCAACTAAAGAAAAGCAAACAACCACAGCACCCAATCTCACCTCACAAGTCCCCCAGCCAAAGCTCCGCCTACATGTGCAAGAATTACGCCATCCAGCCTCAAGCGCCTTCCTAACCCTCATCCCAGATGTCGCATCAACACTCGACAATGCCCTAGTAAACATTATAAAATACCTGTACACTTCACCCCCAAAATCCGAGGAGACACACCAGCCCACCTTCACACCCAGCATCCCACCAACAAGGTCCGTAACGGTCTTCCTACGCGATTACAGCGGCGTAGCCTACACAACCGGCACCGAGCTCGACGATGCACACAAGGAGATCCACGTCTCTCTGCCGTACATCCAGCACTGTACCTCGGGCCCATCAGCAAAGGAGGACCCGCTCCACGAGCTAGTTGGAGTATTGACGCACGAGCTCGTGCATTGTTACCAGCACACGGCGCCACCTAGCCTTGAAGACAGGAACGAGGACATCCCCCATCCGCCTGGCGGGTTAATCGAAGGCATAGCTGACTTTGTGCGGCTCAAGGCTGGTTTGGAGCCGCCGCATTGGAAACGGCCGCTGTGTGCTGCGGAGCGGCCGCCGAAGTGGGATATGGGGTATCAACATACGGCGTATTTTCTGGCGTGGCTTGAGGATGTAAGGGTTGGGAGGGGTGCGGTGGGGATGTTGAATGATCGGCTTTTGAGGATTGGGTATGTGGGCGAGGAGGGTGTTGAGTACTGGAAGGGTCTTTTCGGGGTTGGGGTTGGGGAGTTGTGGGAAGAGTATGGCCAGTATCTGGATAAGCTTGTGGTGGACGGCGGGAGGAGTAATGGGAACTGGGAGGATGAGATTCTTAATCGGGAGTGATGGGGGGGGGATAGACATCGGTATGTCCATGTCGTGGTCAACTAAAGATATATAACTAGCAGGGCCCAAAGACTAGAAAGCTTCCATTAACTTTGATTTTGTATGCCTTCAGTAGATGCCTGAGAGCTTCTATATTTGACTGGCAGGGTCAGAACGAAGGCCATGACATGCCTAGTTTTGCCCAATACCTGACTGGAGAGTAAAACGGAAGAGAGAGCAGCAAGGGAAATTTCGAAGAAAAAAGACACCAGGTGAATCGAAGGGATTGGAATTCCCATAATGTACAGGATCCAGTCATGCAGGAGACAGGATAGATGACTCTTTTTACCGCCGGCCAGCTTCCCATGCGAAAGAATAGCACACCGGAAAAAGAAAAGCGAGTTGACCAAAAAAACAGACATGAAATAATATGTTACCGCGCCTTGAACCAAGGCATCCCATTGCACCAAATATCTTAAACAATGACCTCACCCAGGTCAACGTGGACCGGCTTCCACGGTAAGGCCGATGGCTCTTCCATAGAACTGGGAACGCGCACAGACAGAGGGCTGTATAGGTACCAACCCTTGAGCGCGGCAACAGCAGCACGCTCGCGGGCCTCCATCAGACTGGCGCCAGCGCCCTCCCCAAGCTTGTCCTGGCCAGAGAAGATACCGACCACGAAGACGGGGTGTCTGCTCTTACGACCAGTCTCACTGATAATCTTGGCGACTGGGCGTTCGAAGCTCTCGCGAGCGCACAACCGGGTCAAGTCACGGGCTGGCGCCTGGAAGTTGAACAATTCTGAGATGTTGAGGTGTCGTGAAAGGAAGTGTTGCTCGAAGAATCGCTTGGCGGCGGCGCGGCCAGCGTGTAGGTAGATGGCGCCCATGACAGCTCGGACGAATTCGGCGCTTGCTTGCTCGGTGGTGACACCTGCGGCAGAGGACTTAACTCCCTTCAGCGGGTCACCGAACTCATCATCATAGAAAATCTTAGAAGTGACCGTTTTCCTCCAATTCTTCTGTGCTTCGTATGGCCGTGCTGTCGGGTGGATCGGGCCCGAGGGAATTTCGGCACCAGGCTCGAGCCTCTGGAACTGCAACAGACCGGGATCGACCTCTCCACCGGGCAACGCGGCCAAGTCAACACCCCATTCTCGTGCCATTGCGGCAAGAGTCTTAGGTCCAGCGTAAGCGTACATGGCAGCGAAAATCACGGTCAATGGCAGACGAGGGTAGGTGCAAATAAGGTGCTCGGTTGCGTAGTAGGAAAGGAGGTCGTGACCGAGAGTGGCCAGCGAGGCATTGTTGAAATTCGGGTTCGGGTCTGCTGATGCATCGACTAGTGTCCGTGCAAGTGTCTCGATAGGTAATCTGGAGGGTAGGTAGAGTCGAGCGTGGAGAGCGGCGAGCTTTGCAGATTGTCGAGCTGCTTCGACTGGGGGAGAGGGATATTGGAGTTGCGAGCGGCGGGTGTGGGAATCCTTGACAATTTGAGCCAATTGTTCATCCAAAGCTGTTGGTTCCTCGAAAATTGCGGCGGTCTGATCATCACGGGCTTGCATCGGGGGAGCGGTCGATTGACACCGTTGCCCGTATATGTGTTGATGCAGGCGGTTAACAGTCCGAGCCCGCGGCGAAAGGACCGAACTGCTCCATCTTTGGAGTTGCAGTCTCTTCATTTGGGCGATTTTGGTCTTCTGAGGGTCGTAAAAAGATTATACAATAAACGGGAGGGAGAATCGCGACGCAATCAATTAGCATACCACCAACGAGAGAGAAGAGAAATTGTCGCGGCAGTCACGGGATGGCCAAGTCGTGTGAGGTTACGCTAAACCCAGTATGGCGCTAGCGCCTTGGCATCAGACCTGCGACCGAGACGGCCCTTTCGGCTTCCACCTTCGAGAACTACTAGCCCTACGCTCGCTTTATCTATTCAACAAACCCTTCAATTGCATCTTCGTCACAATGGGTGGAGGTGGAAAGATCCCGTACGTACTTGTGTTTTTTATGCCCTCGCCAGTAGCTAATGGATTCAATCTGGCAGGTACCCCAAGGAAGTCTGGTCCCCCGCTGGTGGCTGGTACGCCCAGCCAGCCAACTGGAGGGCCAACACTGCGATCATGGGCGCTTTCGTGATTGGTGTCGCTGCTGTCGCCTTCAGTATTAGTGCTGAGCGGGAGTATCGCGACAAGATGCCCGAACCCGGCCGCTTCTTCCCCAGCCGATAGTCCGTTACCCGAACTCTTTATGTCACTCGATATACTGTACGCTGACCCTTACTTTTTTCTCTTTTATAGCTGGAGCAAGCAAATTCGCGAACACGAGCAGAAACAAGCCGCGAAGAACGACTCATGAAGATGGTCCAGGACACTGGACGGCGGTTGTAGAAGGATTTTCAGCAGGACGGACCTTTTCTTTTCGTGTTTTTCTACTATTTGATCACTTGTGTGCTGTACGACAATAAAAGGGCGTTCCTCATCCGGCCTTTGGTCAATTGATCAATATATGTCTCTGAGGAGACTCTTCAAGTGTCCTCAATAATCGCTGCGTGTACAGGCGGACACGTTCCGTGAATTCAGTCCCATTCCACAATTCCTCTCCATTTCCATCAGCATTGATCTGCGGCACACCGATTTGCTCGACCACAAATCCAGCTGCAACAGTTGCGCAAATCAACGCCATAGGATGATTTTGGTAATTACCCCAAGACTGAAGAGCTTTCTTCCAAGTTTCGGAGTTTGATAGAACAGAGTCAATGACCTGGAATGGCTCTCGGCCTGCAGTCACCATGCCCTGGGCTAGAGCACCAAGGAAAGAGTTGCCCGCACCCGTGGGGTCGATAACAGGTGTAACACCTGAGGCATCGGGTTGATGATATGCGGGGAGCCAAATCTTGCCAGACTTTGAGTAGGCGTAGCTACCATCCTTTCCTGCCCTAATAACCAGCATTCCATTTCCATCGGGACCAATCCCGGAGTCTGTAATCCTTTGGACTAGCTGCTGGCCTTCTTGGCTCTTCTCGGTCCAACCGGGATGATCAAACATCATGCCGAGCTCCAGGTGGTTAGGACTCACCACATCCACGACTTTATTTGCGGCGAAGAATTTGTCCTGTTCTTCTGGAGTACAGAGATCAGGGACTGGCTCCCAGACGAAAATAGGGCGTTTAGAAGCACGCGCGGCAGATGGCGCTTTCCCTGCCTTTTGCAACTCGTCGCGTCGCTGGAGAATATCATGCACTATAGACATACAACGAGATGCAGAACAGACCATGTGGAATGTCTTGGACCACACCTGCGAATCGGACAACATTTCAGGCTCGAGCCTTAATTTCGGAGTCAAGTATTTGAAGTCTACCCGAGGTCAGCCATTGTCTTCGTTCCTTCATAGGTATCACCAGAAACTTACCTCGTTTCTCGTCAGGATGATACCCGTTCCATGCTCTCGTTGTCAGCCTGCTTGGGTCTTCTCTAAAAACGCAGGATGTGTTCCATGATTTGATTACATCAAGCGTCTCAGCCGGGAAATCGGAGCCAACATCCACGATCCAGCTCACAGATCGTGCATACTTTGAGCCAGAGACCAAGCGGGCGCCCACGACTGCAAACGAGGCTGCGCCACCCAGGATATTCTTGACACCGGGTCTTGAGCCGCCGAAATCAATCTCATCTGAATAACAATGTACTTGTGAGTCTATATCCCACTCTAGGGGATGAGGTAAACCATACCAATTATAAACATTCCCAAGGTACAGAACTCGACCTCCATGGTCTGGTCTTGGCTCACCATATCTGCAGCCAAGGCTATGTATAGATACGAAAAAGGAGGTTGTTCAGAGACACAAAGAACAACCGAACACTTAAAGTGTTCGGAAGTTTGACTATCGCATTACGGTGGATCGAATGATGGTAATATCATTACCAAATATACCCCGCAACGTCATTCCCACCTGCGGATCCCGCCGTAACGTACCATACCAACGTCTAGAGCCGTCATCTGCGGACTTCAGGAGCTCCGGCCTTTTGTCTTTCTTTCTACTCCCTATCATCCTGTTGTCTTTGGAACTCGAGGCCTAATTCTTATCGAATAGCAGGGGATTTCGCTTTCCGACAATCCCTTCTATCTAATCAACTTCCCCCTTTTACCTTTCCGCTTCCATCGTTGGAGCAACGTGTTGCCTATAATGGCGTCCGGCGGCCATATGCATAACTTCACCACCCTCATCAAGCGGTATGTATCCTTGCTAGTGCTCACTGGCCTATGGCATTTTGCTCTTGCTTTGATCCCCGCCAAGTTAATTCGCAACTACGTCTGGCACATTTGACTGACATTGGATTTATTCACAGGCTCGAGGCAGCGACCTCACGCTTGGAGGACATGGCGATGTCATACGATGATCCTAACGCGTCAAAGACCTTGGCTGGATCTCCTGCCTCTGCCCCCACTATTCCAGAACCCCCTAAGCCCTCCCCTCCTCCTCCCGCAGCCCCTGTGGCGGCCCCAGTTCCGCCGCAGATTCAGGACTTCGATGCGTTGATTAAGGGAGATGTTCAACACTTTGTCAACCTGGGAGAGAAGATTGGCGGCCTGGTTGCTGAACAAGTATGTATTTGAGCAATGCTGCAAATTTGGTCTGCCGCGAGCAGTTGTTGACTGGATCTATAGTCCAAAGCCGTCCTCCAGGCCTTCCAAGCCGAACGCACCTATCTTTTCGTTGTGACAAAGGCCAAGAAGCCCGATACCCAGCCTCCGGAGTTAATGACGGATCTGCACAAAGCATCCGATAGCATTAACAACATTCGCGAATCAAACAGAGCATCGCCGCTATTCAACCACCTGAGCGCTGTTGCGGAGGGCATTGTTGCGCTCGCTTGGTTCTTCGAAAGCAAGCCTGCGGAGTTCGTCACGGACATGATCGGTGGCATTGAATACTACGGAAATAAGGTGCTGAAGGAGTACAAGGACAAGTGAGCACCCCTCTTAACGATGTCATGAACGAACTCCCATGTTGACAGTTTGACAGGGACAAGACGCATGTCGAATACATCAAGGCCTACTATCAAAACTTCAAGGCTCTTGCGGAGTACCTCAAGAAACACTTCCCCCAAGGTCTCACATGGAACAATGCATCTGGCATTGATGCCTTGGAAGCTTTGAAGCAGGCCAAGGGCGGACCTACCCCCGTCAGCGGCGGCGCCCCTCCTCCTCCCCCTCCCCCTCCCCCTCCCCCTCCCCCGGTCCCATCCCTCAACGTCCCAGGTGGCGGTGCTCCTCCTCCACCTCCACCTCCTGGCATTCCCCCCCGCTCCGGCCCCTGCAGCGCCAGCGGCAGACATGGGCGCTGTCTTCGACCAGCTCAACCAGGGTGAGGGTATCACCTCTACCCTCCGCAAGGTCGATAAATCACAGATGACACACAAGAACCCCAGCCTGCGTGCCGGATCAACAGTCTCAGAGTCCGAGGGCTCCAGCGCCGTGCGGGGCAAGTCGCCCGCACCTAACAAGAAGCCCAAGCCCGAAAACATGCGCGCGCGCAAGCCACCCCGCAAGGAACTCGAGGGCAGCAAGTGGCTCATCGAAAACTTTGATGCTCCTGGCGAGATCATCGAGATCGCCGCCCAGCAGAACCAGTCCATCCTCATTACCCGCTGCAACAAGACCATCATTAAGGTCTCAAACAAGGCTAATGCCATCGCCATCGATAACTGCGTTGGCCTCTCTCTCATTGTCGACTCTCTCGTTAGCAGTCTTGACATCATTAAGTGCCCCAAGTTCGCTGTGCAGATCGACGGCACGGTCCCCACTTTGCTGATGGACCAGGTTGATGGTGCTGCCGTTTACCTTGGCCAGCAGAGCCTCAACACTGAGGTCTTCACTAGCAAGTGTTCTGCCATCAACATCAACCTTCCGCCTCCGGAGGGCACCGATGGAGATACCAAGGAGTGTCCTCTGCCCGAGCAGTTCAAGAGCTACATCAAGAACGGCGTTCTGGTTAGCGAGATCGTCGAGCATGCTGGCTAGGCTAGACTTCTTGATTAAAGAGGACTAGGAGAGCTTATCTCCTTGGACTTGGAGGAATTGTAATACATTACGCCAGCCGGATCGAGATTACAGTCTTCTTCTTGGGTGGCTTGGCACTTTTATGTTGGATCATTTGGTTGCTGTATCTAGCGCTCTGTAGATATAAATTGCAGGAACACTCTTGTTATACTTTTCACAAAATCTCGTTTTTTCAAGTCCTACAAATCAACACTCCCGAATGTGGCGATGGGACAACTTCCAAATATATATTCGCTGTTCAGGCATGTTGTCGTAACCATAGAACTCAAAGTGGTGTACCAAGACAGTTCACATAGCAAAATAGATAGTATATAGCCAGTTCCAAAATGTAATCATTTACAGAAACCATGACATTAACTTAAAAGTAAACATCAAGCCGACATGGCGAGAGAGGATACTAAAAATGAACATAAAAATGGGGTATAGTCAACGACCCATGCGCCTGAGCTTCCCAATATAACCAGAAAGCAGGGAACGAAATAAAAATGACCAGAAGTCCAGGTGGTCAAGAAAAGAGATACACACATTGACTAGGTGTGAATGAATAGGTGTGAATGAAGATAAATTAAATACTCGGCGCTATTATGTGGGTCAGTATCAACAGGGATCAGCTGCAAACCAGTGCGCCTAGTGTCATGCTGTTCTGAGCTGTTCTTCGAGAGTGATATGGTCAGGAAATATTTCAAGTCAAAACAAGCCAAGATACACAGGGAAGATAGGAGTTATTATTGTCAAACGGAATGGCGAGGAGGAGATGTTTTTGGACTTGCAGTGTATTGTATTGGGTTCGTTTAGCGAAGACGTTGGTCGTGGGTGGGAGATGGTCGATCATAGAAGCCTAATTTAAGGGGATGCTGTTCATCTACTGTGGTCTCCTGTCTGTGTACGTCGAGGCCTCGAAGTCTCTTGGCGAGCAGGCTTTCGCCTGGTTCTGGACTGCTTGGATTTGAGGCAAAAGGATGACGTCCGTAATGCTCGCTGTCCCTGGTGAGCTTATTGTACGGAGACACACTGTGCGAGCAAAGAGTATTTGCAGAGCCAGCTGCACTATCCCAGGGACTTCGCTCATCTAGCTGCGAGGGGAAGTGGCTAGGAGACAACACGTGTGGGTGGAGGTGGGGGATCGGTCCTTCGTCCCTTCCCGGTCCGCGGGAAGTGTGTTTAGTTTGTAGGCTCGTATTTGGGCTCGCAGTACTCGAGATGGAAGAAGGCTTGTACGGAGTATACCGAGGCTCGGGGATTTGTATCTCATTCCGTAGTTTTTCCTTGCCATCCGGCACGCGGTTTGCAAATACCACGCGAATAGACGGCTGTAGGTAAAAGCGACCGCGCGCAGGACAACAGATCTTGAGATGAATGAGGTATCGCAAAGTGGATTTGTCCTGGTCCTGAGGATCTTGTGTGGAATTCAAGGAAGCTTCGGGGCGATCAGTCCCAAAATCCTTCCGTGCACTGAGCGGCATATCGATGATCGGACCTGCCGAATAGCTGCGTTGCCGAATGAAGGTTTTTGTACTAGGTTCCATATCACTGAGGTCGTATGGGACTAGGAAAAGCTTGACCGCAGTTTTGTGCGGGTTCTTTATTATGATTTGTAGTTGACCTTGCTGCGGAATGCGGTAAGACCCTTTTGGGGGACATTTAGGCGACTGTGACCTGCGACCCTTCTTTTCACGAAGGCGTCGTGATTCAGCACCAGCACCAGGTGTGTGGATATCGTTTGTTTCGTCCGTTGGGGGAACCACTTCATGAGGTCCTTGGGGACTTGGATGTCGCCTGCGACGTCGAGTCGGATTGGGGTTCTCTCTTGGGAGGGAATTTTCCAGGTCAATTGTTCCCACATACGGACTGGGATTGTCGTCTGAGATTGAGCGGCCGCACCCCGAGGTCGGATAACTGAAAAAAACAGCCGGAAATGGCACAGTAACGTGTGGCGGGCATTTGAGATGGCCTTTACATTTTCCCTTGCCCAGGACACCGATTTGAGCTATGAAATCCAGCGGCTTGGAAGGATTCATTGACATTCTTCCGGACAAAATCGACTCCTCATAAGACCCCACCATCGGCGCGTGGGATTTTGACGAGATGTCAGAGACAATAGATGGCCTTCTTACTCGTGATGGTGGAATCTGCCCCCCAGAAGACGGTGCGAGTTGAAGACTATATGTTGAATTTAATGACCGGCGAGGCAAATGTGTTTGATTGGTAAAGATATCTTGCTGTCGTCCAAGCGGAGATGGACTACCGAGATTTGTGATTTCATCGTCTGGCGAGGAAAATTGAAGATTCCCAAAAGTGTCTGGCGGCAAAGTACGGCGACGGTTTGATCTCTCCGAAGGCTCCAAAGCGCCCTCATGGTCAACACGGGACGAAAAGTCCAAGTCGGTGTTATTTGCTTGGTACACTAGAGGACTGGTAGGAGCTTTCAGGACATAACTTGATGAAAACGAGCCCACCGACGGTGCACGAGCACGAACATTCACGATAACGTTGGACTGATGATGTTCATTTGATGTGCTTGTCTTTCGCAAATCGGGTGGCAAGGCTGCTGCTGCAAACCAGGGAGTTGTGGGTGAAGATCTCAAAGCCGCAAAGGGAGAAGCCGGACTCTGCTCAGTCAAAGGAGATCGAGGAGAGTGTGAGTCATGGGGATCTGTGACTCCTTCCCCAAAATCACCTGAGTGTAATGCTGACCGAGGTCTCTGGATATCGGCCGGCGATCCCAGTTCCTCTGTCGCGTTGATGCGATTGCCTTGGTTGAGAGAGCCTTGGTTGAGAGAGCGGTCTTCATGCTCTCTCATTGCTGTTGATGACTGCTCCCATGATATTTGAGAAACAAATAAATCATTGTTTTCTCTATCCGGGGACTGCTGGCACGTTAGCTTATGTATACTTGACAAATTGGGCGGGCCTTATGAAACAAAAGACAAAGAGAACAAAACCGGATTGAATAAGAGAGCTTTCACAACAAGCAGATATTTGAAAGCAAGTTAGATATCCAAGAAAAGATTCACATACCATGTGTTGAAGTCTCCAAGGCGAAGATTCTTTGATACGGTGTATGAGCTCCTCCCGGTCATTTGCCCACGTCTTGGGCGGATTTAACGCTGTTGAATGTATAGAGTTGGTTGCTATTTCTGGAGCAGCTATCTCACGGTGATTGATAACATTCAGCTGGGGCTGTGAGGACTCTATCGTTGGCTGTTCATGGTTGTCATGGTCGGGTGACCATAGATAATGACGCCGCCGATCCGGATCTCGAAATAGGGGCATGGTGGCGTGATAAGGGCAGACTACAAGGCCTGAGACGCTAAAAGTAACATTTCAGGAGGTCACCCACGTAGCACCTTTTGAAACCAGAGCCAAGCTGTGCCGCGGTGGGGGAGATTTTGATGCGGTGTACCAGGATGACTCGGGTATATGCCGTCAAATAGTTCTACTGATTGGCGAGGAAGGCGGTGCTTATATGGAAGATAGCATGTCACTCCATGGGGTTGCCTTTAGCTTTTGTCTTAAGGTATGGGTGTCCAGTCTGCCTCAAAATGTCGGACAAAGAATTAAAAGAGAAGTACAGAGTGTTGAGCACTCAGTTGGGAGGTGGACACCCGTCGATCTCGGAGATCCGGACTGAGAACGTCATGTGATGGACCGGTGACGTTGTGTTGCACTGTTAGGTGCCGAAGCCCTATATTGTTCTATATTTGCATTCTTTAGGTCTCAATCATATTGAGACCCGATGCCTAAAGCGTGAAAGATGTTGGGGAGAAATGGCGAAAACAGAATGTGCCTGCTGGAATGACAAAAGAATCAGTGAATAATGTCACATGTAATGCCACAATCTCACATGTAAGATCACACATATTGTAGATATTTCAGGCATTACAATGATATATATTCTTCACCGTCTCATTCTTTCGTCACCAAACTCGAGGAAATAAAAATGTTAGTATACCGTTCACAAAGTTCATACTTAGCTGCTAGTGGCCGAGACCAATGTTCCGTGCGGAGATCGCCACTTTTTTTTTTTCTCTCCGAAAGTCTTTCAATTCCAACACACAGCACAAAACACAGTTGTTTTGTTTGAATACCAACATGGCACCGAAACGTACCCGCGATGGCGATGCTGCTCCATCATCGAAGGGCGAACCCGAGGTCAAGAAGCGCAAGGGTTTTAGCGTTGGACCCGCAAACCTCCCAGATGGCACATATCGTCGCAAGAGTGAGCATGCCTCAAATCACTGTTTTGAACTAGAATTAGACTGACAAAAATAACCAACCACAGCTCAAAAGATTAAAAATGACTTGATTCACAAGGCCAAAGTGAAGAAGGCATATGCCAAGATCAAAGCCGAAGAACTCGCAATCGCGCCTAGGAAATCTGTTTACGATACCGCCGAGGGAGACGAAACAAACACTGGCAAGGATGACGAAAACACCGTTGAAGAGGCAAAGACTCTAGAACTCCACCCGGATCGCATAGCCATGTTGAACGAACCCGAGCCCGAGCCGGCACCTGCCCCTAGACCAGAACGACGCCCACGAGGCGATGGCAAACAGAGGGAGCGCAGACCAAAGCCCTCTGCCTTCGCAAAGGAGATGGAGTTTGCAGAGAAGCGGAGGCAAGCGGAGGAAAAACGACAGAAGGAGCGCGAGGCGAAACAAAATGAGCGTGAGAAAATGCTGCGCGCGAAGCGGCCGGATCAGTTTGGAAAGAGGAGATTAGGCAGAGAGAGCAATGCGCTCCTTAGTCGTGTACAGCGAATGGTTGGTAAGAATTAGAGAAAAGCAAGAACTACACATGGCGTGTACTATGTTTTCATGATACCCGGTTATGAAAAAAAAAATAAAAGCATTCAATATTACGATCCTTGATTCTTTAGTAGCATTATCTTGCTAAATCTATGTCGCTGCCGCAGCGGACGACTTATTATTCCCTCCGCCATTTGCACCTCCGTTTCTTGGCTTTTTGAAACAAGCAAACTCGCCCTTCGTCCGATCTCTGAGCCGTTTTAGGATAACCCGCATTTCTCCTAGTTCGGCCTTCAGTTTGGTGCGAGCTTCGTTTGTGGTACGACAATCCAGCTCCACGTAGATCTGACTTTGCACATTCGATGCTTCCTCGGTTATGTAAGAGGTGAGAGTCTGTGCAATGAACTCAGTGTCTAGGGTAGCTTGCATTAATGCTGGGAGGGAGAAGGAGGGCCGAGCACGGAAAGCATCAAGCAGTGACGAAGAAATTTGAGAAAGAAGATGTGTCAACACAGTGGACAGCAGCGAGGAAGGTGAACTTGATGCAGCTCGACTAGCACCTGAGGACACAGTGGACGGAATCGTTGTGGAGATCTCTGTGTGGACCAGCACCATGGTCAACATGGCGTTGTAGACATATGGGCGAACTTGCTCCGGCCTGTCGACAGACGGCTCCCAATCTGGAGATGTAATGCCAGCGGTGATTGTTTTGTGTAATGATACAGTAGTAGGGGTGATATATGATTGGAATAGCCTGTCCTCAATCTGGCTTAGCACGTCCCGGACGGTCTTGGCCTCTTCCGTCAGCTTGACTGAGAACGATGTCTCAAAGTTTGAGATAAGCTGTGGGACATGATCGGCCTGTAAAGCTTTGAGATTTGAGAGTGTGAGAAGGATTCGAACATTCTGTTTTGTGGTTAGTTACGCATGTATCACATCGAACTGGACCGACACTTACCCGATTCCAAGAATCGACCGAGTCAGCCGAGAGAACCGACAAAGCAGCATCAGTAGCCTGGCTTGTCATTGCTGGTCGAGCAATAATCCATTCATTTTCCTCATCTACTGTTGTCAGGCGCTCTGCATTTTCGACCAGGCCGCTTAACGCTTTGTAAACACTCGATACAAACTGAGAGCGGACCATTTGAAGTAGTTTCGCAGGCGGCTGAGTGACAACATCCACAGAACCTGGCTTTGCCATAGCCTCCGAAATGTAAAGAATCTTTTGCATGCCCCCAAGGATAGCACTCTCATAAGCCACAAAGAACCCGGGCATCTTAGTCAAATCACGGTTCTCTGAATCGCGTGTCCAGTCTTCCAACATTTTGCATATCTCCGCATCTTTACTCCAGGCAGCGCACGCCACACGTGCACATCGTTCCCGGGAAATGCTGACAAGCGTCTTGAGGAGATCATATGTTTTTCCAGAGCCGCCAATCGGCCCCAGGGCTGCCATTTCGCTCGCCGCGGTGCCTACAATGATAAGGAACTTGCTCAGGTAATGTACTCCACTGAGAGAATTGGAAAATGGCGGCCAGAATGCGAAAGTCTCCCAGTGCTCTCCAAGCTTTGGGGGAGGATATGGTAAGTTCCTTGGATCCAGTTTGAAGCGGGACTCTGTCGGAGTGATACCCCTCGACTCTGGGGTTGATGGACTTGCCGGGATTGGGGAGAAGAGTAGGGAGATATCTTCGGTGGGAGGTTCGGTGAAGAGGGCCACGACATTCTCTCGAATAATATTGACCAGCACGTCAATGCCTTTCTCTAATTTCTGGATATTATCGTCAGAGAGATGGTGATGCTTGCGACTCTCTCCTTCAAACCCAGCAGGCAAAAGCCGTTGTCGACTGCCATCAATGAATGATTGTGCAACTTCCCAGAAATCCAACACCTCACCCAGCAAACCACTTTGCGAGGACGAGAGCCGAGTTAGGAACGTTTGTATACATTCCCACAACTCAATGACGGAATCCGTGTCTAGTCTCCCAGGAGTTTCTACAGCACCATCACGAGGTGCCAGGCGGAGATAGGATGCTGTAGCCTGCGGTGTTGGTCTCTCTCCACAAGCCAGCCTTCTTCTTAAAATTTCAATTTCGACCTTGCATCTGTCACAGAATCCGGTAATCTTCGTTTTCAGAAATTCATAACGACTCTGAAGCCATTTCCAGATAGGGTTGTCCTCAACACCCAATTCCAACAAGGCCCCGATCAACTCCATGTGCTCTTCCACAGGCCCCAAGGCAGTGGTTGTGGTTGACGTGGTAGGAGCGTCAGCAAGACGTCTCCAGAGATCGCGCTTAAAGTCGTGAATTTGTTGATCAACGTCCATCCACATCCGACCCATGGCTAGAATGGTGTGTGTCTCTGAGTCGTTTAGTTGCCTGCGGGAACTGGTCGATGCCTGTTCTGCAATATTTTTCGCTCGGTTGGCGAGTGTCCTTGCTTTGGTATACTGCTCAAAGACAGCGTCATAGTCACGTTGCTGAATGGACTTTGATAGAAGGCTCCCAATTTCATAGACATCGCGGTGTTTCTCCATAGTCTCCACCACTGACTTCAGGACCTTTTCTCGGTCCCGTCCTCCAAGAGCCGGTCCCCACACCTCTTCGGCCTTGACAGAAGCCTCGACCAAAGGACCTCTGATACCCTTCATGCCGAACTCACTTTCCTTGACAAGGGCGGTCTTCTTGGGAACTATCTGGGCGGGAGATACACTCCGTTGCTGACCTGAATAGCTCCGGAAATGTCCCGACCTGCGGGGACTCAGACCTGGCCCTGGTTGTTTATCAACGCCCTGGTTCCTCATCTCGGTATAGACGCTATCGATAGTTGCCTTGGCACGGACGAAACGCTCAAAATTAGCTTCCACCAGTACTTTTAGCGACGCCGATTTCTGGTCGATGGAATGCGATAGGTTATCCAGGCCGCCCGTCAGCGTTTCAATGGAGTCTGAATGATGGGCTTGTGATAGAAATAGTGCGGGCGAGAATGATGTCGATGACAGAAGGAATCGTGATTTGCCTTCTTCCTCCAAGGGCACTCCTCGCTGCTTGAGGATTCGGAGAACGCTGTCACTTGTACCCAGTGGATCGGGCTCGTCTTCCCGCGCATTTTCCCTGCCCTCCTTCCCTCTCCGGGAACCAAACTTGCTTCTCCAATCACTGGGGCTGCGTTCAAGAGCTATGTATCGAGACTTGCGTGGACGGGAGTCTGTTCGCTGAACTTGCTGCTCTTCTGGCTCATCGGCCACGTCTAAAGATGCTGGCCATTCCTCGGGGAACTCGGAGGGCAGGTTGTAATGGCTTGCGACATCGAGGTCAGCCATGACGGAAGGAGCCAAGACCAATTGAAATACAAAATAGAATCACAGATCTTTATGCAGGTGATCGAGATCAGATAACAGAACCCTAATCAAAAGCTGAGCTGTAGTCATGTGTCGTCAAGAGTGGACACCTGGAAGAGTGGACTCGGGCCGTGGGGGAAATGAAACCAATGCGGTCTGAGTCCCGGTCGGATCGGTGCGGCGCCGAGAGATTTGATTCTTTCTTCCTCTCTCCTTCTTCCTTCTTACCCTCTCACCACTTCTTATCTTCCCCAAAGTAATTGAAGGGATCTTTCAAGATGATTGCTGCCCGGAACTTCTCTGTCGCTCGCCAGTGCATGCGCCCGTCCCGCGTGGCCCCCCGATTTGCTGCTCCTATCGCGCAGGTACACACCCCCCTCAAGGACAACAATGTCATTAACAATGAAAGTTCAATTGACTGATTTTCAACCTTTCGAATAGGTTCGCTTCTACGCCAGCCCTGCGCAGGAGGCTGTTGCCAAGTTCAAGGGTCAGAAGGGTCCTGATGTACGTTTTTCTCCCACCGAACCCGTTTTTTTCATCTATGCCGGTGCCAGCCGCGCCAGCGCACATCCACCATAAATCGCTATAACACCACCCCGTGTATAATTACGACCATGCTAATAAATTTCTTTTCTCTCTCATATAGGGCAAGTACACTGTTACTCTGATTGAGGGTGACGGTATTGGTCCTGAGATCTCTCAGTCCATTAAGGATATCTTCGAGGCCGCTAAGGTACCGATTTCTCCAACATACGAAATCTTCAAAATGATCGATATACTAAGTCAGTCATAGGCCCCCATCAAGTGGGAGTCCGTTGATGTCACCCCCATCCTGAAGGATGGTAAGACCGCCATTCCCGATGATGCGATTGCCAGTGTGCGCCGCAACTACGTCGCCCTGAAGGGTCCTCTCGCTGTATGTTCCAGCTGCAAATTGCCCATAATTATTTCGCAACTGAACTCCGATACTAAACTCCGATTTCTCAGACCCCTGTTGGCAAGGGTCACGTCTCCCTGAACTTGACTCTCCGCCGCACTTTCAACCTGTTCGCCAACTTGCGTCCTTGCCGCTCCATTGCCGGCTACAAGACCCCTTACGACAACGTCGACACTGTCCTCATCCGTGAGAACACCGAGGGTGAATACTCTGGCATTGAGCACGTCGTCGTTGACGGTGTCGTGCAGAGCATTAAGCTTATCACCCGCGAGGCTTCCGAGCGTGTCCTCCGTTTCGCCTTCCAGTACGCGCAGTCCATCAACAAGAAGAAGGTCCGCGTTGTCCACAAGGCCACCATCATGAAGATGTCCGACGGTCTGTTCCTCAACACCGCCCGCGAGATCGCCAAGGAATTCCCCGATATTGAGTTCGATGCTGAGCTGCTGGACAACTCATGCCTGCGTATCGTCACCGACCCCACCCCTTACAACGACAAGGTCCTCGTCATGCCCAACCTGTACGGTGACATTCTGTCCGACATGTGCGCCGGTCTGATCGGTGGTCTCGGTCTCACTCCCTCCGGTAACATTGGTGATGAGTGCTCCATCTTCGAGGCCGTCCACGGCTCCGCCCCCGATATTGCCGGAAAGGGTCTCGCCAACCCCACTGCTATGCTTCTTAGCAGTATCATGATGCTGCAGCACATGGGTCTCCACGACCACGCCAACCGCATCCAGAAGGCTATCTTCGATACCCTCGCCGAGGGCAAGGTGAGTTTATACATCTATATCTGTACCTACTGCGCATTACTAACCCCATGACCTTTAGACCCTCACCGGTGATCTTGGCGGTAAGGCCAAGACCCACGAGTACGCTGGGGCTATCATCAAGCGCCTGTAAAGCAAGCGCTGCTAGGACTCCTTGTACTATGACCCCTTGATCTATTCCCTTTGTACCCTTCGAACGACATTAGACCTATAGCGATCGAAATATACCTATTTTTGGTTATCTGGAGGCCCCTGATTCTCAAACAACGTTCAAGCTTTCTGAGTCAGATTTTGGTAACTTTATGTTGTAGATTGGTCGATCCTGCTATTGTAGCAACAAGATACAAGATGCCTGCATAGTCATACATCACTAAAACAAAAGAAAACGCCATCCCTCGAACTCCGTAGGTATCAAAGTATGTAACCCATATCGAAAACATAGTCGCTTTTAACGGCGTCGGGCAGTCCTGCGTGTCGCAGTGCCAGCTGAAGGCCTCTTATCTTTGGCTTTGGATCGAGATGTCTGTGCTCTGGTACTTCGCGAACCACCTTTTTCGCCCTCGTCCTCATCTTCCTCACTATTGCCTTCAGAGCCCTCATCACCTTCCTCGTCATCCTCATCATTTGCACCAGTGTCTTCTGCCGAATCGCCCCCTTCGTCAGACAATTTGCCTTGATTTCCGGGACCGATTTCCACCTGCAGCCGAGTTGAGCGTGTTCCACGCGTGGAAGGACGGGGCATACGGCCTCGTGACGGGACAGGAGAAGACCGTGGTTCTGCGGTGGACAAGAGGTCAGTTTATGGGTTGCACACTAGGCTGTCAATGATATAATATCTTACCATCTGTATCGGCGACTGTACTCCCTCGTCGTGATCCGCCTGCGCGACTGGCACGACTAGTGACTGGCGACAATGACTCTTCCATCGCAAGCCGCCTTTCAAACATCATATCGCCGTACTCGTCATACGGGAGCTCAAACGTGCAATACATCTCGCTTGTTCCTTCATCGTCTTCGTTGATATCGGTGATCACTGAATCTTCCTGTAAACATATCGCTGATCAGCAAAATGAACGGGCGCGGACAAAGTTTCGAGCACGCTTACCCGCTCGTCAAGAGCTTCTAAATTGTATAGGGAGCCTAGCTTCTTCCAGATACCTGGAATCCGCATATGCTCTGCCGTAGAAGGTGCGTATCCTTGGCTCTTTAAGTAATCTGAGATCGCGAGCATTCGAAAGTGTTTATGCAGGCCTATGGGACCAGACGGTTAGCTGCGTTGTCGACTCGAGAGAGGAATTGAACTCACCAACTGGTTTCCATTTTATGATCGCTTTGAGTAGCGCGGTCTCTTGCTCGTCTGTCCAGGGATCTGTGATGAGGTTGTAGTCTGTGTCTGTCTTGTCGGCGCTGTCGCTTGACGGGGTGTTTGCGCTCGACTCCGCCATGGTGTCATCTTGGGGTGTGGGCGAATGTGCGCGCTTGGATTTCTTTTTTGGAGGCATTGCAAATTGGGTGGAATATTAGAGGACTACACGGAGTAGGAATTGAATCGGGAGGGGAGGTGATGAGCTTCGAGCTGGACGAGGGCACTTTCTGTTATCAAGGGTCTGTGCACGGCGATAGTCATCTCCGCCGCGGGACCAATCTGGGAACTTTCACGCGTCAAACATCTCATATGAGCATGGTCTCACTATGGATTATGATGAGCTGGATCCATTCTCCAGTGAAAGCCTCTGGAGACTCTCTAAATTCAGCATAGAGGCTTTACAGCCATTGGGATCTTTACCATGGAACACTACTCTAAGTGGTAAGTGTCAACCGCATGTTCTCTAGAACCTTCAATAACACGCTCTTCTCATAGATGATGCTACATCCTGCTTCGAAGTATACCCACAGCCTACAGATAAGATTGATCCTGTATGGAAGCTGGACCTCTTTCCAACCGACCTGGAAAAGCCCGAATCACCTCCCGACTCGATCATCAATCCCTCCATAGACGGCGAGTCTGATGCCACATGTGATTCTTTAAGAGAAGTTTCCTGCGATGACAACGATATATGGTCCCTGGACTCACTCCAGGAAGACCCCGCTCAAATACACCCCCAGAAATCATGGGAGAGGTATCAACATAGATCTTTCCAAGAGCCTAAAGGTGTCTATTTCAGTGAATCTGGGCCAAAGGGCTTCGATGCAGTTTTGGAACGGCAAAATTCCACAAAAAGAGATGGCGCACCGCAACGACTTGTTCGAACAGATGTTTTTATTCAATCGTTGCTTCGTCTTGGGCTTGGCTGGAGCTCTGCATTCTTTCGCTACAATGAATGCACTCACCAATTTGAAAGATATTCCAAGGACATCCGGATCTCTGGTATCAGCTCATTGGCATTGGAAAATGTGATTGAATATGTGGTCCAATGTGGTACCAATATGCAGCGCATGCGGTTGTTTGCGCAAGACCCGCCTGCAAAATGCAGAGAAATGTCTGCTTTGTTCACATTAAGCAGCACGGTCGCAGTAATAATCTTTAATCTTGAAGAACTGATCTCCGATCACTCAAAAAATATTACATCACTTCTACAGATAAAGGCACTCTTTCACCGCTGCGGGGACTTGATAGGTGTGTTGGCAGCTATTGTCGGTGCAGCACAAAGGGCTGTCTCAGACGCACAAGTCATGTCAATTGTCACAGAACGTGCTGCATTTTTTGCCCATAAGTTTGACTGGATAGAGAACCTTGTGCATGAGATTGTGATCAGTGTGACTCGGCCATGGTTCAAATTCGTCGAGACTTGGATTGGGCTTAGGCCCGAAGATGCAACCCTCAAAGAATCTATGGCAAGCGGCAAAACCTTCGTCAAACTGGTGACTCATGACGGCGGCAAGTTTAAGACTGGGCCAGTACGAATCGACCACATCTATCAAGCGGACCACATGCCGTCTTTCATTCCTGCGGACCAAGCCCGTTCCATCTTTGAGAGTGGGCGGAGTCTTCAGCTTTTGAAAAGATCCCATCCTCATCATCCCATCGCGAAGCGTGATGTCCTATCGCGAACCGGGAGTCTACATCTTCATTGTGCGACCACTTGGGCTGATATTGAGCAAATTCAAACAAAAGCCCAGGAGTACGAGTCAAGTCTCCGTGCTGAGGTCAAGAAATATCATAAGGGTGATGCAGGCTTGCAAGATACACCATCAGTAGTTGCCACTCAGGGTGTCGATCAAATCACCGACACAGAAGTCACAACGGCAGCTTTTGAACTCTTCGACATTGATGATGAGAAAAATGCTCCAGGGCCACTCACAGACCACAAGGCTCTTTCGAAGGATGATTTCAAGTGGCTGCTTAACAAAGCCCGGGGATTTGGATCTGAAAAAGCCAATGAAGAACGCTACCTGTGTCCTGAATTGACCCATGGCCTCCATCTATCGCTTGCGCCCATTCTTTCATCACAGGCACTTCTGGTTGACTACTCTTGCTTGCACCTTCTCTTCAAGGAGCATCGACTCCGGCATCATCTCAACATGCAATGGCGCTTTCAGTTGCTGGGAGAGGGCTCGTTTGTCGCGCGGCTTTCTCATTCCCTATTCGACCCGGAAATGGAAAGCGGAGAGCGAAAGGCTGGGAAAGTTCGTAGTGGTGTTGATACTGGTCTACGCCTCGGTAGTCGTGATACATGGCCACCAGCTAGTTCGGAGTTGCGACTCGTGTTGATTGGCCTGCTTGGAGATTGTTACTTTGGCAGCACAAATACAGATGATGACGAGAAAACCCACATCCAAAGGGATAACGAGTTGCCTGGTGGCCTGAGCTTCGGCATTCGAGACTTGACAGACGAAGAAATTGAAGGATGTAAAAATCCAAATGCAATACAGGCTTTGGACTTCCTTCGTCTGCAGTACACGCCTCCAGAAGTCCTTGAATCTCTCATCACTGCTCGCTCTTTGAATAAGTATGATCGTCTCTTCAAGCATTTATTGCGATTAATCCGCATGGTTTCTGCCGTCAAAGGACTTATTCGGGATTCAACTTCTCGAGTATCTCTGTCAGGAGACACACGCGATGTATACCAGAAGTTTAGAGTGGATGCCCAGAATTTTGTTCTGGCAGTCAGTGATTACTGCTTCCACATTGGCATTGGATCCATCTGGCAGCGCTTTCAAGGCACACTTTCCAAAATTGAACACTGCCTCAACCGGGGTGATATCGACGGCACGATCGAAGCGGCGCACTCGGTACCACGACTCCGAGATTATCACGAAGACATCCTTGACCAGATGCTCTTCGCGTTATTCCTCAGTAAGCGCCATGCCCAGGCGGCCAAACTGCTTGAATCCATTTTCGGTACTATCCTCGCCTTCAGTCTTCTGTCAAGAGCAGATGCAATTGGGATGCGCAACGAAAGCGAAGGAGCTGTTCTACACCTCTATCAGTCTTTTAGAAAACAGACCTCCGCCTTTGTCAACTACCTTCGCAGCTTGGAGTCCGGTAAGGCCACTTCAAAATCAATGGCGAAATCAGGGGCATTCTTCTACTCGCGAACAGACCCAACCAGTGTCTTTGAGCATCTGCGAGTGAGACTGGACGTGAAGAACTACTATTGATTGAAGGAAGCAGTTGCGACACGATCAAAATGTGTAAAGAACAACTTACTGGATCTTAGCTGGGACCCTCGTCACTTCGTTTTACTGCTTGGACATGTTATGATTCATGATTGACGAAATTTCTTCAAAATTCACTTTGTTTCTATGCGAATGAAATCCCAATGTCTCTATACCTTTCTGGCTCGCGCGTGATTTGCCTCATGTCCCTAACTACTAACTATTGTACAACACAAAGTCAATACACATTTCATGCGCTATGTCCGAGATGGACATTATTCATGCCCGCACCAAATCTAGAAGAAGTGAAGATCCGAGTCGGCCCAACCTTGGGCAAGAAGAATTTTGCGAGCAGACTTCTCCATAGGTCCAGGTCCACAGATCAGAACCATACTTTGCTCTTCCGGAGCCGCATACTCCGCGAGCAGTTCCTCAGAAATACGTCCCCGACGACCAGTCCAGGCATCAGACCCTCTAGTCAAAGTATGCACGACAGTGCATTTCAAACCATCAGTCTCCACATAATAATCGAGGTCAGAACGGCACAATATATCTTCCTCCTGCCTGTTCCCATTCAGCACGACACACGTCGTGGTATCCCGCGAGTCTTGCATAACAGCCCGCAAAACCTGGAAGACTGGTGTGATCCCTGTCCCTCCACATATCATTTTGAACGAGCGGAGGTGACGCTCTTTACCGTTGATTGAAACCCGGCCGTTGCCGAGATATTCAAACCGGCCTGTTGGACCCTTGCAGTCGATCTCGGAGCCTAGGGGAAGCTTATCGAGAGCCATGGTCATTTTTCCGCCTGGGATGCTTTCAGTTGGGAAGTAGACCTTCACGAGTAACTCCATCTTGCCTTTCAGGTTTGTGTCGGAGATTGGCGTATATGATCTGATGACTGCCTCGTTATTGGATGGATCTTGGACTTTGATCATCAGATGCTGGCCGATTGGTAGGCCGAGATTCTGCTTCGCATGTTCCAGATCGAATACAAATACTCGAGTATCCCAGGATACATCCCTCTTTTCTGTGAGGGTGGCTTTTGTCCATGTTCGTGACTGGAGGAATACCGCGCGTGGCTCATCCGGCCCCGCGGCCGAATCACTCTTGAGTGCTTCAAGAGATGCTTTGTCTAGTGTGCCGATGTGGTAATCCGGCATCATTGCCTTGGCAGTTTCACTATCTGGGCGAAATTTAGTGGTGTAATAATGTGAGCACGTTCGGCTTGTGACTCACGGATTGCAAGGAAGTCCTCTGATACATCCAGACCACCAGAAGATGTAATACTGATCGCTCCTCCGGGGTGGCCTTCGAGGAAGCCTGTACCATCGTATACTTCCCCATTCACAACGAACCAGGGCTTCTCGCTGCTGCTATTGGCTTTCAGCTCTTGCAAGTCAATTTGTCTGTTCACGCCCTCGTTCCTCATGTTTATTTCCTTTACAGGCTCTGGTTCGACGGGCTCTTCACCGTCAACTCGTTCGCCCCAGTTTCTATTTAGCAAGTCACCGCCAGTCTTCTTGACTTTTTCCATCCATCCTCCGGCTTTAACGGGATGTGTGGGATGCTCAAACTTCAACTTATTGCCTTGTTTTGTGATGGCCACCCTGAACCATGGGTTATTCATCATGCCCAGGACAGACCAGTACATGTCACGCGGCATAGCGCTCAATGCCTCATCTACTGCACGGACTAGGATTGCATCACTAGTCTCTAGGTCTGCCACTGGGACGTCCAACGACCAGAAAGACCAGCAGAAAGATGCTTCCCTCCACCACATGTCTACCTTGCCGCCGAACAGGTCGCCATCAAAGTCGCGGTATTTATCTTCTGCATATTCGATCTCGGAGAGGCGCCATGCTAGAATATCAGTAATGTCAGAGATGTTCCATCCTTGAGCTCAAGGGTGTGCATACATTTGCCTCTATCGAGGGAAATCTCAACTCTTGTTATCCTTCGGCCACCGCCGGCGTATGCATATCCTTTGACTGTATATGAGGGCCCAGCTGTGGACAAATTGATCTCTTCCTCGTGTTGTGGATATACAGCCACCGCGTTCACGCTAAGTTCATAAATGGCATATCGCTCATCAGTCCACCACTTGCGGTCCTGGGCGGACATTTCCGGCGTCACCATTGTCCTGGCACTGTTAGCAAATGTCACTACATGATTCTTTTGGGAGCCCTACGGTAGCACTCGGTTATCATTGATATGATACCAGTTATCACTTGGGGCATCCGTCAGAATCAACTTCTTCAGCCACTTCACGCTCCGACCTCCAATTTGGCCAGGCACCACTGCTCTCAAGGGCCGACCATGATCTGGCCGAAGGTTTTCACCATTCATCTTATGGGCCAACATGATTCCTCGATTTGGATCCATGGCCCAGTTCAATTTGACCGAGGTTCCATAGAATCCATTCGGCTATCGGATATGTCAGTCTTAGCTTAATGTTTCCTTGACGCCCTCGAATTCTGATAGGGGGAAGTCTCACCAGTTTGTCAGCACCCTCCATACAGACATATTTTGCTCGGCGAAGCGGCTTCGCACTGCGCAGGATATCCGCCATCATAGGTCCTGTGAATAGCGCCGTCGACAATCCAGCCGCGCCCCATGAGAACCCCTTCGACTTCCGGACTGTGTTTTGTTCTTTCCGTCTGTTGCCAGCACAAACTAGGGTGATTGGTGCGGTGATCTGGTCATATTTCTGAAGCACTTCACGGAAGTTCAGGACTAATGGCTTCTCAACCAACCTAGCTCATCAATCAGTTCATTGGACCCCAAAGCCTCCAAATATGAACAAAATCGCACTGACCCTTCTATACTGATCTCCCAATTTGGAATATCCTCATCGCGGACCTGGGGTACCGGCCCATGGTTCCGAACATAGAACAGATCCGGGGATGTGAGAAAACCTAGGTATCTAGCTTAGCTTGGCGAATTCGGTGTGACAGATGGGACTGGATACCCTCTTTATACAATGCTGTCAGTGGAGGCTCCACATTGAATGGATGAACTCCTGTTAACCGGATCAACCGTGGATCCCGCGGTACATGGCTATCCGGTGTGTCTTTATCCACATCCAAGATCTCAACGGGACTCTTTGATGGTGGTGGGAGTGGGATGTCGGGCTCTCCTGGACTTGGAATGATGCCCTCCACTATGATCTGACCATTTTTGAACGAGGTGGTCTCGGATTCTGTTATCATTTGTGTGGTCATGCTGGCCATGATGGTATTGCGAGGCTCCTACGCTGCTGGATGCTATCAAAGTGATGGTAGTAAACCCAGTGGGAATTTCCGCCAAAAAAATATAAATAAATTGGTCAAATATGAGGAGAATATGTGAAAACCGTCTTCATCTGAAAATGCCGACATTTGACTGCGAAAAGTAGCATGCAGGCCTCAGCCCCCCAAGATCATCCCAATATTTCACCAGCACAGGACTTTTCAGATCTCCGCGGATGTCAAATTCCTACTCTGATCCACACTCCTCCACATTCTACTTCCGCTCGAAGTATCAGAGCAGAATTCCATATCGCCAGGTCCCTTTGTTCATTCTTATCTCTGAACGTCGAGATAAGCCTGAAACCCTAACAACCAATCACAGTCGACATAAAAACACCATCTCCGCGGAGATGAGAGACAACTATCTCAGGAAATGCGCCGTTCCTGTTTTCTCCGGCTTCGCAGTCTGATTGGTATCGATTTGTTGATTCGCACGACTCACTCTGTAGTGTCACAGATCATATTGTAGTATCAGACCTAGTGGAACAAGGGGTTTAGTTTTCTTCAAATTACAATGATTGCCGTGTTCCGTAGTCAGTGCTTTGTATTATACTCATCTCACATTTTTCAGTCTCAGCCATGCCTGTGCTGGATGGACTACGATATGGAGAGCCAGTTAATGGCGGTCCCAGTCTCCCGAGCAATGTCCAGCGCCAAAAAATTGTCATCGTTGGACTGGGAATGGTGGCTATTTCGTTCATGTGAGGGATTTTATCAGCTGGCAATGAGAATTCCTCTAACAAGAGCACAGCGAGAAAATCATCAAGCAGGATACCCAACGCAACTTCGAAATCGTCGTCATTGGCGAAGAGTCCCACGTAGCATACAATCGCGTTGGACTTTCATCATTCTTTGAACATCGCAAGATTGAGGATCTATACCTCAATCCGACGGAATGGGTAAGCACCCAATTAGCAACAGTGAAGAAGCAAAAGACCTAAACATTGATCATTAGTATGACTCGTTCAAAGAACGAGCCTTCGATCACCACCTGAACACACGGGTGACAGCAATCGACCCCACGGAGAAGACAGTCCAAACCTCTACCGGTGCCACATTATCATATGACATCCTTGTCCTTGCAACAGGCTCCGATGCCACCCTCCCCACACACACGCCCGGCTACGATGCCAAAGGCGTCTTCGTATATCGAACCATCTCAGATTTGGAACGCCTCATCGACTTCGCGGCTCAACATAAAGGCGAGACAGCAGTTACAGTCGGCGGTGGACTTCTAGGCCTGGAAGCTGCGAAGGCGATGACCGATCTGGAGGACTTCGGAAATGTCAAATTGATCGATCGGAACAAATGGGTGCTGGCACGACAGCTAGATGCAGATGCGGGCATGCTGGTCACTCGCAAGATCCGGGATCTAGGACTTGATGTTCTCCATCAGAAACGGGTCAAGATTGTTCATACCGATGAGGAGAATAATGTGGTTGGGATTACCTTCGAGGATGGTGAGAGGATTGATTGTTGTTGCATTTGCTTTGCGGTATGTGTACCTTTTTGGTTGGATTTCTACTGGGGATGAATGGGCTGACCTGATTTAGATTGGAGTTCAGCCTCGAGATGAACTGGGTCGAGATATTGGAATCCAGTGTGGTGAACGTGGAGGATTTGTGATCGATAAAAGGTTCGTTAATCAACAACTTCTGGATAACCAGTCATTTCACTAACTTACATAGTTTGCAAACCTCTATCCCAGGAATCTATGCTGTAGGAGAATGCGCGAGCTGGGAGAATCAAACATTCGGAATCATTGCTCCGGGCATTGAAATGGCCGATGTACTCGCTTTCAACCTGACCAACCCAGATAAACAGCCTCGCAGTTTCACGAGACCAGATCTTAGCACAAAGCTGAAGCTGCTAGGTGTCGACGTCGCCAGTTTCGGTGACTTCTTTGCTGACCGGGATGGACCCAAGTTCCTTCCCGGTCGTCGGCCTCCGACTGTTCCTGGCTTGGCAGAGATTAATTCGCGAGAGGAGCCCCCTGTCAAGGCGTTGACATATAAGGACCCCTTCAGTGGGGTGTACAAGAAATATTTGTTCACTATGGACGGCAAGTTCTTGCTTGGCGGGATGATGATCGGAGATACCAAGGATTATCTGAAGTTGAACCAGATGGTCAAGCTCCAGAAAGAACTTGATGTTCCTCCAAGCCAGTTTATCCTTGGAGCCCAGAATGGCGGAGAAGAAACCGCGGACGATCTGTGAGTATCGTTAACTCTGCTGTTTGGAACAGATTCTAATTTATCTCTGCAGTGATGATAGCACTCAGATCTGCTCGTGCCACAATGTCACCAAGGGAGATGTGGTCGAGAACGTCAAGAACGGCTCATGCACGACAATCGCACAAGTCAAGTCTTGCACAAAAGCAGGAACAGGGTGCGGTGGCTGCATGCCTCTGGTTCAGTCCATTTTCAACAAGACAATGCTCGAAATGGGACAAGAAGTGTCAAACCACTGTAAGTAATCTCAACTTACCACAGTAATTGCTCTTATCACTCACCTATGCAGTGTGCTCACATATTCCCTACTCACGAGCCGATTTATACAATATCGTGGCTATCAAACAACTGAAGACCTTCGTCGATATCATGAAAGATGTCGGAAAGCACCCGAGCTCCCTCGGTTGCGAACTCTGCAAGCCCGCAATTGCATCAATTCTGTCCAGTCTGTTTAACCCGCACATCATGGACAAGGGTTTCAACGATTTACAGGAGACAAACGACAAGTTCCTCGCTAACATCCAAAGAAACGGCACATTCTCTGTGGTACCCCGAATCCCAGGTGGTGAGATAACGGCTGACAAACTCATTGCGATCGGATCCGTGGCTAAGAAGTACGGTCTGTATTGCAAAATCACCGGTGCTCAGCGCATCGACATGTTCGGTGCGAAGAAGCAGGATCTTCTGAACATCTGGACAGAACTTGTGGATGCGGGTATGGAGAGTGGACACGCCTATGCAAAGGCGCTTCGAGCAATCAAAGTGCGTTAGGTCAATTAGCTTTTAGGGAAAGAGTCAGCTGACAGTGAACGTTACAGAGTTGTGTTGGAACCACATGGTGTCGTTTCGGTGTTGGCGACAGTGTTGGCATGGCGATTCGACTGGAAGAACGATACAAGAGTATTCGTGCGCCACATAAGTTCAAGGGGGCTGTGTCTGGCTGTGTGCGAGAATGCGCGGAGGCCCAAAACAAGGAGTGAGTATACAGGACCCCATGACGACAACGAACACTCACTAATGGCTGCCAGCTTTGGACTTATTGCCACTGAAAATGGGTTCAATATCTTTGTCGGAGGCAACGGAGGTGCCAAACCCAGACACGCCGAGCTCCTTGTTACAGATGTGCCAGCAGAGATGGTGATGCCCATAATTGACCGCTACCTTATTTTCTACATCCGCACCGCCGACAAACTTCAGCGAACAGCACGTTGGATCGAAAATCTCCCGGGCGGAATCAACTACCTCAAAGAGGTGATTGTTGATGATAAACTCGGAATTTGCGCGGACATGGAGAAACAGATGCACGAACTAGTAGACAGTTATTTCTGCGAGTGGACCGAGACTGTCAAAGACCCCAAACGCCGAAAGGTCTTCCAGCAATTTGCAAACACAGACGAAACTGTCGAGACAGTAGAAGTTATCCAAGAGCGATCTCAACAACGACCCACATACTGGCCCAAAGAGTCTGCCGAGCGACAGGATTTCAAAGACCATAAGTGGTCAAGCGTGTCCTGGCAGCCCGTTGTCCGAGCCGACCATTTCTCCGACGAGCCACCTCAGGTCTCATCTGCGAATGTTAAGCGTGGTGACACACAGCTTGCTGTCTTCAAGATTAAGGGGAAGTTCTATGCGACTCAGCAGATGTGTCCCCACAAGCGAGCATTTGTCCTTTCTGATGGTCTTGTTGGCGATGATGATGCAGGGAAATATTGGGTGTCCTGTCCGTATCACAAGCGCAACTTCGAGCTCAACGGTGAACAGGCAGGTCGGTGCTCAAACGATGAGAGCATGAATATTGCTACGTTCCCTGTTGAGGAGAGGGACGATGGCTGGGTGTATATCAAACTCCCGCCTATTGAAGAGTTGGATTCGATTTTGGGGACGGAGAAGTGGAAAGTGCGGAAGAATGAGTCGGAGGACCCCTTCCATAAGGTTGATAGGAAGTTCAAGGGTATGAAGGGAAAGAAGATCACTGATGGTTTCTTAACGCGTGCACCTAACGTGCAACCAGCCAAGTCGATTGATTGGTAGTATGTGTGACATATGAGTTTCTTGAGAATTTGCGATGGCCTAGGTTGGCGTATGGAATCATGGAGAGAGTTAATGGCCTTATGAATACACATGAGAATAGATGTACTTTGCATCAATGTTCTTCATCATACATTTCTTCAGATCGATGGGAGATTACATTTTATGTAGATATTGCTAAAGAAGTGAGTATATGTCGCCGTCTTGACCCACGTGGGAGAATTATTCGCGTGCTAGGTCATTATAGTAAGTTGAAATGCTTCAATACGGGGAAAATGATGATACCAATACATATCTACAGGCATAACTACCAACCATGACCCAAGATCGACCTTTTTCAATATGAAACCCAAGCTTCTACTGCCAAACTAAGCACAGATCTCCTCCTATATACGACGTTCGATCACCTATTATAATTTAATTTTCTGATCTTTCTTAGATTTTTCAAAGCTAGCCTCTGGCAAACCCATATTTTACTTCAACCGTACTGGAGAAATGAAACGAAAGTAGCCACACATCCTTCGCACTACCCCCTTGAAGAGTTATTAGACGGATCTACAAAGTACCAGGGGATTCTTTCTCTCATAGTCGAAATCGCCTAGGTCCTGTATCCCAATATATTCTGAGGTAGACCTTATTGTGTGCTAGAAATTCCACAGGAAATTCAAAACACCTGTGTAGACTGATTGTTGGGGATTCTTCCATTCATTGTCAAGAAACAAGCCCTGATAGTGGATCCTTGGATGATAGCATATGTTAGTTCAAGAATTTCAGTCTAGCAGAACCAATTGACAGGTGTCGCAGTTAGAAATAAGTATTTCCGCGGAGCTTAGATCGACAATCACTGCAAAGACCCGCTGGGCTGAGCTTCTTCAGTCGCTATCGCGGTTGGCTTGCCATCCAATGGGGAGTCTCGCGTTTATCAACGACGGGAATCCTTGGCCACCGTGGGGGAATTCCCCCTAAACTCGATATAATGTGCTAAAGATCTGAAACCCTGGAATCCTCAATTGAAGCTCCGCGGAGTTACATGAACAGGCTCAATTCATACTATCAGTGTTTGCTTCCAATTGTGGCACTGGGCACAGTATACATTCCGCACTGTGATAGGCCATTCTAGTATATATCTTATCACTATCATAATATCAGTGCAGAATAATGCGGAATTTTCAGGAATGAGGTCTGTGACAAGTGGTGAGTTCAGCGTTCATGAGTTTGATCATCTTTCTAGACCCTGGTCCTTAGATTGCATCAAATCAGCGATCTGAGATATGGATATTCGGTCGAGGGTCTTGACTAACTGTTTTCTGATGGACGGCACTGAGCTATCTGCGATATTGGAACCTGATGCGCAGCAATTTTTAGACTAATCGTTGTTGCATGTGTCATGACGAGATCTATCAAAAATACATACTTCAACAGCTTGAGCCTCATATACGTCTATATAGATGCGAAGATCGCTCGACTTTTCAACTTACACCTTTCTCCTATATTTCCAAAACAACCCTTCCTTCTATTTAATCAAAAAGTCTGTATCGAATTGTTTGCGCTCTTCTATTAGAATATCAGTTATCGAGCCTACCTCAACCCCATCGCTCGACAATACAAGGAGCCCGCCGAAATGGCAACAAACTTTGTTAAGAATCTCTTTATATCTCCCGAAATTAACCCAAGTAATCGCAAAGCCAAGTCCATTCCGATATTGAATCCCTTCAACCAATATGGACGAGTATTCTTCTTCTCGTGGCTTGGTTTCATGGTAGCGTTCCTATCATGGTATGCCTTTCCACCACTGGTAAGTTCATGGCATTATTGTGAAAGAAGAAAGATGTGCGTTTCTAACCTCATTGGCTTTTCTAGTTGAGTGTGACCATCAAGAAGGACTTGAAGATGACACAGGATGATGTCGCCAACTCAAATATCGTCGCACTCCTGGCAACGTAAGTATCATGATATGGCATCAATCAAAGCACGCCTCTCTGACCACTGCAGTCTACTCATCCGATTGGTTGCAGGGCCTCTCTGTGATCGTTATGGCCCTCGCCTGGTATTCGTGGGACTACTCTTATGTGGAGCCATTCCTACAGCCATGGCCGGTCTTGTCACCGACCCTAAGGGCTTAATAGCCCTACGGTTCTTTGTTGGAATTCTGGGAGGAACGTTTGTCCCATGCCAGGTCTGGTGCACTGGTTTCTTCGACAAAAGTATTGTCGGTACTGCCAATTCCCTCGCTGGAGGTTGGGGTAATGCAGGCGGAGGAATCACATAGTAGGTGTCGAGCTTTTCTTCTTTAAATTATATGAACATACTGACAAAGTAATGAAGCTTTCTGATGCCCGCCATCTACGACTCGCTTGTCCACTCCCATAGCCTCCCTTCCCACAAAGCATGGCGTATTGCCTACGTCGTCCCATTCATCATCATCACCACCGTCGCCTTGGGCATGTTGTTCCTCTGCGAAGATACACCAACAGGGAAGTGGTCTGAGAGACATCTCTGGGCAAAAGAATCAAATAACACCACCATGACTGCCGGCGGCAACATAGTCGATATCAACTCTGGCGCTTTTACTAGCGGCATGACGACCCCCACAATTCTGCAACCACCGACATCGAAAAAAAAGGCTCCCAGACACCACAAGTCCTAGACGCCGATGCATCAACAATGGGCCAGATGGACATTTTCAGACAAGAGACAGTGGTCTCTCCAACTCGCCGGGAAGTCCTGAATGTCGCCCTGAGTCTGTCCACATTGGCTCTAGCAATCCCTTACGGCTGCTCTTTTGGCTCAGAGCTTGCAATCAACTCGATCCTGGGATCGTACTACACAAAGAACTTTCCACACATGGATCAAACAAAATCGGGCCAGTGGGCTGCCATGTTCGGATTGCTGAATGTCGTCTTCCGACCTGCAGGCGGTCTATTTGGAGACCTGGTTTACAAATATACGGACAAGGTCTGGTCTAAAAAGCTTCTTATCACCTTTCTGGGGGTCGCTATGGGAGCTTTCCAGCTTGCGATCGGATTATCGAACCCGTCCACAGAAGCGGCTATGTTCGGTCTTATCGCTGGGCTGGCCTTCTTCCTTGAGGCATCTAATGGAGCGAACTTTGCTCTTGTGCCTCATGTGCATCCTTTCGCTAATGGTATGTGATCATCGCTCTGAATCCATCAATGGCACTTTTGAAGCTAACATCTTGTCATTAGGTATTGTTTCTGGCATTGTTGGTGGTTTCGGTAACCTTGGAGGAATTGTGTTTGCTATCATCTTCAGATATAACGGGCCAAGCTATGGCAGATCGATGTGGATCATCGGTGTCATATCTTTGTCGGCTAATTTGGCCGTTTGCTGGATTCGTCCTGTTCCTAGGAGCCAGATACTGTCCTGAGATTTTACATGATTTTATGATCAAATATACTAAATTCGAGATATCAATTAAGTTTCTTGTTAGTTTGGAGTGTAGTTTGTAGGAAAGATGAGGATTAGTTGGACCCCGGCTGTCTCTGCGCAAGAGTTCTGAGCAAGCTCATCATCCCGTCCATAGTAGCAGCCATACTATCGATTCGGCGTTCCAACCTAGTGATATCTGACCTGCTAGCTGCGGCTGAGGCCTCGCTGGCCGCGGCCTCGCTGGCCGCTTGACTATTCAACCTATGAAGAAATATGGCCATTTCTGCTTGTAGTGATTGCGATGAAGTCGGTGGCGAGGGAGGTCGGATTCGTGGCCGAGCTGTTGGACGCCCACTTGCTGTATCATAATGAGTAAATTTTATTATAAATTTTTGAAACCTTCAGATACCTTCTTCCCGCGTAGAATTTACCGGATTTCTATGCCTTTTATCCCTTGCTCGGCGCACCAAGCCATCGGCTATACCATCCTCCATGGATCGTATATAGTCCCGAGGTTTGGGAGCTGCACTAGCGAGCATCTTTCGTCGTTCGTGTGCTCTTAAGTTTTGTTGTAGCACTTCGTGTATCTCATTTGCATAGTCGAAAATCGCAGCTTCGGTAGCGTTCATTCTAGCCCGCCCAGCTTCCGGTATGGCGAGTATAGCGGCATGCTCTTTAAGCCTATCAGTGACATGTTTATGAACCGTTTGGTGACTGATATTTCGCCCAGTATCGGCCCTCCATGTTTCTGCAATTGACTCATAAAGAGATGCATTGCCTTTCATATTGGTAAAACGACTTTTATAGTGGACGGCAATGCATAGTAACTGGAGGTCATCTTCAGTCGAAAGAGGCGAAGCTCTCGAGATTTTGCTGGGTGTCTGACCAGCAGTTAGAGCCGACGTTTGATCAAAAATTTGAATCGGAGTGTGACCAGCAGTTTGACTTGGTGTTTGACCAGCAGTTTGACCAGTCATTTGACTAGGCGTTGGCGTTGCTGGACAGTTGGGTTGCACCTGCCACGGGGCTGGTGGGGCATACCAGCCCCTGATCACAGGGGGCAATGAGCCCGAATGAGACTGATTGTTTTCGTGGCGGGGAGGAGGCTGATTTGAGGGATGTGTCCCTTGGGGTGGTAGAGTAGGCCATTCGGTACTATCTGGCGTAGTATCTTGGGTTTCGGTTTCATTGGACATAGGTAGTGCGATGGCGAGGTATGAAATGCAAATGATACAGATATTCGAGCATTTACTGAAATGTTCATGTCGCCAAGAAATATAGAGTGGATACTGATGATTGTTCCGCCTTCCTAATATGGTAAATGACTAAGCTGTATTGGGCGGACGCGAGCCGAGCCGAGCCGAGTGGCTTCCCTTGGCTCGACTGATTTTGTTTTCTGCCCCGTAGCATAGCACGCTCTAATGCCCTATGGCAGGCACAGGGGATGCGCCCATATCCTGACAGACATGAAGTATTAACCATAAAACGTAGTACGTTTGATATAATTGTCTCCCTACTCCCTTTCTGAGCCTACACTCGTAGCTCCAACGGACGTTTTGTCATGGCCTACAGCATGTCATCCATATCGAATCGTCCATACATAGTGATTTGATTACCTCAATTCACAAACGCTAGAATAAGTTACGGCAGTAGGGTACTATGAAGACTTTATTCATACTATACCATGCCTCAACACTCACTCAAGGGCTGGTATGTTCGTGGTCGCTCACTATGACTCTTGCCATTATGTATATATGCCTGTCAAATTATGCGCTACGTATATATTCACACTTTTCGACTAACCACTTGAACTCGAATGAACAAAAATACTTCGTGCTTAGCTTTGTCCAGGTCACATCCTCTCCCATGGTAATACGACACTTGCAGTGTTCCTTTTCTTCCCATTGTATATATAGCACGACGGCTGACAGGACATCAATTTTGTACTTCAGTCTCGTGGCCTAGTCCAATGCCCAGGGGTACTCCTAAGAGCTTGCTGCCCTTTGCCAAGCTGTCTATTGTATTTGATTCCGCCCGGTGCACAAAATCTTTCTTGCTTGCCGGAGAAGTACCAAGTTATCATCACTTGTGAATAGTAAGGGTTTCGCCAGCAGGGTCTCCCTTTGCCGCATCTGAGTTCTCAAACACCGTCATCGGTCGCTCAGTGCCCCATATAAAATCAATTGAAACATCCCAGAACTGCTCCGACAGATAAGACCAGTCTCGGCATATATGTTCGGTCTCTTCGGTTGTCACTTGGACAAAATTGGAATGGTCGACGGGTTTCTCGAGCGCTGTATCCCCATAGCACATCACCCCCTATACTTCGTTAGAACGCTGCCGAGTAGGTAGCTTAAGAAGACAACCAGTAAGCTTACATGTCGAAGATACTCGATACAGTGACCCATGTGCGCTAGATTTTTCTCGTCTGGCATGTTGCCGTGGATCAATCCTAGTTTCACGTGGTTCAACATACCCTAGTGTACTAGGAATCAGCCTAATACCCCATAACGGCCATCATGGCAACTAATGAGGGGAATACGTACCACGCAATGTAATTGGTGGAGAACGGTCACAACGTATCCGTCTTTGCCATTCGGCCAGGAGCCATTGGCTGAGTATAAATTTAAGGGCAGACCCCCAGAGATCTCGAGCTTTTTGGATGGGGCGACTTGAATCCAGGATCCTAGCAACAGGAAAGTCAATGAGAAGAGCGACAAAATAAGGTCTCTACTGCCTCTGACCTCGATGAACCTGATCCCATACAGTCCATTTACCTTCCTTGTTGGACCAGAACCGACCCGTCATTGGGTCTGTCTCCATGAATCGCTTGTCATTGGTCCATCGGACTTTCTTGAGTGGAACTATCAAGAGAGTCAGCTTGTCCTGTAAAAGAATCAAAACCAGGCTGCACAAAGCCTCAAGAAAGGGAGATACTACCATCTCCGAACATCGAATCTGATTTTGTGCGAGAAAATTCAGTTTGTTTTGTAACACTTCGTTGACCAAGATAGAAAGATGTTGCTGACAAGGCTGCTACACACGATGTAAAGAAAATGACCAAAGCCCATGTCCAAATCTTGCGACTTCGGATCGTCTGCACTCTTGGCTGCTCGCTTAACTTATGGGCATAATGGGAACCCTCTTGATCAATCACTTCAGATTCTACATGCGTGTAGACTGCGTAAGAGGATTTGTCCCAAAATCGGGAGAAAAGTGTTATTAGTGCCATGAGGTCGTCGTGTATTGCTAGAGAGGTAAGTAAGAATCATGGGAATCACGGGTGACAACGATGCTCTTCGGCACAGACCTTCTGATTTTTGCTCCAGGAAATAACTTAACAACCCTCCAAGGCCAACGCCTATCTTGCCACTCATTATTCAAATCCCGCCACTAAACGCTAATCATTGCCGTCCATTGCAGCAACGCTCATGATGGTCAATATCAGACAGAGGCTCCATCGGGCTAGCCAGCCCTTAGCTTCGTTGTTACAGAGGCTAAGTTCAAATCTATAAGCACAAAATTCCTGATCTCGCTATCTGTAATCAATCGAAAAAATGAATTGAGGGAGTCTCGGCACAACTCATTTAGGAAGGTACCACTGGGCTGCAGTTGGAGTGAGCTTGTATTCATTGGTTATGGTTGGCATATCACGGCAATATTCATGGAGGATGCATCAATACGGGCTGCGAGGTTTCATTGCATATCCCATCTTGTCATTTCCCAATCAATCTGTTACAAGTTGGGGTAGTCTTGGTGTCTCAGACGACGAACCTCGGCCACAAGTCAGCGTCCACGCACCACACAAACACATCCATCAAGATGACTACGAGAAAGGTTACATTGCATGAAGCTTTCCTATCGAATAGACTCGTAGCTGAAGAATCCTTACCCTGTTGGGGAAGTGCTCTCTATCTTGACGTTGCGGGGGCTATACTTATATGTTTTAGTACTTTTGATGACTACCCGTATTTACCATGAATTACAAATTCACGTATCTTACATCAAATTAATGATATTGTTGACTGAATGTATGTATTATAGTTCTCTCTTATGAGCAACTCGCGCTCCTTTCTAATAAATTTATTGAACCGAATATAACAATGAAGCTCTTGAGCTTACCTCGAGGCATCCAATTGCTTGGAGCGGTCCCCTTGCTATTGCTTCTACTCTTTTATCGCTGGCATTACACCACCATCCCCGCCAATATCTGCCTGAATCATCAGTATACCGTGGAGATTGTCTCACAGAGCCCATTAGTTATATACATCAATAACTTTCTCTCAGAGAAGGAGGTATCATGGCTCTTGGAACAAGGGTTCGTTACTCGAAACGCTATTTTCCCCATCGATTCTAAGAGAAGAAATGAATATAGGAAATCACGGTATCGACGAATGTTGACATACCAAGGCAACTCCCTCACCGATAAGGCCTTACCCGACGAAAGAAAAACATCCAGTGCTGCCTATCTCTCCAAATCCGACCCTGTAGTCGCGTGCATCGGCCGACGGGCGCTTGATTTCCACGGTGGAGCACAGCGAGCCCTGGGCGACTATGGAAACCCACAGCTGGTAAAATATGAGCCCAAACAATGGAATGATATCCATTTTGACTGGTGGATGGAGCCTCAAAATCGATCTGGTCGGTTATATAATCGGCGGACTACTATTTTGGCCTATCTGGATGACAATTGCACTGGAGGAGAAACTTCCTTCCCACTGATCAATGGCATGAACGACTCGTGCACAGAATGTCTAAAGTCTGAGGAAAAGTGCCGGTTTTGGACAGGCAAAAATGGGCAGGGGATGCTGTTCCCTCCACGAAGCGGGAATGCTGTCTTCTGGGTCAATCTGGATGCTGATGGGAATGGAGATGAGCGCACTCTACATGCTGCCCTCCCTGTTGGAGAGGGAAGCAAAGTAGCGATGAACTTTTGGCCGCCTCAATATTTTTAGTGGCCTTTCGTAAATTGTGTCATTTTCAATCGATATAAAATATTCGTTCGCCCGGACTTGCCAAATACAGTTCACTCCGTAGATGCCGACGGCTTCAGTGAACCCACAGTTCCACAATATAGACCATTTTACCCTGAAAGAAATATGATGAGCTTAGACATTTTAGGTAATTAGCTCGCAAGTTCTGATTAGCAAATGAGACTCATAGTAAATTGTCAGCTAGTCTAGAGACGCTTATAATAGTGACCTGCGCCCATCTCATTCCATCTTCCCCCTCACACCCAGAACTTTTAGCCATGGCCAACTCCCGATCAACCATCATTCGTTGGTCAATTTTCATAGTTGGCGGATTGGTGACTCTTGTCATCATTTTCAATTTATTCCAGCAGTTTCCACCGTTATCAGTCACTTCAGGCAAGAACAGCGAGGAATACAAGCCAGCTCCACTGCTCTATATCCCACCTCTTGGGCTGGGAACATGGCAGATTTCCAAGTCAAAGGTAGTTTTGTCCCACCATTTTTGTTCTCATGAGTCCAAGCTTGAAATTTCCCTAGACAAAATGGCTGATAATTTTAACACTCCTGATACAGACTTCAGCGGTTGTCAAGTTCGCGATCGAAAAGGGATATCGACATATTGATGCTGCACTAATATACGGTATGAGACTACCAATTCCCACATATATACACGCTCCTCAAACTTTGATAATTAATCATCTCCTGAAGGCAATGAGAAAGAAGTTGGCGAAGGCATAACTCAATCAAAAATTCCACGATCCTCCCTCTGGGTTACAGGCAAGCTCTGGAACGACGCCCACGAGCCATCCTTGGTGCGTCCAGCAGTTATTAAAACGCTCGAAGACCTTGGGTTAGAATACCTTGACCTTTATCTGGTGCATTGGCCAGTCGCCTTCAAGCTAGGCACCGGTCGCAAAATTGTTATTGACAACGTCAACATTCTCGAGACATGGTGGGCAATGGAAGAGCTAGTGAAAGAAGGGCTTGTGCGCCAGATTGGTGTCTCAAATTTCAACAAGGCTCAGGTAGAGCAGATTCTACGACATGCACGCATTCGACCCAGTGCACATGAGCTCGAAACCCACCCTTTCCTTCAACAAACCGCTTTCGTGGACTGGAACCTAGCTCAAGGACTCCGGGTTATTGCTTATTCACCTCTTGGGAATATGAATCCGATTTACGGGTCGTCTGATGATCCCCTCCTACAAGACCCTTTCTTGACATCCTTGGCTCAGAAAAACCGGGTAACAGTGGCGCAGCTCGCGCTTTCATGGAATATGCATCGGGGTGTAGTCGTCATCCCTAAGAGTGAACACGAGGATAGGGTTTTCGAGAATCTTCAGGCCCAGCATGTTCGATTATCTGATGATGACGTGCAATCAATCAATGCATATGATCAGAAAGCGCGATTCAACAATCCGAGCGATACATGGGGAGTGCAATTATACGGTGGCTTGGATGGTGTTTGATTACCAAGCTGTGGATATTTTCCCGAATAAATTTCGATTAAGGCTTTAGTATATTCATTGAAAGACTTTTGATTGGTTTTGAATTATATCGCTCGGTATCTACAGTTATGTGACAGATGTACAGAAGCAGTATCACTTTTTGCTTCCCAAAACGGTGCTTTATTCACGGGCACCGAGATCTCGGAGATATGCGTCAAGTACGGGCGGTCTTCCCAAAAATCTCTCCAGAGCGACCATTTCATTTTGACTTCCTCCAGGTGCTAGTATCATCTTTCGGTATCGGAGACCAGCATCTCTGCTCATTGGATTCGACTGAAAATTAGAAAGCCAAATGTCTGCCGCCAATATACGGGTGCTAGAAAATACGTAATTAGCACGTTTCTTTATATAGACCACGGCAATACATACTAGAGATAGGAATAATAGTTTGCTTCTTGACCCCACATATAGTGCGAAGTAGTAACATGTCCATTCCCCCAGTCTACCCTATCATCGGGGCCCCGTAGATTTGTCATTTTCTGTAGGAGCGAGTTGTACACATCGCCAATATGCATTGACTCGATGAGAGAGTGGGAACTAGGACAGTGGATCTGCATATCGAATTTGCTGAACGCAATTTGCCTGAGAGTGAGAATTCCCTGATTAACCCTTTTAGCGGCAATAAGGCTATGGACCAAATCTTCTGGAATCTCCTTTGGAGGTTGCGCGGTGATAGAAGGCCATTTTTCATCGGAGATGTAGGAATAGTGGCAACTAAGCAGCTGGAGACATTCAGGGACCCAACACCAATACTCGAGCAATTGGCTAGGAGCTTCAACAAAATCTGCAACCGTTCGATGTCCGTGGAAGATCGCATATTTGGATCTTCCGAGAAGATCATGTATGCCTTTTCAAGAATTAGTCCTCAAGCTCAGGGTTTCTCATGTTATTTTTCACTTACCATGACCCAACTCATGGAAGATAGTGATTAATTCTCGATGTTGGAGAAGAGCCGGCTTATCTGACGAAGGCTGGGAGACATTGCATACTAATGCGGTGGCAACCGGCTGATTCTGCTCTCCCATGGAGGTGTAAGCCTTGAAGTGATGTGTTAGCAAACGAAACTTTTTGTAATGAGATTTTACCTAGACACGAACGGGATATATGTTAAAATTGGCTGCATGATTGTACTTCCCGTTTCGAGGGTAGATATCAAGATAAAGAAATCCCAGGAAGTCCGAGTCTTCGTCACGCACACCAAAGACCCGGACGTCGGAATGCCAGACTTGCTCCTTGGTGACATCAAGGGGAGCGATTGATAGGCTGAAGATTGTTTCAAAGACCTTGAGCATTCGTTGAATTGTAATCTCTGCGGGAAAGTACTCGGCAATCAGCTCATGATTGGTATTGTACTTTTCTCGTAGCAAGCGGTCATGGTAATAGTCAAAGTCCCACAGGAAAAGAGACGATGAATGCTCTTCATTTTCTCCATCCTCCATTTTAAGGTGCTGTAATATCTTCAACTCCATCTGCGCAAGGGGCTGTAAGTGATTACAAAGCCCATCCAGTAACTGATCAACATCGTGAGCAGATTCAATCATCTTGTGTCTCGATTTCTGAGCTGCAAAAGATGAGAATCCAAGCAAACGGGCTGATTCATCCCGAAGGATAACTGCCTCATTGAAAATTTCCAGATTATCGGGGAATATATTTTGACTCCGGAGAAATACCTCTCTTCTTGTCTCAGCGATGTGGCACCGAGTCAATGCCAACGTGATATCCGGCTTCTTAAGCTTGATGCCCCTTTGGCCAGTTGAAGAACGTAGATTTTCTATAGCCATCCCCTCTAACTCGTGGAGATCTTTCCACACATAGCCAGGGTCAGAACTGAGATTTTCCATAAAAGCAACTCTGAGCTCAATCAGCCGATTTGAAATCCAAAGAAATCTGTCCCGCTTATCTCCTTCTAGTTCCAGCCCATTTTCCATGAACATTGAGTGAAACCTTTCGAGGAGCTTTTGATCTTCACTGTCTAAATTTTCCTCGGTGTGCCTTTTATAGACACTATTGATCAAGGCAAAAAGAGACCGCATTTGGAAAATACTCAAATATGCTTTGTCTACCATATTCACAGCCGTTGAGGATGCTTTCCGCATTACTGGAGACGGAGCAACTGCCTGGAAAAGGGCTAGGTACTGAACCTTTCCCTTGACCTCGTTATCAATATCAGCCAGCGGGAGAAGCGCGTTTTCAAATGTCGCGTTTCGGGGTGTAACCCGGTTGACTAGGTCATTCGAAGCTTGCTGAACTTGACTGACCAACTCCGTCGCAACATCAAGCAGCGTCGACGGGCTGATATTGAAAGTAAGTAATTTGGGAGTTGTCATGTTTGGGAAAACAAATTTTTGATGATTTAAAAGAGCTGTTGGACTAGGCTGGCGATATTCTAATTGATCTCCTTCGTACTAGTTGTCGTTAGTATCAGACCAAGATCAAGGTGGCCAAGAAGAATAAAAAGGCTTAAGAGAGACCTGCCAAGAGCTTTCAGAATCAGCGTTCATGTGGCACAGTGAGCGACCTAGCGTGGTTGGGTGTGTGTGTTGTGAGTGTGTTTGGGGCGCGGGGAGGTGGAGGAGTTGCCTCAGCTTGGTCAGACTCAAAATGAAAGATATCTGGAAGTTGAGGTTTTGAGGGTGTATTGTAACGAGAACCGGTACACCAAAACGGTATTAATTCAACCTCGTACTTCCATATACAAACACCCCAAGGATCTTCAATAAGTCCCCGATGTACCCTTGCCACCTTTGTGCCTTGGTAAAATCATGCGCAAGTGATAAGCAAGGATTTAATACTAATGCAGGGCTAATGCAACGCTTTTCATGTAGGGCCAGATGCAGTACACGGTGCTTTTGCCGTGCCTTGATACGAGCCCAGTCTTAGGCAATCGCAGCATCTGACAAGGCCACTCAGAATTCACAAATTAGTATCATGGTGAAGCCGAGTCTTCAACTACTTTTTTCAATTCAGCTTCATCATTGACATTCCGGTATCGTATTCCAAGATGGTATTCAACAACTTCCCCTCAAATCAACCACAGTCGTCCTTGCACTAATGAAGGTGATAACAGAGTAAATGGATACAATACGCCTTAGTTCCTTTGGCTGCATTGACAAGCCCCTTCCAGTTGATCTGGGAAGGATGGACCAGTTCTCACCAAGTCAACATGCCCAATGTGTCATGTGGTCCTTCAAACTATACTACTGAGATAGTTTCCCTCGATCCGCTGGCAATTTATATCAATGGATTCATGTCGAGCTGGGAGGTTGCCTATCTGCGAGATCTAGCGTGAGTAGAAGCTCTCCTCAAACATCAAGTTAATACTGATATCCTGGAAATGCTATTAGGGAGAGCCAAGAGACGTTTATGCATCACGAGGAAAAACACCCCGACGATAAAAACTACGCGTCTCGCCGCATAGCTAGTTCCTGCTATCTTACTATGGACGACCCAGTGGTTCAGTGCATTATTCAACGGTCAACTGATTTCGTTGGATTTATAAATCATGATGGGTTTGAGCAACTTCAAGTGGTTAAATACCGCGAGAACGAGAGACATGATCCTCATCATGACTGGTTTGCCTCTCCCCCGAAAATGGCGTCTGGTCTTACATGTAACCGGGCGGCGAGCTTTTTCGCTTATCTCGGAGATGATCCAGAGGGAGGGGAAACTTGCTTCCATCATTTGTATCCTGCGCCTCAGGATGCAGATCCAGCAAAGTTCAGTAACATCAACAGCGACGATGGTCTTGGATTTGCTACTAAGCCCATCACTGGAAATGCAATGTTTTGGATGAATTTGCATGCGAACAATACTGGAGATCTCCGTGTGCAACACTCAGCGCTCCCGATCAGATCTGGAACAAAGTATGGCATGAACATATTGTTGAAGAGGTGTTTCTAGCAGAGAAGGGCAAGGGGAATAAATAATACATCGCGGCCACTTTTTCTATCCTCTCGATATGCAACTTAGGCATCAAATAGAACATTGCGATTTTGTGAACCTTTTTCTACTTAGTTGATAAACAGCCAGTTTTACGTTATAAACGAAGTGAATCCTGGAAGGATAGCCACCTATGTCTTGTTGCTCATTTTTTCTCACTTGCATTACACTCATCCGAAATGAGGGAGCTCGCTGCCAGGATTCTTTCGAAAATATCGCCAAAGTATATCATATACGCCGTGGCCTTCATCATCCTAATCTCAGCATTTGGCGACCGCACAAGACCCCCTCCGTCAAATCTGGCACAATATGGTGTGACTCAAAGAATACAGGCCTCCGGGGCAACAGCGACAGTCTATCACTATAAATTACCCAATGGGACATCGTACGCAGTGAAAGAGTTTCGGGGGAAACGACAAGGGGTATCCGAAGAGGCCTACATAGCCAGTGTCCACAACGAGGTTGCTATTGCTGCACGCCTTCACCATCCACGGCTACTGAAGATCCTCGACTGCTTTCTTGAAAATGGAACTTGGTATACAGTTATGCCGTATGTGCCAACAACATTATTTGACAGAGCGATGGGTAATGGCACCGCCCTCACTCATGATGAAGTGGACTGTATTTTCCGCCAGATTGTGGATGGGGTGGCTTACAGCCATGACCAGGGGGTGGCCCACTTGGATATCAAACTCAACAACATCCTACTCGAGAATGAAACGGATGTCAGACTGATTGATTTCGGCCATTCTCAATTCTTCAACAATGCAAAAGAGGCGCGGGTTCAAGGTTGGTGGCGTACCTCGATCCCATCCCCAATCTTACCATGCAGATGCATATGCAATCCTGATCCTGATCCTGAAGCGACCTGTGATAAGAAAAATAACGTTCCAATAGGGAGATTCGGTACCCCACCAAATGCGCCGCTGGAAGCATATCAGGCCAGTGCTTATGATCCATTTCCCGCTGACGTGTGGGGTGTGGGGATCATCTATTGTCAACTAATTGCCCCAAATGTGCCTTGGAATATGGCGGGCCATGCCGACAAATTTGCGATGTTCTCCCCATCCGTACCGCAGGGGCCGTCGCCACCCGACATGATTCAACTCCAAGCCACTGTGGAGATGGTTCTCAATCATATTCCAATGCGCGCCCGCCCATTAATTGGGAGTATGTTGCAATCAAATGCGAGCCACCGCGTCAGCATGAGAGAAGCATTATCGGATGGGTGGATTCGTAGTCTGCGTCGCTGTGAGCTGGATCTTGCCTCACATCATTGAGATGGGGGCCAAGTCGCCAGTTTATACCAACAACTTCAATGGCTACAGTCCTAATAAGCCTATGAATGTACTTGCAAGAAAAACGATACGCCCATACTAAATCACTACAAATAGTGCGTAAATCCGGAGACCCTTGCTTGCTTCAGAAATCGTGAATCGGTACCCACTACCTAGTTACCCATGTTATTAGTTGGATAAGCTTTTCTTTTCCAACTTTCTCACATCGCTTGAGGGATGCGTGATATTGACCCGACGGGCATCTGTTCCATTCAAGAAGATTTTACATTGGAACTAGTCTAATGGGGGAGGATCTGCGGTATCACATAGGACAATCGCCAGCCTGGCGTTGTGTTTCATTTCTTCACGGTCAGATTCCGAGAGTGGGGTAGAAATGTTCATGTTGTAGGAAGAAACTCAACAGCCAGTTGTCATGTGGTCGGGAAAACGCCTACAGTAGGTGGCTTATCGGATAAGCATCCCCGGTCTAGTGTCAGGCCCACGTGCCGTAACAAGCTTAGCGCCAACAGCGCCATTTTGATTTGGACGGGCGGCCCGCATCCCGTATGTTGTAGAACCTTGGAACGTACATGAACTATAACTGCGTATACAGACCAACACTGACCTTGGAATATATCGAGGGTTTCATATATACAATTAGGTAATGTGTTCTCAGAGAAAGAAAGAACACAATTATAAATAAATACTAAACCGATACTAGTACGTTATTCGTACAGGAACTTAACATCAAGATTGAGGTCAAGCAGAAGAGCAAATCAAGTCCTTGATCAATAAAATACAAATCAACCAATGAGCCAATATATCCCGCCATACCCAAAGAGTAGAATGCTGTTACATTGACAGATTAACCGTATTCCGCTATCATTATTCATTGATCGAGTTCATTGTTCCATGTTCTATTCGCTATCGTGTTTCAAACTATTCGCTAGGTTCGACAACACCCCTCGCTCTAAGAGGAAATCCTGATTCAAATCATCTGGCTGGTCTTCCCGTGATTCGTAAGGTCCTATAATGGGAGATGACTTGTAATGTTTGGTCCAAACGTTCATCCCGTATTTCACTCCTGAATGAACAGGTAATCCGGCATGGAGTGTCCGTTCATCACCCGTTCCATTACTAGCATGAAGATTCATCCAGAATAGTGCACTTCCCTTGGTCGGTTTCACTACCAGCCCCTGACCACTGGCTGGGATAGCATATTTGCGGCCGTCCGCGTTGAGGCTTGCCCCATTAACAAAGGGGAAGTAAGTCTCGCCACCAGTTGCATTGCCCCCAAGATATGTAAAGAAACTTCCCAGGCGGTTATATTCACGTCCTTCATCCCGGGGAGAACGACTGAGTTTTGGCCGATGCAACCAGTCACTGTGTAAATTGTATTCCTGGCCTGGATAGTAGCGCACAAGTTGCAGAGTCTCATATTCCACGTGTTCGATAAACCCAAGGAACTTTAGCGCTCGCTGTCCAACACAATGACAAACTGGGTCATCGTATGGCATAAATGCAGTCGATGATGATCGGTATGGTGTGTCGACAGATCGCACCTGCGTGTCGTCGAATAGCTGAGAGGCTCGGAAAAGTGGCTCCCTTTGTGGTTGTGAAGCTATGTTAGCCCAGCTCATAGTTGAAAGAATATCGAATCTTGGGGTTGTTTACTTACCCTACTTGCATGAGATAGTCTATCTCTTGCTCATTGACGAAGTTGTCGATATGAATGATGAGAGGATCAACGGAGAGGATCTCTGTGCTGTATCTTTGGTCTGCACATTTGGTCAGATCTGTGGCACTGTCTTGATAGAAGACTATTCTTTTGCCAATTGCGGCCAACATTGGCACTGCGGCAATCAAGAGGGCCCGGTTTAGGATACCCTATGTATAGTCGCTCGTTAATTTCAATCTTATCCTGTCTTCCCTTGTGAGAGAAAATGGAGTGATACATACCATCTCCTTGCAGATTTCCAGAAAGCCTCTACTAGGTCAAGTGTATCACAGGTGCTGAAACAAAAGTCAAGAGAGTCCGCGGTCTGAAGAAGTCTGGAAAGTAGGGATTGAAGTTCCAATCAAATTTCGTGGTTGACTCTCGTATTCAAATATGTGTAGTGGCTGTGGGGCTACGAGAACGACACACAACACTAGGGAAACCAGGTGCCAGTAAGGTGACTTTGTGGGAATCCCCAAAAAAGGCATACCAAGCCACGATATGGGTATGTGCCCGTTTCTCCGATCTCATGTGCTAGGACATAGCCCAGATTGTTGGTGATCAACATAAGATTACGGAGTACTATTCGCATGCACAAGGTACATCCTAACGAGTTTGGGTGTGCATTAATAGCCAATCCTTCGTAAGATGGGCATGAAGCCTTGATAAGCCTATATTCACTCGCCCATTGGATGTGACACACCACAAGAAGATAGTGTGGTAACATTGAGCCCTCTTGGCCAACAGACTAAGCGTACAGTAGACATACCAAGCCCCAAATCGTTGGGGTAGAGGTTTTGGTGGCTATCGGTACAATTGAGGCACGCACTACTGTTCATCTAGAGGAAGCAAGAGAGTTGTGAACTGAATGTAATGATCATAACTCTCTATTGCAATGAAGCTTCCCAAATAGCTTCATGAAAGCGAAATCATGGAGGCATAAATCTACAGAGAACTGAAGTCAGCAGGACCCCAAAGAAGGCAAAGCGAGGTCTGACAATCTGCATGTAAGCAATTTATCAATGCAACAGTAGTTATCCCCTCATACCCCGACGATCTTTCGTGACTTTGTGAGCGGAAGCGGCCACACTGCTCTAGGCTGGGAAGCATAAATACCAGGGTTGGGGAGTTTTCATCGATCTTCTCTGGAGAAAATACAGCAAGCCCAATACGATCAAGTCATTATACACTATCAAACATGAAGTTCTCCTTCGTTCTCTGTGCCGTTGCCTCCCTCCTTGGAGTTGCCAACGCCGTCGGCTTTGCAAATGCTGCTCCTGCGGCTCAGCCTGAGGTTATCGACATCGCTGACATGAAGCTTCGTCTTCGTGGCACAACCCCTCGTAAGTGAACTCACTTGGTAGCCAAAGAGGAATGACTAACCTCTTTTCTTTTCCTAAAAGCTCCTCCTTCTCCTTCCAAGCGCGAATACGAGGAAGATGAGTCCGAATAAATGGGCAATGAATGTTCCCAATGGACTTTGATTGAATAGGTTTGTCATTTGATGCTAGTGAATGCAGAGTAAAGTGAAGGTTAACTAATTGCCCTCAGGAACATTCGTTGCGGCCTTAGGTTTAGCCTTTGGCTCGGGCTGAGAGTGCCTTTTAATGGCGGATGTGGACAGAGAGAAAGCAATAAGTTGATACCATTCAATAGAGCTCCAGCTTGATGGCGAGTTTCTTAGAATATATACATGGTTGCAACAAGAATTTAGGGCCTTTCGAAGTAGATTCCTTGTAGTTACGTGTGGATTCCTGTTATTCTATATTAGTGAGCCCACTTTTGTCTATATAAAGCCCTGGGTCTCCCATTATTACTCTCCCCTTAGCTTCAATTTGGCCCCTCAAAAAGGTTTCAGCACAGTCTCCCTCTTCAAGTCACTATGACCCAAACAACTCAGCAGGAGCACCTCAATGTCACCTACCTAGGACTTTTTGCCAATCTGGGGATGGCAGTGGCCAAAATTACTGGTGGGTGGCTACTGTATAGCCAGACACTTAAAGCCGATGGTGTCCATTCGTTGGCGGATTCGATCACGGACCTCACTGCGATGGTTGTTCTGTTTCTCGACTCGTCCAACTTTTCTTTGGATATTTCTGGCACTCAAATAAAGACAGAGAGTATTGGTGCTGTCATTATCGGGTCCATCGTTCTTATGGGGGGTGTTCTTCTTGGAAAGGAAGCCATAACACTCACTCCCACGTCTTCAAAATCGGTCAACCCTCATGCCATGTGGTTTTCTGTACTCTCCGTGTTAGTCAAGGAGATTCTTTACAGGAAAAGTAAGACGCAATCTCTGTGCACTGTTTGAGACATTCAACATAACTGACACAAAGTAGCTATGAAGGTTGCACGCAAGAACAAATCACCGGCACTTGCTGCAAGTGCCGCCCACCATCGACTCGATTCCTTTTCAAGCGCTCTCTCTCTCGTTTCTATAGTCGCCGGATCTCTTTATCCAAATTCGCGGGTAGTCGATATGGCTTGCACAGGGATTGTCTCGGCTTTGGTGATCAAAGAAGGAATGGAAGTGATTTTTGCGAGTGGAAGAGACATCATCAATGCTGAGCCAAAGCATGCCAAGGTGGATTGAAGAACAACTGAGGAAGATTTAGAGCTTTGAGATAATTCTATTGATGTATGGACAGATCTAGCTAGCTTAAGTAAATCTAGTGAGGTATCAGCATATCAAGTTATAAATATGGGGCTTCCCCCTCTCTTTCCTCCTCTCCAGCTCACACTTGAATTTCTACTTTTCCGCCATGCGATCGCATTTTACTCCACGTCTGATTGCAGCTGTAACTAGTGGGTTAGTTATCGTCCTCACGGTCTTCTTTTTCTTCTATCAAACTGCACCGTTCTTTGCGCGTGAAATCAGTCACAAGGCATCCTCGCTTCCCTCGGACACTGATACCTCATCGCATTTTGCTCCACGACAGAACATTTGGGCAGATCTATCCGATCGCGAAGTGGTGGACGTTTTAAAATACGTCCATTCAGTTGCCTCTGATCTTAATCTCACGGCTGCCGTGAATGCTACACTGTGGGATAACTTTGTTCATGGAATTGAACTTTCTCGGCCCACCAAGAAGGACGCCCTGAGATATATCATCGGTGTATCTGAAATCCCTACCCCAAGATACGCGCGAATTGCCATCCATCACGGCACATCGTCTCGGGTATACTGGGATGAGTACATTGTGGGACCGTTGCCACTGTCTGAAAGCACAAAGTTAAAGCCCCTGGAATACAGTCATCGAACAGACATTGAACACCCTCAAAATCTTGTACCAGACGGAATTTCTTTCAAGCAATGGCCCTACTCAATCGCTCAATCCGTGGCCGATATCACGCAGGATCTCCTTGGAAGCACAATCAACGCAGACGGAAAGCTCGATCCGGATGGTCTGGAAGTGAGCTTCCGCGACCCCTGGGTTGAAGATGGTCACATCCTCCGTTGGTGTAGTTTCCAGCGGGCTGGAACCCGCGCCGAAGCAGGAACCCTTCTTCCACAAGGCCTTTATGTCAAGCTAGACACCACTGGACGAGATCCAACCAAATGGAAGGTTCTCAGGTGGTATTACAATGGACATTTGTATAAATCCACGGAGGAGTTTCGCGCTGCATGGCAATCACCCGGGTTCGAGAAATTGCCTCCTAACCATGATGGGCCGTGGACCACCATTGAGGACTTTTCATCTCATGCGTATGAGCGAGAAAAGCCAGCGCCTATCATGATCCACACAGGGAAGCCACGGTATCAACTAGATCGGCACGCTCAGTATGTATCATGGATGGGGTTTACCTTTTACTGGGCATTTGCGCAGGCGACGGGCATTACCTTGTTTGACGTACGCTTCCAAGGCGAGCGTATTCTATACGAACTAGGCCTTCAGGAAGCCATGGCGCAGTATGCCGGTAGCGATCCATTACAGGGAGCGGCGGCATACTTGGATACGTTCTTTGGCATGGGTCGTGCAATGTTCGAGTTGGTTCCCGGTCAGTGGCATTTTGCGTCATGGTCTCATCTAAGAACTCGAAGTATTGATTTGACTCGAGCCAGGCTACGACTGTCCCGCTTATGCGGACTTTATGGACACAATTATATATGATGCTGAGCGCACCCAAAGACGACAAAAAACCATATGTTTGTTCGAGTATACAGCGGATTATCCCTTGCAGCGACACTCAACATCATTCTATGTGACCATTTCTCGGAATAATTACCTTGTGCTGCGAACTACGGCGGTAGTCGGAAACTATGACTACACCGTTGACTATATATTCTATCTAGATGGAAGCATCGAGGTCAAAGTACGGGCCAGTGGTTACATTCAAGGCGCATATTTGATGCCTGGGGAAACCCAAGAATATGGCTTCCGCGTACATGACCAATTCTCAACTAGCATGCACGATCACGTCATCAACTTCAAGGCCGATTTTGACATCGTTGATTCCCGAAATACCCTCATGAAAGTGAATATAGAGCCAAAGACCAAATCCTACCCCTGGTCAGAAGGGGAAGAACTGCACACTATGAGCCTCAGCAGTGCTCCTGTTTTGAAGGAAACTGGCTTCAATTGGCCTGCAAACTCGCAATCTATGTATGTTGTGACAAACAACCGTTCGCAGAATAAGTGGGGAGAGACCCGCGGCTACCGTATCATGCCTGGCTCGGGAATGGGCACACCGGCACACCTGGCCTTCGAAGGCTCCCGCAGTCTAGGCAAAGCGGCGGCATGGGCTATCAAAGACCTTTGGGTGACGAAACAGAAGGATGATGAAGTGCGAAGTGCCAGTCCGCGCAATGTCTTCAGCACGGATCGTCCTATGGTTGATTTCAGTCAGTATCTAGATGACGAGGATATCGTACAAGAAGATCTGTGAGTAATATCTGCTTGAGCCCTTGCCACAAAAGCTCCCCCGATTGTGTAAGGCACTGAATCTCCGACCTTGACAATTGGTCGAAACCTCCCATTGTTCATAAAGTTCTCAATAACTTACATTCTATTGTCAGTGTGATATGGTTCAATTTGGGAAACCACCACGTACCGCACTCGGGAGACATCCCCAATACTCTGCAGCACACAAGTTCCAGCTCTGCCATGCTCATGCCATTCAATTTTCATGACCGCGACCCCAGCCGTAAGAGCGCGCAGGGGGTTCGCGTAGATCTTGCGGGAAAGAAGTCGGGGACAGCGAAGGCCGAGTTCTTCGGTCATCACTACGAGCACAGCTTCGTGCTAGATGAGGTCAGTGGTCACTCTCCGTTGTAAGAGCTGACCGGTAATTTTCAACTAATAATTTCATACAGAGTCATATAGTTCCTAATTTGACCGCATATGGGGCTGAAGAGCACCATGTGAGAAAATTTCCATACACCGAAGATATGCTAGCCATGTAAAGTTTCATGATCATCAAGGCCAGCCAGTTGAGACACAGTCAGTATGTTGGATTAGGTGCCTTGGTTCTCATCTGTGCAATTGAAAGGGCCAAACTCGTAGCTTGTTGACATTCAATTCTCTGAGTTTTCGGTGCATTGTGTCAGGATTTGTTTTGCTTTCTCGTGTTCTAATTAAGTCTGTATATAACCCTATGCACTTGGTATAATGTACACAACTTTATGCAGCATGTGTGAAGATCTCACGTGATACGCAGCGAGACAGCAGGCTCTCATCAAATAGCAAATTGTGAGATTTAGTTATCTTCCATCACAATCAGATGTTTGACTCTTTGTAAAATAATATTCACTCTGTATTCCGTACATGGTGAGGATTTGCCATCCCGCGTCCAAAGAAGAAAAAGCACAGAATGCGAAGACCCAAAGAGCTGAGGGTTCAAGCCCCCTTTTATGGGGGGCCTGATAGCTGAGTACAACATACCCAATTTAAAAACGGTGGAAAATTCCAAAAACATGAATTACCGGGCATGACATTGGCTTTCATAACTCAATTATCTTCTCTGAGTGGCTCTGCTAGTGTTACGCGTTAAAGTACGAGGTAGATGAAGTTTTTAATCACTATACAAGTCCTAAAATCTCCATAGCTTTTGCCTCATAAACCTAAAAATATGGAGATCTGGATTAAGGATCAAAAGCTATATCTCTTAATCCCATCAACGACCAGAATTATGAGGATCTAGATTTCCATGATGTTCAAAAGTCGCACCTAGGTCCACGGGTATGTTGATGTATTAATCAATTTACCATACCTACAATGTACAGATCGTGTATAGAGAGCCGTGGTTAAGAAAGCGACCAGGCGTGACGAACCATTCCCAAAAGAGGTTTTGAATCCTGAGCACTATCGGCCTCTATCCACAATATATGCCAAGCACTCGGGTTAGTGTACTCCGAGTGCGGCTGAAGTTGAGGCGAGAGGGGCATAAATAGGACCCCTCGGTCTTCTTTTCTTGCATTCTACTGTATTTCTAAACATTTCAAACATCTATATCGAAGATACCTCACAATGGCTCAACCTCAACCTCGCCGCTTCGCCCAGATCGTCCATCTCAAGCCCTCCGCGGTTACTGCATACAAGGAATGCCACGCCAATGTCTGGCCTGAGATTCTTCAAAAGATCAAGGAGTGCAACATTGTAGACTGTCAGTTTCAACATCAAAATCATGTATAAACATACTGTATGTTCAAGCGGGCTGACATGCTATCTGATCCAGACTCAATCTACTTCGACGATGATCGGACGCTCTTCGCGACATTCAAGTATGTCGGCACAGACATCGTCGCTGATATGAAGAACATGAGATCAGACCCTAGAATGAGAGAGTGGTGGGCTATGACTGATGAGATGCAGGTATGTTGATAATCTCACACACAAGTAGAGGTACAGACGCTAATCTGAAGAAACCGGTATTAGGAGAGCCCTATTCCTGGAGCAGTAAGCACTGTCGAGGGTCCAGGGTGGTGGAAGAACTTGGAGGAGGTGTTCCACACAGAGTAGATATTTCGGCCATTGAGAGGATATTTGAACTTGCACATAGCTACAGATTCTTTATTAAAAAGATGGTCGATTATCGGAAAAATTGATCAATCTTTCTTTGCTTCACATCATGCGCGGCGGTTCCAACGCCCCCTCTAGTGCGATGGAGATTGGCGAGATGTTTCTTGTCGTCAATACTGCGAACAACAAATTGAAAGCCTGTCATAAGAGTAGGCGACATGGCCCCTTCAGTCGCGTTTGGGGTTATCAGTATCGTCGTGTAGCCAGTGTTTGACCAGACAGGTTTTCTATGCATGTTGGCATCCGGCGGATTGAAAATCTCGATAAAATACGTCCATAGCTCTTGGAGAATGATGCCGTGGGCAACGACTGCAATTTTTTGTTCGCCGTGTGAATCTTGTATCAGTAGTGGGAGCAGGTGTTGGTCGAAAAAAGCTTTAACCCTTTTTCTCATCGACTCTTTTGACTCAGGGATGACCCAGTCACGGGGTCTCGGTGATGGAGGAGGATCTTTCCAAAAGCGGCCTTCCATTGATCCATAATCCTTCTCTCTCAAACTCTGAGTCAATATTGGTTGCAAGGGTGTTTCACCGAGTGATGCCTGTGCATGGCAAACCCCCTCAGCTGTGATTCTTGCTCGACTCAAGTCTGAAGAATATGCCGTGGTAAATCTCGTTGAATTGGAGACAAAATGCCGAGCAAGGCAATTGATTTGAGCCATTCCATGGCTGGTCAGTGCCGAGTCGGTGGTGCCCGCCCTATCATATGAAGTCAGTGCAAGTGAAGGGATGCCCATTCAGAGATATCGGTTCCTACAGGACTTTGCCAACATTATGCACTGTTTCGGCATGGCGGATCAGATATAGCTGCATTCCAATATAAGACGGTAAAGTCAAGGTGACAATGAAGAGGAAGTCTAAATGACAGATCAAAGAACAAAGATCGCTCCAGTCAAAGCGATAGTGACACGATCAGGCTAACCCCTTTAGGAAATGTCAGACACCTGAAATCTCAGGGGACATTTGTCGAGGTCGTCGTTGCTGAATTTATTTCTCCTTGCTCTTTTGGTTAAGAATTCTTGTGGGGATAGACTCTCAGCTTTGTCAATTATTACAGAGTTTCCATAACAAAGCGACAATCACCAGGCGACCCAGTGGCGACAATCGTGATATTCACCAAACAATACAAATTGTAGTGCTCTCGAAATGCAGCGTCAGAATATATATTCACATTTATGTTACTATTTGCGCGATATCTCGATCCCTACCGGTCGGGTTTTATTTAGCATTCAAATATATACTTATCTAGCGATCATTGCTCTAGATTCTCAAAACTAAGAGACTGATGATGAGTGGAAGATTAGAATATAGCATTGGACCCCCTAAATGGGCTATAATAGGAGCCCTAAGAGCCCCCTACGAATGGGCTTCGAAGGTTAAGCTTATAGCCCACTGAGGCTTGGGCTTTGGGCCTGGGATCTAGGCCCATTTGCGGGACTTTGTGGGACCCACATGTTGTATCTAGGTTCCCCTGAACACGAGATAGTACTTTCTTTGCTCTGTCGCACTACTTCTTATATGTAGAGCTGATCATTTTACGGAGTAGATATGAATGCGATTGTTCCAAAAATATGCCGAAAAATAAAAGTATCCCCGATAGAGAATTTCAAGTCTTTTGCCGCCTTTGATGATTGTCTTGAAGGTCTGCAGGTCTGCCTGGAGCTTTTTACCAAATTTCGATTGATTAAAAAGCCCTGTTATGGGTCAAATATTACAACATGAAAGGTCGAACGGAAGATTCGGCCCCAAGTCACGGAGGAACTAACTGCATATGGGTAGAAATGCGGAATCTGTGCCCCCGGCTTTACTACACTGCTACGATCCTTTATTTTACAAATAATTCCCAAGTTGGACTTCCAAGATTCCTCCGGGTATTTATTTACATCAGACGGCGAATTCTTTTTTCCGTTTTTGAGACCAAAAGAGAGCGAACTTGCTCTTTAAAGGGTAGTCACAAACAGAACTTGCTCCTTCCGCGAGCAACAAGATGAAGTTCTTCCCCGTCTTCAGTGCCTTGGCGGCGATGTTGTCGTGCACGGCTGTAGTCTCTGCACAGTCCGATCCCGACCCAATTGGTACCATTTATGATGGCCATGTGCCAGCCAATCTATATGGCTCCAGTTACCCCTACCCTTGGCCGGTGAAGCAGTTCAACTTCTTCAATCAACGCCAGAACCTTTCGATGGCATTCATGGACATCCCAGCCAAGAAACGTCTCAAGAATAGGAAGACAGCGGTTCTGCTCCACGGAGGAAATTTCTGCGGCGTAACATGGTCTGACACTGCGCGCCAGCTTTCGGCCGCCGGCTACCGAGTGATCCTCCCCGATGACATTGGCTTCTGCAAGTCGAGCAAGCCCCAAGGCTATGCTTACAACATACATCAGCAGGCATTGAATATCCACAGTCTACTCACTGTTCTTGGGATTGAAAAAGTCACCGTAATCGGCCATTCGATGGGTGGCATGATTGCCGCCCGCTATGGCCTAATGTACCCGACCAGCGTTCAACAGCTTTTCCTTGTCAACCCCCTCGGCCTGGAGGACTGGGTAGCTAAGGGTGTACCTTACCTCTCAGTTGACGCGTCATACCAGAGCGGGCTTGGGCAGAACTTCACCACTCTCAAGGCGTATGAACAGGCCAGCTACTTCCACAATGCTCCCTGGAAGCCCGAGTATGATACCTGGGTTCACATGCTAGCCGACATCTATGCCAGCGACTATGGCTCCGATTATTCGTACGTGATGGCCCTCGTCACTGACGCTTTACTCAGTCAGCCTGTTATCCACCAGTTCCCTGTCCTGCAAACTCGTACCTACCTTTTGGTAGGAGATAGCGATGTTTCAGCACTTGGCAAGGCATGGTCTCCCCCTGCCATTGCTGCAACGCTGGGTCATTATGCCGAACTTGGCCCTGCGGCCGCAGCCATGATTCCAAATTGCACGCTCCGTATGTTCCCCGGTCTGGGCCATGCGCCCTTCCTCCAGGACCCCAAAGCGTTTTACAAGGTCCTTCTCTCTCTTCTGGACTAGATGGAATTGACAATTGGCACATCATGGCACTTGATTCAATATATCTTTGTCGTATGGGATTGCACCTTGTCTTCTCCACACATCCCGGGCTTTTCACATAATTTATTTTTGTTTTATATCGGGCCTGCGAAGCTGGAGTCCACAATGTCTCCGACTATATTTCTCCTATTGCTGCTCGTATGATCTCACGAGCTCGACGTTTTTCTTTTTTAGTTTCCGATCATTGCGTGTATGCAGGGGTCTTCGACCTTCAGACTCGGCAATACCGGTTGTACACTTCTAGTAGCCCATTTAGGGGCTGCCGGAATTGTGAGTTCTAGAGATGAATGATCGCGGGTTGCCTGAGATCTTCCACTAGGCTAGCCAAAAAGGCATATGTCTGGTCAGAACCTAATAAATAGTTTCTCAGAAGATGTACGGTTAGCAATCTTTCAATCCCTTCACAATGTTTGGAACTTCTCGTTAACTTCGTAAATTTGACATTCGATCGCCTTGGTTTTCAAATTGAGCAAGTCTCGACAGCATTAAATGCTTTGTACTAGTCATTGGGGAAAAATTCCGTAAATACGATTTTAGATATATCTGATCTCCGGTGCTACAGCACCCATGATATACTCATTGTGAAAATGAGGGCGGTATTCCATACGATAGCCTTGGTGCAAAGTTCAAGCGAAAAGTCCGGTGGCCATGCTTCCATGCAACATATCCGTAAGCCGCCCTGGGTTTTCAACAAATATATGCTCCCAGCGGAAGGTACCCATGTCCTTTGTTCCTCCTCCTATGTGATTGACTTCTGACCTTGACCTAAGAAAATAGGTGTCAATGAGGTCGTTAGGTAAAGTGGAGCGGATAATATCCAATAAATATAGTCCGTCATCATCTCCTGATGTGGATGATGACAATGGAAAAGGGTAGGCTCGATGGTCGGCAAGGATGGCTTGAGACAGGCGGTCATGATTCATTCCGATGAAGGTTCTGTGATGCTCTGTATTGTCTGCACAAGAACTGTGCGTATGCCGTGGCTCAGAAGACTTGGGGCTGCCCTCTGGCGGCCTATCAGAGATTCTGGCGATATACTCTTCGTGTGGGCCATGAATACTGTTACCCAAGATGCAAATCATCGGAGCATGTCTCAGGGTGGAGTTTTGAAGATCATCAAACGTCACAGACTTCAACTCCCAGTGAAGTTCCGGGAGAATGTGGTGTCCGAAGTCTTGTTGTGTTCTTGGCCCCTGGAGCGTTGCTATATATGCATTCAGATGATAGCCTAGCTGAACCTCAGCTACCAACACGCAGAGAGTTTCAAGATGGTGAATATATACCTTCAGAACAGAAGTGTCGATCGACTAACAGCACAGGCCAATTGTTTGCTGCCCAAGCCCGACGGCAGACAAGAAATCCAACATATGCGGCGACGACAAGATGACCTTTTGGAGATTTCTTTATCGAATTGTCGACTAGCCTACAGTTGTTCTCTAAATATCAATATGTGGATCAATATAGGTATGCACTTACCTCTGTGCCACTTCAGAGAAGGAAAGCTTTGCTGCCCAGATCCGGACCCAAGAGCATGAGAGTGCTGATATCCATTTTTGCAGGGCCTTGAATCGCACATCCAGCCGATTCGAACCTGATGTCTTGTATAGGCTGTTTTTTTGATCCCAAAATGACGAAATCAGTTGGGAGGCGTAGGCAGCGGCATCTTTAGGCTGAAGACGGATTACAATGTTCTGGGTAGATGACTTGCAGCACTGCCTGTACTTCCCCAATATAAACATCGCAATCAAGTATCGAATGACGACGTGCGGATTTTCCACATCCCACTCTGGATTCTCGGAATCGTTGGATGAAGGAGGATGTCCGGGCTCTATCCATCCCAGCGAACTAATGATTTTGTCCATTGCATCGAGCTTTGATCCAAAACCCAGCCTGCTTGGGCATGTGTTATCTGAAGTGAGCTTGGAGCAAATGGTTTGGGCGTTCTTCCGCGTGGTATTTAGTCGTTCAATGTAGGCAGGAATTTGTAGATCTTTTCTTGAATGCTCAATTCCGGCATGTTTTTGGTAATAGGAATGGAGCTCCAGTAGTATTCCAGCACGTATATGGCATGCAGTCTCTCCCACATGGCCGTCGAAAGCTTTGAATCCCGCCGTATCGTTTTCGTGCTTTTGCGAAGACATAAGGTCGTCAAATAGCGTGAGTGAATCAATGGCATCTGCACAATCACGGACGGTGTCTGATAAGAGAAGTGGGTAGTTCTCACGCTTTTGAGAAGCTTTAGTTGCTCCAAACGGTAGAACTGTGTATGCCATTTGGCTTTGCTTTTCTGTAGGAATTGCTGAAGTAAGGCATATGCAATTATCAATCCCCACCAGACAGAATCTTACCAGAATTGAGAAGAAAATCACGGGATAAGTGGAGTGGCCGGACTTAGTAAAATCCAGATAATTTGTATATTACCTAGGTAGATGACTGAAAAACATAGCTCCTTTTAAGGCTCGGATCGGCGGTCGGAATGCTGGTCTTCGGCTCGGGCGGGCTGATCAAAGTTAACCTTACAAATCTTAAACCTTATGGTTAAACCTTATGCTTAATTTGTTCGCCGCAAGACTTCCAAGGTTCGAATCTGATCCACAGATTCGTTCTAGCGCGTTCTCGACACGATTGACAATTGACGTATTAATTTGTGATGTAAGCTTACGGCAACGACTTTTCTTACTTCCAAAACAATCTTGATGCCACTTACGTAGGAAAGTACACACACCCTGTTTGTTGCAAAAAGGCATAGTTTCCAAATGGGGATGCGAGGCGTAGTGGTGATCTAATGACTACATTAGAACATCCGAAAAATCTGCATCCCATATATGGGAGTTAGCCCCGTGTCTTATACCTGTCAGGAATCAAATCGGAGTCCAAGCAACACCTATCTCAATCCCTATTTGGCAAAAATGCGCATTGTCAAGACAGCATACGACCACATCAGCGAATTGAAGCAATTCATCCCAGATGGCCATGGTCATTTTGGGATTGGCTCTTTTATTCTGTTCTTGTCATGTGCATGTCTGATTTATATTGTCGTGAAGGCTATCTCACGCCTTTACTTCCATCCCTTGAGTGACATACCTGGCCCTCCCCTGGCTGCTGTGAGCAGGTGGTATGACTTTTATTATAATGTCATCCGTGATGGTACCTACTCCAGCCAGTGGCCACGGCTGCACAAGAAGTATAGTAAGTGAAACATGTAGAATGCATAAAGATTCAGACTAACATGGGGTAGAATCCCCGGTCATCCGTATCGGCGTCAATCATGTGCATGTAGCGGATGAAAGCCTTTATCATGAGTACAGTGTCCCCAATGATCCATGGAGACGCTTCTTGACCTAACATGGCTATGTAGGATATACTGCTCTGGAACCCAATACAACAAGGATCCATCATTCTACAAGCGCCTTGGTCTTGATGGCGCAATCCTAACAATTACGGATCCGGAACAACATCGAGCTTACCGCAATATCATCAACTCGTTATTCTCGACTAGAACAACGAACGAAATGGGCCCAATTATGGCTCAAGAGGTACAAAAGGTAGCTGAATATATGGCCAAGAAAGGGAAAGAGAACGAACCCATTATAATCCAGCGCGTTTATCGTTCTGTGTCGGTAGGCCAACATACTTTCAATAATTCGGCCAAGGATTTTTGCTCACTGTTCCCCCTCTATGAGGGATTTAGGCTGATATGGTCTGCGAGCTAATGTTTGGAAAATCTCTTAACTTGGCTGAGACCCCTGATGCGTACCACGATCTGATGCAAAGTGTGGATCGATTCAGTGCCATAACATGGCCAAGTATGAAACTTCCAAATCCAAATCGCGCGTTGACTCACGGACTGACGTGATCCAGAAATGCATTTCCCTGTTATAAACAGCGTCATTGCAGCCTTCCCTGGCGTTCTCATCGACACAATTCTTCCTGGGTGGCTGGGATATCGAAAGGTAATGTGACTACCTTGGCCGTCATCTAGCATTTGCTGGGCCATATTGACAGAATAATCATCAATAGAAACTTGGAGGCTGGTACGGAGAGTCCAGTGATCGTTGTTCAATGGGAAAAGAAAGCGACAAGCGACCTACATTCTATGACCTAATTGTGAACGCCCAGTCAAAAGCGGATGATCTGAAATTTGATCGCGATTTACTAGTCGACGACAGTCTTAACTATATCATCGCAGGCATGGATACAACAAGCTATACGCTCGCGTATGCGACATATTATATCCTGACCTTGAAAGATGTCAAGGCCAAACTCTGCGCCGAACTAGACGAGGCTGCGCCCTTCATCCGTACATCAATGGACTTGCGGAAAATCCAACAATTGCCGTATCTGGTAAGTATATCTTGGCTGTGTATCTTGTAAAGACTCATTCTAAAGCTCCAAAGACTGCAGTAATCAAGGAAGCTCTCCGCCTGAGCGTTGCAGCTCCTGGAGGTCTCCCACGATTAGTCCCTACTCAAGGCATGGAGATTGGAGAGACGTTTGTACCGGGAGGGGTGAGTGCCCAAACAGCAATTCCCGGAATGTTGAATTAACACCGTCGCAGACTACAGTCTCACTGTCGCACCAAGTTGTACAAATGAGCGAGAGCATCTTTCCTAACCCTGATAAGTTCATCCCTGAGAGGTGGCTGGGTAAAGATGGCTCCAGTTTAGAGAAGTGGAATATCGCATTCAGCAAAGGACCCCGTCAGTGCATCGGTATGAAGTAAGTTTATCGCAATAAACCGAAATACCGTTACTATATACAAGAAAGGTTGAGGCTAATTTCAATACCCCAGTTTGGCGTATCTCGAGATGTACGCAAGTATTGCATACTTGTTTTCACGATTCGAGATGGCCTTGTTCGAGACCGATGAATCCAGCATAGAGTCATTCGATCGATTTGCGGCTAGAACTAAAGACCAAGTGAAAGTGAAGGTATTAAGTGATCGATGGGAGGAGAATTGACTGGAGAAATCGTACGCGGGCAGAGCGGCAAGGCTACAAAATTGATCATAATACGTCCTATGTAGATATTTGGGAAGGCAGTAATCAGGCAGGGATAGTAAAAAATCTATATTATCGTAAAGTCTTTGTGTTTCATACTTTCTTAACGGACTTTACATGAAGCCTGTGGGTATTCATTTTGGATTCGCGCAAGGGAAATAAATGCCAGCTACAGGCCCATCTCCAAGCTCAACTATACGATATTCCAAATTCTTCAAAGATAAAGTCGCTCTTGAAGGAATTGTAAGGGACATGCACTTAATCTCGCGATCTGTTTTGGTGGTTCAAGCCACCATCTCAACAAGGCGTCATGATCAAACCATCTGGCCGGCTTTGCTCTGGTTCCGTTCTATCGCAATCCGCAGTCTGGCGGTTGGTTATATTGCATCATAGATAGGCAATGCACCTATCTGTTATTTCCATGGACTTGGTGATGAGTTATGATGTCTTGCATATATGCCTTTTATGAAGATTAACTCTTCTTCCAATATAACGGGTCCAGCGGGACGGTAGAAGACGTTGAATTATTCGAACCCTGGCTAGAGGATGGGTCTATATATTTGTCACTGCGGCTTTTACCAGTACAAAGGCGAAACTCAAGTATCCCGACTTAAATCTATTTAAACTCGTACTTACCCACCAAATGGCCTGGGGTGTGTGCATATCATTGTTGTTATTGCCAAAGACACGTGCGGATCAATCCGTGAGAACATATTCTTTTCGCTATTTTTCCTCTTCACGTTAGCCCGAACAGACGCTTAAGCTGTTGAACATGGTTTCCGACGAAGGTTACACGTATGAATTCGATGTTTCCTCGGAGAACGAACGCCTAGCTGGACAGCACCAGGCTCTTAAGCTTGGAATGGGAAAATTGGTATTGGCTCCAATGGATCTATCGCGTGAAGGCCTCAAAATCCTTGACGCCGGTACCTCAGATGGTAGAAACACTATTCATGTCTCAAAACAGAATGTTGAAGCTAATTTAAAAATTTCAAGGCTACTGGCTACAAGAGCTTGGTCCATCCTTGCTTCATCATCCAACATGTGAATTGATTGGAACTGATATTACGGGCGAACGGTTCCCAGACAAGCCTGAGGGGATGAAGCTACTTGTGCAAAACTCCGTGGGCCCTTTCCCTGATTCATGGGCTCAGACTTTTGATCTTGTTCACCAACGCTTTACCCTTAGCGGAATACCAAACTACAAAGATTGTGTTTCTGCGCTTCTTAGCTTGGTCAAGCCAGGTGGCTGGATCCAGCTAGTGGAACCAGAGGACATGTCTTCTGAACCAAATGGTCCTCAAGTGAAGCTTTTCGCAGATTTGGTCAAAATGTTTGCGCTTAACTCAGGGTCGGACTTGGGGTTCCAGAATGGAGGCCTCGAATCAGCCCTAAGGGAAGCTGGGTTTATCCGTGTTGGAAATATGGTGGCCCCTGTTTGTTTTGGCGCTGAATGCCCAGATCCCAGTCTGCGTGAGCAATCGATGAAAGCATATTGTCACACTGCCTCTCAGTTCATGGACTCCTACAAACGTATGTTTTGCACTCGGAGCTAATTCTGGTCAATCATTCTGATTCACATGGATTGCTAATGGTCGAACTAGGTCATCGCAAAGATGATGACGGACTGACACCTGCTGAAATTGATTCATACGTTCCTCGCTTAGCCGATGAGCTGAGAGATAGGGGGGGATACGCAGCTGTACGAGTTGTATGGGCACAACGCCCATTTTGAGACAAGTATCTGAATGGTGGCAAGTGTTATTTGCCATGATGGGTACCAAGGATTTCACTTTTGTCAATAGATATACGAATATGGCTAGGAGATCACGAGGTTCGTCATTGGCGGGTATGGAGTAGATATTACGCTTGCAGATTCTTTGTTTTTCCTGATTCGTCTTCCGTCAGTCTGTTCTCTGTCCAAAGGATTCCATCTTCGCTCTCAACAGCTTTGATCGTATGTGACATGTTTTGGCTCTTGTAAGAAGAAAATGGAAGATTTTGAATAGAGAAGTGGCTCCTGCCTTAGCCATTAGGACAAGAGAAAGGGGAGTCATGACTCATGCCTCCAGGGAGTGGTGAATCACAGTGAAAGACGGCAGGACCAAAATGACAAATATTTCGATCTAGACGGTGCGAAGTCAGAAAGGGCTGGCAAATGTAGGAGTGCTAGATCCTGGCGTCTTCTCATGGAGTTGTGAAGAAAGCGAGAAATCTTGGCTAAGCGCAACAGGATTCATTGAGAATATGTGAATGCACAATTGATACTGAATAGGGTGAGGCCTGTTCCTCTGGTGTCTGAGGAGGATTCGATACCTAAATACTTCATGTGGCTATCCAAGTGTAATGGAGCCATGACTGAGTGTGACTTTTCAGGGCGAAAGGCCTAGTTCCTCACCTCCCTCACCGGTCCGTAGAGCTTGAAGACCTTCAAATGATGGTTCTGGTAAGCTACCTCGCTACTGCACGATATGGAGATTCGCAAAATTCGAGCTGTGTTGTCAGCTCCTAGTGATAGTCATTGGAGGGTCGAGTCTATGAAGAATCAAGAAAGACAACCTTTGGAAGGTGTAAATGGAAATATTTGGATTGTAGAAACACATTTGCCCTCTAGTGGTTGTATCCAATCCACAATGGTTATGAGCACTGAAGTCTTCCCCATTTCTCTCCGATGTATGGTAAAATCATCTCTGCTTTTGTAATCCCCAATTCGGTTTGTAGGCGCTACATTTCTTCGCCTTCCACTTTCAACTTTCCTCTATTCTTCTTGCCTTTCTTCCACAGCCTTTCTCAGATCTCGTACCTCTTTCATCATCATGTCGGACCAGCGCACAGACTCAAGTAATATGTGGATCACAAAATCACTGCCCATGATTCCTAATGCTAATATTCGACTTTTGACTTATCAGGCCCGGGCCCAGATCCATCTTTATCTTCATAAGCACTGCTTCCGATCCCCCTGACCCGTGTAGTATCACCGGCAGACATGTGGTCCGGGATCAATTAGGCCCTGCTGCATTGTCATCGTTGGACCTGTCTCGGCAGCTTGTTCTTCTCCAAATCTGCTTAGAGCACCGACATGTCTATAGAAACCGGCGATGCAACCCTGAATACTGGCAGCATGTTACTTCTCACTTTTGGAAGATCTCAGGCTGGGATTGGAAGCAATGCAGAAACTACGTGCAGGACAAGATCCGTCGTTACCGTGCCGATCCTCTCAGGGTGCACAACTCTGCAGGTCAAATAAAAAAAATCTCCCAAGGCTGCGAGATTTGATCACTAACATAGATCGTGTCAACGCGCCGAGTCAGATGAGCCCCAAACGCCCCTCGCGTCCCTTGCAGGTCCAGCATACCATCTCTAGTTCTTCTAAAGACAGATACTCTCGATCTGCTTCTTCTTACTCTCAGCCTCCTGCTACAAAAGACACCGACCAAGAACTCATCGCGATGGCAGGGGAAGCAATGACACGGTGTGACCTTGATGTGGCTAAGTTTCGAGTGCTTCAGGTCTTGAACAAGGCACTTCGTGAGCAACAGCTCGATGAATTGAACAGGGTTCGCCAACATCAAATCCCAACGAAGTCTTTGAAAGACAAGCCAAGGAAGCTGAGTTGAGGGAAAATTGGCACGAGGCAAAGTCTCTGTTATCTCGCCTCGTGTACGGGGATGGCCCTTTGCTTCTCCTGGCATTGAAGTACAGCCAGGCAAGAATGGAATTTGATCCGTTCGAATTAGAAGAAGCTATGAAGCAGCTTAAAAAGGAATACCCCAATCCACGCCTTAATCAAGTGGAGCTCAACGCGCATTATGAGGATGCGGAAATGAGTGGCAATCGGCAGAGGATCGGTCATTATCATGGGTTGCTTCGTGCCAACAAAAGGGAGATCGGTGCTCTCTGGAACAAACCAGATGATTTCCGCAAGGTATTCGAGTTGATGGCTGAAGACATGCGCCAGACTCGTGACGAGGCTTTGTATGCGCACCCAGCTCCAGCTAGGGATACGGGAACTGAATCGCAATCTGGATCTCGACCCGAGTCTCAACGTAAGCCACTGGATATCGCTGAAGGAGTCCGCATGCTAAAAAGGCGCGCGGGCTGAAGCCCAAGAGAGGACCCGAGGACTCGACTTGTTAGACAAGGCACGGACAGCGCTAGTCAATGGGCAAGACAGTGCCAAAAACTCTTCTGCGTCAGGGCTCGAACGAGGAATGCAAAGAAGCACTTAATACATTGGAACTCAGGGGATCACTTGTTCTCGATGACATTGAGGAGGCGGAGACGTCGCTGGTGGCCCAGGGTGAGGATGTGAGTGTGGAGGATAGGTTGACACCCGAAACCCAAATTGCATTACTAGTTCTTATGGAAGCGGAGGCGAAAGCTGACGAAGAGAGATTCGATTCTCTACTGGCTCAAATGCTGAGGAACAGTAGCGAAACCAGGAGCCTTCGCAAGGAATTTGAGGAATCTATGGCCAAGAAGATCCGCTACTTTGACAGATGCAGAGCTACATTGCTTGCTGGGGGGAGGTTGCAAGATGTAGAGGTTGAAAAACAGTGACTCAATTCACGTATCGGAGATGCTGATGACGGCAGGTGAAAGGGGGGATGGTAGGAGTTAGCATGGATCGATGAAATACTATGTCCGATGGAAACTTGAGCAGAGCAAGATCTTGATATCTGTAGTTCAATGTGAATGTTGAGATTCGATCTACTTAACTAGTCTTCTCCAACTCCCTCACACTCAACTCCGGAGAGTCAATCTTCTCACCATCGGGCATTCGCAAATCTCCAGACGTTTCTAACCCCGAGCGCCAATCTTCCGCAGCCGGTGGGTTCCATTCCGCAGCATTGCTATCAACACCCCGTCAGCACAAGGACAAGGTCAGCTGCAACCACAGCCATCAAGTAGAAACACCTACCCATGTTCCCGATCCTCAACCTCCTTCGTCCATTCCTCGGGAAGTGGCGGACGCGGTGTATCTGACGCGAACGCATTATTCAATCCATCAGGCCTCGAAGTGCGACCTTTATACAGCGGGTAGTTCGAATCCAATTCCGGCCCTGGTGTCTCTTCATACGCGTGCGGAGCTGAATCTGGAGTCTGTGGGAGCGGGGTGCCGACGGCCTCGTCTTCGATAGGAACATGAGAATTCTGGTCTATTCGACGTCCGACTGGTGTCGATGTAGCAATTGCTCTACTGGTTCTGCCATTGTCTGAGCTCTTCGTGGACGGCTTCCGGTTTCGGTTCTGGTGAGGTGTTGTGCTTTCTGCCCGGTGAGGGGTCTGGCACCAAGGGCAATCGAATTTATCTGCATTGGCGCGATGCCAGCTCGCGTGGGTATGTTGTTGATATCTTCTCATGATGGATATGTGGGGATGGAGGGTGAGGGATATATATACAAGGGGGTGAAAAGTAATTGGAGGTCTTGTCGGGGAAACAGCTTTTTAAAGCGGGGAGTGATGACAATGGATCTATCTAGCCTCGTTTTTTTTTTCTGCATCCTTGCTGCTAGTTTGAGCAGCCACCAAATGTGCTGGCAATGCGTTCATGCCGTTGGGAGGCCACTAGTCACAGTATTGGCGCTTGGACATTGGCGTCGATCTAAATTTATTATGTGGGCTGCTTGGACTAATTTGACAACTAGCTTGCAAATGGCATGATGCAATAATCATACAATCGTACAATCTTCGAATATTGGAGTGTTTGGGGTACTTGGGGTTTTACTAGAGGCTTTACAGATCCCATTTACTGGCAGATGCAAGGAGGCAAATGAGGGAACAAGACAGATGGACATTCGGGAGCAGTTAGAACTGAGTAAAGAAATTGCCTTGAATGAACACCGAACTAATTGCTCCCAGAAAAAAACCCCTTCCGATAATAAAGATAAAAAGTGGTATGTGCCATGATCCGTCAAAAACTACATCACATGAATAAAACGCCGGCAGTAGCTTATCCCCTCAATGGAAGTATTGGTAGGAACTTTTGGTCAAAAAGATAGGAAGCGAGACGCTTAAGCAGCGAGCTTGCGGATCTTCTCCTCGACGCGAGCCTTGCGCTGCTCGCGGGTGAGGCGGGCGACCTTGTACTTCTTGGACTCGGCCTTCCACTCCTCCTTGGTCTTCTTGGGGCCAGCGTTCTCATCGGCCTTGAAGGGGTCCTCACGGATGGCCTTGTGGGCATCGGCGTAGATCTCCTCAAGGTCACCAGCCTCAATCTCGTTGTCAATGTACTTGACGAACTGGGACTTGTAGCGCTCCTCATCCTCATCGGCGAGGGTCTCCATGTACTCAGAGACGTGGCTACCGTGGATGTAGTTCTTGAGCATCTCAGCGTCAAGCTCCTCGGACTCGATGTCGTAACCGGGGAAACGGCGGTCGGAGTGGGGGATGAAGATACCACCGTCGGAGGCACCCTTCATGGCAGCGAAGACACGGTTACCGGTGGAGGTGCGGACAAGACCAACATCGAGGAAGGCCTTGAAGGGGCGGCGCTCGCCATCATCGGTCTCGATGGCCTCGGTGAGAGTGTGCTCACCGGTGGCCTCCTCGACACCCTTGAACTGCTCGTCAAGGTTGAGCTTCTTCAGGACACGGCGGGCAAGGAGAAGACCGGTGGCGTAGGCAGCAGACCAGTTGGTAAGACCCTGGTCGATACCGTACTTGGGGAGCTCGTGGGCGTAGGCAGCGGCGAGGACCTTGTCACCGGTGACCTCAGAGTAGACGATCTGGGTAACGATGTCGCGGTTGGTGAAGCGAACGACCATGCGGTACTTGGGCGCATTGTACTTGTTCTTGGCCTGGGTGATCAGGCGCTTGCGAGCATAGTAATCGGTCTTACCCTCGCGGCGGCGACGGTACTTAGTCTGGAAGCGACTATAGTTGGAAAAGTCAGCAAAAAATATCGAAAAACAAAGATTCAGAGAAAGCTTTACTAACCTGAAGTAGGCGTTGTTCTTGACGGTCTTGGTGAAAGGCTATAGACCAACGCGAGTCAGCAATTAACGCTTCAGATATTACGCCGAAGCAACTTGCAGGGACCCGGCTCCGATGGGAATCGGAGAGGAAATAAAATGCAAAAGGAATGCATAATGGCTCTTCAGCCATCAGTCGAACTCACCATTTTGACGGGGTGTCGAGGGCGCTGGAGATGGACGAAGAAAAGAAAGTCGGAAATTTCGTGGGTCGACTTTGTGCGGGATTTCGCTTAGCGTGGCTGCATCCCCCGCCAGAAAATGAGGTCGGCGACGAGTGGAACATCAACTTTCTGTATGGAAAAAGAAAAGAAATTTCATAATAAATTCGAGAAAATTGCAATAATTGGGAATATGAAACGAATTGGCCTAGATTCTTAGTCTTCATCCTTTTCTACAAAATAAACCTGACATTCTTCCCGAAATGACGAATATCTATAACGCCTCACAATCGTGCCTTGTCATCGTCCAGCAACTGAAGGCCTGTGATCTTCTCCAGCTCCTTGACGGCATCTTGGGTCTTTCCAAGTGTGACTTTAACTGTACGCATGCCAGCTTTCTTCGCCCCCTTCAAATTCTCGCCAATATCATCGAAGAACACAATGTCGTTGGGATTAGATCCGGCCAATCCTCGCCTCTTAGCCAAAGTGTCCATCTCCTGTAACGCCACCTGGTAGATTTTTGGGTCTGGTTTGCGGAGACCTGTGTGTGCAGACGAAATAAAGAAATCGAATTGCTTCTTGACATCGGACGCATTATTGTATTCATGTCCGTCGGGGAATATGACGGTGTTGGATAGAGCACCCATCAAGAACTGCCCTGACTCTTTCAATTTCTTCAGAGCTGGATACATGTATCGGTCTGGTGTGCGAGATATCCGCATCATCTCCCAGAAAAGCCATTCCGCATCCACTGTCGGTAGTGGAGGGATGGTGGAACCACGTGTGCCTTGTTTCTTTTGAAGTTGTTGGTGGAATTGTGTCCATAGTTTGGGGTCTCTTAGATCCGCATTGAACCCCGCAAAGAAGTCGGCATCCATCTTGATGTCCCCTCGCTCAAGCCTGTGCCAGCTACCATTTGGCGCCGTTCGCGAGATACTAAAATTGACCCATCCTGTTGGAATGTTTTGGGCAATTTCATAATCGAGGATGGCCTGGAATGGGGATACAACCTAGAGATTCGTCAGATATATATATCTTCAATTCGCCGGTCAAGTGGTTGACTTACACACACTCCTCCGATGTCAAACAGTAGGCCCACCGGCCTCTTGATCTCTGTCATTTTGAAATACTAATCAGGCTACCTGAGATAGTAGAGGTTTGGAATACGCTGAGATTGATGTTTCAATCAGTTGTGGTGACCTTAAAATCGCAACAAATTCAATTACTTTGAGAGATCTGGACATAAATGACGGTCAGATTGCCGAGGCACGTCTCTAAACCGAGGATATACTCCACACCAACAAACTTCATCAGTAACTAATAGGACCATAGGTCGGATTGAACTATCACTTAGTCGCTATGCTTCAAATATTTTTCTTTATTTTATTGTGGTTTACAACTGAAATCGACATTGGCCATCCCGCAAAATGGTATTTGCGGAGAGACACGTGACGCCTTATCGATAAGGACGCGCTTAGAGAAGATCGCAGAGCTTTTGGAGACTCGTCAATGGTACTTCTCCAACACCATTCAGATTGTGTTCGAAATGGATTCGACTCGAACTATAGCCGAGTTGAAATCTGCATTCATCTGGAGCCAAGTCCGCGTCTTCTCCGAGAGCCTTGATTTACCCGAAGACTGGCGACACTATGCTCCTGAAACTACTGAAGGTGATTTGAGTGACAAGGTGATCGAAGATGTCCTACACAAAGGTCAGAACACGAATTGCAATTGAGCAGCTCATTTATCTAGGGCTTTCTGCCCAGATATGGTGATGAATACCATACTCATAATTATATAGTAAATGCAGCCGCTAAACAGCACAATCGCGTTGTTTATTCATCCCAAGCCATACACCATGTTGCCCAGCAGATTGCAAATTTGTACTGGTCGTCGGTCAGTCAGGAGACGCGCCATCGAGATGCTTTTTCTCATAGTATCGAAAAAACAACGGATTTGTCACGGGGGATGTAAGGTATCATCCACCTTCATGCGTAACAGCACTGACTGAATGGCTTAGAAACATCACAAAGATGCCTGTCAACTTGGAAAGCCAGGAAGCAAGCGAAGAGGACCATGCAAAGTCAGTTTACAAACACACGTCCGGATTTTCTCCGATTGAAGTTTCACCTGCCTTACACTAGTCGCACAGGTACCAGCAGCTCCGTGAGCGGCTCGCAAGTCTCGACACTCAACGGCAGCAACGGCAACGGCACCTTGATCAGTTACATCATCTTCGAAGATTACTCGAGCCATTTGAACATCCCCAAAAAGACATTCAACCCAATCTTATCACGAAGGATGGAGAACTTGTTCAAGAATTAGAGAAAATGCGCATGCTCGTAGCCAGAGCTGGGGGCCGGATTACACAACAGAAAAGAAGCAGCGGTGCCCTTGAAAATTACGATTACTCACTTCCAGGCTCTAGTCAGAGATTGGAAGCCCTATTGGATATGCCTTGATGAAACCAAAATACCCTATGCCCACAGCTGCATACAATGAATTTACTTGCGATACGAGATGATTACACATTTCCAGTGCCTCTAATTTATTTTATAAGATGGTATTTTACGTGGGCTTCTACTTGAAGTTTGAACACGTTACCCTGGCTACAATGATCCCGATATCATGTACCTTCCCCCAGGGCGACCCATAGTTATAACCTCGTGAATGTCAACAGACATGAAAAGGCAAGTACGTATCAATTACTGTAGAAAGTCACTTATAGAACTCATAGAGCACGTGCGATTCCGCCGAAGCATAATTGAACATTTCGTACTGGGCGAGGAGCCCTTTTGATCTCCAAATCTCAACCGTCATTGATTCATTACACTTACACGCTCACACTCGTCCGCCGGTCGGAAAGAAATAGGCTTCGCTCCACCAATATGTTGGGAAACCTACTCCTTTAGGACGCTTTTCTTGGCCGATTTTCTTTGCAGCCATACAGTCGTTCTTCTCTATCCGAATGAGTGCCTTCAAGAAGATGAGGGAGCTTGTTGGAATAGGGCCATCACGTGAATCGGAATCACGTGCTGGCTCAGTCCCAGCCCCACCTGCTAGCGTGAGCTCCCAGCACAACAAGCTTGTTGACTGCCTACTAGAGACCTGCGATTCTGACCAGAGTTCCCTGGACGAATTTGCCATTTATTCAGACCCGAGTGATAGTGACGATACTGTCCCTGGTTTGTGTGCACCCGCCATCATCGAGGGCGACACTTCCCCCTCCCCTTCCAAGGCTTTCACGCGTGGGCATCGCCGTCGCTCCACGCACGTTACTCGCCGTGACCTTGAGAAGTTTCAATCGGAGGTCCTAGGCGTTGAAAATCACGCGTCTTGGTTCGACGAAGATAACGGCACTCCTCAATCATTCACCCCTGACGATCCTCAACTTGAGGAACTGAACCGAGCTTTCGCCGACGCCGACGTCTGTATGAACAACGCCGCTATGGCTAGCAACGGTACCGGCCACGGTAACTTCTCTGGCTATGAAAACAGTACTGGCACGATGAACATTCCCAATCTTCCTCCCCGCCAGACTCCGTCTCCCGCTCCCTCTCACTCTTCGGTCACCACCCAAATCAATGGCGGCGGAATGGGCGCCATGGGCGCGGCAATTCCGATGAACGCTGGACACCAGATGGACTTACACCATCTTTATGAGATGGTTGTCGAATTGAGCGACGTGTTGAAGAACAACCGAGATGTGACTAAGAACATCGTCGCGAATGCGGAGGAGATTGTGGTATGTGGGAACCAAAGAATGTTAATTCAAATTGGATATCTATCTGACAAATTTTTTTTTAGAAAAACGGTATTGTGGATAGCTCTGGTGCGAATGGCCAGCAGGGCGATAACCTCAGTATGTTGATCCCTGGCATTATTACTTCACTTCCCTGTTTACTTACGCTCGAGCAGCCGCCCGGATTGCCGAACTCGAGCGTGCACTGGCCAAGGAGAAGCTTCTAAGTGCCGATCACAAGCACCATCGCGAGGAAAACATGAAGGTGATTCAGGAGTTTGAGACTGCCGTAGGTGTTATGGTTGAGCAAATCCGCAACTATTGCCAGAACAACAATATGCACTACCTCGCCCAGAAGAAACATTACAACAATCTCCTCCAGGCTGAGCGCGACGCTCATCTGGAGAGTCGGCTCGACCGGGACTACTGGCATGCACAAACCATGAAATGTGCTGAAATGATCCGCACCGCCTATCGTCTGAAATGCGACGAAGATGATGTCCCCACCCGCGTCATCTCTGGTTTGCAAAACGAAGTTCGTGCCTACCGCTTTGCGCTTGGCATGGAAGCCGAGAAACCCGAAGAGGAGTATGGTTGGGAATATCTCAAGAATATCCCTGGTTTGGAATAAATAGGGGGTTTATGTGGGGAACAGCGAAAACCGCTCTACTATTTCCGATGTCCGCTTGACGCCGTGATGACTATTTTCTTTTCATCGCATACCCCTTGGAGGCGTTTGCGTTTTTTTTTTTCTCTCTTTCTTTTGTCGGCACATTTCTCCAGGAAATGGTGTGGCGTTTTTAGGTGTTTTTATCGCGGATACCCGTATACTTTTGAGTGTGTTCAACACTCCTTTTTTTAGGTGCAAACTAAATTACTCTTTAATCTCCCACCTAACCCTTGGACTCCACATATGTTGTCAGTACAATGTTGTAGATGATAATGTCCACTATATTCCACTATATTCCGCCACTTGGAGTGGCGACCGGATTCCTAGGCCTGTACCTCAATTCCACTCCAATGATATATATTACACCCTATTAAAAAATACGCTTCTCAACAGGTAAATTTGGTAAATCTGTATCCTCACGTGTCCAGGTGCCCGATTATGTCACCGGCCATGCTTAATTGCATCCGGACTCGTCCCAGTCCATTTTAGTTACCTCTCGCATTTCACTATGCATTTCTCGTCAAATCAAGCGATGATATTGGGCCACTTACAGTAAGGGTGTACTTTACCGCATCTCGGTCGCAGATCATACGGCACTCCCCATTCCCCGGCATCCTCAATATAGTATTTCTATTTCTTTATTGTCGTCCACCTGATTGTCCTTTGTCTTTTGGCGATCAACACTGGAAAGTGGGGGAGCCAATTATGCGTTCGATCTAGTCCTGTCCAGTCATTGCGCTCTTTATACGACGCCACACACACCGCTGATAAACTCTCAACGACTACGGAGTACTTGGGCACTGCCAAATTACATTCCTTTTGCGTCTGGCTTTTGAGGAATTTCAAAATGGAAGGTGTTCAGACTGTGGACGTGAGCTGGCTTCATCATTCACAAAAAGGTAAGTTCCACTTTCTATGCTAGCACCTCTTCGACCCCAGGTTATGACCGGCTTGTTGGAGTTCCGAAATCGGGGCGGCTTCTAATACTCTCTTTAGACCATTTATCTCGCACAAAGTCAGTATCAGCGAACGACAAACCTGGCGCCGAGTCAGAACCACCGACGTCTTCTCAATCTAAGTCGCACCGGCGATCTCGTTCCAGCAGCAATCCGGCACGCCCAACACCGGCCCCTTCCACAGAAACGAAGCAAGCTCCCAAGAATGACGCAGTGCCAGTACAAGCAAAACCAACGCCAGTTGAGAAGATCGAGGAGCAAAAGCCGTCTACGCCATCCCCCAAACCCATCGGCCGACGAAACTCGTGGATCTCCAGTTTAAGCTCGAAGTTTTCCTCTGGATCTACCCCGCCGTCGCAATCAAGCCTCAAGGCCAGTCCTGCGAGTCCGAAAACAACCTCGCCCCTTGAGACGCATAACCCATTCGGTGCCGCCTATTCCCCGAAAGACAAGGAGGAAGAGAGGAAAGACGATTCCAATCCCTTTACTTCATCATCGCCCAAGGGGCCTTCTTTCATTCACAATGCACTACGCAAATTCTCGTCTAACTCGGGTGGGTTACCCAAATTAAATCCCAATGGTTCGATCTGCCCGCGTCGCGTGATGAACATCGATCAAAATCGGCACAGATGCAAGGTTGCGGATTTGAACCAGGCCAAACTCAACCGTGTTGCGTTCTGCGTGGATGTTGAAATTGCGGGTATCTCCCATCGGGATGATGACGAGGAAGCCCCTCCAACGAATCAACTACGGCAGCATCTACCCGAGTCTAATAGCCATAAGTCTAAGAAGGCCGATCTTAAATTGAAGGAGCAAGATGAAGCTGGAGCCTTGAAGCACCCCCAGACTACGTTAGCTGAGAAGGATAACGCGTCTGAGCCTCCGGCTCCTACTTCTGCCCCGGCTCCTGCTCCTGCTCCTGCTCCGGTCAGCGGTGGTGTGAAGGTCCAATCTAGCCCTCCCTCAACAAATACCACCAACAGCAAACCATCTGCTGATCCCACCCCTAGCGGGGAACAGGCTGATCCAACAAGAAAGCAAGAGAAGAAGAAAAGGTCCGAGGCAGAGCGAAAAGAACGGAAGGAGAGAAAGCGAAGACAAGCCGTGGCTAATGGTTCGGTTCCGTTGCAACTCGATGCAGACAATGACGAAGAGTATCCCCGAGATCCAGCACCAGCACCGGGTGCCTCTCGCCCCAAAACGCAAAGTCACCCAACAACCGATCCAGTGCGTATCTATCGCCGTTGTTGCCAGCTACGTGAGACGCCTGTTCTCAAGAGAGTGGTTGACGAGATCTCCAAACCTTCATCAACACTGGCCGAGTCACCCGGCACAGTAGCAGCATTGGATTTGAGCAATTTCCCTATGACCTCACAGGATTTGACAACCTTCAGCGACTGGCTCGCGGTTGTTCCAGTCCGTAAACTTATTCTTGAAAACTGTGCCTTGACGGATACTTTCGTACGAGCCATTCTTTCAGCCCTACTCGCTACCAAGACGGTAGAACAGATGCGGTATCGACGGAGACGATCACGAAGATCAGAATCTCCAGACTCCAATGACTATGAACGATATGGCGTTGTGGAAAAGCTTTCCCTGAAGGACAATCCGAAGATCGGAAGGGAAGGATGGCGCCATATCAGCCTTTTTATTCACCTCTCGAAATCCTTGAACGCTATCGATTTGTCGGGCATTCCTTTCCCTCAAGGCCAGGTTGCTATCGATGGTTCTGGGATTGCGGGTCAACCCCAGCCTCCTATGGCCGATGTGAGCATTATCTTCGCGAGTGCCCTGGCAGAGCGCTTTTCTGGGGATCGGCTCGAAGAATTGCTGATGAGCGAGTGTTATCCTTCGGTCGACGCTGTAAAGCAAATTTGCAGGGCGAGCACCAAGATGGGCTTGCGAAGGCTCGGCTTCGCGAACAATGGTCTGACTAGAGAGGGCCTAGAGCATGTGGTTGAATATCTCAAAGCTGGATATTGTGAAGGACTGGATTTAGGTGGCAACCCCATCAAGGATGATCTCGATCTTATTACAGACGCGTTTGAACCTGAAACACCGCTTTATGCACTGAGTTTAGCTGACTGCTCCCTCAATCCGTCGGTGATTTATCCATTGCTCCAATCCCTTGCTCAGATTCATAACCTCCGATTCATCGATTTCTCTCACAATCGCGAGTTATTCTCGTCGCAGCCCAACGCATTGGGGGCTTTCCGTCGCTTCCTGCCGAAAATGCCCTCTCTGAAGCGTTTTCATCTCGCTGATGTCGCTTTATCACCGGATCATGTTATTGGTCTTGCTGAGGTACTGCCGGAGTGCCCCAGTCTGTGTCATCTGAATATTCTAGAGAATCAACAAATCGTGGATTTGGCGTCTACCACGGACCCTCTTGCTCAGGAAGAAGCTTGTGCTGTCTATGCATCAATGATGGCAGCTGTCCGTGTGTCTAGAACCATCATTGCAGTCGACATCGATGTTCCCAGCGCAGAAAACAACGAAGTTGTCAAAGCTCTAGGATCACAAATTGTGGCTTACTCGCTACGGAACCTTGAAGGCGGCGCCATGGCCGAAGAGCTCTCTGGCTCTAGTTCCCCACTTGTGGATGTTCCTGTGCCAGATATTCTACAGCATATTGTCGGACACTCTCTGGGTTCCGAAGAGCTTTGCGACGAGGAAGACGAGCCCGCTCCGGATGAGGATTATGTTATTGGTGGCACAGGTGTTGTTAAAGCATTGGGTGTTTGTCTCGGGAATCTGGACCAGCATGGTCTCGATGTTCTTGGAGATCAATCTTTACCAGCTAGTGGTACCACAACGCCCCGACGCCGCAAGTCTCGAGGTGTCCCTACCAAGCGACCTCGCGACATGTCGAAGAATTTGCTGGAATCCGCACGCAATATCAGAGTCCGGATCCAGTCGGCTCTTATTCGTGAGGATCGTGCTGGTAATGACGCGAATTATCGCCGCCTGCAATTTTTAGACATGACCTTGCATAGGATGATTCAGCGCTTTGAGGATGAATACCCCGAAACTCGTATCATCCCTCAACTTCCGCCTGCTCTTCCAGTCCCTGATACGATCTCTCAACACTCTGGTGATGACGATGGAACCGGCTCGATCGCTGCTGGGGGCAATCTTAACAGCAGCCAGCTTGACGAGACTGGCGGCGACGAGGAAGACACCGACCAATATGCCGTTCGTCATTCTCGCACCAGCTCCATGACTTCCCTCCACTCTCGAGCCATGACATCCCAAGAAGGACACATCCACCGCATCGGCCAGAATCTCCGCCGCGACTTCCTGAAACCGTCTCTAGCTCCTGACGACGAAGATTTCGACTACGATGATGATAACTCGCACATCGCTGCTCTCCGGCAAAAGCTCGACCTCCTACATGACGAGCAGTCTCTGTCTCAATTCGATGACTTTGATGCCGACATGGCCTTTAACCACCTCGGGACTACCGTCGATGAACTGTATGATTCCCAGCAGCGAGACGCCGAAGGATTCGAGCGCTTCAAGCAGTCCCAAATCGCTGCCCAGATCAACAGTGGTATTCGTGCCAGGGATAATGCAGAACCTAGGGCAGGCTCCGAGGGAGCAGAGAGCAAGCCCCTATCTTGAGTTTTCTCATTTTCATTTATTATCATATTGATCATGATATTGGCTTCTTATGTATCCTTTGCGCTTTATAATCACTGTACATATTCTATGCGTGCATGTCTTTGGGTGGGATCTACTCAGCCCAGCTTTTTGTACATACGTGACGGGCACGAGAGAAGGGCGGAATTCTGTTATCATAGCATCTTCACAGTCGTTGCCATTACTTTGTTTCTGCATCACTATGTATCTACATGTTGTTGTTTTAGGGCCGTATACCACTCTCTCTAGTCAAGGGATTTTCCCGTCTCTTTGTCTTTTCATCAGATGCGCAAGTAATATGGTTGCTGCCTTAGGCCAGCATATCTTCTTTCCTTGATACGTGATATTCTCTAATTCCCTCAGAATCTATTAAGAAGGTTGTGTTGCATGATATGAATAGATCCCTGTGTTTTAAACATAAATTAAAGCTTTAATAAAGATCAATAAATCGCCGATGCCCAGGTGAGATTACCTGGGAGTGGGTTCCTCGGCTGAACATTCCCCAGTTTCCTGGGGTATCACATGTCACCTCCGTCATGGCAATGGCATATTTCTCCTCTCCCTCAACTCTTTCAACCCTTTCACCTCTCTCGACAGCGGACATGTTTGCGCCAGAATCTGGCTGATAAGGAATCAACAGCTCCGCCATGGCCGTTCAGTCAAAACTACTACCGCCCGAACGGTCCATCAAGCAGATCCTCTCCAGCCTAACATCCCTTTACCTACAAAACCGTACCCGAATCTCACGCGCCGTATATCTCGCCCTCTTCGCTGCACTCGCCAAGCGAATCCACAATGCCATCTCCGAGCAGAAAGCCGCGTCACGGCAGGTAGAGCTGCGCCGACGGCCCGGCACCAGTAGTCTAGGTGATGAGGAACAACCCCGCAAGAAGCGCGTGGAGATCAACCGGGAATTCTTCAAGAACTTGCTCCGTTTATTGAATATTGTCATACCCGGATGGCGAAGTAAGGAACTACGACTGCTAGTGAGCCATAGCGTCTTCCTCGTGTTGCGGACGCTGCTTAGTTTGTACGTTGCCGAGCTGGACGGAAAGCTTGTGAGCAACTTAGTGCGCGGCAAGGGGAAGGATTTCTTGCTCGGCCTTGTCTGGTGGATGATTGTGGCTGTCCCTGCTACTTTCACTAATTCTATGGTAAGTCCCCGGTCATGGAACCTAGGTTTCCAGTCTGCGGTGTTGACATGCGACCGTTCAATGCATTTGCTGACTTGATACTTTGCTGTATTAGCTTTCCTACCATCAGTGCAAGCTTGCTCTCAGCTATCGCAAGCGTCTCACGGACTACATCCACGAGAAGTATCTATCCAACATGACTTTCTATGCCATCTCCGCCTTGGATGATCGAATAAAGAATCCCGATCAGCTCGTCACGGTCGATGTGTCTCGCTTCTCGGACAGTCTGGCAGAACTGTATTCCAATTTGGCTAAGCCCATACTCGACATGGCCATTTATAATTACTCTCTGTCCAAGAATGTCGGAGGTGAAGGGCTGTTCATCATGAGTCTGCTGGTGCAGTTGTCTGCCAACGTTATGCGCATGCTGACTCCACCATTTGGCAAATATGTTGCCGATGAGGCCCGGTTGGAGGGCGAGTTCCGTTTCCTCCATTCACGGCTTATTGATTACAGTGAGGAAGTTGCGCTTTACCATGGCCACGAGGCTGAGAAGGATACCCTTGACAAGGGTTATTTCACGTTGATCAAGCATGTGAATCGTATTCTGCGCCGGAGACTTTACCATGGATTCATGGAAGACTTTGTGATAAAGTATTTCTGGGGAGCTATGGGCTTGGTACTCTGTAGTGTACCTGTCTTCTTCAGGATTCCTGGCCAGGCTACACACAGTATGGGAGACCACACTGAAAGTAAGTTGTAGTGGTTTGGTGTTGAATTTTTACATGCTGATGAATCCCAGGCTTCGTCACAAATCGTCGAATGTTGCTTTCCTCCTCGGATGCTTTTGGCCGATTGATGTTCTCCTACAAAGAGATATCGGAGCTGGCTGGGTACACTTCGCGTGTTTCCTCCCTACTGGAAGTGATGGATGATCTCCTCGCTGGAAGGTTCGAGAAGAAGTTGGTATCTTCCGCTTCGACAGAAGAGAATGCGGAGGTGCTATCTGGTCGCGGTAAAGTTATAGAAAGCGACGCGATTGAGTTCACAGACGTACCGATTGTATCCCCGAACGGTGACGTATTGGTGCGCAAGCTGTCTTTCACGGTCAACCCTGGCGATCACCTTCTGATTGTCGGACCCAACGGGTGCGGCAAATCGTCCCTCTTCCGGATCCTGGGCGGGCTCTGGCCGGTGTACGGAGGAACGGTAAAGAAACCTCCTTTCCAGGATATTTTCTACATTCCCCAGCGACCATATCTGTCCCGTGGGACCCTGCGGCAGCAAGTGATCTACCCCGATGGAGTGCGCGAAATGCGCGCCAAGGGTGTGACTGATGCCGATCTCTACGATGTCCTATCAGTGGTTGAAATTGCGTCCGTCGTAGACCGCCCTGGGGGCTGGGATGCAGAGGAAGAATGGCGCGATGTGTTATCCGGTGGTCTGCAGCAACGCATTGCTATGGCTCGCTTGTTTTATCACCGACCCAAGTTTGCCATTTTAGATGAATGCACATCCTCGGTGACGCTGGAAATTGAGAAGGTCATGTATGAGACGGCCAAGAAGCTTGGCACCACGCTCATGACTGTCTCGCACCGACGCAGCCTCTGGAAATATCACCAGAAGATCTTGCAGTTTGATGGAGAGGGCGGATATATCTTCACCGGTCTAGACTGGGAGCGACGCTTGAAACTGGAAGAGTAAGTTTCTCCGATCCCGATATCAATTCCGATTTGCCCGATTTACCCGATTTACCCGGTTTTCCGCTTATTAACCATCTCACAGTGAGAAGGAAGAGTTGGACTTGCAGTTACGGGCTGTGCCCGAATTACAACGTCGGGTTGCCGAGTTGACGGCATAATTTTCCCATAATTCATTTGACCCTTTAGCGCTGAGATGCTTGCAATGTTTGCAATGCATGATGTATCATGCATCCACTTCCAATGATATTGACCAATCCAATCAATGACTCACCCTCGGGCTTCCACAATTCGGCTTCTCTGATTTTGATGTCCGTGACCCCCCCTAACGACAGCCAATCAACGCCTGTTATAGCAACCTTGAATTCTCACGATGTTCAGATGAGCCCCCCCCTCGGCCGGCCCACACTGATGTCGTGGGAATTCCCTACGTCATATTCCTATATATCTTGTTTGCCACGGAATACCAAGTTCTTCAAGAATAATCGTACTTAGGATCGTGAATTGGCTGTTTTGCATTTCTTTTTTTGTACTTTTCTTCCTAAATTCTTCCCCCATACACACCCCTACGCGCCTTCTAAAGTAAACCCTCTTCTATACAATGGCTATCACACAGATGAAACCCCACCAAAAAAGAAAGATCATCATCTTTTCCGGTATGTCACCTGTTGAATATACTCCTAACTCCTATCCATTTCCGCCGATTCCTCATGCCGCAAATCCCAACCTCAAAGCCCTAAATCCACCCCAACACACCCAAAGAACCCGAACTAACAACCCCCAGACTTCGACGGCACAATCTTCTTACAAGACACCGGTCATGTCTTAGTAGACCACCTCGGCTGCGGCGCAGCCTACCGCAACAAACTCGAAGAACAATTTAAGAGCGGCGAGCGAACCTTCCGCGATATCTCAGACGACATGTGGGGATCCCTCACCATCCCCTTCGGCGACGGCTTCGAGATCATGGAAAAGAACCTCGAACTAGATCCCGGCTTCCGTGAATTCCACCAATACTGCGTCGCCGAAGGCTTCCCTTCAACGTGATCAGCGCAGGCCTAAAGCCCGTTCTACAGCGCACATTAGATCTATTCCTAGGTGTCGAAGAGGTATGCCCCCCTCCCCCCCTCTCTCCCTTTCTCCCTCTCTCCCAGTATCTATACAAAAGCCACTCATAAATGCATCTCCAACCACCCACTAACACCCATTCCAAAAGGCCGCCTCTATCGAAATCGTCGCAAACGACCTAAACGCCCCAGGCGGCATTCCCTGGAAACCCGTCTGGCGCGACAACACCGATTCAGGCCACGACAAGGGCGCCAGCGTGAACCAAGCGCGCGCAAAAGCCCAAGCCGAATGCGAACCCGATGAAATCCCTCTCATCGTCTTCATCGGCGACGGCGTCTCCGACCTCGCCGCTGCCCGTGAAGCAGACGTCCTCTTCGCTCGACGTGGTCTGAGACTAGAGGAATACTGCATCGAACACGGTATCGAGCATACGCCTTTTGATGATTTCTCGCAGATCAAGAAGGAGATTGAGGCGATTAGTCTTGAGGATCAGAGGAAGACTGGTGGTGTTGGGAAGCCGGTGCGGTATAACCCGCGTGCGAATATGTGGAGGAGGATTTCTAGTAAGGAGGCTGTATGTTTTTCCCTATTCGAGAGAAGGATTTTGGGGGACTATTACTAATGGGGTTTTTTTATCAGGTTCCGACGCTTATGGCTACGGCTACGCCTTCGCAGGATGAGAAGATGGCGCTTTGGCCGGATTATTTCTCTCAGCCTAAGCAGCCTCAGCCGGAGACGATTACGGAGTGAGGTTATTGCTTTGGGGATGCTTTGACGTATTTCATGGTTTGATGTCATATCTTAGGGGGTTTTTTTTGGCATGGAGTGGGTGTTGGTTCGGTATTTTCAGTCATTACTGCCTTGAAGTAGGTTTCTTCTGGCTTCGTACAGACTGCTGTATATCGAGATTGGGTTATATAGATATTTAGTTCTGCTTAGACCAATTTTTTATAAAATAAAGTCTTATAATGATCAATGGTTACCTGGGCCACTTATTAGTCACCTAAAATTATGGGATGATAATAATGGATATACTATTAATGCTAATGATATTGAACAAACCAATGCTGATGAGTTCTTCGAACCAATGAAAAACGCATGCAAATGATCAAATAAAAAGAAAGACCTGGCACAGTGCATGTCAAATCTTCCATAGTATGCTTAGTCCGTAACGTTCAGAGGCTCGACATTCCAGATACTATCAGCGTACTCATTAGTAACGCGATCCATGGAGAAGAATCCCATACGCGCGACGGATGTAATCGATTTAGCAAGCCACTCTTCCTGATTCTGGAAGGCTTCGTCGACCATCTCGTGGGTGGTGATGTAGGAATTGAAATCATCCGAGACGAGATAATAATCGCCGTGCTCGTCGATGGAGCTTGTGAGCGCAGAGAAATCAGATTTATCGCCAAACATGTTGTCTTTGATTGCGTTGAAGACGCGTTCCAGCTGTGGGTCTAGCTTAAAGTCTCCGTAGAAGTGTCTGTGACGCAGGTCCTCAACGTCCTCGGCGAGATTGCCGAAGAGGAAGATGTTCTGCTCGCCGATTTCGCGGGTAATCTCGATCTATAAGTTGCGTTAATATTATCACTGAATTGAAAGTTGGATAAAAATAAAAGAAGACTTACGTTGGCTCCATCGCAGGTGCCGATGATCAGACCACCGTTCAGGACGAACTTCATGTTGCTCGTGCCACTGCCCTCGGTACCGGCGGTTGAGATGTGTTCGCTGATATCCGAAGCAGGGCAGATAATCTCCGCCTTGCTGACGTTGTAATCAGCAATAAAGATGACCTTCAAAAGGTCGCCAATCTCCGGGTCCTTGTTCACGACATCGGCCACCTTGTTGATGAGATGAATGATGGTCTTAGCCATCCAGTAACCAGGGGCTGCCTTGCCTCCGAAGATGGAAACTCGAGGCACCACTTTCTTTTTCTCCTCCGCTGACATGGCTTTGATCGTCAAGTAGCGGTGGATGACTCCGAAGATGTTGAGCTGTTGACGCTTGTATTCGTGGATACGCTTCACCTGCACATCAAAGAGGGCATTGGGATTGACATCGTATCCCGTGGTGGCCTTGATGTGTTCAGCTAGGCGCAGTTTATTCTCCCGCTTGATAACCGCCCACTCCTCGCGGAAAGCCTTGTCGTCGACAAAGGCCTCTATCTTATCCAAAAGTGTGAGATCCTTCAGGAAGTCATAGCTTCCAAGCTTCTCTGCGATCAACGCAGACAATCTGGGGTTGGCCTGGTGGAGCCAGCGTCTCGGGGTGATACCATTGGTAACATTGGTGAAACGGTCGGGTCCATAGATCTTCACAAAGTCTTTGAAAAGAGTGGTCTTAAGCAGGTCGGAATGCAGCTCGGCCACACCGTTGACTTTGTGAGAGCCAATAATGGCCAGGTAAGCCATGCGCACCATCTTGGGATGCGACTCTTCAATGATCGAGACTCGCGACAGGATATCCCGATCATTGGGGAATCGCTTCTCAACAGATTGCAGGAAGAACAGATTGATCTCGTAGATAATTTGTAAGTGCCGCGGAAGCAGATTCTGCATCAGCGGAACAGACCATTTCTCCAGCGCTTCGGGAAGAACAGTGTGATTAGTGTACCCGAAGGTCTTGGTCACGATCTGCCACGCCTCGTCCCATTCCAAGCCCTCCTTGTCAATCAAAATGCGCTGCAACTCAACAATTGCAAGGGCTGGGTGGGTATCGTTAAGCTGGATGGCGATCTGATCAGAGAACTCGCCCCAGGCCCGCTTTGTCTTCTTGAATCGTCGAACGATGTCATACAGCGAGGCAGCACACCAGAAATACTGCTGCTTCAGACGCAGTTCTTTGCCTCGCTCGAGGTTATCGTTGGGGTAGAGAACGGCTGAGATGGTTTCCGCCCTCTGCTGGTCCGCCACAGCACTTTCATAGTCTCCAGCATTGAATTTCTGGAAATCAAACTCTCCGCTGCTAGCCTTGCTAGACCACAGACGAAGGTTGTTGGTGGTCTTCGTGCCGTATCCGGGGATGGGGACATCGTATGCGATGGCTTGAACAATCTCACCATCCTCCCACGAGTGCGAGATCCTGCCATTGTCATCCTGGTATTTCTTGACATTACCATAGAACTGGATGTCGACTGTTATTTCGTGACGCGGGAACTCCCAGGGGTTGTTATCCAGCCAGTAGTCTGGTACTTCTACCTGATATCCATTGACAATCTCCTGCTTGAAGATACCGTAACGGTAACGCAAGCCATATCCCCAGGCTGGGTAGTTCAGCGTCGCCATGCTGTCCAAGAAGCAGGCCGCCAAACGACCCAGACCACCGTTACCAAGTGCTGCATCATGCTCCTGGTTGATGACATCCTCGATGCGGAATCCAAGATCGTTCAATCCATCTAGAATCATCAGTGATAACCCAGACCATAGATGCTTCTAGCATTTACCTCGAGCAGTATCTTTCAACCCAACATTCAGCATAGCATTGTCCAATGTACGTCCCATGAGGAACTCGAGCGACAAATCTACAGCGATTAGCCATTGTCTTCTGTCACGGAGCTACACACATACAGTAGACTCGCTTCTGATCTTTGAAAGTCTGACGCTGCTGAGTCTTGTTCCACTCGATGATTAACCGATCTCTGAAAGCAAGCGCGGTTCCTGAGTATGCAGCCCTATGAAAGAACTAAGTCAGCAAAAACTTGAATGAAAGGCACAAAGTACATACAATTCATCGCAATTGTACATTGACCGAGCGAGGGTTGTTTCGATATGGCGCACGAGATCTTTCTGCCCGAGACGTTAGACCACAAAGGATCAAATCCTAATACGTGTCGAACTCACCTCAAATTCTTCCTTGGTGTTAAACTCAGTAGCCGACTAAAATCATTCGACGCGTTAGTCTCCTAGACCCCCTGATGCTAGGTTTATCTCCACATACATGTTTCTTCCAGCTGTGAGATTGATGGTTAGTTCCAACTATCCAATGCTAGCGAAGGAAGGTACTCACGCTTCTCGGAGTGGCTCAGGAATACTAGCTTCCACATTTTTAATCTCAGCCGGCCCAAGACCAGTGAATGTACGCTTATGTTTGGGACGGCTGAATCCCGGGCCAACAGGACCCTGAAGGTCGGCGATAGGAGCTCCGAAGGAAGATCGTCGCTCCCGACGAGGTTCGGAGGGGGCAACCTCAACTGGGTCTAGGTTTGACATGACGAAGGGAGTTAAAAATGAAGAGAAGCTGAAAGAGACAAAGTCCAAGAAGAAATAAAGGAGAAAAGGAGAAAAGGAGAAAAGGAGAAAGAGGGGAAAAGCCGTTCATGTACGGAGTAGTCATGACGGTGACACCGGTCTTTTTTTAGTTCGATTGCATTTCAGGACGATGTGTACGTGGAATACGTCACCTATAAGATTTCAATTCCTTGATTGTATCCTAGTAAACTCGTGGGATTATATGAAACACATCATGCCATTTTCAGCATAAAAAGACCTCGAGAACTATACTGGCCGTTGAGTCCTTATCCGCTTCTCGGCTCCACTGTGTCCCGAAACCACCTTCAACCTCCATTCTCCTCTCTCTTCTTCTCTTCTCTTCTCTAATTGATGAGATTCCAACCCCCTCAATCTCTGCTCCGTACAAACCTAGAGAACCCCGCGAAACGCACAGACGCATTGCATGAAGCGCGTACCGTGCGCTGACCTCTCGTGACTTGATCTCGAGCCTGCCCAAATGCATTACAGGCGGTGTGAGCTTGTGAGCTGAAAGATTCTAGCCCAGACAAGTGGTCATCAGGGAAGCGAAGAAAAACGTTAGTGGGGCTTTGCTGTGATGTGAGTGGCTGTACAATAGGCGTGCGGAAGTACTTTTGGTCTGGACACAGAGGGATTTGATAGGGATTTGATAGGGATTTCACAGTTAGGATGTAGACTGGCAGATGGCCCTACCGTTTTAATCTCACCCCAGAAATACCCATACAAGCTATTATCAAGAGTTTCTACCATCTACGCTAGTCACATCTATAACGATATGCAGGAACGAAGACTCAAAATGAGAGAATTGATATATCAACCTCGGGAGGCTCGGCTATGCAGAAGCCCGGGCCAACTCCGTTCCACCCGAGGAGATCGCCTGACACAGGGCCCATACTCGGCGAACCCGGTATCGCTCTATGCATACACCATAGATAGTCTGGAAGGTGATCGCTGGACAGTAAAACACAGCGAAAGTCATCAAAAAAACATCAGACGTGGAAGCGCTTGGGTTCGCGGGTGAATAGTAATATTGAATAAGAGGCGAAAAGCAAGAAGACACAGGGAAAAAGAGAAATTAGCAGAAGGGAATAAATCTCAGAACATAACATGGAAACGTCGAAAATAAAATATAAAAAAAAAAACCGCCATGGGATGCAGGAGACTAGGGGACTTGGTGAGGTAAAGGAAAGAAAGGCAAATATAAAGCCCATTGAACTGCATAGCCCGTGAATATCGAGTACACGAAAAGGAAGTCCGGAGAGAGATCAGTCCCGGGGGTTCTTGTCCGGCATGTGCAGGGTCGGTCATACATTCCGGGACTTAAGGGAAGAAAGACACATGGAACAGAGACAGTAACACAGTGGACTGAGCATGCTACTGAGACCTTTATGGAACATAGACCCATGTTTAAAGGAAAAAAGAAAAACCACATTAAGCACCAGATGGGATACCCCTAGAGCAGAGCACCTGGAAAATAAGTCGAGAAAGCCATAAAAGGAGCCATAAACGCCTGCAGCTGGTCAAAAGTAAGAGCGAAAAGACGAAGAGGGTATGGTAGAAGGATCGTTGGAGAACTGTTCAGGCAGTCCACCGAGGGGAATCAAGAAACACCGAGAGCGACGTTGAGAAAATGGGACGGTGTGTGTGGTCGTAAGGTTGGATTGAGCAGGAAAGTGTATGGGTCCTCGGGGTATATTTCAGCGGCTATAGAATACCTGAATCTTTCAAGGCATTCTGCAGGATGGTCTCTTTGACAGCCGCGAAGACCAAGCGGATATTCGAGGTATCGGTCGCTTGGGTGAGACTAAAGGGAAAGAAAAAAAATAATAAGTTAGAAAGACCACTGGGGAAACACTGTTGGAATGATGTGAACTCACTGGGGGTACAGGTTCAAGTGGGCGCGATTCACCTGGTTGAATCGCCAGAGCAGGTACTTAGCCGCACGGTGGACGTCGTTGCCGCCCGAGTAATCGGGAAAGTAGTTGCTCAACGGTGATCGAGGCAACTTCAAGCGGAATAAATCGACTTTGTTCAGGAAAAGGATGATACTGGTCCGCATGAACCACCGAGAGTTGACCACGGAGTCGAAGAGAACCAAACTTTCCATCATGCGATTCTACAAAGTCTGTCAGTTCCCGATATAGTGTGTTGTGCTGAGGCCTCATACCTGATTGCTTTCTTCCAAGAGTACTTGATCGTATTCACTGAGCGCAACACAGAAGATAATGGACGTCACGTTTTCGAAGCAATGAATCCATTTCTTTCGCTCACTGCGCTGGCCGCCCACATCAAACATGCTATGGCTGGTTAGAACTACCCCAGATCGCGAATGTCCAAAGCCGTTTCCACGTACTGTATGCTCAACTGGCCCATTGTGAAGCGTGTCTCATATATACCGGTCGTCTTCGTTCGCGCCCGGAGCACATCTGAAACATCCGGAACGTAATCAGAGGCCGTTATTCGTTTCGCTTCGTCGAAGAAACTGGTCACAGGTTAGCACTCGGCCTTGAGATCCGAAGGCATCATAGGTGGACTTACTATGGTGCCGAGTCCATCAAATAAAACTCATTCTGATGCTCCAGAACGGTTGATGTACAAGGGTCGTTCCAGAGATATGTGATAGCATCGCCCACCTTCGAATCGAGCGGAGTGTTGGGATCGGGGTCCACGTTGTAATCTTCCAAAAATGTGATGTAGTCCTGCACCTTCTGGCTGGACGGTTCAAGTTGGAGATAGTGATACGCTCCGATGAGGGCCTTGGCGCAATCCAGGAGATTCTTGTAAATGGTCAATCGATACAGTGCGAGTTCTTCCACGGTGTAGCCATTTTGATGGATGATCTTCATCTGCTTGACGATTGTTGATTTGCCGCTTTCTCCGGATCCTGCGTGGGTTCAAAAGTCAGCGATAAATCCTGTCCCTCCCATCCACCAGGCGCGCCCTACCCAAGAGAAGGATCTTGCATTCCCTTCGTAGCCGCCTAGCATCGTCTTCGAGTTTGCGATCGATCATCTGGCTTCGCTTCTTCTGATCCACGTCCCCGGTGGACTCTGAGCTGAAACATGACCCCATTGCGGAATCGTCAGTGACCCAGATCCGCAAAGAGGAGATTCATCAACCGCGCGCAAAAACGGAATCGGCCGGTCAAAACGGCCGGAGCCTTTCGGTTGTGAAGGGTTCTAAGCGCCACAGAGCAGTGCGACCAGTGTAAATGCGATTAAGAAACCGAATTCAAAAGGTGTTGAGAAGTCAAGGTGAGAGAAGTGGGAAGATGTTGAGGCTGAAGGAGTGACAAGGAGTGTTCGGGTATAGCGGTTAAGGGTAAACGCGGGCAGGAATCAGGGTAGAGAGAGAGAGTCGAGAGTTTAAAGAATCAGAGTGCGACCATCGTCATGCTGGGGGTGGAGATGGGGGGAAGAACTGTAAGAAATGTAAGAAATGTAAGAACTGTAAGAAACATGTATGGGGCTTCCGCTTACATTGGGTAATCGATGTAATTAGCCTGTTTTCTGGTCTTTTCTTATATCTCAATATCTTACACGGAGTACATAATCTGCTATTTATTATATCCATCTCTCATGTGTATTCAATCGGTATGTGTATTACATGCCTTCATCGCCTGGACCGTCAGGAAAAACCCGGGGCAAATTGGGCACGTTCCGTAAATTCCTTTTTAACCCGGGCAATTACTCCCTAACCGACAGAAACCGTCTAATTTAAGCCACCAGGTGACTATGCAATAGTCATCACAGACCGATTTTTCCTATAAATTTACTCTTACAACCTATCTAGGAGGTCAGTACGGAGTACTCCGCTCCATTTCGTACCATTTCATACCATTCCATACTCTTTCTCAACCCACTTTGGAGCTCCAAAGTGGAGAGGGACGCCAAACATGCCTCAGGCAGGGCGGGGTTTCCTTCTAGCTGACTTTTATATACTCCTATATACTCTTATATATGCTCTGATAGAGGATATCTATAAAATATCTATCTGGTTGAACCTCAACCTGGGAATCACTGATTTCTCTCGGATATGCGGTGAGCCGGGCAACTCCGTCTCCCAGGTCAATTTAGTCTTGTGAACGGAGAGCCAAGACTTGGAGTGCCGTGTTGATCTTGATATTATTAGCGACTAGATAGGGAAGAAAGGGTAATCATCAGGCACAGAAAATCATCCGATCATATATATATATACATTGGTATATACAGCATATGTATTTCCTTGCGATTTATATGCACGTATGTTTACGAAACGTGCCTTCTCCTGTCAGATACGTGACACGTCCAAGGAATATGAAACCCCGAAAGGTAACTCCAGAGTTTAAAAGGAGTTGCACTTCTGTCTAGCCACCACATTCAATGTCTATGTTGCATGCCTTTGTTGCGTATCTCGAGTTCCATGTGGGCTGGAGCGTGGGGCATTGTTTGATATGTCTCAGCTGCCAGATTCATATCCACATCAAACGGTGACAAGACCACAATATTTCCCTTGAAGCTGATACTGGACTCAAAGTCGCTAATTCGTTTGTTGTAACGTACATGACGATTAAAGTTGGGTGTAAGTTCTTGCTCCTTCACACACACATAGATAGTATGTGTATGTGTGTGTATATATATATATATATATGTGCAATGTACGATAGAACAATAAGGTGGAAATCTGGTAAGCTAAGACCACGTCATAAGAGGCTAGAACTGTCCTCATTTGGGACAGGGACAGACACGTCGTGTATCGTCGTGTATTTGCTATGCGAAAGGCGGTTCCTCTTGCATAGGTCAATCAGAACCGGGACAGTCTACCGGATTTCTAGAAGCACCAGAGAAAACCCTAGGGGAAGCTATAGAGCTTATATCTATGTACAACATAGATCTAACATAGATATAAATTTTAATGTTTATCATATCTCCTTAAAGAGATCAAGGTGAGGGGTCTGATCTGCCAAGATTCTCAATAGAGGGCCCAAGAACTCTCTGTATACTCTTTTTTAGGCCGGTCAAGCCCAGATCAATATGAAAAAAAAATTCAAAGACCAAGTGGCCAAATCTTATCGAACCAATCCGTCAAGTTCTTCAGCCTATCGCGTTGGAACATATCAAGGAGCAGCGTTCAAGGAAAACCTCCGGGATAAGACCAGGGTCTGGGCCGCGTGGTAGTGGAGCGAGGGCAACCTTCCCATTTCACACAAATCAAATGGAATACATTATACAATGCTGCAGATGAAGTGTATACAGGAGGGAAAGGAGATATATCACATCAGATATTGTATATCTAAAAGATTCATGTCAGGTAATATAAGTCCAATATCACCAAGGTGGGAACTACTGTGGCATGCTGAGTCATCCACGTAAAACCGGGCTTCGCCAACGTCATCGGCCTTGTTTTCTGCGCTTTTCAGGCCCTTCCCCACATCTGCTGCCAACACACTTGCTTTCTTCGCGACCCCCTTTCTTCTTTTATTGAATTCTTCTCTCTTGCTTTTTTGACCTGGGACTCTTATTTGAATCTCTCCCTTATTACGTCTATCTTTGCTTGTATACCCACCTTCCATCCATCATGGCGGAATTCGTGCGTGCCCAGATTTTCGGCACCACCTTTGAAATCACCAGCCGGTTCGCAATGCCCTGATCTGCTTTTCTTACGATAGGCGCTCCAGCAGGCGCATTCAAGGGAATCTTGCTAATCCGATATCTAGGTATACCGAACTTCAGCCGGTGGGAATGGGTGCCTTCGGACTGGTCTGGTATGTTGCATTCTGTGTCGCACAAGATACTTTCAAGCCTAAGTTCATGCTAATCAGGCGATCAATATAACAGCTCTGCCAAAGATCAATTGACTGGCCAGCCAGTCGCAGTTAAAAAATCATGAAGCCTTTCAGTACCCCCGTTCTGTCCAAGCGAACCTACCGGGAGCTGAAGCTGCTCAAACATCTCCGTCACGAGAACGTTCGTACTCAATCGCAGAAATGGACTAGGCTTGTTTGCTAACATTCCACAGATTATCAGCTTGAGCGACATCTTTATTTCGCCTTTGGAAGACATGTATGTCTCCCCACATCTGCAAGGCGGGGTTGCACAGTGTTTGCTAATGACCACAGCTACTTCGTCACTGAACTCCTGGGAACTGACCTTCACCGACTTCTTACTTCACGACCTCTTGAAAAGCAATTCATTCAGTACTTCTTATACCAAATTCTGGTAAGAGTTTCCCAGGTATGAATTTCTGGGGCAGAATCTGACATCTTTTGATAGCGTGGCTTGAAATATGTTCACTCCGCCGGTGTCGTCCACCGGGATCTGAAACCCAGCAACATTCTGATTAACGAGAACTGTGATCTGAAAATCTGCGACTTTGGTCTCGCCCGTATCCAGGACCCCCAAATGACCGGTTATGTCTCAACACGATACTACCGCGCCCCCGAGATCATGCTTACATGGCAAAAGTACGATGTTGAAGTAGACATCTGGAGCGCGGGTTGCATCTTCGCCGAGATGTTGGAAGGAAAGCCACTGTTCCCTGGAAAGGACCATGTCAACCAATTCTCGATCATCACCGAGCTGCTTGGCACTCCTCCCGATGACGTGATCCAGACCATCTGCAGCGAGAACGTGAGCAATTATTGTTCTTTTTCTGGCGAAAGACGAAAATATGCTAATATATGATAATCTAGACTCTTCGATTTGTCAAGTCCCTACCCAAGCGCGAACGCCAACCCCTCGCGAATAAATTTAAGAACGCCGATGCCGATGGTACGTAATGAACCGAACATGGGGATCATGAACACCACACTAACTCTGCGCTTTTTCTTTTTTTAGCGGTCGACCTGCTCGAGCGGATGCTGGTTTTCAACCCAAAGAAGCGCATTCAAGCCCCCGAAGCACTGGCGCATGAATACCTGGCGCCCTACCATGACCCGACTGACGAGCCTGTCGCGCAAGAGAAGTTCGATTGGTCGTTCAATGATGCCGATCTCCCCGTAGATACTTGGAAGATCATGATGTACGTACTGGATTTGTTACCCCGCTACCATTATCTTCTTTTTACTAATCTTTCACCCTAGGTACTCGGAAATTCTCGACTTCCACAACATTGAGCAAGGCAACGATGCTGCTCAAGCCTTAGTACAAGGCGGAGTCCAGGGTGACCCTACTGGACAGGCATTCGCATAATGGTTTGACGCGAAATTTGCCTAAGGAACGCTCTTCTCCCATTGGATTCCGGTCTCAAAATTTGACGTCTGGCTCTATTACTGTTCAAGGGTGCTGGGAACTGTTTTTACTTTATTTTTTCCTTTCATAATTTGTTTTTTTTTGTCTTTCTGGAACTCATTGTCCATAGCTCTACAGGCGTCGTCAAGAAATGGTTGGTGATTAGGAGAAATCATACGGGGAATCTGATTTAGTTCAGCAACGGGGCACTTCATTAACCTTTAATCATTTGAAATATCTACGCAATCCAAGTCAGTTCCTCAAAATGTCCAGCTTTTCCTTAGGTAAATGGTGTGTATGTTGATGCCTTCAGATATTAGCGGGGCTGCCGTTCACCGCCCGTGCGATAACCGTATCAGTGATGTTCCCCTGTTTGCGACGATCTTAGTATGGGAAACTCACGACGAGGGTTGAGAGGAGAAGCACCTCTTTTCTACATATTGCAAACCATTCATTCAAACTGCCAATTCTTATCAGTGTAATTGCATCCTCACAGCCGAACTGAATCTCCTGTCGCTAGGTTCGGCGCGATGGCTGTCCAGCATAAACAAGACCCAATTGTCTTGGTCATAGATTTCCACCATGCACGGTAAGCCACGAGACATTGGTAACCCCTGGGCTCGTATCTTTCAAACGCTGTCAGGGAACGATTCATAGTGGACCTTGACTGATTGAAACATTCACCTCTAGTGGCCCCGAGATTGAGCATTGTATTGCCGACGAAGGAACCGACCCGGCAACCGAGAATGACTGGTCTCTGCTCCCATTCATGGCCCTATCTGACGGCGCACATCTGTATGATTACCCTATCTCGGACAATAATTTCCCTCCCTCCCCTTCTTGGTCTTCTTTGGCGCAGCTCCGCGATTAGGAAGCCGATTTGCGCCAGACCAACTAACCCTTTGGATGGTAGGTCTACCGAGGAATTCTCATACTTCACACTCTGCCGGAAGGAAACATCTACTACACCAGCAACCTCCCTCTTTGGCATCGCCTGCTCCCGCCAGCTCGATTCAAGTCTGCTCATAAACCGCTCGCCCGATGTGACTCGGTCAACGGTACAAAAGGCCGTTGTGGTCGTGACAGATACTCCGCAGCGAGTAGGTCAGCTGCGTGAGAAGCTCTCCGTCGTGACTTCGGCTTGGTTCGCACAACGGTATGTGGAATATACTTGCCCCTGGTGAACTGTTTACTTCCCTGACGCCTTGGCATGGGTCTCGAACCCGGCCTAAAACGTGGAAATGTGGCTAATTGGGCTTTTTTTTTTTTGAAAGAGACTTTTCGGACATTGATATCTTGAAGGTATTTACTAGCTGCGACAGTTGGAGAAAGAAATTCTGACGTGGATACAGAAATTCCGCGAGGGTTTGGTGATTGCTCTATTGAACGATGGCCCTAAAGATCAGAATTTGGGTAAGGATTTCTCTCCGATATATGTGGAAGTCTGCTGATTTGTGAAGGCCTTTCGCTACGGGAGATGATTCACGAATTCAAATTTCAGACTTTGGTTCTTTTCAAGGCACTACTATTACAGCCTAAGATGCTTTTCTTCGGGACGCGCTGTGAGCGCCTGTGCATGATTCAGTTCTCGCTCATATCTTTAATACCCGGGCTCCTCAACCATTTGCAGGACTGTGCAGATCCTGCCTTTGACACTTATTCTCAAACGGTTGAGAAACCAACGTCCCTCAAGACGAGCGACAGGAATTCTTTGCTGGCATATATGGGGCTTCCGCTGCAGATTTTTGGAAAGGGAAGCATGTTTTGCCCCTATACACCTCTCCAGCTACTGGATCTGCTGGCGGATGATGGCACCAAATCATATGTGGTTGGCTCAACAAACTCGTTACTTCTTCAGCAAAAGGATCGCTACAGTGACATTCTAATTAACCTCGACGAAGACAGTATCGTCATAAATTCCCCTTCTCTCCGCAGTGCGCTGGCTCTTTCCGCGGCCGATCGGCGCTGGATTGACCTGCTCACACAAATTGTCAATGACACCTGGGACGAGGAACATCCTTCACAGCCCAAGACCCTTGGCTTTATGGGCTCAGAGGAGTTCATTCGACTGCAGTTCGAAGAATACTTGCTGGCATTATTATCCTCAATGAAATACCACGAGGAGCTCCACCCATCTGATGTTGGAGAATCAGGGAATCTCAGCAAAACCCAGCTGCAAAATTTGAACATTGAAGGGGACCCTGCCATCGACTTCAATACGGAATTCCTGGCCCAGTGGAAAACCACATCTAATTATGCCTTGTTTTCGCGTCTCACCTCGGATGCGCTCCTATTTTCCATCACTGAGCCACGGCATCCAAACGCCGGCGGTCTGACGATGGAAGATGTCCAAAGACGACTCGCACAACAGGTAGCAGACCTCCACCTCGATGAGCGTGTCCGCGAAGGCCGCGAGGCTCTGAACCGCCACTTCTCAACTGGACAAAAGAAAGTCAGCGCGGCATTCACCAGCTTTTGGTCCGACATCGAGTCAATGCGCGAAGCACAACGCAAACGGAACGAAGAGAAAACAGCCTCCCAACCCCAATCCCAACGTGCATCTATCGAAAAAGAAACCCCAATATCACCAACCCCTTCCTCACAAGACCCCACCGATGCCTCCTGGTTCGCAGGCCGGCAAAGGCCCTCCGTCGACTTAACACAGGCCCAGGCCTCCGTGACCGTAGCCAGCCAAAAGGCCAGCTCCTATCTCAGCTCGTGGGGCTCATGGGCGAGCGAAAAGCGCCGTGAATGGCAAGACAAGCGTGTCACATCCCCGGGCCCGAATGCCACTGCCGCTCCCAATGCCGGCATGACTTCACCATCCACACCCGTCTTGTCCGTCGTTACCGAAGCAGCTGAGTTGGACCGCGGCCGTCGCCGTTCCATTCAGCATAATAGTGAAGGCAATGATAGCTCCGAGGGTGGTCTTACTCGCAGCGTCAGTCGAAGGAAGAGATGGAGTAATATCCTTCTCAGGCGCGACAGCGGCGAGTTCCAGCGTTACGATGATGTCTCCACATCTGACTCTGTCGAACCTCCCTTCCCCAAGTCTCCTCTGTCGCAGGGACTCCCGGCCTATGCGGACGATGCGGAACCCAAGGAGACACAAGACCACCTTATTCAGGATGGGAAGACTTCTGGGCGTGATACCGTTGATGCAGATGGCTTCTCTTCTGTGGCTCTCACGCCCGATGAAGGCTTGAGGTTGACTTCAAAGACCGAGGAGATTGTTCCCCAGAGCCCAAAAGAAAAGGAACCTACACCCTCGAGCGGTGAAGTGGTTGATACACCGCCCGAGGAATCGACGGCAGCACTCCCTGTCAAAGAGACGCTTCCAACCCAGAGCAAAGACTCGTCTGGTACGAACTAGTGCGCTGGAGTTGGGAGCTGCGGTTTGATCTGCATTTTTTTCTCGCATCTAGGATGAAGTGCTAAAGGACTCTTTGTCTTCTTGTCTTGTCTCTAGCTTTGCATAGCATATGTATTTTAGCATGGTTTTTATGTTGGTTATACGTAAACATACACTGGGTATGCCCAGTACTACGCATATCAATCTTGATGCCTCTAGACTTTCTTATGGAGCTGGGTCTGCAGCTACCGGAATCTTCGAAGTTATAATAGCCAGCCATGCCGAACAGAACCAACAATTTATTGTGTAGTATTTTCAGAGAAAAAAAAAAGAAAATCAAAGACCAAAGAGCAAAGAGGTCATCATTTGTTTGTCGTCTCAGCGCTATGAAGTGGAAAACATAAGATAAATCGCCGACACAATGAGAAGAATTCATGCGCCTATCAACCTGATTCCATCCGCCGTATAGGAGTCCTATCCTGGACTAGCGGAAATTCCATTCCCGCTTCCTTGCCTTGCTTTTTCATCATTGATGGAAAAGGACAAAAAGGGGATTCAGAGGCCACTAGTTCCAGAAAGAGACAGAAGCAAAAGCAGAGAGCAACCGAAAGAAGGAGATAGAAGCACGTTTGTTGTGCAATATTGAATGGAGGGAGGGGAAGGGGGAGGGGGGTTTAATTTGATTTAAGCAATGTATGAGATTTCGTCGCCGTCCATGCGCTCAATGTAGTCCTTCTCCATGAGGGCTTCAATGTTCTTCTTGATGTCGGGGATTTTAGGCGGGAAGCGGGATTTGACCTGTTGAATCACCTCCTGGACAAGCTGGACATGTTTCATCTTTTTCGCGACTTCATGATTCGAACAATGGCGGACTACAGCAATGTTAGGACCAATGGACTGTTTGGGTATTGGTTAGGAGACATACCTGGAGCAGAAGCTTCCTGTCCTCTTCTATTGTTTTGTGTGTGTCGTCGGCCTCGACCTTTTGCTCAGACTTGATCTGAATGTTCAGGTTAATTTTGACCTTCTTACTCTTGAAGTTGTAGTTCAATGTGAATGAAGTAGAGGGCTCGGGCTTAGCGCCCTCGGGGCTAGCGATGAGGACCTTGGCCTTGAGCAAGATGCTCAGGTTGGGATCGAGGATTTCAGATGCCAGGGAAGTGGCCTTTTCAATCTCGTCGTAGGTCAGAGTGTCGGTTTCGTTGAAAAGGAGCAGAATACCCATCTGGTAGGTTGACACCTGGAAGGTGTAGGGCACTTTGGCGTTTTTGATATAGTTGGCCTTGATTTCGCCCTTGCATAGCTGCCACAGCCATGTCAGCTTGCGGCCGCTGTGCTTGTCAAAATAAAATGTCTGGAACCGTTCGGCGGTCTTGACTATCTCCGGTGGCGCAAGGAATGGCGTGGTCGGCGCATTGAGGGGCCAGAAGCCAGTTCCCAAGATCTGGAAGTGGGCATCGGTCTGCCTCTTTCGATCCTCATCATCCAACACTTTGTCCTGCCAGACCTTGTAGTTGTTATTAAGATCCTTGGATATCTGCATGTCCTGGAACATGCGTTGCAGCTTGTTGGTATATTCGAAACCGCACGCCTCCTTCAGCTTGCTGATCATGCTTGTTTCAGCATCATCAGAAACAGAGCTGACATGAACAAGACGTTTGGCCAGGTTCTTGGAATAGAACTTCTGGAAGACGTCTTTATCTTCGATGTACTTGAAGACTGTCATAATTTGCACCAGCATATCCTCAAGCTCCGACTCTTCAGCCGACTTGGATCCTTTCTTGAGCAATGAGTCCGTGTATTTTGCTAGAAGCTCGGGGGACTTTGAAGAACTGGTCTTGCAGATGCGGTTTCGGTTGACAAATTCTCGGCAGGCGTTATCAAGGGAACGCACGAATTCGGCCTCGCCATTGAAGGCCTCATCGACCAAGCTCTGGTACCGTGTGTGGACATGCAGTAGCGCATCAACATACAACTTGGGCTCGAGTGTTTCTCCCTCCGAAGCGACCTTTTCGACAGCAGCCAGACCGGCCCGTCTCACGTGGTTCTCAAATGTCGTGCGGAGAGGATCCAGACCTTCCTTAATTCGTGATAGGAGTCGATACATACGAGCAAGATCATCCTGGCGTTCATTATCCAGCAGGACCTGGAACTCGTCACGAAGCAAAGTCGAGTGGGCGGTGACAAGAACAGCCAGGCATGTATCGGTCAAGCTCTTGGTGACATCTGGGTGCAAATACAAACCGACCCGATCCTTCTCCTCCCCCAGACGCATTTCTGCCTTCTTCATATATTCCACCACGCTGTTTTCAGCCACGAACTGCCGCGACTCATTTTCATAATAAGTTTTGGTGGCGCGAATGAACGGTTGCTGGAAGTACTGCCGATAGACATCTAGTGTCGACTTGGAGCTATCATTCTCGTCCAAACCCAGTGACACAAACGAATCCACAATGGATTTGATCTGCGACTGCTCAATGGTTTCTCCATTCCGTTGCTTCTCAATCAGGTTCAGAACAGCGTCCATGACCTTCTCATGAACTTTGTCGAAGAAGTCCCCTTTCCATTTGACCAAGTGTAGTGTGTAAACGTCGTAGACATTTTTCTTACCCTCGTCGATCTCACGCTTAACCCAGTGACGATTGAGATAGCGGAAGATGTGGTTCACGTATTTGGCAGCGGTGGTGTAGCGGTACCATTCGCGGATGTAGAAGCCAAGCAGGCCTTCCTCGGTGTGGCTTTGTGATTGTTTGAAAACTCCACTTAGGTGGCGGGAGAGGTATTCGCCAAGTAGTTTGTAAAGTTCCTCGCCCAGCAAATGAGCTTTGGTCCAGGTCAGCTCATCACGGGAAGCCGAGGGTGCGGCACGAAGGAAAGAAAACGAACCCCCACGTGATCCTTGTAGACCTTGACCGCTAGCGACGGCTTTTTGGGATGTGCAAAAATTATGGACAGCCCTAACACGAGATTGTGAGCGCAGTTCTCGTCAAATAAGAGGTAGGATTGAATCTTGAACACACGTGTATAGACCCATGTACTAGACAAAAACAACTGGTCAGCTTCTACCTTCAAACACTCTCACCAGCAGGTAGTAAATTGGTCCTCATTGTACTCACAGTCTTCATATCGATACCGGAGTCAAGGTTGAGCATGACACTCTCGATTCCTGTTTCTAGGAATGACCAACTAACCCACAGTTAGCTCACACTGTACAGCCGCGTGGAAGCAATGTCTTCGATCATTGTCGATCATTGTCTGCTCACGTTGAATCAAGGTCATCCTTGTGAGGTACCGGTGGCATTGCGAGAGACATCGCGGTTGCAGGGAGTCAAGTGGGATGCGGAAGAAAGCGAGTGGTCGAGGCCGGGGGTCCTGGTCCAAAATTCAGTAACGCGCTCCTGACTCTCAGAAATGACCTGCAAGTTACGCATCATTACCTCAAGACGGGTGTAGCGCCACAGTCACGCCTCAAAGATCCTCGGGTGATCAAATGAGTGTCGGCGCTTGGGAGGGGGGGAGGGGGGTTGGGAAGAGCGGGGTTCGGGCAGTCAAAGAAGACAAGCCAGAAGAGCGAAGATACAACCCTCGGGAACTTGAAGAGCAAATATGAGAAAAGAGATTAGGCAGAAGGGAGCAGAGAATGATGAGGCTGAGAAGGACCAGAGCGTGGGGATGGCCTTGTTGCCGCAGGCGGTGAGGTGGCGGAGCTTTCCCGCCAAATCTACATCATCGGCTTGGATGCTTGAACGATTCTACATGCACCTTGTATCAATTACACTGTATTTTTTTTAGCAATCAAATTGAAATGAGAATTCAGTATCTCCTCTTGGATCTTGCTTCTCTTCAATTACCATTTTATGGTATCCCAACATATATCTGTCGATCTTTGATCCACAGATCTATGTTTCTTCCCAGTACTCTTATACACAGAGACTTTGCGTACCAAACTCACCCAGATATATACTGGCAAGGCTTGATTGCAGATTGAGTACCTTGCTGTCTCGAGACTTTGGAAACAGTTGGGGAAACTTGTCCTACAACCTTCAAGTCTCCTGAGTAAACTAACCTGGTGCACAAATATATACTCTGTACCCATGACGACATTAACATATTCTGAGATCATTGCATACTTATTTACGTTTGCCAGGCAAAGAGATTTTATGTGCTCGATAATGACTGCAGCAGCAGAAGAAGAAGAAGGTATAGTTCATCCAAAATCTTCTATCTACAGGATTTTTTTAGTGTTCTCATCAGCTTGAACTGTTTTGGTATGACGAGAATTGGACAAGTCTGTATAGTTCGCATTTCTTTCCGCTTTTTTCTGCCGTCTAGCCATCAAAACGAGAAGAGGAAATATCCAAAAATATGTCCAAAAATATTTGAGATGAATGACAAGAAGACACCACCAGGCCATTCAAATGACCAGTCTCATTCAATATAGAAACCATGCAGCCTGGAAACACGTGACTCCAATCTGGGCTGTTTTACTGTTCTCTGTTTCTTGGCTTTGGAGAGTGTTAAGCTAACATCATATTACTATTAGAATGTTGACTAGATTATTTGATATTCAAATTGCTCCTAAGCAGCCATTCTCGGAGCTACAGACTTGAGGCACTTTCAATCTTCCACCTAGTTGGGTCTCCGGCCGAATAGGTTAGATGACACCAGCATCAGACCACTCTCAATCTCAATTGATCCTGCAGAGCAGATATGTTGTACATTCTGGATCACCGAGCGGAACAGGAGGCTTTGCAGCGTGGCAGAGGTCTCAATAGGATCGGCATAGGAGGACCCCAAACGACCATTATTTGATTCCAAAAATTCGAACACCGGCCACAGCAGATGCTCTCCCCCTGTCGCCATCATGCTTCCTTTCATCTGATGTAACCAGTTGATTCCCTGACAAGGCTGAAGAGGATTACCAAAAGTTTGGTGGCATGCTGCTGATACCGCGCGCCAAAAGTCCGGGGCGGCCAGGCCATCTGTGATGGATGTGATCTGAAGAGACTGGGGGCTATCATTAGGACCCATTGTGTCTCGTTGCCCATCCAGAGTTTGACTGGTGATCAGGCCTGCAACGAGATTTACGGGGGAGATGAAAATCCATGAGTTGGAGTCCTCTTCACTGTTATAAAGCCCACAGGACACAGCAGAGCCCACCACACGCCAAACATAATCGCTTATATTCGCCATCCCGTTCTCTGTGGACCCGATTATCCACCCTGGCCGAATGATGTTCGTGTGGATGTGTTTGCAGACTGAGTCTCGTTGAAACTCTTTGATAACCAGTTCTGACATGAATTTACTTTGACTATATCCATCGGAGGTAGAAAGTAACTTGGCCAGGCTGCGATCGTCATCCACGGCCGAGGAGCTGGGCAGGAGGGCTGAAACGTAAGTGAACGCCACAGGATGGGCCAGCTGCGATAGGGCACTCAAAAGATTGATTGTGCTTTCTGTGTTGACCGACTGGAGTTTGCGGTAGTCCTGACCCCAATGAACCCAGGCGCCGTTGTGAATCACAGTATCGAATCCATCGCCCGAGTGGTCAAGGCCACAGAGGATCTTCCACCGAGTTTCGGACAACCCCAAACAAGGCTGAGACAGACACCCCCGCCATGTCCGCACCCGGCTTCGATATGACTCTCTCCACCAGCCTGCACCATGGGCGGCTTGGACGACACGCCTCATCGCCATCTTGTCTGATTCAGCGCGAACGAGAACCGTGACCGACTGCACACGGGGATCTTCTAGCAACGCTTTCAAGATGTGGGCCCCAAGAAAGCCGGTGCCGCCTGTTAACAGAACGCGACCAACTCGACGCTCGTTCCCATTGGAACGTCCACCGAGACTGGAACTTGCCAGCTTGCGCGAATGCGCGCAGATACCACGTATTCTGTCCCGCAGGATGTGATACTCAGACCAAAGGTCCATTGTCAGCGACGGCTCTTGCTCCAGGCTTTGCGTGGTAGGTGGCATTGACACCATAAGAGCCACGTCACGAACAGTCAAGCCGGATCGGAAGAGCGGTGCCATAGGCAGACGAACGTCGAAGCGGCTGGAGATGGCGACGGAGATAGCCATCATGTCAATTGAGTCCAGACCAATGCGAGACAGGGTAACGTTTTTCCCCACCACGCGGTTTCTGTCTAGTTTCAACCGCGAATGAAGAGCGTCAGCTACCACTTCTGACACTATCCAGGCAGTGGTCTCTGTGGATGCCAACGGAACATCGCTTGCCTGAGCGCCAGAACAGCCGAAAGTCAGGAGTGACTCGGGCGTCAGCGACGCGGCTGCGACTCGAACCTGTCGTCGATCAGCCTTGCCGGAAACCGTGAGTGGCATTCGGCGGGCGAGAAGCCACATTGAGGGGATCATGACTGCCGGCAGCGTGGCTGAGAGCTCCCGCTCAACTTGGCTGACCATCTTCACGAACCGGGAACTGGGGGGAACGAATAGGAGCCCGTCATTGGCCTCGGCCTGGGAGGTGGACGTGCTAAACATTCCCTCGTCCGATGTCTCAACCATTGCCACCAGCACATGATGGGTGTCTCCAATTTCCTCTGTCTTGGGTTTGATGATGTCCGCCATAATCGTGGTGAATTGAGCTCCAAGGGCTTCCGTCAGGTGGTGCTCAACATCCATCAAGTTCACGCGCTGACCGCGCAATTTCACTTGGTGGTCTTTACGACCAAGAAAGAGACAGGTGCCATCGGGATTGATCCGCACCAGGTCTCCTGTCTTGTATAATCGCTCCCCGGACGAATTCATCTCGGTGGACCATCTGGTTTTGTCCAAGAACACAGCACTGGTCTTTTGCGGCTCATTCAGATAGCCGCGGCCAACGATGCGTCCTTGGAGAACCAATTCTCCGATCGCTCCGATCGGCATTAACCGATCGTGGTCGTACTGGTCTACCACCCACAGCGTACAGCCCATCCCTGTCCCAATGTTGCGAGGGTCAACGGACACACCGTGTATGGTGTGGACGGTTGCTCCAGTGCAACATTCAGACGGTCCGTAACCACACAATAATGTGACCGCGGGCGCCCATACTGCGACTTGTGATGGTAGCAACGTCTCTCCTACTGCGACCACGGTTCTCAAGCTGGGAACGTCGGTTGGCGTAATCAGCCGAAGCATCGATGGGGTGGCGCACATCCATTCAGCTCGGTATTGTCGAATGGCTGAGCCAATGCCCCCAGATAGCTCTTCAGATGAAGGGATGCACACGCAACCCCCACTAGACAACGTCGTGAGAATCTCCACTGCAAAGGAGTCGAATGCATACGACGATAGCTGCAAGACACGGGTGCCTGCTCTGATGTAGAGTTTCTCACGCTGGGCAATCATAGCGGAGCAGTACGATCCGTGTTCAATCTCCACGCCTTTGGGGTTCCCGGTCGATCCGGAGGTAAACACGACATAGAGAAGGTCATTGTGACAGACAGTATCTGAAAGGTCGTCTTGCGGAGCGAATTGTTGGATGCCTTCATCCCGCATCATCTGCTCGGAGAATAGTAGGATTTGAGGCGCAAAGCTCTCACAATACCCCATGCATGTAGCTGACGTTAGGACCCACCGCGCCGCAACTGTTTTGCATATGCTTTGGTTTCGCTCAAAGGCCGAATTTTGATCTAGCAGGACAAAGGCAGCCCCGGTTTTCATGACAGAGAGCATGGCAATGACCACCCACTTGGTGCGTTCCAAGCAAATGGGAACAATGGCTCCTGCCCCAATGCCCATCTCCCGCAGGCCGATTGCACCTTTATCAGACAATCGCTGTACTTCGTCGTACGTGAACGACCCATCCCAGGAGCAAACACCCTGCTCTTGCGGGCGGATCTGGCATTGAAGTTTGACAAGCCCATGGATAGTGTAGTCGACGCGAGAAGGAGGGGGCAGTTGCCACTCGCACAGCTGCACCTGATCGGCTATGCCTAAACAATCCAGTTCCTCTAGTCTGGCGGATTGCGGTCCATTCAACTGGGACAGGATATGACTGAACTGACGAATGATGCGCTCCCCTTGGGTCGGGGGAACGATTTCATCATCCAACAGGAGTTCCAACTCCCAACTTTGATCTATCTCACCGGGAGTACAGATGAGAACCATCGAGTACCCTGGAATAAATCCGTCTGCCCCTGTCCGCTCTTGGACGGAGTCAAAGACCGTCGACTTCAGCGGATCTTTACGCGGCTGGATTACGACCAGGGTCTGGAACATACACGCAGTGGACGCCTCGGGGCTGACACGAGAAATAGAGTGCAATCCCGCATGTTCGAACTCAATGGTGGACTGCATGTTTTCTTGGGTCATTTGGAGTGCCTGGTCAATGCGCATAGATCGATCGATCGTGTGCCCAAATGGGATGGTGGCCAACGTTGGCCCCATGATGCTGTCCACCCCCGGCAAAGATGATAGCCTTCCGTTGCTTATGGTTCCATAAACCACGCCAGGGGACTGCGTATATAAAGAGATGAGGATGGCCCATGCCAAATGGACATTGATCGCCGGGGTCACCCGAGGGCCAACAGTTTCTGTCTGGCCAGTTTCCTCCATCCCTGGCGGGGGGTCTGCGGAGGTTGGTGACGATAGGTTAATCGAATGTTGAGTTGAGCAGCCCGGTTGATTGCGACGGCTTCGGGGAAGACGGCCGCGTTGAGATTGTGACAGTAGGAACGCCAAAATTCCTGTTCGCCGACAAGGTCCCGATCTTGCAGGAAGCGTACGAAACCTGAGAATGGACGCGGAGGCAGTGACTCGCCTCGGTAGGCGGCCTCTACATCCTGTAACATCACTTCCCATGACCAGCCATCATAGACTGCATGATGGATAGTGACCACGAGTTGTGCCTTTGGCGTGGCAATGTTATTATTCTCTGCGCCGGAGTGCGTTTCTGGCACTATGAGACCGACAACGACCAATGGAGTCCCGGGGCCCATTTCCTTCGTCGCGTCACTTGTCAAATACTGTTCCTCGGATCTATAGGATGGAATTGGGAGCTCATGGTGATCTGTGACGACCTGGTACACCCCAATGGACGTTTGGATAATGCGGGTTCGCAGTATGTCGCTGGATTGGATCAGAGTGTTCCAGGCCCTCACCAACCGAAGCCGGTCGACATCAGGAGAGAGCGTTAATGTGAAATGATCGATGTAAGCCCGGGAGCCAACGGAGGTGGTGGAAAATAGACCCTCTTGGATAGGTGTGCATGGGTAGATGTCACGAATCGACTCTTCCCTAACACCACACTGCTCCTGGGCCGCCTCCAGGATCTTACTGCGGTCATCGCTATTTTCCGGGAGCATGGAAAAAGAAGGAATGACAGTAGACCCCGCGGCCGAAGGGATTGAGTCGCAGTTCTCAAGCTCCTCCGCTAGGTCTGCTAACTTCAGATCGTGTTGCAAAAGATCCATGGCCTTAAGAGATATCCCCGACTTTTGGGCGAGACTGACTAGTCTCACAGCGGCCAAAGAATCTCCACCCATGTGCACAAAGGCGCTATTCATATCGATGTCTGTCGCCTCTAACCTCAGAATCTTACAAACGAGAGATGCCACTTGATGTTCGGCCGTGGAGATCGCGATTCTCTTGGGATTCCCATTTGTCTTCGACTTGAGGAGTTTCGTCATCTCTGATTCTGATCGACCAGTGAACATAGCGGCGAGCTGTTTCCGGTCGACCTTGCTGGTAGGTGTCTTTGGCAGAGCCGACACTTCAATCACAAAAGCCGGTATCATGTACCGCGGAAGATGGTGCCGCATCTCATCCCGGATCGCATCTTCTCGACCGTAACGCCTCATTTCTGTATCTGCGTTGTCCTTGCACATTGAGGAAACTTTCAATCCATCGTCTTTCGTCGATCTCTCTGCCACGAAGGCGACGACAATGTCTTGCTGGTGTGCGCCAGGCGAGGCCAAGACATCCACTGAAATGTCCAAGTTTGTCTCCATTTGTCGCAGGGTGAATTCGATGTTTTCGATGTCTATTCGTTGGCCGTTGATCTTCCGCACATTGTCTCTTCGGCCCAAGTATCGCATTGAGCCATCCCAGTTGAATTGGACCAAGTCGCTGGTCCTGAAGAAAGTACCCCGATGTGGAATGGAAAAGGTAGACCTCCAAGTGGGCGCCGAAACGAAGACTTCCTTGGTCTTCTCTGGCTGGTTGAAGTATCCGTGAGCAACAATGGGTCCCTCGACGAGCAATTCCCCTATTCCTCCAATTGGGGTCAGGATGTTCATGTCATTTGGGTTCACTACCCAACCAATGCACCCGACCGGCCGGCCAATTGTGCCTTCCACCCAACGCCGAGGGTCCATTCGAGTTGACACACATATGCTCACTTCGGCCGGTCCAAACCCGTTGTACAGCCGACTACCCCATGTTTGGACCAGGTCATTGCCTACCGCCTCTCCGCCAACAACAATGGTATCCATAGTGGGGAATTGCGATGGGCTAAAGGTTCTGAGCATTGTGGGCGTGATGAACGCCCATGTTGTTTGATGTTTTGTAGCGAAAGACGGAAGATCGTGCAGCCTTTCCTCCTCGGATGGGGTATATACTGTCCCTCCTCTCACCAGTGCATGGAATATTTCGTAAATAGCCATGTCGAATGCATACGATGAGAATTGCAGGGTTCTGGGTGGTTTGTCGATTCCCGTGGCAAGGCCGTGATGGTCCATCGTTGTGGCAATGGCCCGATGACTTAAGAGAACGCCCTTGGGTTGACCCGTGCTACCAGAAGTGAAGAGAACGCACGCAACATCTTCTTGGTCGCCGCTCGGGAGTTGCCAGTTGGCTGATGGCCGAGGGAATGATCGCAGCGTTGTCTCTGAAACGACTATGCGGTCGACACCCTTTACGCGCGTCAATCGATCATATTCGGTCTCCGAGGTCAGAACTACCTTGGAGCCTGTCTGTTCCACGACTTTCGCAATATAAAGATTTGGATGACTTGCACATATCGATGTGCTTGCCGCTCCAGTTTTCAAGACAGCCAGGATACTGACAATAGCCCAGAGTGACTTTTGGAACAGGATGGGGACAATTCCTCCCCTCCCAATGCCACGCTCGACTAAGGTGGCAGCCAAGGTAGACGATAGCTCATCCAATTGTGCATATGTCAGACATCCTTCAGTGGTGACAGCCGCGGGTTCGTTAGGTCTTTCACGAGTCCTGGCTTGAAATGACTCGTGCAGCCGACCTTGCGACACCATGATCTGGCCTGAGTTCCACTGCATCAGGGTGTTCTTGTCTTGGACACTGATTATATCGACATCCCGGAGAGACTGAGTGCGATCTTGCTGCGTGAGTTTCTGTACAATGCTTTGGTATTGGGATAAGAATCGCTGAGCTTGTTGATCCATGCATTTCGTGGAGTCATGGTATACGTGGACATCAATAGTTGCGTCCGTCTGCCAGCATATCAATCGAAGGGCTTCGTGCGGGTGGAGTCGGAAGTTCCCACGTATCCTCGGATGGCAGTCAAAGATGCCCAGTGTCACATGGGAGGTGTGTTGGTTGTTCTCTGCCGCGTGGGATGCTGATTTGGCGGGATCGCTGGGAAATGTGAGGAATTCTGCTACCTGATCTAGGGCGGACTCAATTGACGATTCTGGCTGTGAGTCGAATGGGATCTGCGCCACGAACTTCTCGTTCTCACACACTGAGAGGAGTAACGTTTCAGATCGATTGTATTCTTTCAATAGGATAGCCCATGCTAGGACCAAGAGCGAAACTGTCTCCTTTGATCGCCCCCTTCCATGGCCATCCAGCACAGACCGAATCTGCCGAATGTCGCAGTCTTGTATTTCCTGACCGGTCAAGTCTCTTGGTTGTGGAAACAAGCAATCTCCGGAGATTTTTAATCCCCCTTCCTCGTGTTTCTCTGCTATTGAGCCCACGCAGGAATTGAGAAGAAGCTCTGGCACTTGATGTACCCCAATCATTTTCAAATGAACGACCTAAGGATAACACAAAGTGTGAGTGCGACAAGTGATATAGTGGGCATGGAGATTTGTCTTATTGCTGGTCAGTAACAGAAAGACCTTTAAATTTCCAGTTTGCTTTTCTCATATCCTCAGCCAGCCATCTCTTCACCATGCCCTATTTTTTCACGATATACAAATTCGTGCGACTCGACTCCTGCACGTCCGGCGCCATTAGAATGCCCACAGTCCCTTGCCGTTTCTTTAAGCCGCCCTTACTGTCCACAAATACCGGGCCATCTAGGTTCTGCCAATCATTTACACGCCAAGATAAACTACAACGCCGTAGCACCTGGTAAAAGCAAAAAGTGCTGTCGCCATATGACGACTCGTGCACTATGCAGACGTAGACTATGCTAGACTACGGTAGAATATGCAGGATCATGCAGGGAATTATTTCTCGGACCCCAAGCCTTTCTATAGCGAGTGCTAATTATAAAGTATCGGGTATCAAATATCAATCTTCTATTGCGACATGCTCTCTGTAGTTTTGAATCTACAGATAACAGTGCTACAAATGAGTATTCCCAGAGCCGGCACGATAAATCCAATAGATCCGATACAACCCTGAAAGTACTCAATCTGATGGTTTTGTTATATTAATTTTAGGACACTATTTATCTCTTTCCTAAGAGGGGTTGAGTATGAACTGCAATACTGCGTTTCAATATATAGGGCGTACTCCATACACATACATGCATTGAACACGGTAGATTGTAAAAGGATACAAGATTATATATTAGATCGTTCAGGACACATTACGATCGGACATTGTATGACCTATATACATTGCTTACGAGCACACCCAAGAACAGAGGTGTTAGTGTTCGCCAGTTCAGCCTACTGCTTGCGACAAATCATGAGTTCCCTTATACGGAGTACAACTTAACTAAATAATTAATATTTTACCAGAGAACGTGTATTCAATGTCATATTACTTTTTAAGAAATATTCACATAAATTGTACGAATATTGAAGGTGGATCAAGCTATTGTGGATATAGCTGAGCTCGGGATCGCCGTGTAGATCTCTTGTGGGCTAGCTACATCCACTTACGTAGGTACTCCGTACATAAACAAGTATAATTTCTCAAAAGAAAAGGCTAAATAGAGTTCAAATAGGCGAATACCTAGGTACTCCTTATCCGTTAGAATCTGTTCATATAAAATAACTCCTTTCCAGCGTTAGAATATAGATATAATTTCTCAACTCTAGAATCTGCCCAACTTATAGTCCCGAGTTGTATGACGTGTGAGTTTCTGAGTAGTATACTAAGCTGGGACTAGAGTCATGAATGATCGACAGCTAGGGGTTTGAGCGACATGGCAACTTTCTTATCAAAAATGACAACCTACGCTGTAAGGGGAGAATCCATTCCACCTGCAGTGATCTAAAGGTACTCCGTGCGGACTACTCCCTATAGCCTCAACCCACAGACCGCTATTTTGCTTTGCTCTGATCAGCTTGCATACCAAGCATAAGGCGTATGGATGCCACGCCAGCCATTCCCATCAACAAGTGCAGAGTAGTCCGTAATGAAGATCAATATCCCTTGTTACTGATCACCAACGCCTCAGTTTAACCATATTCCCACAGGTGAGCTTTGATTCAACCCTTTGAGTGGATTGGTTCCATCGACGAGGACACTTTACATGCTGAGTTACACTGTTAGAGGGACGTTGTCACCACTACATGTCGTAGGGTCTTAGTGTCAATTCCAAATGTCTTTTGTGTCGGATTTCTGCAGTAGTAAATTGAGGCTTGCAGGCTCACTTTCCACGTCACATTGCAGACGGGTTCAACCGCTGAGGGGCCTGACCTAATGTACCGGTCCATCCTTTTCTGTTCTTTGCCCTCTATCACACTCACTGCATGCATGCTAGAGCCCGTATCTTGACAATCTCTGCCCGGTGCAGAAATCCGGCCTTATTCCCCACTTTATTTCATCCTCTATGACCAGTCGAAGTACAAAAGGGGCTGCACTGCGTTCAAAGTCCATTACATAGACCCAACAAGCAAGTCTGCCGCAATCTGTTTGCTTTGCAGAAGCTATCTTATCTTGGCTGACCTGTTTATCTAGTTGTTGAAAAAGACATGACTAGACAAAAAAGGGCAATCGCCGTTATCGGGGCGACTGGTGAGTCGGCTGCCCCTGATTTCCATACCAAATTCTCACAATAGACAGGCAATCAGGGAGGCTCTGTTGCTCGTTCACTATTGGATAATGAAGCCTTCGAAGTGCGATGTATTACCAGAGATGCGTCATCGCCCCAAGCCAAGGCTCTCATGTCTCTCGGTGCCAGTGTAGTTCAGGCAGACGCTACACAACGTTCGGAGCTGGAGAAGGCGATTTCGGGATGTTATGGGTTGTTCGTAAACTACAGTGTCTATGTAAGCTTGACAGTGCCCCCTTCGCTCCTACTCAGTTTATTTTCATCACGCTAATCTCACCGTTTCCCTCGTTACTAGGGTGCTGATATTGAGGAAGCAGAACGCCTGGGGAAAGACATATTCCTTGCAGCGGCGGCAGCGGGAATCAAGCAGGTTGTCTTCAGCTCTGAACCTCATCCAGAGAAGCTCACGAGTGGCAAAGTTCCACTCGATTACTTAGATGGTAGGAAATTAATCCACCTGTTTATGCCCAGCCTTGCTAACCCCGTCTTCTGCTCTTTTCTCCCAGTGAAAGCACGAGTGTATGAATGGGTCTATCAGACTCAGAACTTTGACTCTTTCACTCCCATCATGCCCGGTTGGTTTATGGAAAACATGCAGGATTCTCTTATGCAAACTCTGCTCGACGGATTTCCGTCCAAAAAAGACAACGATGGATACTTGACATGCCGCTCGCCCTTGTGGGGTGGGAACGAAGATGTTCCCTGGATCAGTATAGGCGACGACTTTGGAGATTTGGTTCACGGTATATTCCTCGATCCTATTCGATGGAATTACCGGCCTGTTCAGGCGGTTGCTGATCCAATGTCGTTTGGCGAAATGACTCGCATCTTTTCTCTTGGTATGTTCAATTCAAGCCCCAAAGGCTAGGCAAACCGAAGAATTGTGAACTCACCTTCCACTTAGTCACGGGACAGAAGACACGATATATTCCATGTGACCTTTCAGAGGTGGTGTTTGGGGTAAAATATGATAACCTAAAGAATCAAGACCCAAGCGCCTTGTTTAGATATGCTCAGCTACGAGATGGTGAGTATTACGGTAATGGCCCTACTGAGAACCGCACCGCCAGCCAACTCAAGAAAGCTGCTTTCAAGGCCAAGGGTGGGAAAGGTCGCGAAGCTCTTCTCACACTGCGGGAGTACATTGAACGAGAGTTCACCTGAGAAGGACCCGGCTTGTCGGATAAACAAAAGCGTCCTGGCAGTTGTATCTTTAGATAGGGCGGTCCTATTATATTGAAAAAATGCAAACACTCGTCTGAGATTTGTTATCCCAAAGTCATGTGGAGGGAGAATATACTTGTTGTGATTTAGAGGGTGATTGATTCCATGATTGATTTTGCGATGCGCACCAGTCTCATGCCATAGCACGATGGCATCACAGGGTATAATATATAAAACATGGCCTTCATGTTGATATGCCAGCTTGGTTCTTCCGAAACGAAAGAAATTTTTTGAGACCATGCGGCTTACTTTCTGATCACATTTGATTTCTTTTCTAAATTACGTGAGGTATAGTAGGTATCTCGATTTAGATTTACAAGTCAAAAGTCTCAGCGGGTGGGAATTCAGGGTCCCTATTGATATATCATCACCTTAAGAAAGAGACTATGTTAAGTCCGCAAGAATGGAAGTCATATGATTGAGAAATTTTTCATATTGCATTGTGTTATAGTTAGTTGCTCATGCGAAACCAGTGAGTTTGTCCTTCATCACAAGATAGGGTATGTAAGATGAAGCCTTAAGTCTTGACCACGGCTTCCAACACTGTCGCACGGCGGCTGCCATTATCATCTGGTGATGCCCAAATGTTTACCAGCTTTAACTGGGCAGAGTCCAACAGGGCTCGCCATCCTGACTCAGATCGCTCTGGGGCGGAGAAGAGAGTCATCATAGCCCAGTCATCCCGAGCTTGTTCAGGTGACAGATCCGCAGGATTGTCGGAAAGGACCCAGTCGTGGATGAGCAGAACCGAATCCTGATCCATCGCGGCACGAATGTTTTCCAGGATCTGACGAGATTGGACCTCGGGCCAATTATGCAGTACCCTGCCCAAAAAGTAAACATGAGCATGCTCGACTGGCTGTTTATTGAAAAAGCTGTACTCTATGCGTTCCAAAGAACCCTGAGTCCCAGCTTCTGAGATGGCATCATGGCTTTTCACATATTCTGGGCCGTCCTGTACAATGAACCGACACGGTAAGTGGGAGAATCTACTCATCACTGCCTTGGCCTCGTGTCCATGGCCTCCTCCCACGTCGACAAAAGTCAAAGATTTTTTGTCCTTATGAGATTTGTCATACAACTCCTGGAATTTAGGCTCAATTGGGAACCACTGAGCCCACTGTGCGGGAGTTCCGTCTCCCGCAGTAGCCTCCATGAAGCGGTTAAATGCATCCTGTAACAGAGGCTGGGATGGGAGCCATTCAAAGAAAGGCAATGATGTTCCAAATGTGTGCTGGAAAACACCACGATTGGCATTGGTTGGGTTATGATACCCGTTGCTTTCGAAGAAAGAAAGCGTGTTTGCAGACATTTTGAGTGCGATATCACTAAAACAATGGTTAGGTCTTCCAAGGAGCCCAACATGAGCCAGGATCCATCACACTTACAGTGTCATTACAATACAATCATGAACCATCGCACCTTCTTTGAGGGATTTGCTGGATTTGTTTGGTTTGTACTTTCCATCTTCGGTGATATCAAGAAGACCCAGGCCAACCAAAGCCCTCAGAATACGCGCTTCGATCCAACTCAGCATTCGTACCAGACAGGGGAAAATCATCCTCAGAACTTACAGGATAGCGCAGGATCACATCCACTGTGATCGGCCACATCACATGGCCCAAATATGGGTTGAGGTTGATCAAAAATTCCCAATTGGATGGCCAATCTGGCAATCACCAAATCTTGGATCTATTTCACTGTTAATACATCTATCCAGTCTTCCATCCAACCGTGAATGGTAAAGGTAAAGAAGGGTTGCACACCTGGAAGGCTTGGCTCATGAGTCTGTCCGCGGGGTCCTCTAAGACCTTGCTAAGCGAGACACAAGCTTGATGAAGCTGGGCGACATCTTCTTTCTTGGTTTCAGGATTATTAATGATATCCTTGGCCTCGTTGATGGCGGAGATTATGTGTGGAGGCACCATGGCTAGTAATGTTCGGCAAGCAAAGTTCAATGAGGTTGAGATTGTACTTTTCTGGGATCTATATCTGCGATTTTGTAAGCAATTGACATACCGGTAAGCTCTTGGTCATGTGCCTCTGTTTGACTACCTACCTAGTTTACACCGCTCTATAGTGCGCATTTGGCGAAGAATAGATATGTCAAAAGATAAATGGGTTACGTGGATGATATGCACTGTATTGTACATTGTGGGCTTCAGGAATGTAGTCATTATGCATGGTGCGGTTACAACATATGTTGCATGTGCTGGATCGCGGGTGAGATGTCATTAGGGTTCATATTCCATTCCACGTCTCAGCCAGCCTCATGGAATACTTAGGAAGATCAGAAGCAAGGGGCCACCCGCGCATACACTGCATACACACTAATTATGCGTAGAAAGGCCCGTGTGGCACACAGAAGACTTAGCGTGGATATATGATTTTCAGTGGATATCGATCTTTTGGATACTCCATTCTTTTCTGAAGCATTCCCTTCGAAGTACTTTGTCATGTTTACATTCGCAGATCTGATCATGTCCTTGTGCTACCTAAGCTATTGAGACATGCCTTACTCTACTCCGTACGTTCCTACCAAATAGTGAAAATGAAATGATTGGATAATTCGACTGACCGCCCGTTTCTATCCTACAGATGTTGTAGATCTATGGATACAGTATTTGGTGTTTTCCGATCCTATCACTTCGAGAACGATGGAGAAATTTGGTTTATTTAGTATTTCAGAGAACTAGAGGCTAATACTCTTGTAAGTAAGTGTATAGTTTACAGAAAGTTTGATGTTCTAGGTGTAGTACTCCATAGACTGATCAATTACAATGACTGGACATGGCTTGAAGATTTTGCAACCCTTGGACCCGCACCCCTGATTATACCTATACTATACGGAGTACGAAGTTCTGCCCATCAAACTATCCATGGATTCAGACTACAGAATCTAGTACGACGTATACCACCCCTGTCTCAATGATAGCTTCTAAACGGGGCGGCATCGTCTCAGAAAACTGCTTCAAGCAGAAATGCAGGCGAATAGTTTTTCTATTGTTTCGCGTCCTACCTTATCGTCGCTTGTACAGCGCGTTTCAAGTAGGTGGTATAAATATATGGCAGAGAGAGCAAAAACTAATGTCCAATGACGTGATTATGTATAGGAAATTGAAAATTGAACTGCGGCATTTCGCATACAAGGCGGTATATTAAATGCCCTAATTTAACTTTTATATGTGTTAGTTCCAAGTTGACTATATGAAAACTTGTAGATATATACACTCCGTGGTCACTAGAAATCTCTTGAGAGATGATAGATTATAAGGCTGCATTTTACCACTTACTGAGGCTGCTATACTTGAATAGATACCCAAGGTATATATCCATGCTATACAGCCATTTAAGTTATAAAGTCATGTATTGCGAAGGATTTAGTTACTACACTTCATACGACCCGCTAATTTTCTGCTAAATATTAACCAATCATTTCAGTATCGCAATCAGCCGTTCATGCAGGGGCATATCGCGCAGACTCGCATGAACTGTGAAGAGCAAGGCCGAATTCTGCAACAAGAATGCTTGAGTCTAGGATTGCTGCTGTGGGTTATATAGTGGGAAACGTGTACTTTTCTTAGGGGCACAATTGGGAAACAAAAGTGAGAGAAAGGTCAAATAAGCTTCAGAGATTCCATATTCATTCTAACAAATGTAATAGGAACTCGAGTAGCGTATATCACGATTGTAGGGTTAATATATAGTGGTCAATATATAGTACTGAACCACCCTAAAAGGGTGCATATGGTCCTGAGCGCCATGCCCTTTCGTATCATTGCATTCCCCCGTAAATTCTTCTCCTGAAATGAAATAGTTGCATAAAAGCTTTGCGCAAGGTTTCTAGGCGACAGTGAAAATCATAATGGCCACTGACGTTATCAGCAGAGTCGAGCAAGCGCAATGGCAGATCCTCCTTGTGGGAAAATTGATCGTATTTATCGAGCAATATCCTATCTTCTCTCTATAACAGAAATAGGGCAGATCTTCAGATTACAAACATGCTGAATCGAGTCTTTCATCAAAGTGGACAGTATGATATGTGGACTTCTACTGTCGCAATTGGTACCGCGGTAAGGCCACGAACGACAACCCTTCAATAGGCTAACAAACACCGTTAGATAGCCGTGGCATGGGCATGCGCGTTGCTGCTATCCTACACGCATTTTGATCCGCTAGCAAGCTACCCGGGGCCAAAGGTTGCGCGAATTACTCGCGTTTGGTACGCGATACATCTGTATCGAGGAACATTGCTCGACGAACTACTAAAAGCTCATAAAAAATACGGATATGTGGTTCGGATTGCACCAGATGAGCTTTCTTATATTTGCCCTGAAGCATGGGACGACATATATGGAAGCAAAGTTATTCCAGAGATGACTAGAGACCCCCGGTTCATGCAAGATGTTGGCGGGCAAGGGCAATCATTATTGCACGTCACTCATGGTCGCCATCGTGCGATGCGTAAGAAGCTGGCACATGGATTCTCAGCCAAGTCTCTCCGGGATATGGAATCCCTCCGAACATCCTATGTGGACTCTCTCATCCAGCGAGTTACTGAAAATTCCCAGAATGGGGAAGCGGTGGATCTTGTCAAATGGTACTCAGTAAGCGGGATCGCCATTCTATCTTATGGGGGACTTTTAATTCCAACTGACGGTTTATCATCATGAGCAGTTCTTGTCCTACGACATCCAAAGTGATTTGGCATTCGGAAAGAGTTTCGAGTGTCTCAAAACGTCGAATTTTCACCCATGGATTCAATTGATCACAGAATTTGATAAAATCGACCCTTTCTTCAGAGCGATCACGCATTTCCCATGGGCAATGAAATTAATACAATATCTGACACCACGATATGTGGTCGATATGGAAGCAAAGCTCTCAGCAATATCGATGGAAAAGACCAAGGAGCGAATGGAACGGCCTGCTGGACGGCCGGACTTCCTGGAGCACTTTATGCAGACTACAGATTCTCTGAGCGAGGCTGATGTTTGTGCTAATGCCGTGGCAATGATCGGAGCAGGGGGTGACACGACAGCGACTTTGCTCAGCGGAACGGCCTTTTTCCTACTTCAAAATCCCGAGGTTCTAACCAAATTGTCTCTGCAACTCCGTCAGCGTTTCAACTCGGAGAGTGAGATAGATCAGGCTGCAGCTGATGGAAATGCGCTTCTACAGGCCTGCGTTCTGGAGACACTGCGCGTATACCCCCCGGCCGCAGTTGGTTTTACTCGAGTCGTGCCCAGAGAAGGCGCAAGGATTGCAGGAAAGTTTGTACCTGGAGGGGTGAGTGAGCCTAATTGAGCCTCATTGCATCTGCCAAAATTATATGCTAATTAGGCTGCGGGATAGACCACGGTTTGCATACCACAGTATGTAGCCAATCATTCTGCAGATTACTTTTCAAGTCCTGATGACTTCTGTCCCGAGCGCTGGCTTGAGCCAAGCGCCTTTGAGCATGACAATAAAAGTGTTTTTCGGCCCTTTGCATGTGGTCCTTATGGATGTCTTGGAGAGAGGTACCACGAGCCCTAATTTAGTTACTCCTACTTCATGCTAACATCACCCAGACTGGCACTTTCTAATGTCCATCTCGTTCTGGCAAAATTATTATGGAGATTTGATCTTTCGCTAAAGCCTGGCTGTGAGAATTGGGAACGACAAGCCGTGCATATCACTTGGGTGAAAAATCCACTCCCTGTTTTCCTTAGGCAGCGATCCGATTTGGGCAAATAGCTCAATTCAACATAGGTTGAATATGATCGCATCTTTCATTAATTGTTTTTGCTAAACACTGGGTTACGTACGATTACCTTGCTTACTCATATATAGAATGCCAGAGACTGTTTCCTTTTCTTCTTCTTCTTCTTCTTTCTTCTTCTTCTTCTTCTTCTTCTTCTTCTTCTTCTTCTTCTTCTTCTTCTTCTTCTTCGCGCTCTCTCATTCTCTCTCTTGAGAGCAACAACAATATCAATCATTGAATCATTTATGGCTTTATGCTGCTTCCTCTAAGCTTACGAGACAGATCATTTTAGCTGCTAAAGATTGCAGGTTAGATTAGCCAAATTTTATATGGATGCCTTTAATTTAGCCTTCAGTCGTGTGTAGTTGAGCTCTGTTGGGTACCTATGTGGTTGTTTGTCTTCCACCGATTGATCATGAGGCTTCTGAATACCTAGCTTCGGGTCTACTCAGCTCTCTCAAAATTCGAGCAAAGCCTGTTCTGGGGATAGTAATTGAATCCTCTAGGACAAATTCCTAAAGGCTGCCAAGAAAGACGGGAAGAACGAGAGATGGGAATAACAGCCGAAATACAGGCCAGAGGCCTAAGGGGCATCATATCATATTTTTCTAAACTATTGTAGCATGGCCAAAACAATCCTACTCTGCAGCAATGGGAACAGAGCTAGCAGATGATATCTTTACTGTGGACTTGCCTTCCTCCTCCACAATCCCGTGTCTGCCATCATTTGGAATATTAGCCGGTACATATGTAGTGCCAGCAACCACAGCTTCGGCAGCCTTCTCAAACTCCTCGTATGTGGACTTCTGGCAGTCATGATCAAAGATCCACATCGCACGAGCAATCAGTGTGGGTAGTTTGTCCTGCTGTTTGGCCTCCCAATTTGCCCCATGAAGAGACTCCAACATTTTCGCACTTCCCTCCCCAATCAAAGAGATGCGTTGATATCTATGTACGGCTGTGAGTCACATCCTGTGGGAGGAACAAGGAAGAAGATTTACTCACCTCAGCTTCTCCATCACCGAAAGAGCTAGTGGAATCTGCTTCTTTCCGGCTAGCTCTAGGCAAATGGCAATCACTGCACCGTCTTCAATACTCTGGCTCGCACCCTGACCAGAGGTGGGGATAAAGGCATGTGCAGCATCTCCGATGACAGCCATTCGACCTTTTTCCGAAACCCATCGAGACAGGGGATCAACTGCCATGACAAGGTGATCGTAGCAGGTGTTGTTCGGTGTGCATTTAATCACTGCCCCGACTTTGTCTTTTGCGGGCCAATCTTCAATCAATGCCAGCGCTTTTGTCACATCGGACGGTTGAAGCCATGATTTAGATACACCATCGGCGCTCTGGTAAAATGAGAATCATATGGTTAGCATGGAGCCCACACTTGGTTACTTGAAATGGAATAGTGAATACATACACGATGTAAGCACCCCCAATACACGTCTTTACCGTGTCTTCCAGTGCCCATGATAACCGCAATATCTTTGCCAATGAAGTGGTTCAACTGATCGGCTTTGTCTGTGCCCTCGAGAATCCACTGGGCATCCGGGTGGTTGTCCAAAACCTCTGCCGGATAGCCCGCGCGGTATGTGGCAGCGCCACTCTTGTTGAGGGGCTTATTATCCCCGGTGATGATCGGCCTTGCTTTACTGTGAATGCCATCGCTAGCAATTACACAGTCCGCAGACAACCGTTCGCCATTCGCGATGACTCCCGCCTCATCGTCGTTTTCCCAGTATTCAGACACCGATATACCAAAGCGCAGATCGATACCAAGACTTTTTCCATACTCGTAGAGGGTACAGACAGTTGTTGAACGGTTCAGAACAAGTCCTTCACCCTCTTTATACCCCGTCATGTCTTTCCGAAGCTTAACGTTGGCTGCTTCATCCCAGACGGTGATGCTAGCAACGTCGCAGCGGACGGAGTCCAGATACTTAGCAACGGACCCGTTGTCCCACTTCTGGATTACGTTGGCCCCATTACTCGAGATGCTGAAGATATCACCTGCGTTGATGTCAAATCCAAGTCCCGTAATTTACTAGAAGAACAGATGACCTACCCAAGTGCGTTGGTTTGGGGGTTTTCTCCAACCCAATCACGCTGTGACCTTTACGATGGCATTCTATCGCAGCAGTAAGTCCGGCCAGACCCAATCCCACGATAATGACTTTAATACCGGATGAACCTGGCGGCGCGATGCCATTTGCAGAATGAGTGACGGTCATCGTAACGGCTCACACCTCACTTTGACGAACTGGGACAATTTGCAAATGCGAATGTGTCTGGCTCTTCTCAAATATGGGCTTATTATCTAGCCGATAGGGCCATTTATGTTTAATCCACCGATTGCGACCACATGCATACCGGAGAGTTCAGGTCTGGTTAAAGAACCTAAGCCAGGGTTACTCGTCAGCGATAAAATCGCGTTGTCCTTCTATTTCAGAAGATCCACTCCTCTGCAGCCATTGTACCACCTATTGCAACTATTGGTTTCATGCTCTGCATTCCTCACCGCCACCTTCTCTTCGAGATTGACATGACTACGTGGCATCGGAGTGGAGACCTTGCGTCTTCTCGGTCAATGTACATTCTCAGTCGTGAAATAAAAGATATTGTGATAGCACCGAGCACTAGGATGCAAGGGTGCTTCTTGGGTGCGATGTAGCGAAAGTCAAACACGGTGAGTTGGTTGGTACTCAATTCTGAACGGTGGTCGAGGCGCCATCAGGGACTAGGCCCGGATGAAAGGCGCAGATAAGTTAATTGGATCTGAGTATGCAAAGCATAGCGTTGACTATTATGATGAGAGACTGCTAGGACCCCTTTCGCGCTATAGGTATCGTAGTGGACTGCGGAACCTCGTATAACCAAAGCAGTAGGAGGAAATATTCAAATTGCGGGCAAGGATTGGCACAAGCCCATCTTCCGATAGGTCTTATTTACAGCACATATCAGAAAAAAGCAAGTGTTGTGATAGCCCGACGTTCTCGAGGTACTGGCTGCATTGATATTCTTACGGCTCTCAGCAAATTCTTCGCTACCTGTGGATTTATACCATACTAACTACTCCCAGAGGTCCTTTAGCACTTTGATGTTCAAATCAGACGTTGCACGGGCAACAATGCGATCAGCCCATTGTATCCCATTTCGTGACTGGCCATCGTCTGCCAGTTCAAGGGCAAAATGGCTAAAGATATAGGCTAGAACAGCGTATAACTCCATGTAAGCCACGCTTTATTGCAATTGTCAGCATTGCTCTCGTGAAACGTCCAGGTCATCAACCTATCAACATACCTCATTCCGATACAGCGGCGTGAGCCCTTCCCAAAAGGAACACTGTATCTTTCTAGCTCCTCTCCACCACGTATCCAGCGATCGGGGTCAAACTTCTCTGGGTCAGGAAAGATAGTTGGATCCATATGAATCACAGGGTGTGCAGTGGAAACGCTGGTCTGCACATTTAAATTGTCAGTGGAAATCAGGCCATAGCAGGTTTAATTTAGACTTACCCCTCCAGGTAGAAAGAATTTGTCAATTTGAATTCCCTCTTTCGGGACTACTCGAGGCAGATAGCCGGGAACCGGATCCGCCAACCTCATTGTTTCTCGGATGACTCCCCCAAGATAAGGCAGATTTTGAATCGACTTTGGATCAAAGACATCGCGGATTGATTCCTTAGCCCCATCCAGTTCAGATTGGACCTTGGCCAGCACGGATGGCGAGTTAAGGATGTTGAAAGTGGCCCATGATAGAGTATAAGCAGTTGTGTGAATTCCCGCGGTCATGAAGTTGAAAGCACCGTCGAAAACCTCCGCCACGTTCGGTAGTGAATCTTTGCGGCTGTCAATTTCCAAGTACAAATCAAAATATGACTTCCTGGCTGGGACATTGCCCGATAGCTTTCTGTGCTGTGCCTCTACCAACCGGTCGTCACAAAACTACCCCGTTTATGTCAGCAGTGCATAACGGAGATACGACACCTTCCATGTGATCATACCTGCCTGAACTTGATAATCTCCGGACTTAGCTTGTGACCAATAGACGATGGGAGAGCTTTCATGAGCGTCTTGATGCCCGGAAATTCCATCACTACCGAGGTCAGATTAAATAGTCATAAATGGAGCGAAAATTGGACATACTCAGCCAGGTAATCGTCCCCAGATTGTCGACCTCATTCAACAGAGGGTGGCCTTCATCGCCAGAGTCGATGAAATTGTAACTATGCGCGAACATCAGATCGCATACTACATCTCCCTTTAGTATGATGTTAGCATCAATGAAGCTCGAGGTTGTATTCAGACATCGAGTCTTACGATGAGTTCGCTGTAGATTTTTTGTATATCCACCAATTGACCTTTCGAGGCTGCCGTCTGGAGATGGCCAGCTGCCTTCTTCAAAGTCTCTAGCAGTCGGGGCTTCAACTCTAGTGTTGTTTGTGCAGAGAACAGGGAACTCAGATAGCTCCGATGCTTTCGGTGTACCGCCGGATCAATTAGAGAGGCCAATGCTCCATCGGCGCCAAGCGACTGATAAAATTCAGGTTCTTTGTAAAAAGGAGCTCCCGCACGAAATACACTGTTGCGCAATCGTCAGCATCTAGCTCTTAGTTCTTTTTGATATGAGTCGTACGTCTCGTAGAACTTCACGTCATTGACATGCACTCGGTTGGGCGCAACGCGAATGACAGGTGAGTCTGTGATCCCATGTCAGGTATTATGCTGTGAACTGCAGCAACCACTGCGAATCGAGGTGCTTTCTTACCATATTTTCTATGCAACTCGGCAAACCGTTTACTGTACGTTCCATCTTGAACATAATTGTAATAAAACCCATATAGGGAAGTGATAGCAGCGAGTCTTGGGCCCGGCACGGAGGCGAGTGGATGAAGGTAAAGACGGTCGAATGCCTTCCACAGAAGTGAAACGATGTAGGCCACTAACAAGCCAGAGAGAAGCTCGTGCCAGTGGGAAAGGAACAGGTAAGTCCACTTCCTTTCCTCTGGCGACATGACATTAGATCCGCCAAGCATCATGAATTGCACAGCCACTTCAACCTAAGCCACCTTGAAGGTGATCAGAAAGCGATTGAATTGAACCAAGCGAAAAGGAAATTCTGGATCAATACCCAATATACCAATCCTCATCAGCTGAACAGTCCAGGGACTATGCCTCGAGAATGAGAGAGGCAGTGGAATAGAATGACATCACATTGGTTGCATATGTTGCATTATCTTCGCAATGCCGAATTATTGCATTGCTATCTGTAAGGGGCATACAGTTGCATTCCTTTGACAGGGATTCGTCTGTCAAGGGCTTGCAGAGTTGCAGTGGAGTCAATAACCTAGCTGACCTGTAATACTCTCCCCCATCCAATAGGTTTGTTTCTTTTTTGGGATGACATCGCGCATCTGCGGGAGCTAGGTACCTTAAACGTGTAACGTTCTCCTTGCATAAAAGAAAAAGGAGTGATATGGCTGGCTGAAGTGGAGCGGTATTCTAGAATCGGGAAAAAAGAGTTGATTGTGCCCTTCCTTACCTTCGATCCTTTCCCACACCGTATAGTTTGTGTCAACAGGGATGAATGCTCCACTGCCAATGGCGCTGTGCGAATGCTTGTGATCTTCGCTACATAGCTTAGGGATTGATTTCCGATTGCCCCACCATCAAAAGTCAACAGGTCACGGCATTCAACGTATCTAATCTAGAACTGGCCTACACCGAAAGCTTCGTAATTGGCCAATTCGCGCCAAATCAGCGAAGATTCAATTCTACGGTGCAATATCCTTCTAGATACTCAGTTGGAGCCGTCGTATATCCGCCGCCGCAGAAGTCCTGCTGTGTTGCTAAGACATCAATACAGATCATACAGCCATGAGTATGGCGGCCGCCATCAAACCCTTCTCGCAAGTTTTACTGGATATCACAGCAGGTATAGCGCTTCATCTTCTAGTCCTTCGACATGGAGAATGGGATTTCGTCCTTCCGGTCATGATTGTCAAGCTGGTCGGTGTCTTGGTGCCGCTCGTGGCCATTGGCGCATTGTTGTTTCATAATCGAATGGATATTTTTTGGCCCTGGCTATCGGCAATAAGCCTCCGTGTCCTGACGGTTACTGGGAGCCTCTCCATGAGCATTCTGATATACCGTTGGAAATTCCATCGGCTGCGGCGATTCCCGGGACCCCTTGGATCCCGCTTGTCGACCGCATACATTATGTGGAAATCTGGCACGAGCGGGAATGCCTTCGAGATGTTCGCGGATTATCACGAACAATATGGAGATTTTGTTCGGGTCGGTAAGTGTCACAATCTGTTCCGTTCGTCTCATCCCAACGGTGGATGGACATGAGCCAACTCGAGTAATCTGGTTAGGACCGGCGGAATTATCAATTAAGCATCCTGATGCTATCGCCGCCATTCATTCTTCCAAGTCGGCATGTATCAAGAGTCCGTGGTATGACATTTTGCGGCCACATCGGTCAGTATTTGGGACGCGAGATCGAGCAGAGCATCAACGTCGTCGACGTGTATGGGACCACGCGTTTCGACCTGCTGGTAGGTGATGTGATACAAAAACAATCGTTTTCATAACAGTACACTCTAACCCAGCCATGTGTGGTGCTCTCTAGCTCTGAAGGAATACGAGCCCTCTATGCAAGCCTGCGTGAACCAACTAGTTGAGAAGGTTGGCAAAAATGCAGCAGGTGGTACTGCCGTTAATATGACCGAGTGGTTTGGGTGTCTCATGTTTGATGTAAGAACCCCCATTTGATTGCCGAGGTACCTCTAATCACTAACTCGTGAGTAGATCATCGGTGAACTTGCATTTGGGGAATCGTTCGGCACCCTTGTCAGCGGAAAACCACATTACATGATGCAATATCTGCATGACTCGAATGTGTCTACGGGCATCATGATCCGCGCGGTGTGGATTATCATGGTGTTCCGGACTATACCAATCATCAATAGGGGACTGCAGCAATTCCTGGATTTCTCCGAGATGGCAATGGAAAAGAGACTGAAGGTGGCTTCCCATACTTCGAAATTCGTTGGCAATGAACTAAAAAAACACTCCTGTAGAGAACTGATCAACCACGAGATGTCTTTGCTTGGCTTTGGAACGAGTTTTCTGCTAAATCACCCCAGACGACAGAAGCTAGACGGAACCTGATCGCTGATGCTTCGTTATCGGTATTCGCTGGCAGGTACAGTGGAGCCCTCGGTTGCCCGGACTAAGTGCTTTTACAGATCATTCTAACGTTTTCATTCCAATAGCGACACGGTTGCCATCACAATGACGGGGATCCTGTATTACCTCATGCGTTACCCTGACTACCAAAAGCGACTACAGGACGAGTTTGATGAGGCTAGAGAGAGCAATGAGGGATTTGATGTTCAAGATCTTGCGAAGCTACCGCTTTTCAATGGCATCATCAACGAATCGCTCCGACTTCACTACGCCGGGCCCTCGGGCTTTCCCCGAATCACACCACCTGAGGGGATACGGGTAGGCGAGACATTCATTCCCGGCAATGTTAATGTCAAGGTCCCATTTTATGCTGTCTTCCGGGATGAGCGAAATTTCAAGCAACCCGACGAGTTCATTCCAGAACGTTGGTACAGTCGCCGCGACTTGATCCACCATCCAGAGGTATTCGTCCCTTTCTTGTTAGGGCCATACAATTGTGTTGGTAAGAATGCTGCTCTTATGCAGATCAGATGGACGATGTACTCTCTTTTCAGCCGGTTTGAGGCACAGCCCTTGAACAAGGACCAGCTCCGGCAATATTGGGACCAACGATCTGATGGGTTCAGTATGGGGATTGGTCCTCTCTGGGCTATATTCAAGGAACGGCCAGGGCGAGAAAGCTCTGCAGCTCCCTGATAAGAGACAAAGATGGGTACTGCGGGGATGTCTAAACTGCTATCATACCAACCGACCGAATATTTTTCATGACGGGGAATTCAAAAATGTGAAACAGGTCAAACATAAAACATACAAAATAGTGCAAACATCTCGATAAGATAGTGTTTCTGCCTTAAGGCATCATTTTGAATAATGTTTGCATAATTTGCACAAGTCTTTCCCTGTACAACCTAAATTCGTGGCACACATCCTTCCAATGCTGGCCCATATGGAGTACACCGACACTTTGCCTATTTTCTTTGCAACCTAGAGCAATCTCAGCTCGCCACATAACATATACTTCTTAATGAAGTGACGTCGTCATCTCGGGTCAATCAAGTCCGGAGATTGGGATTCAATTTCACAATTCCCGAAAGCCCAAAAGATGTGACCCCTCATGCCGAAGGTCGAGTGTGCTGCTAAGCAAGTCGCTGATCACTGTATCTAACTCACAGTCACATCCATTGGGTAAATAAATCATCTACCTACATACTGTCAATACTGTCAGGCGTCAAAGAAGCAAGTACCTACAACGCAAGGAGAGGTCTGTCACGGTCCATGCATCCTGTTCAGTCACATTTGGCCTCGTTGCTCGTCCTGATTTGGAATTGAGGTCTCAGATAATGGTTGCAGATCCTCTAAATGTCTACTCCGTACTGGGTCATGGAGACTTGCACTATAATCGGACGTGTGTCTCACGCATCAGTCGCTTTAAATAAATCAATTTAATTGTCGGTCTGAACAATGGCTAGTTTAGTTCTGGTGCAGGAAATCCTACCGGTGATAGGAATGGGTGCCCCATTGAGTCTTTAAGATAATATATATATATATATGCAAAGAAAGTGGAATTATATCTAAATCATAACTGCCTAAATCAATATATTCTCAATTCAACACATCGAGCATACACTCATTATTACCCAGGAATCATGACCATCGAAGCGAAGGCGAAAAAAGTTATCACTGTATTTGGAGGAACTGGTAACAGCTTTTCCAAAACCAGAACAAAAACTATTCTTTGAAGTAGCTGACCAATACAGGGAATCAGGGCAGTAGTGTGGCACGTTCTTTGCTGGCGCACAAGGACAATGTTTTTCATGTCCGTGTTATCACAAGAGACCCTCAGTCCGAGAAAGCCCAGGCTATTGCATTGCTTGGAGCAGAGTTAGTTCAGGCAGATGGACTCAACTCAGTCGAAATGACCAACGCCTTCGCTGGCAGTTGGGGTGTTTTCATCAACACCAATTCCGATGATGAAGTGAGCTTTTCATCATTTGCAATACCTTCGCTGCAATAAAGACTTACCGAAGTTTGATATGAATAGGCATTGAAGTCATTGGATGGCCCTAGTGACTATGACCTAGGCGTCTCTGTAATTGACGCCGCGGAAAAAGCAGGCGTTCAGCATGTGGTCTATAGTTCTGGACCATCCATCACGAATGCTACCAAAGGCAGGATGCATATTGAAGGGTTTGAGAGTAGGTACCATCTACCACTATTGCTATACTTACTGATTTTCCAAGCCAAATACCACGTCGAGCAATACGGGCGCAAGAAAGCATTCACCAGTTTCACTCCCATCCTGTGCGCCTCTTTCATGGAATGCTTCTTCTATGATCCATTTGTGGATGCCTTCGGTGGTTTCCCTTGGAATCCTGACCCGGAAACGAATGAAGTGGTCTTTCGGACCCCGCCATATGGCGGTAAGGGTGATATGCCCTGGGTTAGTTGCGAGGTCGACCTCGGGGATATCGTGCACGGCATCTTCTTGAACCCATCCAAATATCATCAGGTCCTTGTTCAAGCAACGAGTCAACAAATTGCAATGCATGACATAGCAGCTTCATACACACAAGGTACGGGCCTTCCTTCTTGCTTGCTTCATAGGCGGCGAGTCTTTTCATGGGACTAAAGGCTTTTACTTGCAGCCACTGGAATTCCTGCCCGATACGAAGAGATGCCATCCTGGTCCAGCATCAAGCTCAATGGTACAAGGTGCCGAATTGAAACCCGCCAGATGTTCTGGTATATGAAAGCCTGTGGTGGCCGGTGGTTTGCAGAGCATGAGAGCGACATGTCGACCGCGGTGGTCTTGAAAGAATCAGCAATGTCGGCTCGCGGCCAGGATGGAGGTCTTACTTCATTCCAAACTTGGTTTAAAAAGGCGCATGTTCTCAAATCCCAAACTGTGTGATGCTTCACATCTCCAGTCGACAGTGTCTTATATTCCATTCTTGTTATGCAATAACTAGACAGAATATATTATGACGGAATGAACTCCCTCAAACGTCTTTCGAACTTGAATATTGAATCAGAGGATGCGATGACCTGTATGTGACTGGCGCACTCATGAAGTCACAGTATCAGCTTGGGTTACCTGTCATGTCTACTTGCTCCGGAGGATTAGTACTACGTCGAGTTTTGAAGGATTCAAAGAGACCGACAGAATAGGACTCTTCATGCGGTAGCTATTACTATAGTGTAGGATCCTATCGTCTATGCGTGATATATACATTACAGCGCCTATTTCCTAACATCATATCGTCAACTAGACTCAGATATAGGCGCCACCCACTTGGGTAATTTGTGCTAACCGTCATGATTCAATTCCCACCTAAACGTACTATGTGCACATAGGCTATACCAGACGGAGCATTCTTCGCTATATTCTTCAGTCTGAATCTAGAGCTTATACGCTTTATTATTCCTCTTTCGGGTATACAATTCTCTACTCGTGTTCATCATTAGAAAGAAGATTTGTGAATTTACTTATGGCGACGGTTTACATGATATAGGACGATGATAGATTTCCTAGCCAATTTAGACAAAGTAATAGTGAACAAAACAATTCAAACAGTCGCAGATCGCTCATTGAAATACTACAGATTCTGCCTATATTTGATGGGAAGTATTCCAGGATAGTGTTAGTTTAACATTGTGATCGAGAGTATTATTTGTAAAACTTGCAATGGAGCTAGGCTCTACGTGCTGTACTGACAGAGTGGGCGATTGAAAACAATAGGGAGTATTATATATTCCAATAAGATAATGGAGTCACTCAACTGAAACACACTCGTTGTTACGAGCTCTGATTCTCTTATCTCCCTTGGAATACAATATCTGTGGGCCGTAGAAGAATCAAGCAAGCATGCAAGAGAGGGTTTTTGTGGGCAACCTATGGGTACCAATTTAGAAGTTATCAGTCTAGGTGCGACTTCCACCGCTTCCCGCTGCGCTGGTGTGTGGGCAGGGGCTGGCTGAGTGTGAGGGCCACTCTGTCGGAGTATTGTTTGCGAGACATGGCCTGGCCGTCCTGGTGAGGGCATGTCATGTCCCCACCGCTAAATCTGCAAGGAGAATCAACCGCATGAAACCTGGGTTTTGTGGAATTTCTCCCTGGCGTCTTCAGGTAGCTTTTCAGGCCGATTTCAGGGCGCCACCAACCTGGAAATAGTACCCGGTCGTGCCAGTTGAAGCGATAATGTCCCCTAATGCAATGCACATGCATTCGAGACAGCATTTTTTCAAATTGCTACACTTAACTAATTAACGGAAATGGTGGTCGGTACATATTATTAATCAGCTAGTATTAATTATTTGTGTTCGCATTACTGGCAAAAAAGCAAACCGCCGTGCATGCATGTGCATTGCATTACGGGATCTTCTCGCCGGGGCTGGCACGGTAGGGTATGTTAGTGAGGGAAAGCTTGTCACACGAATGAAGGGATGCTTAGTGGCGGCGGTCAATTAATGATCGACATATATGCATTGATGTCAAGATCATATAAATATAGGGTAAATGATTCAAACCTCTACCACCCCTGTTCCCACTTTGGAGTGAACAACGTGATTTCTTTAGAGGTCCAAGCCAGCATGGACAGCCCAGGTATCATAGCTGTCGTGTACACTCGCCTGGGACCATTTCCGGAGATCAAGGCTGCCGGTGGGTTCCTTGCTGTGTGGGCACTCTTTTGGTGGGTTCGCTACTATCGCTCATGGGTATGTATCCAAAGCTGTTTTGTTGATTTCACAGCCCCAGCTAAACGACACTGTAATAGATTGACCTACCGGTTGTTGGCCCGAAGGGCTTTTTGGCATCTAGATGGTCAGGGCTAAAGTGGCCCGCGAACTGTGACCAACTCCTGAACGAGGGATATCTGAAGGTCTGTTTGTAGCACGAAACTACAAGCCTCATGTGGAAAAAACTAACGTGTTTTCAAGCATGGTGATTATGCATTTCAGGTACGGACACGGGACAAGTGGGAGGTGTGTGTATGCAACGACGATATGGTGCGCGAATACCAAGTTCTTTCGGATGAGTATGCATCTCTGGACGCCGTCAGTGAAGATGTGAGTTTTTCTTCCTGTTTTTAGAGACTGTAGCCTTGAAGCTGAAGTCTGAAAAACCGGTATCTACAGCTCTTTCAGACAATGTACACTTGCCCAGGTGTTGCAGACTCGCTGAAACATGTTCCCGTGGCGGCTCTGTCGAAGGCCGTGGTTTGGTCCAGAAACCGAACAACTGGAAAGCATTCTACATACTTCCAAGAACTTGTCAAGGAGCAAGAGATTGGTTTAAAAGCGGAACTTAGTGTTCCTCCAGGTGGTAAGTTGCCTCCCCTACCCGCGACGAGGTGTGACCGTCAGCTAATATTCGCGTCGGCGGCCAGAATGGAAAGAGTTCAACTGTCTGTCGGTCGCACTGGCATTGATGCTACGCATGATCGGCCGCGTGCTGGTTGGTAACCCACTCTGCCGGGACCCAGATGCCATCTCGTTGTTCATGAGATACGGCTCGGCTGTCCCAGTGAGTGGGCATCAAATCTCGTGGCTGCCACGCATATTGAGACCGTAATCAACCCCCCTTCTTCCCCAAACACCTCATAATTGAGACACAGTTGATTGATCTAACTCTTTGCATAGCTTGCTGGGTCCCCGTTTTGCCGCTTCTAGGATGCAAGTGGAACTAAGCAACCTCATAGTCGACGACATGATGCGCAATGCGGATGCAAAAGATGACCAGCTGGTCCGTGTTTGATATTTGCTCTTATTCCCATGCGACAATAGACCTAACACTACTTATAGACGCTTGCGCAATGGGTGTGGCAGTGGACAGAACGGGAAACTCCCGGTCAATTCACCCCATTCGATGTGGCTGGACTACTCGTGTCGTCCATCTTCGGCGCTGTGCATACCGCTGGTTCGGTACGGACTGCACCCCCCCCCTTCCCCAAAATACCTCCAAAGGCTCCGAGTTGAACGATGCTGATGGTCACCCAGGTGCTAACAAAAACCCTGTACGAGCTCACTCAACGGCCGGAGTATATTGAAATTCTTCGTGGCGAAGTCGAACAAGCAATTAGCGAGCATGGAGGAGTCGGCAGGGAATCCATCGAGGCGATGACAAAATTAGACAGTTTCATCAAGGAAATCATGCGCCTACAGCCTGTGGGTCCAGGTAAGTTTCACCGCGCTGCTATCTACTACCAGCAACCATCAGTACCTGACCACCACAAACAGCCGCTGTGCATCGAGTCATGAAGAAAGACTACACCTTTAAAAACGGGGTAAAGTTACCCAAGGGAACACTTGTCTACGCTCCCAATACACAGTTACATATGGATGAGCGCCACTATGACCAACCAGAACAGTTCGATGCGTTGCGATTCCACAAGCTCGGACAGGAGTCTGGAAAACCCAATAACTACAAAATTGCCGGTTCCAGCCCCAAAACGCGTCAGTTCGGCGATGGAAAGCATGCTTGGTGAGTCAATCCCCAGCCTTTATTTACCAGCAGTCACTTGTTTCAATGCTGATTCGTCGTAGCCCGGGGAAGCAGCTCGCCGCGGATCTGCTACGTATTATCATGGCCCACTTTCTGCTCAATTTTGACGTCCGAAAGTGCGACGAGGCTGCAAGCTACCCACCTATGGAGCAAAGAGGCATGTCTATTAGGCAACGCACGTCTACAGCCAACTTAAAAGCGTAGTATAAGGACTCAGAAGCACCCATTGGCCGGCCAGCACGGCACTTGTATCATTTCGAGGTGCTGAATGCAGTATACAGGAGTTAGTTCTTTTGCTTATCTCCCAGCTAGTAATGGAGAAATCTCATTTTCGGGTCAATAAATTGTATGTTGTGGGAACTCGATGTCAGAAACATACCACAACCTAGTTTTGTCTTTCTTTTGACAAAAGTCTCTCCGTGATGTAGGACCATCTCAATATCAGATTAGTTTACCAGGTTCGAGTTGCTTTGCATGTTTAAAGCTATGTCCTCTTCAGGCTTATGCTATACTCCGCATGTATTTACCGTCTTCGATACTGGCTTATAGGAAGGTAGCCAGAGCCCGCATGCCATACTGAGAGCGTATTGGACATTCGCTCTCTGCTCATTATATTGTACCGATTTTACCGACCCAAAGTGAACGAGCCACGTCATGCGCGCTTCTCAGCTGCACATGCGGTGGGACATGACTATACAGTCATTGTTGGAGAAGTGATATGCCAAATTTTGGCCCCTTGCGGGAACATTACTGGGTACTCATACCCCACCCTCAGCACTGCCATATCTGAAATGTCTTCCAGGCTCCGGCCAGCTTGACCTTTCCCTCGCCGATAGATACCCGGTGACAGGCCCAACGCACGGGTGCATGTACGCATCCGCGCTAGTAAAATATGAATTAGACTCCTCTTTATCCCACTGGACTATCATCGTTCTATACATCTCGTTTCATCTGATCTTCTATAGCCAGGCAAAGAGCAGCTTCTCGTCCCATTTTCTACGCAATCATGACAGTTTCTAGCGATCAAAAGCCAATCACCGTTGTCGGGGCTACCGGTGAGTTACTCATATCCCATATTCTGTTTGACTTTATTCAAGGCTTTGTGGTATATCGCTGGAAATTTTTCTAACAAGACTGGGTGTAAACAGGCAAACAGGGGGGCTCAGTTGCTAAGTCCCTTCTCCAGAATCCCGAGTTTCATGTGCGATGCCTTACCCGAGATGGGTCGTCAAAAAAGGCAAACGAGCTTCGTGCAATGGGGGCAGACGTCGTGCAGACAGATGGTTTTAACGATGATGCAACCCGCGATGCTATCGCTGGTAGCTGGGGCATATTTATCAACAATGGATACTCGAATACGGTTGGTTCATTCCGGCCTTGCCATCTTCTATTCCCGAACAGCCCAGTTGGAATGTCCCTATTGACCATCATCAGGACGATGTGAGAGAGGGCCGATATGAATTGGACTTTGGAAACCGTATTCTACGGAGCGCAGCTGCTGCTGGGATTTCGAACGTCGTTTTCAGCTCCCAACCCTCTGCAGAACAGCTCACCAACGGCAAAATTCGCACCCCCATTTTGGATGGTATACTTGAACTCCCATTGAGTGCATGACTAGAGTTGATATTCCAGATATGCTGACCGTTTCGCGACAGTCAAGGCATGGGGCGAGTCCTGGGGACGAGCAAACCCAGTTTTTACCGCGTTCACCCCAATTATGTGCTCTTGGTATATGGAAGACTTCCTCATGCCATCATTCTACGAGGGATTCGGCGGGTTCCCGATGAACAAGGATTCTGATGGATTACTCACACTACGGAGTCCGCTGCTTGGCGGTGGTGAGAGAGTCCCTTGGATCTGTATCGACGAAGATTTTGGCGACCTGGTCCATGGAATTTTCTTGAACCCGATGCGTTGGAATCGCCGCACCGTCCAAGCCGTTGGTGATATCTTGTCCTTTGCGGATGTGGTAGACACCTTCGCCCGAGGTAGGGCATATTGCTTTACCCCATCTCTTCTGTCGCCAGTGCGCTGTTAACATTTAATTCACAGTGCGGAAGCAGCCGGCGCGATTTATCGGATACGAAGACCCAGAAATGTTCCCGGCTTTCGAGAAACCCGAGTTGAAAGAGTCCAAAGATGTCTTCTCGTTCTATCAAATGCGGGATGGCGAGATATTTGGGTGTGGAATCACCGAGTCTCAAACTGCGAGTGAGCTAAAAAGAGCGGCTACACAGGCTAAGAGGTGCTCTGGAGGCCGAGAATCTCTTATGACATGTGCGGAATGGTTCGCAGACGTCTTCCCACAGCACACGTAGTATCTAATTTACTTTACGTTCGGCCAAACCCAATTGATTCGGTTAATTACGTTCATAAATATAAGCCCAATGTTTTTTTCTTTACTCACCAACGTTACAACCGTCGACAACGGTGATTCTTTAATTAAAGCTGGTGACCATCCGTGGATGAACGACACGGCCCGATCCGCAGGACCAAGCCTGAAGAGTTGGGCCTTGTGGGGCCATAGAGCCCACCTGGGCACCCTGTCTCATCAGCCGTGGTAATAACAACCCACAAACTTATTTCCATCAATCCACGTCTCAATTAAATTTGCGATTACGGAGTAGATAGCTGATTAATGGAGATCACTAAATTTGGGATGGAAACATGATAAGAATCGAGGGATGATCATTCGTCACGTCACATTGAGTCCCTTGCGTCAAGTCAACCTTGAGACCGTGCAGCGGTATGTACCGATTTCCTCCACCCCTGTCCCTTACGTCGTGAGATTTGCTCGATCGATCCCAACCCCATAGTGGGGAAAGTGGGGGGACAGACGCGGCATGCATATTCTTGCAGCTTGATATTGGAACTCAGCTAAGCCCAGCCGCTCCAGCGGGGCCTGCCGGTACACCTGGGGCGGCTCATGGTTATTAAAACTCCAAAATTTTGACTACGTGCCCAACGTGGTCCACATTACCCTTGGTCGCTCTTCATGGCATTTTGGTTGGCTGGTGTGATTGCGCTCTTTGCCCTTGGGCTGGGGCCATACTTGTCTGATATCCGTGGGTCTCAATGCCGATGTGGTCCAGATGATGCTTGCTGGCCCTCGCCCGCAGCCTGGCGTGCTCTCAATGGCACCATTGGTGGCCAGCTGAAGCAGTTACGCCCAGTCGGAGCTGTATGTCATGGCGCACAATACTCCAACGGCTCTTGCACTGAGTTGATTCAACACTTTCGCAATACATCATGGCGCGTTGATAATCCTGGTAAGTCCAATTTGATTCTCTGGAGATCCCGAGGCAATGTTCGCCATACTGACCGTTCGCTGTTTCACAGCCGCGTTACAAGTACCTACCTGGGAACATTCGCGCCCACAGAAGCAAAGTTGCCACGTGAGTGACCCGTTGGAGCCCGGTCAATGCGACCAGGGCCGCGTAGCACACTATTCGGCTTATGTGCAGTCCGTGTCGGAAGTACAGGAGGTGGTGCAATTTGCCGCTTCCAATCGCCTGCGACTCGTTATTCGCAACACTGGTCACGATCTGGCAGGTCGGTCATCGGGCCCCAACTCTCTACAGCTTCATACTGCCGGGCTTAAAGGTATCCATCATGTGGAATCATTCACTCCTCAAGCTCCAAGTGGTCGATCGATTCCGGCAGAGGGTCCGGCTGTGACAGTGGGGGCGGGGGTACTCACGGGTGAGCTCTACTCGGCGGCGGCAGAGGGCGGATATACAGTAGTGGGAGGAAGCTGTAGTACTGTTGGCATTGCGGGTGGTTGGATGCAGGGTGGCGGTTATGGTATTCTGACGCCGTCGCGAGGCCTGGGCGTCGACAATGTGCTAGAGGTTGGCATCGTCACAGCGCAGGTAAGTGGCCATTTGGTCCTCCCTACGTCCCAGAGGGCGTATTTGGTCCCCTGTATTTACCGCTGACGTGTTGGACATTTCAGGGAATCTATGTCACTGCAAACCAGTACCAAAACCAGGATCTCTTCTGGGCCGTTCGTGGAGGTGGTGGGGGTACGTTTGGTGTCATCGTGCATGTCACGTTCCGCACTTACCCTGATGTTCCCGCCGTTGTATCGAAGTTGAATGTCTTCAGTCCCAGTGGGCCAGACTCTGCTTTCTGGGACACTGTCACCGATCTGCTTCACACAATCCCCGTCTTGGCTGATCGCGGCGACGCCGTTCTGGCTTATGCAATGCCAGTCTTGCCTGGCAATCAGTCATTCCTCATCATTGAATCCTATGTCATTCATGATACCAACGCAGTTGGTAGCGATGTCGTCAACAAACTGCGTCAGCGCATAGAGGACCGTGGATTACTAGTGGAGTCTTCCGACGAGTCCTTCGATCAATTGTCCACATACCTTGCGCTCCCTAAAGGCTTGGACCAGGCAGGCATGGGAATGATGACTGCATCCCGGTTGGTTTCGCGAGATTTGATGACATCAACTCAAGGGCCGTCACGGATTAGCAAGACTCTCGCTCAGCTCAATTATGGACCTGGGGATGTGGTCAGTTTTGAAGGCATGGTTGGCGGGCCCGCAGTTCAGCGCAAAGACGCAGAAGACAGTGCAATCCATCCATCCTGGCGATCTGCAATCATGTCTTTGACTCTGGGTCGCGGCCTGCCTTCCGAGCCAGATTGGGACGCCTATGACCGCATCCAGGGCGAGCTGGCTATGACGCAGCTGCCGGTACTTCAGTCCCTTGAGGATGGGGCAATGGGGGGGTACTTGGGCATACCGTTCCCGTATGAAAGTGATCCTTCTCAGGTGTTTTGGGGGTCCCACTATCATCGGCTTCAGGGGCTCAAGGGGCGCTGGGACCCTGACGACCTATTCATAACTCGATTGGGCGTGAACTCGGAACGGTGGGATGAAGAAGGCATGTGTCGACTCGATTGGAAGCAGGATTACTTGAGGCAGTATTCTAGCGTTCTAGACCGCGTGAAAGCATGGGCAACGCAAATGGTAACTATGATCTAGCCGACCTAGACCATAATACGGAGGCGGTTGAGTGATTAAATTTTCGTTCAGTTATGGTGTTTTCCTCCTTTCTGTAACAATTAAGACTTTCACGGCAAGTATAAAGCCTTAAGACGCCTGTACGATTCAATTTCCGCAGCACAATCTAATGGCATATATCAATATTGCTGTAAAACCTTTATCCAAGCATAGCACATAGGTCAATTTTGATTACACTATTCTTGTCATTCTGTTACTCAGCCTATCTTGGGTACCGGACTTATTCCAGGATGATGAGAATATAGCTCCAATGGTGAAAATAAATAGCATAGATCTGAGGAACCCAAGCAGATGTTTCATTGAAGTGACTTGTAATACGACGCCCTAATGTCTACAGGGAACTGTGGTAATAAACACTCAGGTACACGCCTGTCTTCTCTGAATAGGCCATTGAAACATATTGAATCAAGTTCGACGTCTCCCCAGATTCAAAGTTCGGGCTGTTCATTAGGCGGTTAGCAGGGATGGTCAGCAAGTATGCGATGAGGGCAACCGTACAAATATCCTTTGACCGAGTCAATGTAACTTGCAGCCAAGTCATGCCATCCAATGGAATCGTAAAATTTGACAATGGCCTGAGCATTTTCCATATCATTCATGCCGTGCATAATGAAGTAGTACTTTGGGTTGGGGAAGTCAGTACTCCCGGGCGCCAATTCGTAACTCCAGATGCCGACGGCCATTTTGTCCTAGGTCCACACGGTAAGTAGTTGTAGCTGAGTATCCTGAAGGGTACTTTCAATCACTGACCTGATCCGAAGTGAGAAGCTGCCAGAATTGCTGGATGAACTGCAACCCTCGCTGAGTAGTGGCATGAGATCCAAATCGACCGCCTAGGGTCCAGATGTCTTGTAGCTTAGACCATGTCACGTCTTGAATTGTGTTATAAATCTTGAGCCGAGACTTAGAAACACCGGTGCAATCTATACCCAGGAAGGAATATTGGTTGTACATCCCTGCACCCTCCAGATATTCGTGGATGGTATCTAGAGCGGGATAAGAGACCTCATCGCCGAGGGACTGTATCGCACCGTCCAGCAATTTTCTGTAAGAGTTGCCAGTCAAGTACGACTTCAATGCCGGATACAAGTAGCACTTCACAGAGACCTCTCCACCTTTAAGATCGAGCCCAAAGGAAACTTGGTTTTTCATTCTGAGAAGGTACAATTGATCGCGATCAACCTCAGCAGCTTCTGCAGGGGTAGCAGTAAGAGATCCAATCATATGATGGAGGAACTTGGTGTCGAAGCCCTTGAGGTTCAATTGGGTCATTGTGTCGATTGCCCGGCTGATGGTGTCATGATTGATCGGGTCTGCTGGGGAGCCCGACTTCTGGCTCACGGGCTCCCAACCAATTCGAGCTGTTGGGGGGGCCATGCTGCTGGAGGTTGATGCTGAATTCAACTGGAATTCCAGAATATGTAATGAAAGAGTCCCAGGTATGGGGGTGTGGGCCGAGTCGAGGAATCAGAACAGTCCTATACAGTGTCATGTAAAGATACTGGTCTTGAACACTGTACTGAGCGGACTGAAGGATCTTAGCCAACAACGGTCCCGTCTTATCCCACCATGCCTGCTCGGTGGTGTTCTGGAAGGCGAAGCACTTCAAGGGTGGAATTGACTTCTCGGAGACATTGTTGCCTCCGATTTTGACTGATGAGATGGGAGGATTGACTGTCATTGTGGTGTTTTGTTTGGAATTCAATTCAATTTCACTGGGAATTGGGGGGTATCCAAGAGAGGAATTTGACACTACAACATTAGATAGATATGTACATATGTACGAAGTAGTCTTGTTGATCCTTTTACAAAAATGGCCAAATGCGGGTTGACTGAAAATGAGCCTTGCGCCTGGCTAACGCATGCGCTTGAAGTTGTCGTCTCCTTTGCAGACATGTCATTCTTTCCAATATGCACCCACGTGTAACCTGTAATATGCAAGGACTAGATAAGCGGTATGCGGTGTTTAAATAGGGCATACGTGTGTGTTCCAGCTGTACGATAATGCATGAGAATGTAGATTCATCGAGTGGCTTGGATTGAGAGAGCTGAAAGCCGAACAATGGAGTTTATGGAAAAGTAAGTTGAAGAGGAGATCAGCACAGACTCTGACTAGTCAGTTGATGGCGAGCACGGAAAGAAATCCATCTACAAAGATATTTTTTTATGACAGCCTTGGGAACAGGCAGAAATTTACTTGTCAAGCTGCTAGCTGAAGTACTGTTCAAATCGATCAAACTAGAGGTACTCTACGGTAGTGCTCTACAACATGAAGGATTTAATCCATGGTGATCGATATTACTCAATTTAGTCTAGATAGACACATCGCCTAGCTAAATCTCAAGCCATATTTATCTACTCTAAAAGACTGCTCAATTGCTTTGTTCGGCCTCCTCGAGTTTCAGCCATGGGTACTCATCGGATGAATGGTAGTAGACACTGAGATAAACCCCCGTCTTTTCCGTGTATGCGAAGGATATCCAAGATGTTAGACGAGCTGTTTTACTTAAGTCTCTCTCGGGGCTGTTCAAAATTAGCGGACTGGTTGACGTTAGGTTGACGGGGGAAGGGATGTCATACAAATAGTGCTGCACTGTCGCCTCGTAGTTGTCACCATATTTGGAAAGCCCGATGCGAGACAAAAACTCCGCCAGGCCAGTGATGACATTGTGATCACTCTCTCCGTGGATAGGGAAGTAAAACTTCGTGAGTGGGCTGGCCTCGCCCTTCTTCATCTCGTAGTTCCACACCATCGGGCTGCTGGTTGAGTCTTTACCGTCATCAAAGCCACCATTGAAATCACGGTGCCCTTCAGACAGCTTGGTCAATTGCCAAAGCTCCTTCAAGTACTCCAAGCCTTGATGAACCACAGGAGACTTGGCTCGCCCACCGAGGGTCCATATCTCCTCTACCTTGGACCAGACGACACTGTTGTGGGAGCTGTAGAGCTTGAGGCGCGATTGAGCAGGGTCCACACAATCAAAGGACCAGAAAGCAAACTGGCTGTAGCCATTGGTCTCGTTCAAGTAATCGTGCACCATATCGAACGAGGGGATGGGGCCCATCTGCGCCGCGAGGGGCTGAATTGATTCGGCTATGAAATTTCCGAAGCCTTTTTCGTTGACATTGCACTTGATGGCTGGGAATGTATATCCCTTGACAGAGATAGTCTTCTCCTTCATGTCAAACCCGAAAGCAGCCTGGGAGGTCAGGTTGCTCCCTTCGATCTTCTTTTCCTTGAGCAGCCCTCTTTCGTGGGCATTGACGGTATGCGCGTCCAAGAAGTATCGGAATAGCTCAGGATCAAATCCGGGGATGTTGAGCTTTTCCAATTCATTCAAGAGATTGACCGGTGGCTTTTGGTTGTAGGGGTCTTGTTCAGTCCCAGACACTGCAGCGACAGGTTCGAATCCAATGCGAACTACTGGATCAACGTCTCCCTTTTGCTGGTAGTTGACGCTGAACTCCACAGGAAGCCCGCTCCGGGTAATTGCACTGTGGAACTCATATGGGTAGGGGCCCAGCTGTGGGATCAAGACTTGACTGTAAAACGTGAGAGCCTCCAAGCGGCGGGCAGGATTATAGCCTGCCGAGGCCAGAATTTTGTCGAACAGGCGGCCAGTCTTCTCCCACCAAGCTTTCTGATGACTATCGGTGAATAGGTAGTATCGACTCAGCACGTCAAAAGTGGTTGAGATGGGAGATGTGGAGGCACCCTTGGCTATCATGCCGAGGGGCACCTGGTTCTGAGCTGTTTCAATTGCCATGATGTCTCGAATGTATCAGTACACGTGAGATGATCGATATAGCGCCAAGTTGTTTCGACCTAGGTTCAAAGTGGTTTTCACAGTAAATATAAGAACCGAAAAGGACACAGCCAAGACAAATCCAAGTACGTGATGCATCGCACCCACGAAGAGACCAAGACCACGTCACGAACAGAGATACATAATCAGTGCTTACTTCCCACCGCTAGTCGTGATCGGCATTGATGTGTCGTTGTGTTGCAGCTTGACGGGCCATCGTAGGTAAGGGGCGGTGCATATGCACTTGTCACACTATGCATGGTAACATCTGCGCTCTGATTATACCCGCAGCGACGGGAATACCAAATCGCAAGTCAATAGATTGTGTTATTCACGCACAAATACTCCGTAAATCGGGGCGGGAATTCCAGGCAGAGAAGTTCCAGCTGGGAATTGCAATTTCCACGCACTACATACTTAATTGAATGGCCATCTGATATACTTCATTGGCTTATTTCTAGACTAGCAGGATCTAATGTATGCGATAAATGAGCATTGCCTGTTATCCGCCTCTTCAGGCCAACAGCAAGCCCCCATTAGTCTCCAGCACGGTTCCAGTGACGAATTGGTCCTTCATAAGATACAGGTACGCCTGAGCTACACTCTCCGGAGTGCCGGCACTACCCACCAAGGACTTGTCTTTCGCCATTTGAATGGCCATGTCGTAGTGCGGGCCTAACATTTCCCGCACGACCTCGGTTATAATCGCCCCTGGAGAAACAACATTCACACGGAGGGGTTTCAGATCGACGGCCAAAGCCTTCATCATCGTTTCAACCGCTCCAATGTAGCCAGTAATGGCAGACCAGCCCGGATCAGGTTTATGGCCGTGAGCGCCGCTCGTCAGAGTGAGAGAATTTTCCGAAACTTGGTTCATGTACTGAGGGAGATATTTGGCGATGATCAATGGTGCCGTATAGCGGATGCGGCCTGATCGCTCGACACTGTGAACGGTGATTTCAGACAACGGCGGAGGCGGAGGCATCATGTCTGCGGCGGTGATAATAACATGGTTTATCCTCGCCCCGTTGGCGGCGAATCGTAGCAGAGATTGCACATTTTCTTCCAGGTTCTCGGCGTCGGCGAGGTCAATGGTAATCCCCCTCAGTCGCGTTTTGGAGGTTTGCGATGGATATGAAAGTTTGAGTTTGGCAATGGCCTGCTCCAGTTTGTCTGGCTTGGATCCAGCGACAATCACAATTGCATTGTGTTCCAGTGCGGCCTCTGCGACAGCGTAGCCAATGCCTGAAGTCCCTCCCACGATGAGCACGACTTTGTCGCATAAGCGTCCCACGTATTTTTCTGCCTGGCGGGTCATATTTGTTTTCTTGGAGGATATGGACGATATTCCTTGTGTTTTTATCTTCAGGTCCAAACTTTGGTATTATCAAGTTATGGTACCCGCATGGTAACACGCCCAACGTAGTACTTTATAGCATGTACGGTGGAAGTTCTGGGCCCTAAGGAATGAGACTCATCTAAAAAACTGACATGTCTGCAAAGGATATGGATAGAGAATGCAAGGGTTCTGCTGCATACATGTCCTGATGCAACCCTTTCTAGGACCAGGCTTGGCTGACACTTTCCATCTACAACATACCTACGGAGTAGATGTCGCATACAAGTGCTAGTGTATTACCTCGTACAGTGGGGTTTGAGGACATTACGGTGTAGATAGTGTAAATTTTTTAACAATCATCAATTTGGGTATTTATAAACTGAATATTCTTCTTTTGGCGCTATATGAGTCTAATAATGAGCAATAGACTCGATTTAATACAATTGGATCATTAACATGGGATATCATATTAACCTATATATATTTTAGCTACCTCATAGTGTATTGTGTTGCCCCCGCCATTGATGACGTCACTTGTCTGTACATAGATCACAGCTTGTAGATCTAGCCAATTCAACCCAACTCCTCTCTCCCTGCAAGACCAGCAAACCAGAATAGAGACTCGCAATGTCCATAACTCCACTATCAAAAATTCAAGTGACCACTCGCCAGATTCCAGAGTGGCACCAGCTACCGAATACTTCGATCCAATCCAAGCCGCTTATGATATACCATGCAGCCTTCGATGCCACACCCACAGAGCTCGAAGAGCATCTGGAGGTAGTTGGCGAGGTTGCTCCTCAATGGGTATATAGCATGTACAGCCAAACCCACTTCCATTCAACAACGCAAGAGGTGCTCGGGGTCATTTCAGGGAGCGCGCAGCTTTGCTTTGGAGGCGAAGATAACCCCGAGCGATTTGAGCCGACGGTCCAGCGTGGTGATTTGATCATTGTACCAGCAGGGGTGGGTCATCGACTATTAGAGGACCTCCATGGGAATCAGGAAGAGTTCCAAATGGTTGGTGCATATCCACGCGGCAAACAGTGGGATATGTGTTATGGGAAACCAGAAGAGAAAGCCAAAGTGCAACGAATCACCGATGTGGGTTGGTTCCGTCAAGATCCGTTGTATGGCGTTGACGGCCCTGCTTTGCACGTCTAGCTAAAATTGCGCCAGCGCAAAATCAAGTGTCGCTTGGATGGTATGTTTAATCAACAGTCAAAAAAGAATATAAACACAACAAGACATGAAGATCACTGTGCCACTCTTTCGACAAGCCTGGTACAGCGTGAGCAAATGGAACGAATCCGCGGATTTTAGACAAGGGGGCTTACCTGAGAACACTGATTGAAAAAGTCATGAGCCAAGCCAAAAGCGCCACGAGGAGTACAGAAGCAAGTGCCTTTTGTCGCACACATATATGATTATTTTGAGGATTGATCTTTTGGTTGACCTCTGCTTCAGTGCAGGCTCCCGTCACCTCGGTAAGTGAAAAGAATGCCAAACTTAGATTGGCGGAGTCGAAGACGATAAAGAAGATATCTAAGAGGATGAGACGTGCTTTAGCCGAGGCAGAGCGCAGACCCAACGGCTTGGACGTGTATTCATCGAAAGTAATGTATAACAGGTAAACCAGGGCGACTGCATCGACGATGATTGCCATCAATGCAGATGGGCCTTGAGAGCGATGCCCTTCATCAGCTAGGTGCTGAATTGACCCACCCAGAGCCAGCGCAGAAAGCGAGAAGCTCCAAACAGTCATCCGAAGAATCATGGGTACCATCGGGCTTCGCAGAAGTGTGTTCTTGAAACGCTTGAACCAAATCTCCCTTCGGCCTCCACTGTGTAGCGGATACTCCGGACTATCGCCCTCCAAATGCTTTCCTCGCCATGGTCGCAAGTAATCACCGTGATTCTCATTCAACCATTCTGGCGTCACATGTTGCTGCTCTCTACCGGTCTCTCGAGGGTATTGGATGGTTCGTGAGAATGTTATCCAACGCGATTCACGGTTGACAAAGGGCGATTCATCCTCAAACAGGCCGTTGGTGTGATTAGGTTTAGTCTTGGAGGATGCGTAGGGCGAATGGTTGTGCTGAGCGACAAATGCGCCATTTGGCTGAGAAGGGAGTAAGCGATCAGTTGCCGTAGCTTCATCTCCGTCCTCCTCGGGCTCATCGACCGATCGAATCCAGGCTTAAAAAAATGTGGTATTAGTGAAAAGTCATCGATTCGCGCTTTAAGTGGGACCATACCAGGTAGAGATCGTAAGGCGGAGTGTTGGGAGTGTGCGATCTCTTCCGCTGTCTGGCCGTCTGAACGCGAGAGGGTTGAATCGGAAGTTTTATTGCGAACAGCAGAATGGGTATCAACGCTAAGCTGGCCTGGTAGTGGTGATGACTCTGGTATGGTTGGGATCTTGTCTGCCAGCTTCTCACCAAACACCCGCCCCGTAGCGCCGTCTTTAGAGCTATCCATGACAGGTAGAGAAACCAAACTTGAAATTGAGGAGTCGCGGGAAACTTCTATTGATACATATGTAGTTTACCCACGAATCCCCAATTGCTCAAAGTCAGGAGGTGATGGTGTTCAGGGCAGGATGATCTTAGGACGAAAATGGCGACGGGGAATGACGTCTGGATACCTGCTTACTCCCGCGTCTATCCCTTTTCACCACACCAAAAAAATCAAAAAACCTTCTATGCCACACTACTTATTGTAAAGTTTTCTACTAGATCTCTTTCTTATCCTGTACCTTTCGATATCTATTATCCCCGCCACGATCCGTTTTCAATTGCCGTCTCACGACATCCACGATGCGCCTTTTCTTAGTTCCGATCTCGACAAAACGAGTCCTCATATATGCTCGACCTCTGAACAAAGATTTAGCGAAAGAGCTTTCAATTCTTGATAGGCTCACAACAAAGGCAGCCGAAACATGGGCGAAGTGGGAGGAAGCCAACAAAGGATGGAAGATGCACCTTGTTCGCTGGGGCAATCGTGTCCAGCAACGGATACCATACGAAGAATGGGCCCTCAAAAGCATACCTTCGTTCAAAACTCAGCAGCGAATTAATGGAGATCATGGGAAGACCAAGATCGATGTGCTTTTCCCCGGTAACGCGGTGCGATTGGACCGAATCCAGGACGTGTTGCGCAAGATCGCTACAGAGAGGCAAGAACTTCACCGGAAGAAGATGATATGGAGCTTGATTGCTGCGCCGATTACAGCACCCCTTGGACTGATACCAGTGTATGCGAATGCCATGGATGTTCTCCGCTGCGATCTGATATACTAATACAGAGCAGGGTTCCGAATATTCCTTTTTTTTATCTGGCATACCGAGGCTGGTCCCACTGGCGCGGTTAGTCCCGACTTCCTACACGGGCCTGGTCTATGAAACTGACGAGAATACACAGCATTGAACGGCTCGAAACATCTAGAACTTCTCGTCGAAAAGAATATCCTCAACCCAATCTCATTACCGGAGCTAGAACAACTATATGCCAAACGTGCATCTGAAGGTATTCCGGCTGATACATCATATTCCGAGGTTGCCGACAACATAGAACAGAGCGAGGATCGGGTCCTCTTGAAGATGTCTGATGCCAAGAAGTTGGCTACGATCTTGGAGGCACCGGAGCTTGCGTTGGAAGCTGAACGAGCGATTATACAAGTCAGGGAGCAGCTCGAAGCTGCAGCGAAGGCTAAACAACAGGAGAAAGACGAGAAGAAGAATTCATAACGCCGAGGGTTTTAATCACGATATCCAGGGGGAGATATTGAGCTCTTCTGCTCAACACGGAGGTTATGTACGATAATGACAAGAACGCATGAGATTCCAATAGATATAACCATATAGACAGTAATTATTATCAAAAGTTCAATATATGTGAATGTTACAAAGGATCATTAGATTGTGAGTCCAATGACCTCAGAGCCCCTGACGGAAGTAGGTAAATCCGAGTCTCTCCCCCCATTGTTCCCACCTCATCCATCACCCCATTCATCGGAGCTCCATACATCATGTCTGCGAAAAAGATTGAGCAATGGGAGATTGAGCGATACTGGGAGATTTTCGCCTCGTTGTCAAATGGCCAAAAACACCTCAACAGCTCCCAAGCCGCCTCCGTGCTGAGGAACAGCCGGCTGAGAGATGACCAGCTCGAGAAGGTCTGGGACATTGCCGATGTCGATGGAGATGGGGAACTGGACTTCGAAGAGTTTTGTGTTGCGATGCGCCTAGTCTTTGACCTGGTCAACGGCGTAAGTAAAGCACCCTCTCAAATCATCACTCAATGGGTCTGACACGGCACCTTTACACAGGAACTCCAAGATGTTCCGCATGTCTTGCCAGATTGGCTGGTCCCGGAGTCAAAATCACATCTTGTTCATGCGACCCGCGCACTAAGCACCGGACAAGAGCAGTTCGAACGGATAGAAGACGAGGACGACTCGCTGGGTCTGAAGGACGGCTTTGATTGGTATATGAAACCCGACGACAAGAACAAGTACACCGAGATCTACGACGCCAACCGGAACGCGCGCGGCCAAGTAGAATGTAAGTAATCCGTACAGCGCGCTGTGCGTAGCCAGGAAAGATTACCCCGCTGACCACAACCCCCAGTCCAGCAATTACAACCACTCTACGAATCGCTCGACGTCCCCGACACCGATGTCCGCTCCGCCTGGAACCTGGTCAACCCCTCCGCATCACCCGCAATCAACAAAGATGCCACACTCGCTTTCCTCCACATCCTAAACTTTCGCCACGAGGGTTTCCGCATCCCACGCACTATCCCCGCATCGCTTCGAGCCTCATTCGAGACCAACCAGATCGACTACCAAGTCGACAAGGCGCGACCTGCACAGCGCTACGGCGCAGATGGCGACATGGAAACACGGACAGGTCGTAAGGCCAAGTTCGGCGACACCTACCTCGGCCGCCTGGGCGTTGGCGGCAAGGGATCGTATCAGCCCAAAGGAACAGATTTCAGCGACACTATCCAGGATGAAGAGTGGGAAAAGGTGCGGCTGCGCCGCGAGCTTGCAGAGTTGGAGAAGAAGCTGGAATCTGCCAACAAAGCGTCTGCCACTAGACGGGATGGGCCACGCCATGATGGCCGGCCCAACTGGGTTCTAATTAAAAAGGAGGCGCTTTCGCTCTTAGAGTATAAGGAGCGGGAGTTGCGGGAGCTGCGTGAGGGTACTGGCCGTGCCAAGGACGGTCGGGAACTGGAGCGACTCCGAGAGGATGTCAAGGCCGTTGGGGAACAGGTGGACGGGTTGAAGAGCCATATGGCCCAACGGCATGATGTTCTTTCGGACCTGCGCAGGCAAATTGAGGATGAAAAGGCTCGGCGGTGATTGATTACCATATGGACGAGCGAACTCGTTGGCCTAAAGCTTTTGGTTTCTTACTTTCTTTCTATGGCCCCTTTAGCTGCACATATGTCCCACTCTGTCGATTCATGCGAATTATCATGTACAGCCATTTTCTTGTTAGGGAGCTTCAGGCGTCAAATGGATATTCTTTGCCTTTTCATTGCTGGCGAGTGCAAGACACATTACAATAATTTAACTCAAGTACAATAGTCAAACATCATGCTCCGACTGCCCTCGCCAAGATCGTGCTTTATTTCAACTCTCTAACAAATACAGGCCTGTTCTGATGCAGCTCGAGGGTTCCAAAGGTTAAGTACCTAAGAAGCTACCTACCTAGTAGGCAGGCAGATATACGTACCATTTCCTCTGCCGGACCTTGCTTATCTTAGATGCCGCCATTTTTAGGTGGACGCTCATGGTCAGGCTCACTGAGTAGATTTCATTGATAGTTAGTTCATTGATAGCATTGCTGCTGCCCTCAATTTTGGAGCACTACATCTAATCAAGAAGATACGTCGAGCACCATGCATCTCATATGGTGGAGATTACCAGAATTTACAACCCGGAAAATCAATGGACCGCTAACCCGTGGACGCATATATTGCTTAATCAGCGATGTCCCTATAGATTGGAAAAAGAGCGGATCTTGACATTTGAATGTCATTTTTGACCCATACATTGCCGTACCCGTCAATTTCTGTCATAGAATAAATATCCACCATCAATTCATAAACTTGAATGTTTTCATCCCATCATGCTCTGTAATTTAAGCTATGTAATCAAAGCTCCATATAAATTGTAAGGAGAGTAGATCCAGAAATACAGAGAGGTGAACTCCTTCGATTGCAACCCTGCGCGCGCAAGTACGGAGTAATCATGGCAGAAACGGAAAGACGGTATCGGATGTCAGGGACCGAGAAAGTTTAATTTCTCAAGCTTTGAGCTCTGTCCCTTTTCTCAACCTTCTGTTTTTGCCTATCTCTATTATTCAATAATTCACCTTCCGATACCATTCCACCATCTAATTAACCAATTTAACACTTCAACATGGTGACTACGCGTAAACGCAAGAACATCTCTCCGGACCCTGAAGCCTTCGAGGCTGGCCCGTCCTCGGCCCCACATCGTACCTCCCCCACGTTCGTTCAATCACTTTCCGACACTAGCGCCCCTGTCAGTGTTGACCATACAAATGAACCAGATTGGGACACCCTCACCTCCCAGGCAAAGGCACGCCTAGATGAATACGTTCTATCCCATGATCGTACCGATCGCCTTCTTGTGCCGACGCTCCATGCATTGCTCGTATGGCTCCCCCAAGCTGGGCAGGAAAAAATCGCCCGGGATATCCTTTCAGACCAGTCGACGACAGATGAAGGTTTGTACGGAGTGTACGACCACATACGTACTGCGCTCCTTCTACCGAGTAAGTTTGCAAGGTTGATTTAACTAAATTTCTAATACAGACCTGACTGATCTATATCTCGATTTAGTGAAGGCGTTGGGTGCTAAATCATATCCCGTTTCTTCCCCAATTTCCCATCGCCAAGAGGACGCACAGACTATGAGCGACCGAGCAAGTACACCCGTTAGTCGTTCTGATTGGTTTGTGGATGCCTGTTTAAGACGGGATGATTCGCGTTGTGTTGTTTCTCGGTACCTCGCCTCAAGCAAATGGAAAGAAAGAGGCAAACCCCAACAGGAGGTTCCCATAGATCTCGAAGTCGTACACATTGTACCATTTTCATTCGGTAAATTTGAGAGAAAGGTATTTCCACATTATAACCTTATATGGACTATGAGACTAACTAGCTAAAAGCAGTCAGCGCCCAGGTCGGCACAATCATCTCCCATGCCCCCCGAAAAAGAAAGCAGCCCCCCGATCGACCAAATCCTCATCCGCAGTTACAATAAAGAACATGGCCAATAGCGATACTGGCGTGTGCTGGTCTGCCCTTTACACTTGCTTTCCCGGGGCGAGGGGGGTCATCAAGGGCTCCACAATCGATGAGCCTTCCAATGGATTTTTGCTCGCGGCCTCTCTCCACTCCCTATTTGGGAAGTTCCTTCTAGCATTCAAACCAATTGTGAGTGACAAATACTTAATACCTGATATACCTAGCTAATATAAATTATACTTAAGCCCGATAATGATTTCCTATACGAAATCGTGGTATACGAGTCCCGGGGCCCAACATTACCTCGCTTCTGTGAGGAAGGTCAGAAGGTTACTATGAATCAGCATCCCGAAGTTGCTTCGGTGAATCGGATTTTGCTTGACCTCCACTGGAGGCTCTGCGAGGTATTTTACGCATCTGGTGCTGGGGGAGAGATCGACTGCATACTTGAAAAGTGGGACAAAATTAAGGAGCGTTCGGGGTGTTTGGCTACTGACGGTAGTACTAAGATCGAAGAGCTCCTGTGGTTCTCTTTTCCAACCTCTTATATGCCACAGCCGTACTCTACGAAGGTTTGCGCGTGACCCCGGAATACGTGAGATCCCACCATATATCAGGTATCTAAGATAATGCTAGCTCCGGTGAATGACAATAGATCATTGTATATTATACTGCTGTATTTTAAGATGTGATACATACTTATGATACTATTTTGTTTTCAGCCTACCCAAGCACGTCACGTTTTTATAAGTAACGAGGGAATAGATAGGGTATCTATAGGAAGAAAGAAAATAGAATGTGTATCTATACTAGGGAAATTAAAGGCCTAGAGATGTTATATGTATGTAGTATCACACTCGGTCAAACCTCAGAGCAGCGCAGCTAGCCGCTTGTGACTGAGGAGCATATTGTCCGTACCAAAGAAGTTCCCACTTGCCATCGTGGATAATTATTGACCAAATATTAGACCACAGAACCAAGAATATAAAGGACTAGTCAAAAGCCTAATAGAAAAACTAGGGACAGGCGAGTATAAGAACCTAAGGAAAGACTAAAACCTCTCATATATACTATCTAGCTATCTTATACACTCTTGCACGTGATGGGATTAGCGTGTCGTATTTTCCAGGTTATTGATGTTGCTTCTTACTCAGCCCGCTCATCCCTACACTCAGTGAGCACTCAGTGATCAAGTCAGGATACTCAGAGACGTGCTCAGTGTTACTTAGTGATCAAAAAGCGGCAAGAGATGAGCACTAAACGGAAAGGGAATGGACTCGAGCTCCAGGCATTATCCGGTATACATGCAGCCCTATCTGTGTCGGCATCGTGCGCTTCTTCCTCTATCTTCGCGAATTATACTCAAGGTTTGAACGGGAATAAGAATTAGTCCACATAGAGGAAAACATGCAATTTATGCAAGCAAATGTAGATATGTTTCATAAGCCTCTCCGCTCTGACTATTATATTTACGACTAGAATCGCGGAGGCGGATCGGACATATCGAAATCAGTACGGAAGCATCTGTCTCCACCTCCATAAGATGTTAGATTTCCCTATTATAGCTCGCCTCCAAAGAATTTGATTTTCCCAAACGCCCAGTGGGCCTTTGGGGAGTCTTATGAAGGATTTGATTTTAGGGCTGGTCTTGTTGAAGCTTAGTGAAAGCTTCACAACGGAAGATCAAATTAGGTTATTGATTACAGTGAGATGGCGTCCATTTTCAGACTTCAAATGTCTTCAATTATGATACCATGATATAGGAACACAAGATTGCAGTCAGGTCAGGCAATAAGGGCAGCATATCGACCAAACTCGGCATCCTCGAGCAATGATTTAATCTCTTCCGGATAGAGATTGACAATGAATTCACCCACCTTCCCCTTCTCCAAGTTTCAATACGTAACAATGTAAAACAGATACGTGTGGATTATTTGAAAGCATCCATTAACGGAGCTTAAACAAATAGTAGCTTTATGAATAAATTGAAAATGGTGCTTTTGGTTAAGTGGTGGAATCATAACAAGATTGTAGGCCAGACTATGCTCAGGGTCATGTTGCATAATATTTTGCAAAATCTTATAACTGGTTCCATAACTCAGTTGGTTAGAGTGTGGTGCTAATAACGCCAAAGTCGAGGGTTCGACCCCCTCTGGAACCACCACTTCGTCTTTTTGTTTCCTGATACTATATCTTCTCTACATCTAGTTTTTGTTGGATCTTTGCTGCTTGTTCAGAATCGAAGATATACACGATGCTATATGGGGAAAGAAGGAGAAAGAAAGGGGAGTAATAGTGGAGCAATAGATTTAGTTGGTCCCTATCATGGACTCAATGTCTTCAGTCGAGAATAGGTATCTCTTCAGCCTAGATAGATAGTCACATATAACTAGGCTGTATAATCTGTTAGTAGCAATGCTACTGACTGAAATAACGTGCACGTGTATTGCATCGGGGAGAGCCTTCTCGCCTGGGCTGGCATGGCAGGGTATTTCCGTACATCAACTTGGTCCACTAGTTATTATTTGCTTTCTAGTTAATCGACTATTTGAATCTCTCTCTGTTCTCTCTTTCCCTTTTTCCCTCTTTGGTTTTGAATCGATGCACTCTTCTGATGCTTGTTGCTTCTGTGGGCTGAGCACATCGCGTCAGTGATAAGGCCCACACTACGGAGTACTCCGTACATATGTAGATGTCTAAAAAAGTGTAGTCTATGGGTGGACCAAATACTCGATGATCCACCTCCCTACGGGCTGGGGGGGGCATGAATCTATACATAAGAAAAGCATCGGAGACTTATAGAAGAAATTGTCAACAAAATAAAAAAGAAAATGGTTCCAGAGGGGGTCGAACCCTCGACTTTGGCGTTATTAGCACCACACTCTAACCAACTGAGTTATGGAACCCATCTATATTATACCCAGCAAATAAATGTATCTATACCTCTGACCTCTGTTTTCTAATGTATCACGATTGTGTACGCAGCTCAACAAATTATACGGAGTATAGAAACCATAGCTATCGATCAACATAGGCAAAAAAAAAAAGAGCTGATATCAGGATATCTTACTTCTTAGTAATAAAATTGTAAACAGTAGACAGTATTTTTTTAAAATCGATAGAATGTAACATCCTTTTATCAAAACACTTAGTGGCTGTATAGATGGCAGATTAGACAATCACTCATCTGGAACCCTGGGTGATGACTCTCTCGCCTGTGTAGTATTGATAGTCGTTTACCCTAGAGAGATCCTTTCTTTGCTCTTATGTGTAGAAATCACGAACATATGGTGAGATCAATTCCTGGGCACCTGAATCGAGTGACCATCTTGTATTGACTGTTGAGTCTAGATATATCCATGGCAATGCTGACGCTATTTTATCGGTGCCGGTCTCTACCTTTTGGACTTCACCTAACATGAAGTCCTTGGGTTCGTGTTCGCTGAGGATCAAACAATCTGCCATCAAAATAGGCAAATTTCTTTTCTTGATGAGGATTAGCGCGGTAGTCACTGGAATTTATATTGTTCGGTATAGTCTCGGTCTTTGAGTTTCTGTCCATGCTTTTACTTTGTATGGTGATTAATCAAAATGCCCTTTGTGGGAACATCCTAAGGTCTTGGCCAATACGCTGACGGTGCCTTAGGTCCTTCGTTTGGAGCCACCTCTTAAGGAGTGATAAATTTGGTGGATTTAATATAGTGACTGCATTTTTTGTCTTAAGCCCCTTGCTAGCTTGTGGATATGTGCGGTATCGTCCAATATTCTGTCGGGTATGATCTGACTCGACCTACAATCTTCAACAGACTCGATTGAGCATGTGATAATGACATATTTTTCGTTCCTTATTTATCAGATTCTCCTCGAGGGATAATATCGACGGTGATTCAGAGCTTGTTGATTCAACATTTAGACTAACGAGGAGAACGGTGGTGGAGCAATATCATCCAAAGGTTCGATCTCTGGGTGATGCGTAGTAATGAACTCTTTGGCTGAGCTGAGACTCGGCTGCTCTTGTCTTGGTTCAATTGGCAACTTGAAGCCAGAAATGGGTCGTCTTTTGATCACCACCCGTAAGCCGCCTGGGTCCATGACAGTGTCGTGGGTGGATAATTCGTCTATTTCACCCTGAGATGCCTTGGAACCGTCCTTCAATTCACCATTAACATGAGAAAAATTTCACCCCGTTACTATTATATACCAATGATGCCAATTCTCATGTCTCGTGTCTGCCGTAGGGGGTCTAGCGTATCTTGAAGGGTCAATGACTCACTCTATATTTATAGAGGGGACGAATGGCACTATTTCAAGCCAACGCTCCGGGTCCGTACGATGTCTTTCAGAGATATTGTTCGATTAATCTCACATCTTACGGTTTGATAAGGCTTAGCTCGTCTGGCTTCATAATCTTGATAGGATTGGGACTCGGCTCAGATATCATGAAGGAATGTCTTACTTGACGAAATATGATGCCAAGGAGTATTGTATCAGCGGGAAAGGCTACTGAAAAAATATGCAAGACTCTCTGATAGGTGACCCCATAATGAGGACGGATGGAGGCGTAGACGCCATATTCACAAAGGTAAAATCTGATGCGTCGAAATAATAAGATACTGGTCAGCGATTAGACCTGGGAGCCTGGCGGCCAGGCTGCATTCAGGTAATGAGAGGGAGGTCTTATAGCTTGTGGAAATTATAAACCCCCGTCAATGTGGAATATTTAATGGTCGATGACTGGAGTCCAGAAGACTAAAAGGCTAACAATAACTTTTTGCCACATACCGAGATCTCTATATAAGAGCCCTAGGCAGCAATTAGCTACATGGCACATCAGAATTGACAGGAGGCATCCTACAATTGGGAATGTATAAGACTACAGGGCTATATAGCGTGTTTCACATGCGAATGACCACCACCGAAACCTCACGGTAGATGTGATGTATTATAACTTTACATAACAACAACATTCGTCTTAGGTCTTTTTTTTTTTTTTGTCGGTGGGTTGATGGAGTGTTTGAACCCTATATATGGGTATTGGAGAAATCAAAAGTGTTGTAATTTTACTCTGGAAATCATATGGTTGGCAAGAATATATATGTCGCAACAACAATGCCTTGGAAGTTCTCTAACCTCTTTTAAAAGAGTTAGATATCACACCAAAAATATCATCTCATAAGGAAAACCCTCGCAGAAGACTATTGTTGAGATATTCACCTTAAAATTATCGTATTGACTATGTCTTTCCAATAATCGCTTGTGTCGACTTGGTTAGGATGTTCTCACATTTAGGCTTGATAGATTGTTTTTGGTTCATAATATGAAAAGCTTGGCAGTCAACAACCATCTGGTTCCATAACTCAGTTGGTTAGAGTGTGGTGCTAATAACGCCAAAGTCGAGGGTTCGACCCCCTCTGGAACCATAAGAAGTTTTTTTTTACTTGTTCAATTCTCATGTCCCTTGCACTTTGACCTAGGAATCTCATGACGCTCTTCATCCCCTGTGAATCTTTGTATTTTTTGTGCTAGGATCTTTCTGAGGGACCATGCGTGAGCAAGGCCCTCGATATGTTTAATTCTTGATATACCTGAATAGCCTTTGAATTTCTCAGGGATTTGGGGTGGTAGGGTAAAAAGAATTGAGAAACATACAACGCTTGAGCAGATGATAGGGCTATTCACTCTGTGTATACATCTCACCTTGATAAATATAATAACATCCTGGGTGTATTATAGAGGTTCCATAACTCAGTTGGTTAGAGTGTGGTGCTAATAACGCCAAAGTCGAGGGTTCGACCCCCTCTGGAACCATGATTCTGTCCTTAACTTTTTGAATCCTAATCTTTTTACCCTTCTTGAAGATCAATCAAATCAATTTCGGCTGGACTTCATGTTGTACAACCTATCCGTGGGGGTCCACAAGGCCCCCATTATAGCCCATAGCCCATTTAGGGGGCTCAACTGGTATACATTTCTTGGTCGCTGTATTCTAGCCTTTTTGATAATTGTAAAGAGTTGAAATTAAGTAGTCCAATTAGTGACAGCTATGTAAGGGTACCTCCCAATTTTAACCGAAATCTGACATGTAGAGGTCCAAAAAAAGTTAACATACCCATATTTTGATATTACATAGATCCAAAATTAGGCTTCACATGGGCCTAGTATCACTTTCTAGGTGAATCTCCATATTTCAATGCTGATTTAAATGGCGCGTGTTTTTCAAATTTGAATGTTTTATAGAAACTTAGCTACATGATCACTAATACCGCATCGATCCTAGAGTAAAACATCACCTTGGGGCTAAAAACAAGGTCTCGATATAGGTACATATGACATACATAATGAAAAAACTCGCGTTTCTTGGAAAGTCTGAATGATTTGGTGCTTATCGGGCTCGATTCGAAACCAAGTAAGCTTTTACTCCGGGCCCATTGCTCGCAAGGGTCCTAAGGACCGGGCCCAAAATCCAGCCCATTAGTGGGTGGTTAGGACGGGCTGGGCTTTGGGCTTTGTGGGCTTTGCGAAGGTCTAGCCTAGACTGTCTAGGCTCGGTGGTGCCTTTGACTTCTGCCATTCACGTACGGTGCCTGGATTTAGTGAATTTAACCCCAACAACATGTAGGCAACGATCTTTCTGAGACATTCTACGCGGATAGCAGTCTTTGAGATATACAGACCCAGCACCAAGATCAAGTGAATAGTCATAGCCCTGGAAATTGCCATAATATAGCGGTGATATTTTACCATACAAATAGGGAATTAACAAGCCTCTGTTCTTGAACAATTTAAAATATACAGTTCTCCCAAGACGGAGCTGGAATTGTATTGGCGTATCGGCGTATCGGCTTTGTACACACCGCGAGGGCGACCCTTATCGAAGCATTCATCTCGAATGGGAATGATCGTCTTGTTCTAAAGATTGGGTCCCACCGGCGTTTATGGAAAGAAGAGACTTGATATGCTATCCCGTATATAACGCGCATACTAGCGTGGTAAAAATACTTCAAAAGTTTCCGCGTTCAAGCATACGATCCATGATTTGCAGTACCCAAGCCAGATTCTAATCACAGTAGGGTATTAGACCCAGATCAGCTCAATTTGGACAATTTATACATTTGTTTATCTACCAAACCAGCCTACCTATGTGATTATGTTGCGGTATCATGGCTTATTCCGTTGTCCTATCATGAAATGCATCGCCTTCATACAAGCAAAGAATTACTAAACACCTCTTCATGCCATGATGTTTGGAAGATTGATAGAGTAAAATCCCAAAAGACAGTTCAGAGCATGTGTATGCATACATCTATTGCCGGCATTAGGCTCTCTAGTCTCGCCATTTCTGATCCTAAGTATACTTTCAATATCTCGCAAACCATATCTGTGACAGAATGAATATTTGCTCATTTAGGATAACCCAATACAATGTCATGATCGTGACCCGTATCCAAATATCAACAATAAAAGGCTAACTTCATGACATCGCTCGGATATTGCTGCCTCAAATCCTCAGAGATCTGATAGACGGCCATAATAAAGGTTCAAAACCAGCGAAGTACTGTAGTATATAAAGTACCGATAAGCAGTTTCAATATTTTCTTGGTACTGCAGTAACTTTCAAGGCCTAGGGAGTATAAGGATGTACATTAGTTTGGGTGGTAGGTGATTTTATAGAGAGTTTCAATGTTAGTATAATAACGAGGCGTACAACATAAGATGATGGCATGGTAGAAAATATTGATAGTTCCACGTTTTAGCCCCTGTCGCATGATCTGGTTCCATAACTCAGTTGGTTAGAGTGTGGTGCTAATAACGCCAAAGTCGAGGGTTCGACCCCCTCTGGAACCACTTTCTTTTTATTCTTTTTATTCGGTGAATCTTCATCATATCCACATTTTCTGCTTTAAGTCTCGCGATGCTCTTTTTTTTTTTTTTGTAAGAGCTTCCTGGTCTTAGATGTAAGGGTCTTCAAGTGGCTAAGATATACTATGTAGTAAGTCAGTTTTAAAATATTTACTCGTGATTTTATCATAGATAACTGTGCGCTGCTACACATATATTGGACCTTGGCAAGCAAATCAGAGCTCTGGGTCTGATATAATGGTCTATTGGCACACAGTGGGGAATGTGCCCAGGTAGATAAATAACCTTGAAGCTCCAAAAAATTACGAGTTACAAAAACTAGGCAGCATCGCGACTTAACAAAAAGTTAGTGGTTCCAGAGGGGGTCGAACCCTCGACTTTGGCGTTATTAGCACCACACTCTAACCAACTGAGTTATGGAACCAGTTGTTAATGTCCGCAAGGACTTTGACATTATAATCCAAACCGTCAACTCCAGATCATAATGTTGAACCATTTGCAAGTTACCCGGCTTCAATTCTACTCCTTAGGAAGGGACATGGGGCAGGCACTGAAGCGGAAAGGAAATGCCATCTCGAGCGGCCTGAAATCCCGTGTAGATGTTCACATAGATACACCTAGTGATATTCTTCACAACTTCAGATCCGGAGGGTTGGTTGCACAGCATAAATATCAATATCCATGGATAATGAGCATATTTACCCGAAGGAAGAGGTTGCAGAGAAGGAAATGGGACGAGAGGGAGGGAATGAGGCTGATTCCGCTTCAATTAATTCGGGATTGGGTGGCTGATTTCGAATTCTGATATCGCTTGGATTGCAGTATATATTGTCCATTATTGTTCTCCTACTCCAACCGCTCTTTCCCAGTAGGCACCGTCCATCCATTCAGAATACCACAGCCGGCGTTGAGATACGCCGCATATCCGAGCCATGCAGCGTAGGGAACAAGACACCAGAAAGCGGTCCGATCGGCCGTCCACCAGTTGAACATCAAGGCACCCACGTTGCCCGCTAAAAGTGTCAGATCTCCTAAGGCTACGGCCGGTCGGCCCAGCCGGAAGAAGAGGGGCATCCAGAGGAAATTCAAGGCTAGTTGCGTAGTGTAGAGGGACTGGGCAGTGGAATTGGCATCACGGACAGCCAGAGAAAAAGATTGCGACGCGGTGGTGGTGGCGTGGTGAGAGGCGTAACCCATCAATCCATAAAGGAGAGTCCAGGCCGGTGCGAAGAGCCATCCTGGGGGACTATAGGGCGGCTGCTTCAGCTGCTTATAGGTTTCACGATTTTGCTTCCCTGCAGAGTCGTTAGTGAGTATCTGTAACTGCCACTGGTCGACTAACGATTGGTCAAAAGGGCCACTGCAGTCCCTGTGGTGATTGGGGTCGCAATCGCAAGATAGGGGTTGGTGAGGAGCACATGAGGCAGAGCGAAAGACCAAGGCATTTTGGCGAATGGAGTGGAATGAATTGAAATTAGATTCTATATTCTAGCTCTATAATCTCGAGTGTGTCAGGAACAAAATGCGGAGTCGTGAGATTTGGAAGTTTTTGTTCTTACGTCATCCCTACTGCCAACCTTGGAAGGTTGGCACCGCCATAAACCACCGGGAAGAGTTAATAGCCGCTATTTATCAGCTGTTTTCCTTGGTTATCTTTTTGTAGATTTAGAGACCAACGATAACAATAGAGATCTCTATCAAAGTTGATTTGAACGAGTACAACATGCCTACGCACCATGGTCAGAGAAGACTCGCAATAACTATCTGCGTAAGGGGCAGGCTTGAGCTTTTATGCTTAAGCTGTATTCGAGCAAGGACCTCGGGACGGCCGACATAAAGCCGCGCTTGCCTGAGGCAGAATGACCTTGTAATTCTAACTATTGGAGACTAATGAAGTTCCCAACCCTTGAGTGAGCGCATCGTCGTGAACCAGTCCTGCACATATGGCAACCCGGCGTGAGGACCATAAATTTCAGTTTCCCACTGAGGTAACGGGGCGTCAAGGCCAGTCTCCTGGAGACACGTTTCCCGTAACTGCTCGAGACTTCCACCGCGGTCATAGGTGGAGGAGTCACTGAGCTGGCTACGTTCCATCCGCATTTTGGTCCGCAATGCCTCAGTCTCAGCTTGGTTCACAGTGAAATCATCGTTGACCACGGTACCATACGCAAGGCGAGCCCCATCAACCGTGACAAGCTTCCGGTGTACTTCCAAGGCAACCTTTTCAGCTGGACGCGTCAAGGGATCACCTAATCCACCCCCGCCCCAAGTCACCCACTCAAGAAGATCACCCGGATCAACGCGAATACGATCACACTTGGAAGGCAAAATCTCAGTTGGAGGGCTGACCTCAGACTTGGAGTACCGGTAAAGTGTTTTGCGGGATCGCTGTCCCGGCTTTCCGCCTTTCAACCCCCATGGCTTGGTGAACCATCGGTCATCGTGGAGACTAAACTCCCCACGAGCCAGGAATCGGTATAACGTGCGCTGGGCATTACCTCCGCGGTAAAATCCGGCGCCACCGCTGTCGGCAACGCTCTCGTTTGCTTCAATGCGCAACGGGTAGTTGAGCTCTATGATCTCTGTGGGGATGGACTTGATGGCGGGGAAGAGACAGTGGCAATCGGGGCCATCACCGGCTTGCCGTGCAGGCACACCTCCAAATCCAATCTGGTACAGTTGGTACCACTCCCCGTCCGCCTTAAATCCAGAGTAAAAGAAGTGAGGTGAATCACTGAATCCCGCTGCAGCCTGGTAGGAGTCTTGCTTTTGGCCAATGAGGGCTTGCACAATGTCCAAGGTCCGTCCAAGGAAATGGGTTCGGCATGAGATTGGCGCAGGGCGAACAGGCCTGAGGACCGATCCTCGAGGAATGTGCACATCAATCAAGTCATGGAAACCGTCATTGATGACCGTACCTGGGGCGGCCGCTGCGATGAGGTAGTAACCAATGAACATCTTGAACATTGTCTCCGAGAGATAAAAGTTGATACCACGCTCGCTCTGTGGAGAAGTGCCAGTCCAGTCGAATTGGAGCCGGTTGCCATCCGCCTTTTTCATGGAGCAGGTGAGTGCCCAAGGACCTACACCGTGGCCATCATCATCGACGAAGTCTGTGAATTTGCTTTCCAGATCATCGAATTGGCGCTCGATAATCTTTGCGAATCCACTTCGGTTCCGGTACAGCAGCTCCGAGCACGCCGCCAGGTATACTTCACTTCCGAAACGGGTGGCCAACTCCCGAACTCTGGTGGCAGCCATAGAACAGGATGCCACAATGGCTGTCAGGTCAGAGCGATACCATGCCGGTTGGCGAGAGTTTCGACAAAGAAGATCGACCAGATCTTTGTTCATAACACCACGAGTATAAAGCTTTATGCATGGAATCTGCACGCCGTCATCGAATACGGATGTCGCGTTGATTGACATGCTTCCAGGCACGATACCTCCAACGTCTGTCAGGTGGCCAAATTGCGATGCGAACCCAATGATCCGACCGTTGTGGAAAATAGGCAAGAAGGCGATGATGTCGTTGAGGTGACTGATGGCACCCTGCACTTGGTAGGTGTCGTTGGTAATAAACACATCGCCTTCCTCAATAGTACCGTCCCAAACATCGAGGAACTCTGTGATGAAACTGCCGAACTGGCCAACCAGCATTTTTCCCGCGCAGTCGGTTATGACATTGAATTCATCCTGCTGCTCTCGGATGGCAGGGGACATACTGCATCGTAGCATCATTTTGTCCATTTCGCCACGAATAGAGGCCAGTGCCGAAGATATCAGTGTAGGAATCAATGGAGTGCTCTTGACAAGGTCGTTAGCTGACTCGGCAGTGTGTGTGGTGACGGCAGTAGGTTTCCTTTCTAGAGGATTTATCAAAATATTTCCGATGCTATCAATCTCACCATAGTAGCCAGGTAGAATAAGTGTGTTGCTGTCCATTTCGGAGATGATACACGGACCCGTTACTTGAATACCATGCTTGCTAATCTTCTGACGATCCCACAGGGTCGCCAATCTTTTTCGCCTTGGACGATGATATTCTGCTCGCCAATCTTTGCGTCAGAAGGGGCAATTGACCCTTTGGCAACTTCTGGAATGTCAACCCCAAGCGAGGCGTCTTCCAACACAACCCCGAGTCTCATCAATTCAAGCTCAAAATCAGGTAAGCAGTAGGTAAACATCTGCTGGTGCTGCTGGTCGAATTTTTGGCGCAACACATCATGCCATTTCCCTGTAGTCAGGGCCAAGTCTTTGTCAGTTATTTGAATTGTCAGCATCAAAGCTTGACCTTTGTACCGAAGATCTGCCTCATATGCTGTTTTCCATGACAAAGGCCACAGATCACCCGCCGTCCTTGACAAGGTATCCCGACACTCTTGCTCTAACATTTGGTACTGCTCCCGCGCCTCGATAACAGATGTTTCGGAGACAATACGGATGAAGGTGGCGGATTGCTCGTGTCTAAGTTTGGTGGTCACATCACCCTGTGCACATAGGATTCCAGGAGAAGGTGGGATGATCACAGGCCAGGCTCCAAGAAGTTGGCCCACAGCATTGGCATGCAGAGGGCCGGCACCACCAAAAGCGACCAGTGCAAATTCACGGGGGTCATAGCCCTGCTCCACAGAGACTAGACGTAAGGCGCCGTACATTGTCTCGTTGATGATTGTAATAATATCCTCCGCGGTTTGAATAACAGGAAGCTTCATCTGGTTCGCAATATCTTCGACTGCATTGATAGCAGCCTGGACATCCAACGCGAACTCACCACCCAACAATGTTTTAGGCAAATATCCCAAAACCAAATTCGCATCCGTGACAGTGGGTTTCTTTCCGCCTTTCCCATATGATGCGGGTCCGGGTGCTGCGCCAGCGCTCTCAGGGCCTACTCGTAAGGTCTCCGTGAGCTCCATGTAGGTTGCGATCGACCCTCCCCCAGCCCCTACGGTCTTAATGTCAACCGCAGGCGCCCGTACAGAAAGACTCTCAACAATTGTCTCTCGTCGGAGCTGAGGCTGGCCATTGTAGATAAGTGCGCAGTCGGTAGAAGTTCCTCCCATGTCCAAGGTAATCAGGTTCTTGTACGGAGTACTCCGAGCCACAACATCTGCCACTCCCTTGACACCTCCTGCAGGTCCCGACATAAGAATGTTGACCGGCAGCTCAGAAGCGAGAGTCAAACTGGTCAAGCCACCATCGCTCTTGAGAACCCGAATAGCCTCACTTTCCGCCTCGAGCGCCTTAGAGAGATTGTGCAGATATTTCTCGACGACCGGCTTCACCAGCGTATTCGTGCAGGTGGTGACCGTCCGCTCATACTCCCCGACTTCGCGCAAGACATCTGTTGAACAAATGATGGCGATATTGGCCCCAAGCTCCTCGCGAACTGTTTGTGCAACGACCCGTTCATGAGCTTCGTTGCTATGTGAATTCAACAGCGAGATAGCGATTGCTTCCGGCTTCTGTCGTGCCAGCTCTTTCAAGCTTTGTCGCAGATCCTCCACATCAACTGCCGTTACTGTTTCGCCCTGCACAGACATGCGTTCCTTACATTGAACGACTCGCTCAAGTGGCACTATAGGGTCGGGTGGGGTCCAGTGCAGCCACGCACCCAATCCACCTGGGATCTGGGAGCGGCGCAAAGCCAATATGTCCTTGTGACCGGCAGTCACTATGAGAGCGGTGCGAGCGCCCTTCCCTTCGAGGACTGCATTGGTTGCCGTTGTCGTACCATGGTGAATAAATTGGAAGGTCCCTGACCAGCCGAAGTGCTTTGTGAGTAATTCTCGAGCTTTCGCAATGCCCTGTTGGATCCCAATACTTTGATCGGGGATGGTTGTGGGAACCTTTGCGCGCACTGTCTGTCCATGCGGGGTGAGCACGTAAACATCTGTGAACGTCCCGCCAACATCAACTCCGAGTTGATAACCCTTGTCTGCGGGATCTTGCATAGTATAGTGCAGGTATTGATATGTTTCAACGTCAAAAGATCCGGGGGCAACGAGAGATCAGGAACGTGGTCCTACTGACTTCAGAATCATCAAGATTATAGGAATTATTTCCTGGGATTTGAGTGTGGATCTCGTCAATGAACGCATTTTGTGTGCTCCGTAGGCCGCTCCGTAATAAATTCGCTATTACAAAACTAGGGGGGATAAACTGTCATTCTTTACCTTGTTCGGCCAGTGGGGGCGCATATCGTATCCAAGGCTGGCCCCGTGCATAACATCATATTGCAGTCGGATTTTCCGCCTATGTAGGTAATTATGGCTTATGTTCAAACTTGCCCCGAGTAGAACTAGCCTTGTCAAAGCAGCGTTCTGACGGTTTCAGTTATCGGCGCCTTATGATAAGTTGATGAGTGTCTTATAAGCGGTAGACCATGTGAACGGTGCGATGGATTGATATCGCGTGTATAAGATTACATAAGCCGGTTGCGAAGTGGACGGGTCCACCCACCCGTGGTGGGCGGCGGCAGACTTACCAAAAGTAGCCTAGCGGTTTAGGGCCCCTAAGCTTCTTTCCGTGTCCGTAGTCCTCCTTCAACTACTCCGTATAGATGATTCAAAATAATTTACATCAAATGTCACCAATATCTCTATAAACCACAAATATGGGAGCTTTGCTTGAATTAATTGCGACCCATTGTTTTACTCGTCATGATTTCCGTATAACCTCCAAATGTTCCAATGCTTCTATCTGTCCGTTGTCTAGGCGGGTGGCAGCCATACTAGTGGTACGGGTCGCATTGCATGCTGATATTAGTCATTGTAGTCAGTGCTCTAGCATATTGTCATAATCCGTGACCGGGAAATCATGGGGTTCCGATTGGATATCTCTAAGTATACGGATGCTAACCAAGACGGGAAGACCTATGAATCAATTTATGATGCATACTATTGATGTGGAGGTCATTATCGGTTGAAGAATTTGAATAGGAAAAGGCGACTGCTAACGAGGGCAGTTCTCCTGACCATTCCAATGAATATGTGTAAGTCTGCCCATTTTATGGCCCGAAGTTATACTGCTCCTGCTTTTATATCCTGGCTCGGGCAAAGGACTCCGGCCATCAGTATCAAGTGTTACGCTCGGTCCGAGTCGGGTTGAGTCTTTATGCAAATTTCTTCATTCCTCGCGCTTTATGTTGCGCAACTCCCTTGTTATCTCAAATTCATAAGGACAAGTTGCTATAAAAGAACATACACGTCCGCGAATAGAGAGCTCAATACATACTAAAGCGATAAAACAAAGATCTCAACTTCGGTTCATCTCAGTGCCACCCTGCCAATTGGAACAGAATGAGTCCTCCGATTATCAACTTCCCCAGTTTGTAGCCAGCGATCATGTAGATCTCCCTTGGATAGAACAGAAAAGAAAACAGAAACATCTTTGCTGATCGCGCACTTCTTCTCCCTTCGTTGGGTCTACACCACAGTGGATCAACTATAATGCATTTTGTAAGCCAGCATGAGTCCCGTAGAAAGATGAATGGCTGATCGTAAGAAAGGAGACCCCGCCGGGCACTGTCGGGACAGTTCAAGGATTTGAGCCCAAGCTCACTGCTAAGACTGTATTTGGGGCTGACTGGCTCGAGATTGATCCTGATCAGAAACACGCGCGAATCACTATGAAGGCCGTTGCGAAGTATGCACGTTCCTTTAAATTGCATGAAACCCTTTAATTCACATTTACTCCTAACATCTTCACGTGAGAACCAAGGATGGAAGGGTCATCGGCTTTGTATACACGGGAGTTATAAACCTCAACTTGCCCGTGATGGAATATTCAACCAGGTACCAGACCCCGTGGGCGTGCCATTTGGATCTAGTAGTGACCTATGCCGACTCTCATCAAAATGAAGATGCTAATTTTGTATTTCAAGCCGGAGCGCACACTTCTCTTTAGCGGTGATCCCGGTCTTAACGAGCTAGAAAATATGACTTTGGTTGGCAATGGGCGAATGCTGGTCGATGAGGAGATGCGTGTCAGAACAGTCAAGTCTTGGGTCTCGTGGATACTTCCTACAACGGAATTTGATTAATCTGTGCCCATCTGAGTTCGAAATACCTAGGTTCTTGCGAAGGGAAGCTGTTCGCATATTGGGGGTGGCAGGGTTCTTGGTATATTTTGCCTGAAACTGAGCTAGAGAGCATGTAGTAAGTCCCTTGTAGCTCCGGCGACTAAGCAAGCCACCTATTCATACCTCTCTGATTGGATAATCTCGGGATTTTGTAAGCCGCTGTTATCGGGTTTAACAGGCGGACTTTATTAAAAATATTCCTGTCTCTTATATATACTGCGTTAGTACTCCGTTACTAGTCTCGATTTAATCTTCCTCTGCGCACCATCAAAAGGGAGAGAAAAAATGACTCACAACTATAATTCCAGTACCACAGCCGCAGAGCTGACGGGCCATCTTGCCGCCGAAATTCAAGGCAAGGTTATTCTTGTCACTGGGCCCTCTCCAAATAGCATTGGAGCAACTTTTGTCGAGACGATTGCGCGCGCTCGGCCACTCTTTTTAATCTTGGCGGGACGCAACACGGTTACGCTACGCCAAACAGCAGACGCAATCAAGGCGGTAGCTCCAGAAGTCTCAGTCCGATTGTTGCAGATAGACTTGGCTTTGCTATCTTCAGTGCGTGAAGCGGCGTCGGAGATTAACAGCTGGACTGATCTACCATGTATTGATGTTCTTGTCAATAACGCAGGAATCATGGCTACTGGATTTGCGCTCACCGAAGATGGCCATGAAAGACAATTTGCTACGAATCACCTGGGCCATTTCCTTTTCACCAATTTGGTGATTGAAAAAATCTTAAAATCTGCATCGCCACGGGTAGTTAACGTTAGCAGCGATGGTCATCGACTCAGTCCCATTCGCTGGGGAGATCACAACTTCCAGGTAATCCATATGTTTCGCTCCAGAGCTCGTTGTACTTAACCTTGTGCTAATGCCTTGAGTTATAGAATGAAGAAACATATAACAAGTGGGTTGCCTACGGTCAATCTAAGACAAGCAACATCTTGATGGCCGTCTCTCTGGCCCAAAAACTAGGCTCCAAGGGTCTTTTGGCGTATAGTCTACATCCAGGGGTCATTTTCTGCACCACCCTTGCGAGAGACGTCGACTGGACTATTGACCTCCCCGAATTGCGTGAGTTAAAATGCTAGATATGTGCTAATATTACTGGCTAATTGTGCCCAGGCGCTGTCGACAAATTTTTGGGAAATAAGGAGGGCTGGATGGACTTCAAGCCCAAAAGCCCTCAGGAAGGAGCAGCTACACATGTGTATGCTGCATTCGAACCTACCATTCGAGGTGAGTGGATTATTTCTCGCTTAATGGGATACAGATACTGATATCTTTGGTCCAAGTCCACAACGGTGCATATCTGCAGGACTCCCATGTAGCAGACCCTTGGACGGAAACCGTGAAGCCCTGGGCCACTGATAAATTGGAAGCTGAGAGATTGTGGAGGCTGAGTGAGAAGCTTGTTGGGCAGAAATTTCGCTATTGAAAGGATACATATTTGGTGGGGGAGTTTAGCAGCTGCTAAGGTATGAAATGACCCCTGGATAGCCCACGAAAGACATAATGGAGCTAGGTACCTAGCTCTGGAGGTCTGGTAGATCAAATCACTTCACTAGGTTTATCTTATCTCCTGTAATCTGTATTTAATACAGGAGATTACCAAATTTTACATACTTAGCCCGAGGCCCTTAGATTTCATATGGTAATAACTAGGTAATAACTACGACATGTTGAGGACTGCTACCGTAGACGTCTGTAGTCCTGCACTTTGATCTTAATATACCACAATATGGCCACCCCACTAGAGAAGCAACCTCTTGTCAAGGGCGGGCATGCCCGGTTGCCAGACAGGCTCCCCTCTACGTTTGTTTCATCAACGATACCTTGTGTATTTGACAATACCGTTATCCTTGCGGCAACTCATCCTACAGTCTCGACCGCAGGTCCATCAGACGATGGTTGGTTCATTTCAGACTTCTATGCGTTTAACTATCTGTTGAAAGGCTTGGGCATGCATCAGACATGGATCACCGCAGCTGATCCAAGAAAATTAGTGGAGAAGTATGGCCCATACCTTCATGGCAACCCTTATGAGGATCGAAAAGTCTGCCTTGATCAAGACCTGTTAGATCAACGGCAAATCACCCCAGTTACCCTAGTTAGCTCGGGTGAAATGATAGATCGGGTTCTTTCAGAGGCGAAATGGGCATCGGAACTAGCGAAACGGCATGAGGCGCCACTTCTCCTACTCTTCTTTTGCCATGGGCTACCAAATCATCACTTATTGTTGAATGACGGAAACAGTCACAAGGGTCTCAGCGTGGTCAACCTCAAGGGTGTGCTTGAGCCAGGTGTGCGTGTGACTCTCCTGTCCACCGCTTGTTATTCCGGGGGATGGATCACCACCCCTGACCTCAACCACACCGCTATGGCGGCTGCTAGTGGGGAAGATGATCTGGCCACCGGAACTTCGAATGCCTGGAGTGTATCCCAGAGCATTGGGCGAAGCTGTGGTTCCGTGTTTGTAAGCACCCTGTTGGAGACTTTATCCAGTGTGACGAGTCCCCTACTTGAAGAACCTGGTCTGGACACAAGCCTATCAAGCCCACAGCAAAGTCTCCAACCAGATGACCCTAACAGCTTACAAAATTTGAGCTATAACTCATTTTGCAATGCCATTTGGAGTACATGCGAAGATCGCATCACACGGCTCTGGAACTTCCAACACTTCAAATTTTGTGCCCAGGATGATGCTTGGGAATATTCATGGACAGGGAGAACAGGAATCCCATTGTCCCACTTTAGGCACCGGTGGGATCAACTTATCTCCTACCCATATCAAGGGCCCAGTGATATCAGGGACCTTAGAAATCCACACCCGAAGAACACCACATTTTTGGAGCAAGATCCAAACAAAACTGCATCGGCAAACCAGGTTATTGAGGAGATGACCGATCATATAGCTCACAGAAGACTAAAAGGAATGGCCCAAACCTTTCACCAGACCTGCCCCGGTGACTGGGATCGTGGTAAGGAGGTGGGCTTCGGAGGCACGCTCCGTGCATTCTATGAGCGTGACCAGTATAAGGAAAGAGCGCCGATGTTTGAAGCGGCAATACGATTTAGGTGGGAAGCAGCCCTACTTGCGGACTATATTCTCGAGTTGTTTGGCCTTCCTGCTCCTGGCAAGGAGATCTGCATCATGTGGAACCGTCTTCTATGGATTCAACGTCAACTGGAGACTATTCCGATGCCCGACCTCGAGCTACGTTGGAAGAAAATGTATAACTCCCTCTCTGGCTATTTCCAAACTCCTTGCTTAAGAGAGCAGGGCCCGCCTTTTTACCGACCACTACATTATTTGGTCGCCGCCCTTTTGGAAGCTGATAAACCAGAACGTGAGACAAGTGCTATAATTTCCGCCATCGGGGACTTTATGAGTACAGTTAGGATGTTTCAACAGCAACGTCTATCTGAGGACAAAGATGTTCGTGGTAGAGGCCGCGAGTGGCTAAAATCCATCGGTCGACGGGCTCGCAAGTCCCTCTCGCCACGTAAAAAAATACGCCACTCAACATCCGTTTCTTGATAGATCAAGCCACAAAACTGTGTGTTCTACCTGCACGGAGATTGCTTCTATGGATTAGTGCTACGAATTTTTATTTGCTTTCTTGCGTTTTCGAATACTCCACTTGTCTAATGCTTAGTCTATCGTATAAGCTGGGTCTAGGTCGAGATATTGCACCGAGCCTTCTAAAGAGTGGCGTTCAAGCCCGATCAAAGTGTAAGGACAGACGGATGGGATTGAAAAACTTGGCTACTGGTCTGCTAGATCATTTCATAAACACTGGGTTGATTGATTCAAAGTACATGAACTAAGGGAAGGGAGAGGGAGAACACCTTTTTCGACAGGTCCCTTTCCGGCTTTGATGAAGCGCCTACATAATTCATATACGAGTAGCCGATACATCGGCCTTGAAAACATGTAAGTGTTTACAGATAGAGAGGTCTGTACATATTGTAGAATCATAAGTCTGGTAAGTCCATCTAATAGACTTCTACTTATAACCCCGATAGAAAATAAATATGTATAAGGACATATAACAAAAGATAGGAATATTGAAATACAGAATATAGTATACGAGACGGAAGAGTATCACCAATCCTGCCAGGCTGCGATTCCAAAGCCTCTGGGTGAAGCAGCTGACTGCTTGAATGTCATGATGCACTAAGTATGGGGTTTCAATCACACACCAATCTCAGCCACATCATATATGAAGATTGGGCTATTCCCCAGTGAATCCAAGCACTTGATACCATTATCATTCTTGTGAGAGGGCAAGTAATCACGGACTACCTAGATATCCGAGAACGATAAAGCGAGATAGTTGGATAATGGTATGATCGTTGATCTTGTATATGATTTCTACACACTAGATAGAGCATAAACGTGTCAGGGCCTCCGTTTCTTGGCATTTACGCGGCCGACACGGACGAGACGGTTGAGAGCGGGGAGGGGGTCCGGAAGAGGAAGAAGACTGGGATCAGATCGAGCATTTTTGAGAATTACCACAAGCCCCTTTGGCGAAGATACCTCAATGTCAGAAATGATTGTAAAGGCGACCATGCCAATGGAGTTTTCGTACAGAGTTCAAGGGGGAATTTTGCGTATAGTGGTTATAATGAAACAAAGGGGGTGGATAAATGGGAATAATTTTTGCCAGCGTCATATATCTCCATAGATTCTCCATTGTTTCTCCATAGTTTCCTCCTATCCCCTTGACCCCAAGTGCAGCCAGCTTCCTGTGGCAACCTTCCAAGTCCCCAATTTAAGGTCTAAAGTGTACATAAATGATTGTCAAAAGGGTCGAGCGGGGGACTGTAGGATGAAGCAGAATAGTCCGAGGATTCCAAGCTTGGATTGATGAATTGGGACATGCGTGACGATTTGAGAATCAAAACATGATGATCTTATGGAGGCTTAATTAGCTCTGACAATGATGGTCACGTACTTTTTCTTTGGTTGGTGGATCTTGTAATTGCGTCGGTAGTTTCAAGGTTGCAGACACAGCCACAATGCCAATGCTTCGAAATCTTGGCTTCTGGTATTTTGACTAAACCTCTGTTTTGGTATTGGTTGGATACGTGCCAAGCCGGAGAATCAGATGTTAGAAAATGTCTTATATCCCGTCGAAAAGGTAGAGATAGGATTCATCCATGCCGAATTTGGATTTGGACCCTGCGTAAATAGTGGGATTCGTGGGGTAATGCAGCAAAACCCATCCAGTCAGATGTCGTCGAATTTCTTCATGGATCATGTGGAGTCCGGAGCTGTATAGGTCATTCGAGACAGTACGTGAACTCTTTCTTGGTATGTTCTCCAAAGGTATAAAAGGCTACTCGTTAGCCCTCGATTTGATCAACCATCAGCTAAGCAATATGCATCCCAGCGCTATCATCCTCGGCCTCATTGGCATTGCCAGTGCCCAGACACTCAACATTCCCTCTCGTGTGGGGAGTATTGTCTCTTTGCCCTCTCCTAGTGTGATCACAGGTAGTGTTGATCTGGGAAATCGGGAATACGATCGTGGTCGAGCCTGCGACAATGATGATGACACTGGTAAGTCCATCTAACAAATTATATCAAATAAAGGTAGCTGACTGAATAGGCGATGAAAATGCCGTGTTCATCTTGCAAGATGGAGCATCACTGAGTAACGTGATCATTGGGAAGGATCAGCTCGAAGGCATCCACTGCAAAGGATCCTGCACCCTGACCAACGTTTGGTTCCGCGATGTCTGCGAGGTGAGTTAAGCCGATGCCTGTCTATTCTATCAAGGCTGATGTGTGCCCTATAGGACGCCATTTCCATCCTCGGAACCGGAAATGCACTCATCAAAGGCGGAGGCGCTCAAGAGGCCAAAGACAAGGTGGTGCAACACAACGGCCAAGGAACCGTCACGATTGATGGATTCACTGTGGTGAATGCAGGCAAATTGTATCGCTCATGCGGCAACTGCAGTAACAACAAGAGCAAAAGCCCACGGAAGGTGGTGGTCAAGAACGTCAAGGCCAAGAATGTGTCTACTTTGGTGGGAATCAACTCCAATTACGGTGATACATCAAGCGTGAGCAACACATGTGGATCTAGCGTCAGCCATGTGTGCCAGGAGTTTGAGGGAGTGGATAAATCGGAGGGAAGAGAAAGCCCGAAGCTGACAACCACTGCTTCGTGCAAAGGGCAATCTTCTCTTTCGTCTTGCTGAGTTCAAACTGGTCTCAACGGAAGGAGGAAGGAAAGAAGAAGGAAGAATATTAAGAAGGGATATGGGGCGAGCTCATGGGCAAACAGATAGGGAAGGACTCAGGCCATCAAATCTCTCCCCTCAGACTAGGTATCAACCCCATGCAAAACGGTGCCAAAATAACCCGAAAACTCCCTAATAACCCATAAACCGTAAATCAGCACCCCCTATCTCTCAACTATCTGTTCTATCCATCAACATTTTTATGTGAACTATTTCGCTATAATAGCACATAGAACATTATACTTTGGCACTAGGTGAATCTGACACACTGGGATGTTTCAGAGTCCTATGGAGTATGTTTAATACTGTAAGCTCTGATTTCTTATTTCCATTCCTAAATAGACAGCACAAGGTTGGATATTCAATTCAATAGCGAAGGTATGCAGAGAGAGTACACGGAGTCAATAAAGTGAGATGTTAATCTGATTGAGGCTCAAGGGTTGATATCCACTTCCGACCCACTCTTGACCCACTACTCCTTCGTATCTCGAGGTATCTACGGAGTAGCTAACATCATCTTTATGCTTGTCTTTTGAACATCTTGTGAGATTGGTTCGTTATTGACACTACAATAGCTTTTAAGCCCATTACGCTCTCGATAGAAACGGGAAATGAAAACGTCGCTATCATTAATCACGGGCCTAGTTCATTCAGAGTTCAGATGAGCGACAAATGTCGAAGACCTCTAGAACCGCGCCGAAAGCGATCCATCAATAGACATACAAATTCCACCTGACTTATCCTGAGGTATACTTGGTGAGTGCCAATTCGCCCTATGCAAATTACTCAACTGCACAAGAAAGAATATTCGTCAACTGCGAAGAGCGGACGCTAACACTTGAAGCTAGCCAAATTTCTCTCCGTGCCCACGATTGCTACTCATGATCGTTCTGACAGATGTTGGTTCAGGGCGCCGATTCAAGCAATTGACGTTTTCCAAACCATTCACAACTAAACAGTCCCCTAGGTCATTCTGTAGCACGTTACATCACTCAGTGTCGCTATGGACATCGCTATGTCGTGAAAGTTAACAAAGTCTCCATCCAGAGGACCCCCGTTAGATGCCGCGGATGCATACCGTAGTACAGTACAGCCTCGTGGTCAATGTTGGCCCATCCCTGTGTGAGTTGGAGGCATTCTTTTACAACATATTCACCACTAGATCCCAGGGCCTTAGTTAGAAGGGATACGGAAATCATTTAGCATTTGATACAATAGCAAGGATGTATTATGATAATCTACCTGACCTGTAGCAATTGATACACAAATCATCCAACCCACAATGTATGCCGAACGCCAATTAAACGAGCCAGCCCACCATAGAGATTGTTACAGTCCAGTAACCACTGGAATTAGTCCAGCATGTAGCTTGGATGGAAGAAAAGAGATGCAGTGCGGTCAGTGAACACCTCAAGAAAGAATACTCTCACCAGGATCGCGCTTCGTTTCAACTGCAATAAACGCAGCCCCTTTTTGATCCAATCCTTTCTCAGCACGCAGGTAAGCCTCTTCAGAGCGATCAGTCAAGATGTCCAGATCTTCATTCGACAAGATCGACGCAGGGTCAACGCCAACTTCAAATTGCTCAAACTCATTCTCGCCAAGAGCCCTCCGCAGTTCGTCGATATCTTGCGAACTCGCACTAGGGTCCAGAAGGGAGCGGAATTTGCCTTTCTGGATGACCAGACGTTCGAGGCGGCGCTTGGAGTCTGCTTTCTCCAGGAGTGTCTGCTCAACAGTGCCCTTTGTTGCCAATCTGTAGATAATCACTGGCCTGGTCTGGCCAATGCGGTGGGCTCGATCCTGAGCCTGCAGATCTTGCTGCGGATTCCAGTCCGAGTCAAAGATAATGACGGTGTCCGCGGCAGTGAGATTAATTCCCTGGCCACCAGCTCGGGTGCTCAGGAGGAAGAGCTTGTGACTTTTCTTGGTATTGAAATCTTTGATCTGCGCCTGGCGATCTGATTGCGCAATAGCGCCATCAATTCGGCAACACTCCCAGGAGCGGAGAGTCGTTGCCCACTCCTCAATGATATCAAGCTGTGTCTTGAATTGAGAGAAAATGAGGATCTTATGGTCTTTCTTAAGCAAACACGAGACCAGGCGGTCCAATAAAAGCATTTTTCCAGAGGCAGAGACGAGGGTTTCATCGACAGAAGAGGACTCGTCCATCCATGGCCAGTAGAAGTTGTGTGGAGAGTTACAGGCAAGGCGAGCCTGCAGGACGGGGTTTTGCATCTTCTTTTGCCCAATCTCTTTCTCTGCAAAACAGTGTTAGCAACAGAATTAGGAAACATGTTTGGAAGTGACATACTGGCAAGCTTCAGATTCTGAGCCTGCTGGATCTCTTCGAGTTCGGTATCGCTAGGTTCGCTCTTGTTTCCCTCTTCCTCGATTCCTAGCTCGAGTTTGCGTAAATGTTCGTCAAACTCTCCATCGCTTAGATCATTGTAACTCTGACGCGTGCTGCGTCGGCGACGGCGGTTAGAGTTATTTCCATTACTAGCTGGCGTGGATGTCCCGCTGGATTTGGAACTCTTAACTGGCGTTGCATCACCACTGCCATTCCGTTTGCGCTTCGTACTCTGCGAGCGTTTGGAGCTGCCGTTCTTAATTTCTAGACGCTCTAGGGCTTTTCCTTCGAGGTACTGGCGTCCTGTACCATTGATGATCTCTCGATAGAGATCTTTTTGCTCGGGGGTTAGAGGCGCGTACAGAATGTACTCCCGCTTCTTCGGAAGGGTGTTTTCAACATCTGTTTTGAGGCGTCGGAGAAGGAAGGGCTTCAGAATGGCATGCATACTAGTGACCAAGTTGCGCTTTCGTTTTTCAACGAGATCTGCTTGACCCTTGTTATCCAAGACAGAGGAAAAGTCAAACCATCCCTCAAACGAGTTGAGATCGTTGAAAACTTCAGGAAGCAGGAAATGTAGAAGTGACCACAACTCTGAGATGTTGTTCTGAAGAGGAGTGCCAGTGATCAACAGACGATTGGCCGAGTTATAGGTCAATAACTCTTTGATGAGCTTGCAATTCATGTTTTTCAGGCGGTGGCCCTCATCCTGTAGATCAATCAGCATCTGATAAATGAGGGAAAAAGATGAATAAACATACAACAACGATATAACGCCATTGATACTGCGCCAGGAACTTTCGATCGTTCATGCAAATCTCGTAAGATGTGCAGACCACAGGAAAGTCCATGTCCCCTTGGTTTTTCATCTTCATGAACTTGTTGCGCATGGCAGCTCGCTCACTTTTTGAGCCGTGGTACAATACTGTTTTGATTCCCGGAGTCCATCGGGCAAATTCATCCACCCAGTTGCTCACAGTACTGAGCGGCGCTGAGATCAAAAATGGCCCAGAAACGTTCTTCTCTTTTAAAAACGCAATCATCGAAATGGCTTGAACAGTCTTTCCGAGACCCATTTCATCCGCAAGTATACCACAAAGCCCATTCATCCATAAAGTCTTGAGCCATTCAAGACCCTCCAGCTGGTATGTTCTCATTTTGCCACCAGTCACAAGTGCTGGCTGCTGTGTCGCAACCAAGTCTTGTTCACCAAGAGCTTTGGGATTCGTTTCGTAGTCATCTGCAGCCTGTTCAAGGGCTTGCTGTACCGAAGGATTGTCTTCAGTCACTTTCACGTCAGCCTTTTTAAAGTAACTAGAGATAGAGTTGCCATTGGCCGCCGCTGCCCGCTTAGGTCGACCTCTGGTGGAGGCCGGGGCCTTCTCATTGGCATCCTCTCCATTTGGTGTTTTGTTTTCTTTGTCAGTCGCATCTTGGTTTGTTCGAGTTCGAGTAGCTCGGCGAGCAGGCTCAGGAGGTGATTTGGTTTTCTTTTGACTCGTGACAGCTTGTTCGCGGTGCTTGATCGCGGCCAGGCGTGCTTCCTCTTGCTGTTGCTTCATCTTATCCGACATGATCGCAACAAAGACCTGCAGGTAGGGGGTGATATCAGACTACTGCAATCAAATAAGATGAGGATGGGCTGAACACGTACGGAGCTCGTTTTTAACAAGTGCATCAAGGCTTTTGCCTTGCTGTCCATCCCTTCAACATCTTCTGAATCGGTTAACTCTGCTTTCGCATCGTCTGCTTTGTCATCTGAAGACTTCGAGTCTTCAACCTCAGTCGGGTCTGTGAGTGGCGACGAAGGGGTGACCGATTCAGGCGCCATAGTCCCCGCACGGGAATCTGTGGGAGTCGCTGTTTCTTCAGTGGACATATTGTAGGGTGGAATTGAGTGACACAGTTAAGAGAGTAGATGACCAAAGGCGAATACTAGATGAATGGAGATGGTACGTCATTCGCAGAGGTGAAGAACTTTTCGCAACGTCAATTTTCGCAGGGAGGACGAGGAGTAAACGAATGTGATAGCAATGACTGAGCGTACACCACTTCCTGACAAATCCACACTCGTACTTAAGACGCTGCACAAGATTGGATGTTGATCTCTGATGTATCCAAGATCAAAGTATCCTCGCGTCCTTGACGCGGCATTTTCGCGTTCAGTGCACGGACCAGGTTTAGATTAGACGCCTCTTGAGAACTACATCGGACTTGATTTCGACATCATTCAAGACTTTCATACATGAATGTTATCATACAAATGAATCATACACAAAATTTGAAATGATGAAGATGGTATCAAATCCATGAATTCTTGATTGTTTCTTCGATATCGCTTGTTTCTCCCTCTACTGCGAAGAAGAACACCCGTCTGTCGGCACAAGCATCACATCATCCATGGACACATCAGTGATCGAGCTGATATCAGTGGAACTAGGTTGCTCGTCAGGTTGCTCTTCCTCGTGTTGTTCGGGTTCGCTTTCTTCGGGCACCACAGTAGGCTCATAGCAGATAAATTCATCCATGAGGCGGTCGATGTTTGTCTTTGTCATTCCACGGTACGCCCGGGCGAAGAATTTTGAAGGTATATCTTCATCAACCGCCTGGATCAACGGAAGTGGCTGAGGATTTCCATGCTTGGGACTGATTCCAACGCCAACGCCGTTAACCCGAATGTTTGGCTGGAGGTCGTACCGACGGCGCATCGCCTCTGCTTCAACCTGTATTTTTTCAAGCTGGGCCTGCTTTATTCTCTGCTGATACTTAATTTGGCTCTCGGATGGGCTAGAATGTACCGAAGAGTGGTTCCCAGTGAGGACTCTGCTGAAAGGCCTGGCAGATTTCTGGAAAATGGGTTGGGTGTGACTCATATTCCGGGGTCCCCTAGACGGTGTTTCTAGTGGAAACTCCGGCGGAGGTGACTCGGGCATGAGGATCGCTTGTCTTGGAGAGGCTAATCCTTGGGGTCTGAAGCCGACTTGCTCGTATTGTCTGAGCCGCGCGGCATTTTGCGAGCCGACCTTTACCTTGACCATTCCGCCGAGTCGTGGCTTTGTGGTGTCCCATGACAAGTCCGGTTTGCGTTCATAATACCTTCCCCAATTCATCGTGAGATCTGGCTCAGTGCTGCGTCGAATCAAATCCTTTGGATTCATTGTGCCGCTCATACCAATGCTTTGGATGAATTCACTTTTAGCACTGCTCTCTGGGTCCACAAAAGGATTGATTGTGGCCTCGATCTCATTAGGGGGCGGACTGAATCTCAGGTTCTCTTTCCATTCGAACTTGTCGGGCTCATGGGAGGTTTCCTCGGATTCTCGCAGGACCACCAGACTGTCTCCCCAATCGCCAGCGTATCTCCGAGGTAAACCGTGCTGGTGCAAGTACTGTCTGGCTTTCAGGACATCGTGAGCTTGACACATCAAGAGGTCGGTGTATTTCGTGAGCAGCAGGCTCCGATTCGTCTGTCGGGCGATCCTTTTCAGCACCAGTTGAGGTGGCGGCTGGAAAAGCTTCAATTCGCTGTTGTCAATTCTCATGAGTGCCTTTCGCTGTTTGCGCCGCATTTGCTCCAGTCTTTTGTTCTCCCTTTCAATCTGTTTATTGCGAATGCCTATCACCTGCTTCAGCTGTGTTCGCTCCTCTGGTCCAAGGCCAAGAAGGTCGCAAACACGTCTCCAGCTGTGGTATCTCATTGTGTTTTCGACGATCTCAACTTGCATCGCTTTGTGCAGATCTTTCCATTTGGGGTTCGGGATCTAAAACGACGGATCTCATCAGAGCCGTTCAATTGCACCAACACAGCAAGCGTCGCGATATACTTACCGTGTCAAGAAGCACCTGGGTTGCATCTGGGAGAGGATCGTCATCACTATCCGACGAGGTGATCATGCCCACTGAACCTGAAGCGGCATCCATACGGGCCATGCGCGCCATATTCATGTTCCTCGCATACACCGGATTATCCATGTTGTTACTAGCGACGTGATTCTCTAGCTGGTTCGTTCGAACTCGTTCAACCCCAGGCTTGGATAATGGAACGGTTGACGTTGACCCAGCATTGGGGGGATTAGGTGCGAAATCCCTCACTTGTATGTTCTGTTGGCTGCCGCCAACGGCATAATCGTGCTTGGAGGTCGTGGATTCACGGGGTGGATGTGGTCTGCCCAAACTGGGGAACGCAGCTGGTGGCAGGTTCGGGTTGAATGGCACAGTATTTGGCCTGCGCCTCTTTTGTGGGCGTGGTCTGCCTGATTCTCCAAGCTCTATGGAATCGTCAAAGGAATCATCGTATCCGTGTCGCAGCGAGGGCCGTGGTGTCGATTCGAACTCGTCCTCACCATATCGCACCGGTGCGCGGATGCTGTCGCGCAGTTTCATCCCGCTCATTTTGGCGGCACGCCTTGAGGCGACTCGTGAGGTATCCGGCTGGTGGATATGCGCTTGATGCTTGGTGTGGGTGTATCGATCGAAGGTGGGTGCTAAAGGTTAATGGGAAGCATGCGATTCATCGTAGAGGTACGGTGAGTGATCAGGGTGGGGTGGTCGCGAGATGGAAAGGTTGTCGCGCGAGATGAAAAAGAGAGGGGAGGATAGGGTTTGGTCGCTCTGAAGTCGCGCAAAGGCAGCGCGAGACTCGAGTTCTCAGATTTGAAGGGAAAACACAAGGTAGGGGCAATATGAGTCGAGAGTCGACAATGTGGGTTCAAACGCTGCTTGAGAGCATCGAGCAACTTATGCGCGTCTCGAGACTTGCCAAATTTTGCTACCAACCCCATCATTGATTTCCTATGCAGAATGCAGACACATGCTATCTTGAAACTTTCTCATGTTTACGGTCTTATGGATATGAAGATTTAAGGTCTAAAGGTCAGTAGATGGCTTGGATATCGGCAAGATAGCATCAATGAGCAACTGCAGCTGGGTATTTGCATCCAAGCACCATAAAGCAATAAAGCAGACAAATAAAGCAGACATAAAAGAAGATCAGACAGCCACCCATACTCTACACAATGCAAAGATTCGCTCCATTCCCTTTGCTCTTCAGCATATCCATCTCTCTCCCCATCTCCGTAGCCACTCGCAATTCAAATCGAAGATACTCGCGACACACGCATTCGGTTCCCTTTAGACAATGCGGTCTTGGAAGGGAGCATTCGGCATTCGGTCGTAGAAAGGGTCCTCATCCGCATCCATGTCCATTTCATCCTCCCCTATGGCAATATCATCATCTTTGTGATCTTGAAAACTTCGCTTCTTCGTAAGCAGCGGTGGTGCCGATGGAGGCGCAAGAGTCGCAGCCCCACGAACAATAATCTGTCTAGCACGCTCAACATCACGCTTAGCAGAAAGAATGGACTCGAAAGCGGCGAGGATGCATTTCATATTGTCCTCGATTGAGACACAGAAACGACGCTGTTGAATCATGTGCGTAGCTTCAGCAGAGTGAACATTAAGCATGACCATGACATAGGCAATGACGACACCGGCGGAGCGTTCATTCCCGGACTCGCAGAAGACGAGAACTTTCCTTTTCTGTTTTTGAACATTGGGCATCATCCCATCAGTTCCAACATCCACACCAGCCAGGTGATCATTGATACGACGGATAGCGCGTGGAAATGCAGAACTGAGCTCTTGGTTATCAAGGACATCGATCGTGTCAGCCATGATACCGGCCTCGGCCGCAGCTTTTTCGCCAGAAACAAGGCGTGCCAGGGCCGAGTGTCGACTCCGAATAGCGAGAAGAAGTGTGAAACCTTGGCTCCGGATGTAATCGGTATCACGGAGACATGACGAAGGGCCAAGAGATAAAAATGGAAAGACAGACTGAGCTTGGCGGCGCATATCGTAGGTCCATTGGGAAGGGTTGAAGCGGCGGGTGAACCCACCTAGATCGACGTGGTTGAAAAATCCTGGACAAACAAAGTCTCCCTCTGCAAATTCGTGGGTGTCGCGGTCGAAAACTTTCCTGTCGACAATAACAGTGTCATCATTGCTTGTGCCCGATAATCCAAGGTAGGCTGCCCCGAGAGACCCAGGTAGGCGCATAGAGTTGAGATACTGTGGCATAACTGTATACTCTTGGGTGCGAACATAATGAGACTGCTCATCATGAGACATGGGCACTTCTCTGCGTGAATTGCCGTTGGACATTGTATCTTGCAGGCCCGTGCACTGTCTGATGGACTCTGATGTAACAAAGTATCAAATTCTTCTTGTTCAACTTATTGGTGCGGTGGTCAAATGTGTCATAAGTCCAAGTAGAGAGAATACATGAGTTCAAGAGTCGAGGTCACTGAGAGCGAGACACACTTCGTTCCATGTAGTGGAGCTGCAGGGAATGAATGTGTCAAGTTGGATAACCCCAGCGGAATTGGAATTCTTTCCGGGCAAACAGTTTCAGGCAAAGTGATAGTATTCAAATAAAAGGCTTGGAATGATATCAATGGCTTCAAGCTTGCGACTAACATCTTCTATGAGGGGAGAGGCTGGGCGCGGCCTGGAGCCGCGTCGTGATTAGGTAAGACATTCCATTCCAGCCGGAGACGTAGTTCCAGATCTCTTATGGCTTTGGCTTCAAGTTGAAGACTTCCATGATCCTGTGTGCGGTTTTCTGATTCGTAGAGCATGAAGAGAGAGAAACATCTTAGTTCCAAGTGCAAATCGATTGGTTTTGTACTCCGGTCAATACCGGCAAAACATGAGTTCGCCCATAACCTCTAGGCCAATTCGCGTGATCAAGCAAAACGTGCAACGTTCACAGCCAAAGATGGCTGGCTTGATAATCTAAATTTCTAGACTCCTATAAGGAATATGTCGGTCACCTTTCAAGTTGTCGGCGATATCCATGATGTTTTGGGACCATCACAATATGCCGTTGCCCTGAAATGAGTTAACCCATGATTCATTCGCTTGATCATATACAAACAATGCTTTGGAGTGGCTTTGGTCATTAATTGGGCGGATAAATATGAATATAAGACTATAAAATAGACGAAAGAGTCATAGAATCGTTACATGGCTTTCCTGTATATATATATATATCTATACATATCTATCCCTCATGCATCCCATGGTTGCCTAATCTCATATTTTACCAGGCCTATCTTCATATTTATTCCTTGTGGTAACAGATCAACAATACAATTATCAAGATTATTAAGGGAAACACTAGCTAGGCTATGGCCTTCCTATCTGAAACCCCGAACCCCGAGCCCCGAGTACCCCGCTGCCTGAATATAAGACGAACCAACACATTCGTAGACCTGCATGTTGGTCTACTCAGTAGCTAACCAAATCCTAAAAAGTCACTCATGGAGGAAAAGCTTCTACCGGGGATTGTTACCAGAAAAAGGGAGATACGCTATCCACGCCTTCAGAACTGGACCCTCCCCTCAATATGCACCCTCTTCGCATTACTCATTCTCTGCAATCACTACAATCTATACCCCAGGTTACATCCCTGCCGTAGTCCAAAAACCCTCAAATACAGTGGCGAGCACATAACCTGGGAACCATGCGGCGACCTGCACGACAAACCACTCGAATGCAGTAGCATCGAAGTGCCCCTAGACCAATTTGCAACCGAGAAACCAAACCCAGCAAACGAAAAGAGTTTCAAAATCCCACTCATCCGCCTCCGCAGCGCAAACGCAACACAAAACCTCCTCCTAAACCCCGGCGGCCCAGGAGCCAGCGGTTTCGAATTCCTATACCGCCGAGGCGACCAGCTCCAAAGCATCCTAGGCTCAGGCTTCCACCTACTGACATTCGATCCGCGTGGCGTGAACAGCTCAAAACCCGGAGCATCATGTTACCCCGACGCCAAGACACGACAAGAGCAGTCTCATATTCGAGCGCGCGATGCCGCAGCCGATAGTCCTGAGATCTATGCGTGGGCGCAGAACTTCGCAAAAGCATGTCCGGATACAATGGGTGAGTATGCGCCGTATATCAACACCCCGCAAACCGCAGCGGATATGAATAGTATCCTCGATGCGGTTGGTCAGGAAGATATGATATACTGGGGTTTTAGTTACGGCACTCTTCTCGGACAGACGTACGCGGGACTTTTCCCCGAACGATCGAAGCGCGTGGTGATCGACGGAGTCGTTGATCAGTTCGCTTGGTATGAGGGCGTGGGTGAATCTGATGCATTAATCGACACGGAGAAGGTGCTTGATGGGTTCTTCGATGAATGCATGAAAGCAGACGCGGGTAGCTGTGCGCTTGCGTCGCTGGCAAAGTCGAATGAAGAACTGAGTGAAATAGTCCTCTCGGCCATGGATAAGCTCCGCCATCAGCCGATCGATGTATACATCAACAATACCGTCTACGGAACCCTGACATACGAAAAAGTCTGGTACAATGGCGTCTTTGCGGCATTATACAAGCCTCCGTTGTGGTCGTCCCTCGCGCAAAACCTGTACAGTCTAGTCCAAGGAAATGCAACACCTGCCTTCTTAGCTTACAACACCGGAGATGAACTAAACCACGAGTCTAACGAATTCGTGACACTGAACGACGGCCGCACGGGCCCAGCCTACTGGCCGCAGGGAAGAGACAGCCTGCTGGCACAGATCACACCATGGCTTAACCAGAGTCTCTTCGGCAACTCTTTTCTCACATCATTCTACCAGAAACAGCAATGGAAAGTGCCGAGGACGCATCCGTATGTTCCGCGACAAGGAGTCAAGACCGCTCATCCATTATTGATAATGTCGACTACCTATGACCCCATATGTCCCCTTGTCTCAGCGCGCGTGGCTAATAAGGCTTTTGCTGGATCTCGGGTTGTGGAGGTTGAGGGGTATGGGCATTGTTCTGTGGCTGTGGCTTCGGTCTGTGCTGCAAAGCATTTGCAGGCGTTCTTGTATGAGGGGAAGCTTCCGGATGGGTATACGCGGTGCAAGGTTGATTCTGCTTATTTTGCTGTTCCTGGTGAGAATGAGGACATGGCTGCGCAGACGTACTTTGAGGACGCTGAGGATCGGAATATTCATCTTGCGCAATTGGAGCTTATGGCAGGATGGGAGTTCACTGGGCCGATCATGTGGTGATATTTGTTTTGCAGCTTTGGCATTTACGGTAATATTCTTTGCCCCAAGCTTTACGAGGATGATGCTATAGCACGAGTGCTCGGGCAGGAGCGAACATATGTATAGACGTCCGGGTCTTCGGCAATTTACTATGCCTTAAAGAGAAAAATTGGGTCTACAACGAAGCTCAGCAATTCAACACATATTTTACAAGGACAAGAATATGCATTTGGACAATGATTTCATTATCCACTATTTGTGTAATCGGACAGACGAATTCTTGTCGAATGCCGCACCTGGGCAGTGCGGAAAAGCCACACAATAGATACAGACAGCCATGTCCCAGATATGAAAAAAGAGGACCCAATAGGCGTTCCAATGGGGACGAAAATAATTCCAGGCCGAGAGCCTTGAGCAAAATCAGAATAAAAACGGTAAGGAAAGAGCCCACAGAAGAGCAACGACCGTAGAGAGAGAGTCAATAAATCTGTGTCCTTCACACCAGAACATAAGGATTGACAAGAAAAAGGGGAGATCATACCCAAGACAGAAACGCCTTGTGTGTAAAGAAATTCGTAATGAGCGTCTTGGTGGACGCAGAAATAGAACCGCCAATGAGAAAAAAAAAAAAAAGAATCCACAGGAAAGCTGAACGGAGGACAATATGTACAAATCGGGTGAAGACGCCCACGCTGTCGAAAGTGGGAAAAAAAAGCAGGGGGAGTAATGTGATGTCTCAAAATAATTGCCAGGATGTCGCTATGCCGAGTTTGCGCCGTAAATCGAAGTAAAAAGATCAAAACCGAAGCTTACGACTGCGGCCGTTCATTTGATAGTGCCGTCTCATTGGATGGCTTTTCTTTATCCTTGGGTTTCCAGAAGTGCATCATTCGACTGAGACGGCGGCCCTTTTTCTTCGTTTTGTCGGAGGCGGTGCTAGGGGGTTTCTCCTCCTGGTTGAGCTTGCTCCGCTCAGAATGAGGCCCACCGACTAACTTGGAAAGACTGGCTAGACTAGAGCGTTTGGAGGCGTTAGCCTGGCTAGTGCGTCTAGTACCAGCAGCCGAGAAGGATGCTGCGCGGTCGGCTGAAAGACGTCCACGGGGAAAGAAAGAAGTCGCCGAGAAACGATTCAGAGTATTGGTCATGGTGGATGCACTGCTGGTTAAAGATGGAACATCGTCAACTGATGCATAAGGGTAGTCCGCCGAAGGAAGATGATGATATGAGTGACTGGAAAAGTTCCGGTCTGTCATCGAGGATTCCGCAATTGATCGCGGAGCATCCGGAGACGGAAAGGACGAGTCAGACGGCGAAACCCCTTGTGGTAAAGTGAACGGAGGAATATTAGGCAGCAACTCGATGGGCGAGGTCGCCGGTCGCTTGTCGATAGCTAAGAATCGAGGAGAAACGTCTGGACTGGGAGGCCCCAGCGTTTTATGCGCAGGTTCTTCTGTCTTCAAGATCTCCACGGGTGTTCGAGGCTTGCCGGTGAAGGGATTGCTGGCAGTATGGACCTGCTCAAGGACACTTTTTCCCGCGGGCTGTTCCTGATTCAGCTGTTTATCGCCTTGTCGAATACCCAAGCCAGCATTCTGAGAGGAGATACTGGCAGCGGGGCCACGAGTCAGAGTATCACTACTGCCAACGGTGTTGTTGCTGTGGATAGACTTCATATCGTCCTCCGATGACGAGAAGACTGCGTTGTCGATCGAGAGCGCGTTCGCCGGCAGGCGCTCGCCCTTGGGTGACTGTGAAGCAGCCAGGAAAGCATCTTCTTCCTCTTCGTCAAACACATCGGGCGTTTCGACTGCCGAGGTCGGACCCAAGCGGAATCCGCCAAGAGCAGAGCGGTCGAATGGTTGCATCGCCGGAGCGCTTTCCGTGCGCCGATGGTACCGCATCTCTGGGCCAACAAATTCACCTCGTCTTCCGCCACTGTACATCCGCTGGGTTGCAACCGAGAAATTGTTGTTGGGCGCACCTTGCGTCACTGGTCGCATATCGGGAGTGTTGAAAGGACCAAGCGCAGCATCAAGGTCGATGATAGGGCTACTTAGTACATTGTCGTGCGGGCCGATATCCTGTTCATAGAAGCTCCTCGGTTTCCACGAGGTCTCCAGAGTTTGCGCAGGCAACGGACACCCATCTTCGGTTTGACGATTGTTTTGAATGGGCTCAAGGGCAGAAGGAGGCATGGTCGGATTGGTCGGAGTCCGGATGACAACGACATCGTCATTATCAAAATCCACATCTAGGACTGATCCGGTCGCTGAGTTGGTCCGAGTAAGAGCAGGGGGTCGAGGTGCAGGAGCGCGAGGTACAGGAGGCTCCTCCTGTGTGTCAGACTTCGCATGGCGCTTACCCTTGCCCTTGCTCTTGGTTCGAGTTAGAATGTGACCGGCCCAAGAGCGAACACGCTTCTGCTTCTTCTTTTTCGACTTGATAGGAGATTTGTTGTCCGACGAATTCTCTGCCGCTTCATCGCCGGATGTATCGGAACCATCGTCCGAAAACGAAGGTCGGCACTTGTCTGTCGATTGGACATCATCGGGCAAAAGAGTAGAATCAAGATGCGGGGTTGACTTGCTCTTTCGAGAGCGTGAATGCCCAGCGGCCGAGTGTGAACGTTTGATGGAGGATGCCGATTCGTCATCCATTTGTATGAAATCCATCACCAAAGAGGCATCGGCAGTTTTCGGTCGAGGTTGTGGCTTGTAGTGAGGTCTTGGCGTTACCCGATCTGAGAAAGTCGGCTGCTCCACCTGTTGCTGGGCCTTAATTGTGGTCGCACTATCCGTTGTACCATGCGAGACAGCAGAGACTGGCCGTTCAGTATTCGACGTTTGGTTGTTCAAGGTGATTTCCGCTTGTATGGCAGCCGGAATGGGAGGCACAGGGGGGACGGGAGGGAATTGAGGAGACGCAGGGGGCGTGGGACGTCCGAGACTGACAGCCGGTTGAGAGGGTGGTCGCGAAGAAACGTCAGAAGTAGATTTGTGATAAGGGTCGGCGGGTGTATTAGGCGCACTCCCCATCGCAGAATTAGGACCAAGGGCCTTGGTGATGACATTTAAGTCGACACCAGAGATCGCAGCCGAGCGTCGATGAGCATGATTGCGTCTTCCAGGAACCCTAGCAACACCAGGCCCCGGAGGCGGAAGAGGTTGATCTGCCATAGAAGCCGCCCGTCTGTGACCGATTCCCAACATATCCGGCGCTACCAAGTGATCCGTTCCAACAGCAAACTCGCTTGGCCGCCGACGGTGTCCACCCGCACGAGGTGTCGACAAGGAGGGTGCTGAGAGGTGTGGTGATTGCTGTTCTGAACCAGGATTGAAAGAGAAGGCGGGCAATGCGGCCCGTTCCCGGCGCTCAGGGGTCTCCGGTTGGGTGTCGGGTGCATCGGGTTCCCGTGCTGGGAAGACAAACGGTGGGTTAGGCAATGGTGCATGCATGTGTTGGCGACGGTGGTCCGCGGAGAGGTTCGAGGTATCGAAATGTGGCGGGAAGCCCGCCTGGGACTGCGGAGGAAGTGAAAGCGAAGCCATGGCCCAAGGCGAATAGAAAATCAAAAAAGGAAGTAATAAAGGAATCTAGCGGAGTGACAGAAGCCCAGTCAAACAGATCCAGGGCAAGAGACCTCCAGACCGACTTCCCTTCAGCGAGAAAGCCTAGGAATCTGGAGGTCAAGATTAAGCACGGGTGAAGGTCATTGAATCTTCCGCACCAGGCAGAAAGTGAAGAGCAAAAGTATCCAAAAGAATGGAAAATGAACGGACGGCCACGACGAAGGCCAAAGAGGGGGAGGATTGGAAAAAGTTGGTCGTAAGAAGAGGTTGAGAAGAGAGAGAGCACAACAAATCCAGGAGGGGAAGAAGGGAGGCTGAAATTACCATACACGGGTATCAGAATACTATACAGGGCTGGACTACAAAAGGGTTCCCAGTAATTTTAAGCCCTGGAGGATTTCCTCTCTTAGGAAATGGCAATTAAGGTAAACGAATCCCTTTCTCCCCTACAGGATTGCAAATATATTATACAATACTGTAATTGAGTCACAATCTCGGGGCAGATGCCAGATTAGGTGACATCTGTCAAAAACCGAAACGGGAAAAAAAAAAGGACCTTTAGGAATGTGAACATTTTCTCGACTGATTTCACCTATTAGTACTACACTACAGTATTCACTCATACCTATACCTCTTCTTTACCAGTATAGGACGTCATGACTTGGACATCAATTTTATTGTTCCTCCCGTAAAAAGTGGTTCAGTGGTTCAGTGGTTTGCATCCACCTGTATATTGTACGAATGTGAAAACAAGGCACCTCTTTCAATCCTGGGGTGATCAAACCAATCAACAGGGAGTGACATCCGGAGAAAAAAGCGGGTATGGCCACTGCCAATCATTCGGTCTCAATGACCATCCAAATCTCGCTTGATTCGGTGGGTCCGGAAGGATAGTGCGCCACGCTGGGGGCTGCAAGTCAAGGGGACTATATCGGGGGAGTGATTATTGCCGAGCCAAGACTAGGCTTGGGAAAAGAGGGTGGACAGGACTTTCTCAGACTTACTCAAGTGATCGTTTCCTCTGTGGATGTCGATGCCGGGAGATTGTCAGACTTGAAACCCGAACTTTTACTCTCCATTGCTTGTCTTGGCTGCGGAGTCGGATCGGATATAAATAGTGGCGCGAGACATATCTTAGCGCCATTTGACAGGGGGTGGGAAGATGAAAGACAAACGGACTCTGTGAAACATTATTTTCCCCCCTAGCATTCGGTGGACCGGTTTCTTTGTTTAATCCAATAACAATGGAGGCTTTGATGGAGTTGGGGCAATTAGGTCGTGGGGGCTGATCGTCATGAAATCAATTGGGGCAGATCCTGGATTTGAATCTCGAAATGGCCTGCATATGCATCTGTACCACATCTTTAAAAGTTGACCCGAGTAGTTCATTCTCACCGTTCTTCAATACAACATCTACTGATTTACATCGGAACTACCCTGCAAAGTGGATCTGATTTGCGAACCATGCCAAGGCCAAAGGAGATTAACCTAACAGTAATGCGGATCTGTAGCCAGGAAACATATCTGCCTAACAGCGCGGATATGCCCGTGGATATCGGATGGGAGCTTAGAAGAACCCAAACCATGGAAACATGATCTGGGGCTAATTCAACCGGAGTTTGCCCAAACCCTGGTCACATACATGACTTCAATTGCTTGAGGACCTAGTTTCATCTTGATCATAAAAAAAAAAGGAACAAGTTTTATACGTGAAAAAAAAAACGCTGGACAATAATCCAAATGCTGTATCTAAAACAATCCCGAAAAAAAAAAAAAACAACTCCCCATTCAACTATGCATCACTGTCAGACTCGACTTCATCATGCTCGAGATGCTTCTTTCGCTCTTCGTTCATCTCTCTATATGTGCTGAAGCTCAGCATGAAGAACGCTACCATAATCAAAACGCCTCCAATAATAGAGGCCATGGAAAGAGGGTCTCCGGTTCGGAACCAGTCCACCAGAGCAACGAGGAAGATGGTAAGGAGAGCAGCTACTGATGATAGAACGGGCGATGTAAGGGAGATGAGCACAAGGAAAGAGCCGGAGAAGGCTATTTTGATGTTAGTTGCTGTGTCTGGGTTGAAATACTGATCTGGCACTTACTAGCATTGGCACCCACGGAGATGAGCAGCATCCATGCTGCCTCGCCAGTCGGCCATTCAAATGTCTCCCATCCCATCCAATGCAGAAATGGCAATGGAATCCATAGCACAAGCAGAGTGAAGACTCCGATAAGGCTGCCAAAAGTATTGGCGAAGATTGTACCCCGGCCAGGGCTGATACCTTCCGGAGGACAGGCGAAGCGCTTATAAAGGACTTCGTAGAGCCCATAGAGGACACTGCCGATGCCGATGACGACGTTGCCAAGTAATCTGTTCTGCGCCACGCGATCCTCCGCAGTCTCTTCTCCTTTTGACGCCTTCTTACTGGGCCGATCCCCATAGGCAACGACCATAACGCCGATGGTAGCCACGGCGACGGAAAAGACCTTGTCAAACCGCAGTTTCTCGTTCAATAGGGGAATCGAAAAGGCATACGCGAAGAAGGCTGAGCAGTTGTAGATTGCGGTGAGGTCGCTGGCAGTAGTCATGTTGACTGCCACGTACCATGATCCTCCAGCGACTGTGAGAGCAGTAGTCACAAAGGCGGTGGTCTTCAGCATATAGCGGACTGGAGATCTATTGGACGCACGAGTGCTTAGATGGACTTCCCGGGATTCGACCATCTGCGCCGTGGTACGAATGAGAGAGACGTGACGCCGCCAGAAAGCATCCCACGAGAGCTTCCGTTTCTGTAACCGAAGGATACCTAGCTGGACCAGCCAGAGCAAGGACCATGAACCGTGGGTCATATAGCTGCATAGGGAAAGAAAATGGTAAGCGTTTACATTCTGGGAAATGGGTTTCGCGTGGGCTTCTCGCTGGCATCTTCGCATTCGGACTTACAGCATGCAATACGGCTTCTTCCAGCCCAGCTCATTTTGAATGTATGAAGCGGTCTCCGTTTGGACCACGAAACTAATCAAACTGAGCAGGAGGAATCCAGATGCAACCATGTACTTCTTGCGGGTTGCTTGGGCAGCGTCGTGTTCCGGGCTTTTACTCCGGATCGTCGGCCGTCTAGATTCATGCAGCATGGGCCGGCCTTCTGCATCGCCATTGCCGAAACTGGTGCGGGACCGACGATGGTGATCATCTTTGAGGAGAGGTTGTTGCGAGCGGCCGTCTGTTGGTCGGTGTAATGGGGGGGCGATTGACAACCATCTCGTCGTCAGAGTCGAAGTCGTAGACCGCGTCCGGGGTAGAGGTCACCCGCGGCTCTGAGAGCTCAAAGCTATCCGAAGCCACAACGTCGATGGTGAGGGAATGTGCTAGTCGGCTTAACTACCTCGTCATGAATACCTCCGTCAGGGGTGTTCTTGACTGATTTACTGCGCTTGCAACGAACGATAAGGGATAAGGAGCCAGAATATCCACGAGCGAATCGTCAAAAGCCCACTCATCCAGGTGATGCAGAAATTGTGGCTAGAGCTTATTCTTCAATAGGTCACCCATGAAGCCCGTTCCACGTGTTCAATACTGGCTGCACTGTCACAGAATACATGCGACTCGGCACTGAGGATGATTGTAGCTCGAATGGCAAGATAAGTCCACTGAGGTAAAATTATAATGGAAGTCAGGGTGAAGTATTTATTAAATAGAAACACTTGGATTGGAGATCAAATAAGGCGAAGTAAAATGACCGCCTTCAGGTGTCGTCACATCCACTTGTTACCTAAAAGCGGACCCCTGTGACTAAAGCACGTGACATCCATCACGCTACTCCAAATGTGGGTTAGCGCACTATGTGTGTCATTCGTATTTCCCCAATCTTCCAAATTTGGAAATGTTCGTATTCGAAGGATTTCGGGAGGGAAATGACCCCAAGAGTTCGGAAATTAAAGAACACGTGGTCTGTGAATGAATACCGGTAATGTATGGTATTAATATATGTTGCCCTCCAGGGCTGACATGAGCGTCTGACCTCAGATGTTTGGCCTTCAGAAGTGTTGGGTTGTATTGGACCTTCACATTTCCTTGAATATCGTCATTGGCTTTGACTAGCTACCATCTATGTGCGATAATCCGATTACAAATCTTTGATATGCCCCATTCCCTACCTATTTAGGCCCAAACACTGCCTTCTGAGTATCATAAGTATACTTCAGATCCAGGTGCCAATAATTGGGAGAAGTGGCCTTGGCAACCAGCCAAGCCTGGTCCAAAGCCTGCACGACCTCTTCTGGAAGTGGGCCCTTCTGGAGGTCTGCAAGGTTAGTCTCCAGCTGAGCGAAGCTGCTGACTCCCACCAAGACACCATCACGACCCCCATTGTCCATTCTCAAAGCTGAGTGATGGCGGACCCAGCGTAGAGCTGTCTCCAGCATTGTGAGACCGTGTTTCTCTACTACAGGCTCAATGATACTCAAAGCTTCGAAGGTGGCATCCCTGAAGTAACGTTTGCGATAATTGAGTCCAGCAGCGCTCGAGTCGCTGTATCTACCTTCAGCAGGGATATCTTTGGTCTTGTATTTTCCGGAGAAAAGACCACCGGCCAGCGGGTTGTAGATGACGATATCGAGACCGTACCGGTGGCATGCGGGAACGAGTTCAGTTTCGATGTTACGTGCTATCAATCGTGTCAGCTGGGTCGCCTTGATTTGAGATACCGAAACCAAGAGAAAGCGCATCACCTACTAATTGCGTTATACATGGCTTGGTAAATGGTGGGACGCACCCATCCCCTCTCAGCGCAAAGGATGCAGATTTCGGCCACTTCAAAGGCTGTAAAGTTGCTCAGACCGAGCTGTACGAACTTTCCCTCCTTGTGCAGCTGGTTAACAGCTTCCAGAGTTTCAGCAAATGGGGTGGCGCGATCTGCGGCATGCAGATAGAAGATATCAACCACGTCGGTTTGTAACTCCTTTAGAGAAAGCTCCAATTTCTCACGGACTACCTCCGGTTTGTGAAACCCGGGCTGATTTGGGTACCATTTTGTGGCCAGGGTCAGTCCACGCGACTTCCAGTTCGCCTTGGCTGTGAATGCTTCCTGTTCTCCGCCGATGTAGACACGAGCGGTATCAACTTCATTGAAACCTTGCTGCTGGAAGTAATCCAGGCATTTGTTAAACTCATCCAGCGAGGTAATCCTAGCACCCTTGGACTCGTCTGGGCCAAAGGTCATCAGCCCGAGAATCACTCTCGGCTGGGGGTTTTGTGCGATCAGGGGCATGGTAAGAATTGAAGTTTGTTCCTTTGTGAGGTGTGTTGTGAGATGAGATGGCGTGCGAGGATGGCGGGGCTGGGTGGAGTGGCTCTCTTATACGATGCCCTGGAACGCTCTGCGAGGAGCCGGGTGGACCTTGATACGTTGCATTTGTAAGCCGTCATCGATTTCAAGGTTGATAACCAACAAATTCCAAGAATTTCTAGATGGTGTCAGTATATATCAAGATTCGAAGAAGCTTACCTCCCTCGGTAAGTGCTATCCGAAGCCACAAAATGTATTGTATATAGAGCCCATCGACTCTTTGGGAAGTACCGCTAAGCTCCTAGGAGTTGGCGGGGTTGCGGAGGGTCCCGATAACGGATAACGGAGCTCATCGCAGCCTCCGCCATTCATTTCTTCCCGAGTAAAGGACCGGTCTTCCTGTCTATTCCATTCACCTGATTCCTCCAAAAAATGGGCTCTCTTCACCCGCGCTATGACGCAAGCGAAATCCTTCAGTTGGATCCGAGGAAAGGCGAACGGGATTACAGCATATTGATTATCAATCCCAATACGTCAACGCACATGACAGAAGCTCTGAAGCCCATTTTAGCTAGCATGAACTACCAAGATGTGCACTTCGAGTACTTCACTGCACCAGACTCTGTCACGGAGGTGGACGGAATTGAGATTGAACCGATTGCCAGCATCAACAACGCCGAAGAATCGTGCAAGTCGGCATTGAACTGCTGGCCCGTACGAGACTTTATCGGCAATTACGATGCTTTTCTTGTAGCGTGCTATTCCGCCCATCCATTCGTCGGCAGGCTTAGGGAGGACATCAGAGCAAGCGAAGAAGCGAGCTCGACGAGGAACAAATATGTCACTGGAATCTTTGAAGCATCCATCACCGCTGCACTCTCCTTGGTTAGTGGTTTCGCATTGGTTGATCACGATCCAATGAACCCAACAGCGAAGCTACGCAAATACCAAGAGAAGGGCAGCTTTGGCATTGTGACCACTGGCTCCGCGTGGAAGGAGGAGCTCACCAATGCGGTCCAGGGAGCCTTGGGTTATGACTATGAGGATGGGAGCTCTATGCACTTTGCGGGTGTCGAGACCACCGGCCTGACGGCAGTTGAACTGCACACCACGGAGCCAGAAGAAGTGCGACGGAGGATCATCGACGCCACCCGCAACCTGCTTCGGAACGCGGAATCTCGGGTTAAGGTTGTCTGTCTGGGCTGTGCTGGTATGGCTGGCATGGAGGAAGCGGTACGGGAGGGCTGTATTCAGGAATATGGAACAGAAGGTCAACGAGTACGAATTGTCGATGGCGTAGTTGCCGGTGCTGGAAACCTGATCACGGCCTTGAAGGCGGGATTCTGAGTGATAAGGCGGTCCAGGGTGACGGGTGTCCAATTATATCACTTTCGGAGGACGATATATCCAGATTTAGCATAGCCCAATGTATTTTAAAGCATTTTGACTCAAAACAATAAACTTCTATTCAGCACATATCTCTTACAATCCATTCTAAATGTCGTTGAGGTCCAAAACATGAGGTAGCAAGAGGTTCTGCCTGAGGCAACAATCTCGACCAAAAAGTTCCCCGCGTGAACGCGATACGCGTTAACGAGTAGCAACACTCGACGGCGTCTACGAAGGAAATATGCCAAGGTTCGTTCATTCTATTGATGCAATCATCACACAGAGCTCTCTATCCAGCTTGGATACCGATACTAATATCGGTGGCAATTGCAGAGAAATCATCACAATCCAAGCCGGCCAGTGTGGCAACAACGGTATGTGGCTCACCTCCGCGATCCATTCAACGAAACCCTTGATCATATGCTTTTAGACAGAACACGAGAAACTAGATTTCATGATATTGACATTTGCTCCACCTAGTCGGTAGCCAGTTCTGGCAACAGCTGTGCCAGGAGCACGGAATCAGCGCAGATGGAAACCTGGAGGAACATGCGACTGACGGGGCGGCCGGTGATCGCAAGGATGTTTTTTTCTACCAGGTGTGCATAAGAAGATTGGGAGAGCATAATGATCGCCGTAGCAGCTCTCGCTAACATACGTGAACAGAGTGACGACACCAGGTACATTCCTCGAGCGATTCTCCTCGACTTGGAACCCAGGGTAAGCTTCTCTTCACCGGTATATCACATCGACACACGATGATTGACGCAAAGCTTTCTTCCAGGTGCTCAACGCCATCCAAACCGGTCCCTACAAGAATATCTACAACCCCGAGAACTTTTTTGTCGGACAACAAGGTATCGGAGCTGGAAACAATTGGGGTACTGGATATGCCGCTGGAGAGGGCGTGCAAGAGGAGATTTTCGATATGATCGACCGCGAAGCAGACGGAAGTGATTCACTTGAAGGATTCATGCTTCTACATTCGATCGCAGGAGGAACCGGCTCTGGACTGGGAAGTTTCATCCTAGAACGCATGAACGATCGCTTCCCGAAGAAACTCATCCAAACCTACTCCGTCTTCCCGGATACGCAGTCCGATGTCGTCGTCAACCCTTACAATAGCTTGCTTGCCATGCGGCGATTGACTCAAGATGCCGACTCTGTGGTCGTTTTGGACAATGGTGCTCTATCACGAATTGTCGCTGATCGGCTCCACGTTCAAGAGCCCTCATTCCATCAAACCAATCAGCTCGTGTCAACGGTGATGTCTGCATCTACAACCACTCTACGATACCCTGGATACATGCACAACGACCTCGCCGGGATCATCGCCTCCCTCATCCCCACACCACGCAGCCATTTCCTCCTAACATCATACACACCCTTCACCGGCGCCAACATTGAGCAAGCTAGGACAGTGCGAAAGACAACCGTGCTAGACGTGATGCGTCGCCTGCTACAGCCCAAGAACCGCATGGTTTCCGTCAACCCCAGCAAGTCCAGCTGCTACATCAGTATCCTCAATATCATCCAGGGCGAAGCTGACCCGACAGACGTGCATAAGTCATTGCTGCGCATTCGGGAGCGTCGCCTCGCTTCTTTCATCCCTTGGGGCCCTGCCAGCATCCAAGTGGCTCTCACAAAGAAATCCCCGTATATTGAGGAAACAGGGCACCGTGTCAGCGGGTTGATGTTGGCTAACCACACCTCCGTCGCGACGCTCTTCAAGCGCATTGTCAAGCACTACGACATGCTCCGCAAGCGCAATGCCTTCTTGGATTCATATAAGAAGGAAGCCCCGTTTGCCGATGGATTAGGCGAATTCGACGAGGCACGGGCCGTTGTGATGGATCTGATCGGCGAATACGAGGCAGCCGAACGGGAGGACTACCTAGACCCCGACGCCGGCAAAGCAAATGAGCTTGGAGTATGATATGAGATGCTGTGGTTTCATTCCAAACCTGTTTTTTTTTTTAACCTTTTTGCTATTTGGGCAGGGCAAGGGGGGTTTGGGCGCATTATCGGTGTGTGCGTCGGCGTTTTTATTCACATTTACATTTTTCTTGCTTTTTTCTTGTCCCCTGTTGTCCTACCGATGGACATATCATACCAATCCAAGCTAGTCGCTATTTAAAATTGACCATGAACACGTAGCCCCGTATAGAGGGTGTCAACGTGGTAGGATTATGATTTGTACTGATTAGCGTGTGCAGAAGGGATCCGTGGGTAATACCACATTAGTGATAGATAGGACGATGTGGAGATATGTGGAGAGGGAGACGGTGAAATTGGGTAGCGGGATCGACCTTCACTTTAGGCACTTAAGGCCCTAACCCAGGAAATGTACGGAGTACACGGAGTTCAAAGGCACAGCTATGTTGCCCTGCAGTCCTGCAACACTGCACAGGATGCTCTTACCGATGCAATAGCTCCACGCGGATCATCCGTGCCTAGACGGACTTGGCTCGGTCGACTCGTCTATTCGTCCGTATGGACGATTCACTTGCAGAGGTCATAGCTCCTTTTGTCGACTTGCACTGGCTTTTCTCCCTTTTGCATTGGATTGAGTGGCATCATTTGAGTACTATGTAGTCCGTATGTAGTTCGTATGTAGGATATCATGTTGCCTGAGTACCGTAGTAGGATAAGTCCGGTCGAACACCTTGCCACTCTGGTGGCGCAAGACCCGATATTTGGATTCGCTTCTAAGGTTCCGATTTGACTCTAGTGAGATGAGAGTACGAAATAGTTCAAGGGTGAGAGTACACCTGACTCCTGAACCATCACGTGAATCCTTTGAATGCACGGGCTCGACATTCCGATCATTGGGCCTGAGTCCGCCTGGATTGGTCCGCGTGTACCGAATATGGAGAATTCAAAGAGAAAGCAGAAGAAAGAAGAAGAAGGGAAGGGTGATCCAAACTCTTGAAAGCAGTGGTGTATATGGGTAGAAAAGTATAGGGGGACCAAGGATATGTCAGCCATCAGACCCCCATCTATATAAAAACCAATTAATTCCAATATTCGATATCACCAATTCCAAGCCAAATTCAAGCCAATTAAATTCAATTAAATCCACAAAAAATCCACTAAAAATCCACTCAAATCTCAAAATTAAACTAAAAAAATATCCCAAATTGCCTAGCCCCAACATAACTTTGGTCCACTGATTCCGTCACTGTCGCCTCACTGAGTCAGCCCTGCTTCTTTGGCCTTCTCCCGTGTCTTCCGACCCTATATATAGGCAGGCCATAACCAACTTCCCTTCCCCCTTTACTACTTTCCTTCTCGACCCCCGGGCGCTTAATCCCTTCAGCGCCTAACACATACTTCTTTAAATCCTCCATCTCCCTCCCTCTCTCTCTCTCTCTCTCTCTCTCTCTCTCTCTCCCTCTCCGCACTACCTACCCCTCACCAAATCTCCTATACAGCCAGACCACAATGCCTCCCCGCAAGCCCCGTTGCAACTTCAAGGAGTGCAAGGAAGCCGCCCAGCGCATCGTCGGCGACTGCAGCTTCTGCACCGGCCACTTCTGCTCCAAGCACCGCATGCTGGAAGCCCACTCCTGCACCGGACTGGAAGACTGCAAGAAAGAATCACACGCTCGAAACGCCGATAAACTGAACAGCGAGCGTACCGTCGTCGTCAAGGGTGTATGAGAAGGGACTACCAACCAGAATGGGGACTACAACCAGAATGAGAAATAGCCGTGTTCGCTTTCTCTCGCTTTTCTCTCGACTGAACAAAGGGGGGATGGCAACAGATGACCAGTCAGTTCATCTCTAGGCCCGGCGCTATCTCGCCTCCCCCCCTATCTTATCTGCCTCGGTTGATCAGGTGCCATCCCCTGCTTGGCTTGGCTTCGTTTCGGTTCGAATCGATCCGGTTCTTCCCTTTCTTGCCTCTTGCGGTGTTGTTGGATTTAGCGCGGTGTTTCGTTTTACCATCTTTACTATCTCCCCCTTTTCAATTTCCTGGGGTTTGGTCTTTCTTTTTGGTTCGTGATCTATATCTAGATCGGATTTGGTCTTTGGCTACGGCCTGTTGGGTTTTGAGACTTTCAGGTCTTCATTTGCATGGCGTTGTGTTTGGTGTTGACATCTATCTTTTGATCTCTTGATATTTAACTTATCTACTGTTGCTGCCACTGCTGTTTCGCATCTTGGGCATGCCTCTTTCCTTTTCCGGGACCGCTAAATAGAATCCTTCTGGGTCAAGTTAGCCATGAACTATACATATTGTTGAAGTCTCGATACATTTCCTTCGTAGAAAACCTGTATACTTCTGGGAGAATCTCAGGTAGCTAATCGGCCATTTCTGAAACACGGCGGGCCCTTAACATTACTAGAGTGGAAAGAAAGATTCATAATTACATAGATGGTATGCTGAACTGAGATTGTATGATTGCAGTGAAACTCCATTTGAACCACAGTACCCATTTAGCCCGGTCCGATCTTCGGCCTATGCGACAGTCAGCTTGTAGTCCTTGAATGTCCAAAGAAACCGAACAAAGTAAAGTTAGTAAGACGTACATATCATGATGCTCACTCAGCCGACTGAGATACTTATTCAGCTCCTCCACACGCTCCTTATGTGTTTTGACACCTTCGCGCTGAAGCCGCTCATGCAACTGTCCCGAAAAGTCAGTTCTGTCTGTCCAACAAAGCCGAAGTCAAAAGACCCCGAGCCCAACAAAAAAAGACAAAGAATACGAAAAAAGAGTAGAACAACAACACATACCCGTTTTCGTCTAATCTCTTCGGCTCTCTTTTCAGCCTCAGTCTTCCCAGGCGCATCCCTATCCTTCCCTCTGTCTTCCTCAGATCTCACACCCTGCTCCTTTTCATTCTCTGGTTGATCCGTATCCGGCGTTGACTCTGGCTTTGTCTGTGTGGTTTCTCCTTCCTTTTTCTTTGAACTCTTCTTCTTTTTCTTCTCTACCCGTCCTCCACTGACTTTACTCCCTTTCAACTTGAGCTTACCCCCGCCGATGGAGTACTCGTCGCCCGCCATACTGGCGGTGCTGGTTTGGGTAATGCGATACGATGAGTTTATTCGGATTCCTGCTTTTGGTGGTGTGACGTGCCACTTGGAGATATATTGGGCCCCGAGGAGATGATAGGCGCGCGGCGTGCGGAGTAAGAGGAGGCGGAGTGGCCGATCGGCCGAATGAGTTGTCGTAAGGGGAGTTCGTTGCCTTTTTGAGTGGAATGTAATATACGACCGAGCGGAGAGTAAAATATTTGGCTGTTGATTGAGAAGAGTTCTTTTGTCGCGGTTTGAGGTTGAAGTTGGAACCAATCAGAGGCGGTGGCGGGTTGGATGGTTCTACACATTTCGGCGTTCAAAGACTTCCATCAGAACATATCACATTCAGATCAACGGCCATATATCGGATATCATATCTGCTCAATACATCATTTCGGGTATCTCTTGAACATCACAGGCCTACAAATATTATGCTCATTATGAAGCAACAAAACACTAGAATCTTCGTGTCTAGACTTTTCTGTGTTTGTGTCTGCTCGTGGTCCCGGCATACTTTGGCAAAGAAGAAAATTCCCAAATAATGGCTAGACCTAAATGCGCCGTTGAGTATGGGGTGAGATAAAACGCTTTGTGGAGGACCTACCTCATCCAAACAGAGTCATGGATTATCCGAGAAGAAATACTAAATCCAGGTTGTAATCTGTTCAAAAGCCAAGCTGATGCTTCAGCGTTATAGAGTCGCCTACGAAATATAGAACTGAAGCATACACTGTCACTCAGTGCAATTCACATTAGTTGTTAGGTTATTCGGAGTTACTATGAGGCTCCTACTAATGGAGAAGTCTATAGAGTAAATTTATTCTCGAACAGTGATACAGTAGAAGACCCAAAGCCATTCAACCTAATCATCCTCGGGGTCAATACGATAGTTCCCTTCAGACGTCAACCAAGAGTACCTCAACTTTCGGAGCATTTCCAGTACACCATGGTGACCCCTTTCCGAAGCACATCTCTGAATCTGTTGCCCATAAATTGTCGGTTTGCCACTATCCCCATGCTCCAATAGCAACACAATGACATTGAGATATCCTCCAGCAGCAGCAATATGCACTGCCCTCCAACCTCGATCATCTATAGCTTCCACGTCCGCCCCTTTCTCAAGCAGCAGTCTCGCAGGACCCTCTGCACCACGTCGACAGGCATAATGTAGAGGTGTTTGTTCTTATTGTGTGAGAGCGTCTAACTCCGTCCTTTCCGATAAGCATAGTGTATCGGCATCTTTGTCGAATAAAATTGCTGCGTGGTGAAGAGGAGTCCAATGTCCTGGACCATAAGACCAATCTGAGACTAGGAGTAGCAGACCTTCAGGTCTTTAACGGTCTTCAAATTTCTCCGCGATGATCGTCCACACATTGCGACCATTCAGCAAGAATGGTGAGAATCTCACCGCATCAAGCTGGTTGGCTGGGCTTAGCGGACAAGTACTCGCCAATTTACTTCTGACTTGTTTAACAACAAACAGCTCATTCAAGTATTGCAACATGGCTCTCTTTTTTGATGAGCGTGATCAGATTTGAATGTAAAAGAAGTTCCATCTGGAGACCGCCTATGGATCCCAACTGCGCGTTTATTACATTTTCTAGGGCAAATGAGAAGACGGGAGAACAGGTACGTGAGGAGAAAGCAAAAGGCGAACCCAAAGGCATTAGAAGGCCGCACACGTGGTCGACTATTCTTGTTGACGATGAATGTAAATTTCAAACCGACAAAATACACTAGACAATGTCACCTGCTTCGATGTTGAATCCAAGCATTTGAAACTGGTTCAATCTATAGTTTGGCGGACTCGCTCAAAGACCGATGGCCATATACCACATTCGGAGGCAATTCAACCCCCCAAGCGATCTTACAATCCAACCGCGTATGGTCAGCACTATCCGAAACCGAATCAAAGGCTTCATATGGCTTGACAATATCCCGGTAGGCAAACTCGCCCACACCACCCTCACCTAGCAGAATCCACCTGCGAGCAATCTCCGTCGCAGCCTCATCTCCATCACGCTCCCCATCCAAAGCCAGGAGAGCCCCAGAAAGTATCCAGGCGAAAGTAAACATAATTCTCCGGGCATCAGCCAGCAACGCTGCCCGCGGACGAGTTGGTGAGACTCGAGAGAGGAAAGAGATCTGAGCCTCCTTCAATGCGCCCGCGAGAGCCGGTGTGCGGATCAAAGACAGGACACGATCGAGCCACCCTAACAGAATAGAAAGGGTATTTCCTTTCATCAGGAAGCGTACCAATTCACTAGCCAAGACGTTCGTGGTACCCTCCCAGATTGGATAGACGGCTGCAGCGCGGAGAAGGCGCGAGATGTTGAATTCAGGCTCGTCTGGTTCGTCAATATACCCGACTCCACCCATGGCTTCCTGGCATTCCTGGACGCCCACCATCGACATCTTGCTGACAACACCCTTGCATGTGGCAGTGAGAACCCGGAAGACGACTTTTGCTTCGGCAAGATCCTTGGGCATGTGTGCGTGTCTCGCGGAGCTGGACGTATTCTCAATCAGACTCATCACTGCAATTGTGAAGAAGGTAAGATTGATGGCACCGCGATGTTTGACCTCCACATCTGCAAGAACCCGCAGATGCATTGGAATCAACCACAAGGGCTCGCCAACAGTACTACGTGACCTGGCAAAGTTCTTTGTGATGCTAATAGCACGACGCCAGGTTGAAAGTGTTCCAAGAAGCGTCTGAATACGGGTGGTATTCAACAATGGGGCAATAGTCACAATTCCCTGATCGAGTTCACCGACTAGGTGAGCGCGCATGCCTTTCAGTTCAAGCTCAGCTGTGGGTAGCTCCTTGGTACCAAGCTTGTTTTTCAGGCGGTGGATGCGCACGCCATTGGAAACTTCTTCGGGCTTTCCATCAGGTCCGATGGACGTCTTCCGCAGTGGCGCGATGAATGTGCTCAGTTTCCCAGATGCTGTCTTGGCTAAGAGAAATGCGACATTGGCGTCTGTTGCGGAGGAAAAGAACTTGAATCCGCTGATCAGGTAGTCGCCCTCGGCGAGGACGTCAGATGTTTTTGATCCTTGGGGCAAGGGTGCGTAGGTAGCCCAGGTCTCTGTATTTTGCACGTCACTCCCGCCTGCTCTTTCCGTCATCCATTGGCCGGATGTCCAGTAGTCCTCTCCTCTGGAGGTCAGTCTCCGAAAGACTGTGTGCAAAATATGGTCACTTGGCAGGTCTTTGAGGCGTTGTGACAAGATAAATGCCGCTCCATCGGACATACTCATCGGACATCTGTACATGGATGATGAGGGGGCATATAGATACACACTTTGGGTCCGGTAGTTAGTACTAATATGCAGGAGACAATATAAGATGCCATGACATACGCAGCATATTGAACAGTCCGCCTATCGACGCCGTAAGTGTGGTCATATCCCAGCGAAACAACCCTGGAATATCCTTAGCCAAATGCATGTAGAGAAATTAACGAGTGACAAACCCATGCCTAGCCCCCCACTTTCCCAGCTGCTTCCATCCCTCAGTCGTGATTAGTTTGTCATATCCATATCGCTGACCCCAGACATTGTACTTCTTGACATACGGCAGGTTGGTCTCTGCGTCGGCGTTCCATGCAAAGACCTGGGGGAAACAGCCTCCTCGCCAAATTGAGCGAGGTGGGGCTCAACCAAGTTGAGGGTTTCTGCAGGAAGATACCCTATTTCCTTCAGGTCAGATTGAATAGAAGTGGGTCGTTGCGCTAGACTTACATCTTAGCATCCGTTGCAGGCTGATGTCTGAAGTGTAGGTATTCGGCAATTTCTCGAGCCGGGTGAATATACCAGACTCTGCGGATGCAGGAACTTGAGTTTGACTAGGCATGTTTTGGATGTGGCTGAACTTGAAAGCTGTTTGAGAAATATTGATATGTTGAACAGAGATCGATGAGTGTATATAACTGTTTGCCTGTTATCAACCGCGGTCCGTCCTATATTGAACAGCCGAGAGTGGTTGTTTATTCGCGATCATAGGTATAGATTGTAGCACTTGACGAAATCCCGCAAAATCACCGAGAAACGAAGTTGATAGCTGTCGACTGCATTGATCAAAGTCCGCCGAATCACCGAGACGAGTCGAATTACATGCGGGGAAGTTCCTTGTCACGGCTCCTCGGCATCGCTAATCCTGGGGGATGTGCGCCCTAAGGTAGAAATGGTAAGAAGTATGGCTATAGGTGAAAAAAGTCTTGATAACTGATTGGTGGGAGGTACCTAGGTATGGAGTTTGTTGCAAATTGATGCCGAGGGTAGACACCAAGGACCCTAGTTGTTACCTTCTCTTTTTAATGTATTTCAAATGCTACCTAAATGAATATATATATATGTCGCATCCAGGAGAAACGTAAGGCTTACTGTATTCCGCCGTCTAGTCCTTCGATTACAGTATTGACGGGCTAAGCAAATCCCTTGTCAACATGCCCGTGTCTTCCATCTTTCCCTCTATTGATATTCCTGACGTTGATGTCTGGACTCTTCCCTTTGAACGAAAGGACACAGCTGACCCAGATCATAAGAGAATGATATATAATACTTCTCATATGACGTACATAGTCTTCACTTATTAACAATGTGTAGTCATTTACCAGGATGATGATAGCCAGCAATACCATACCTACAAGAGTATCCAAAAAGGCTGCATTGCATTTGGGGAAGGTTTAGGTTGAGGTTTGATTGGAAGGAGGGCGAAGTACTCGCTTTATTTACTCCTAAAAGCATCGACACATCTCTCATAACATGGGGGACAGTGTAGGCTGGGTGGATCATTTCTCCTTCAAACCCCGTATATACAGTCGGGAAGTTGGCATTTCACTTCAAAGACTGTGGCGCCAACACATTAGTCACTCATATGTCAGTCTTGCCAACTGCGAAGGAAGCCGCCAAGAGGGTAGGACTCGGAGAGGATCGCATCATCCTTCTTGGAGACCAGCATGATCCGGAACTCAAGATCGAGCATTTCACTTCAATCAGAAATATCACTGGGTTGACCAAGCGCCGGGCAGCAATTATCGAGCCCTCGAAAACTTGCATATTTATTGTCTATTTGTCAGGAACAACGGGAGTCCCCAAGAGAGTTTTCCTCTCCCATCGAAATTTTCTTTCCAATGTTCCTCAGCCAAGTGCTGGAGAGGGTGGTCACCTTGCTTGGGATAATCTCGACGGAAATGCTGATGGGTGCTAGCCTTTGTTCCATTCTATCACATCTACGGTGAGTTGATGTGCCTCCCCTGCGGTCTTTCCCTCTACCTATCTATGTTGTATAGAAACCGAGGAAAAGGAGCGAATATCTCAAACATATCTAGACGGAATAAAAACATCACTAGAAAGAACATGGATGAGACTTCACACGATCAAAGCGGTCCATTATCCTGTTATAACACGATGCAAATATATAGTAATTTGTGATCGCGTCGGCGATATATATATTCCAGGAGGATAGCCTCACCCTTTTGCTCCGGAACGTCCTAAGTATTTCTATACGTACCTAATTGGTGGAAAACTAGATAAATTCTCTAAAGATAGTGATATAATCTATATCTCGGTGAGCCCGACTCCGGGTTAATAGCGTCAGCTCGGATAGGAAAGTCCCACTTGGCATAGGAGACTGCAGAAGGGTACTTATGTACTGTACCGGATAACTTCGCCCGCTTTTGGCATTCACATTCCATTTTATTTTCCCCAATGTGCTCGATGTATTGGATTCAGTAGCCCCAGGGTCATCCCACCATCCGTGGGTGGCGGCGCATGGGACATGCAGGGCCTCTTCTTCACCATGAAAGTTGGGCCATAATCCGTCTATAGCCGGCTCCCCGGGGAATTCTGGTGGCGTAGTCATTAAATTGCGGAGATATCCCCAGCTGACATTCGGCACATACTGTCTAGTGCGAGTGCTGTAGGCTGACGCCCATGGCGCTATTGGGCGCCCCCCCAGCCTGAAGGCCATGTTGAAGAATCTTGGTATATTGTGGCGGGGAAGTAAGACGTGGGGAATCCTGCCTCGGAAATGGCGGGGCATTGGCAGGTAAGCAGACATACTTGGATAACTGGTGATTTACTACTGAGGTTAGTCGACTGGTGGACAATCTTTTGTAAGTCGAACATCCCTTAGTAGACGCCAATTTCCCGAAGAAATGCAAATGCCGAACGCTATCGTCGCCTGACTCTGTTGACTGTCTGATTAGTATATAAGAGGCAAACGGGGATTTATCGGATTTTCCGGTCACAATTCGACTAAAATTGTGAGGCTTGCATCCCTTTGCCCTAGCGGCTGTCGGACAATTATCGGACTAGATGCAATAAAACAAAATTCGGCTGTGAAGACAAGACAACGCCTACACATTCAGACATTCAGGCCGACGAAAGAATGGTAGGATCATAATATGAGTGGTTGACACAATTGAACAATCATGGGGAATGCATATATAAAAGGACGATGTGTCCCTCGACTTCAAGAGCCAGCAGCTTAATTTTGAGAAAAATCAACACAAGATGAAGGCAGCCTCTATTCTGACTCTGACAGGTCTGCTGTCATTAGTCAATGCTCATGGATACCTGACCATTCCTTCAAGTCGTACTCGGCTTGGCTTCGAGGTAAGATCTCGGATGAGTCTATGGATGTGTTGTACCAGACTGACCTTATTAGGCTGGCATCGATACCTGCCCCGAATGCTCCATCCTTGAGCCCGTCTCTCCATGGCCCGATCTTGAAGGTCCTCAAGTTGGCCGAAGTGGACCATGTGGTTACAATGCCCGAGTTAGTGTTGATTACAACCAGCCCAGCGCACACTGGGGTAATATAGTCGCCACATATACTGCAAACCAAATTGTTGAGGTGCAATGGTGTGTCGACCACAATGGTGATCATGGTGGCATGTTCACCTACGGTATCTGCCAGGACCAGGCTCTAGTCGACAAATTCCTAGATCCAAACTACCTTCCAACCAACGCCGAGAAACAAGCTGCAGAAGACTGTTTCCTGGCGGGTGAATTGAAATGTACAGATGTTACTGGACAGAGCTGTGGCTACAGTCCGGACTGCTCTCCCGGTCAGCCATGTTGGCGCAATGACTGGTTCACTTGCAATGCATTTAATGCCGACAGTCGACGCGGCTGTCAAGGTGTGGATAATGCTCCATTGAACTCCTGCAAGACAACTATCGCCGGCGGCTACACCGTTACGAAGAAGATCAAGATTCCAGATTACAACTCAGCTCACACCCTGCTGCGCTTCCGCTGGAACTCTTTCCAAACTGGCCAGGCTTATCTTCACTGTGCTGATATCTCCATTGCTGGTTCCGGCGGTGGATCAACCACAACCAAGACGTCTACAGCTACGACTTTAGCCACTACGACGACCAAAACAACAACTACTGGAGCATGTGCTACTCCTGCCACCAGCGTCTCGGTGACTTTCAACGAAGTGGTGACCACCGTAGTGGGTCAGGATATCTTCCTCACAGGGTCAATTAGCCAGCTGGGCTCTTGGTCTACCTCGTCGGCGATCGCTCTGTCTGCAGGCTCATACACATCGTCCAACCACTTGTGGACTGCCACTGTGAGCCTCCCTCCTGGAACCACATTCGAGTACAAGTTCTTCAGGAAGAATTCAGACGGTAGCATTACCTGGGAAAGTGACCCTAACCGAAGCTATACTGTGCCAGCAGCCTGCTCGGGAACTGCAGTCACTGCAAGTACAACCTGGCGGTAGAGGAGTTCTGGGGGTAGCACACTGTGGTAAGGGATATGGGATGGTATGATACGATGTTATGTGGAATATGTACATGGTTTTATTACTAGGACTTGAGTAAGCAGGATTCAAGAGTCAGCATCAATATTTGAGCAACATTTAGTCCCTAAATCATCTATAGACTGGAAGCACTATCTTGTGCAGAGTGTTGACACGGTACATCTATTCCTCCGAAGTCCAAGGCTGTTTCGGCTGTACTTGCCAAAATGACATTGGTTTCGCAACCAGCAAAGAGCATACCAAAGCAGTAAATTATAGGATTTAGAACACATTACTTGGGCAATTCGAGTCATTCCGAGATAATCATTCGTTGTCCTTTTTTCAATATGCTGGTCATTCTGAATCATTATTTTGTATGCCGAGATTTTCCATCGCCCCGACCTTAATCGAAGGGAATTGGGCGTAGGTTCGACCCGCCCATACGCTTACGCATCTCAGCGCCTGCAGCCACGGTACTAGGTACCTTAATACCGCAGCAATCACCAAACCAGTCTGCGCTCTCATGAGGATGGTCGTGGCCATGGGCATGGTTATGACCGTCATGCTCAGCACCTGCCTCAGATGGATCTGTCATACCTTCAGCAGCAGGCAGTAGGCTTCCAAACAAGAAATGTTGCATAATAGGAAGTTTGCCCAGCACTTCCTTAACAAACATTTTCTTCATGCCGCTCTCAACCTTGGTCCAATTCTTAGAACCAGAGATATCGTCCAACATAGGACTATGCCAACGCAGTCCCTTAACAGTCTTGACACTATCGACCCACCGGACCTGGTCCAGATATAGATAGTTATCACCTTCCTCATCCAAAGTAGCCGTATTGTGAATACCCAACGGAGTGATATACGGGTGCCCGACAAGCTGACTAGCTCCAAACAAGAACGGTAGGAAATGGTAGTCATCCAGACCCCAGACACCATGCGATCCAGCAGGCTCAAGGTAGTAAGCTGACTGGATTTCGCGCATGAGATGCATGTATTCGACATAGACCTTCACCACGACGACGGGGAAGTCGCTAGCAGGGAGAATACCAAGTTGGTACAGGCATAGCAGCCACATCATAAAATTCAGTTCATGACCAGAGCCGTAGTCGATGCGCTCTCGTGAGCCCAGGCAGTTGATTAGATATGTCGAGGCTTCTTCGGTAGCGCCAGCGTCTTTCAGCCCTAGAATGTCGGTATGCCATGATGCGCTCTGTGCACTTACATCGTCGCACAATGCTCGGAAGGCAGGATTACCGAATCGGGATCCGCCTTGGTCGATTGGCGGGTTTTTTGCTAGGAGGGAGCGTATCTGAGTGACAACTGAGACGATCTTGGAGATGGATTCGGATTGAGGGATTTTCTGGAGGTCTTTGATAGAATGCCCCCGCACAGAATCAGTTAGACCGAACACAAAGGCGAGGACAAGTTTGTGAGTTGGCGAAGAGAGAAAGAGTTCATGATCTTTAGGGGATAGGATGCGGCGGATTGGGTGCCGGTATTGGTGGGCGGAGAGGTCTGGCGGCGAAGGAAGAGGAGGGGTTGTTGGAGTTAGATCGCGGGAGTTGGGATTTGCCCTACGGGTATTTGACCGCAAATCAGAGAGCTTTTTGGAGAGATCTACCTTCCCCGTAGGAGATGGTAAGGATTGATGTGATGCCATTCTGTTGGTTAGGTGAGGGGAGAGGAAATCAGTCGGATAAGTTGATAATGAGCTTGACGCTGACCGCCTGCCGTAAACAGGGCATGACGCAATTTGCCAGAGGATGGAAGATAATGAAATATTACTTTGTCAGGTCATACATGATGATCGAAGTAGATGTTCGAAGTGAAAGATGTACATCGGATGGTCTATATCAACATGTCAAGCCTCATCAGTCGCAATGACACCTGCGATCAACACTTGGCCCAAGTGGGTTAGGGTGGAGCATGTGATCGCTTCCCCGGATTGGTCAGGTGACCGAGATCTTCACAATGTCTCACGTTTTTGCTTGATGTCACATTGTATGCCACATGATGGCCATAGCACCCTGAGAAGAGGAGCAGTCAAAGAAATGCAGATAGCAAGGCTTCAAATTACGAGACCCAGCTACTGAATAGTTTTCGCCGTGAAAATCGTGCCTCAAACAGCTACTTTTCATCCTCTGTTGACATAGAAGGTCCCAGCGCTTCAGACCTGCATAAAACTGGTCCTAGGCGACGTCGGATTGGAGCATACTTTCCTGGGCCAGATCAGGGAACCAAGCACGCCATAATGAATACATTCGACTCATCGGCGCCGTCTCCGACGGGTCCCAGCAACTCTGAAGGAGCAAACCACAACCACTCATCGTCACGCTCTCCCACAGATTCAGCCCTGTCATCGTCCCTCGGCAGCACCCGGTCCCACTCAAGCTCCTCCTCCCGAAATCATGCACGCAACTCGAACCCAGTCCAGACCTCAAACCAATCCACCGAGTCCACGCCAATCAACGCAGCCGGTCCCGCGGGGCGCAACTATCAGTCCACAGGACAACCAGCCGCCTCGCAGCAGAAAGACCTTGGCTTAAATAACCAGAACTCTGGAAATGGAAATCAATCAGCGAACCAAGACGCGACCCCCGAGCCCCATCACTCCTGGTATAGTCGCTTCGCGGAACGATATGGCAGCCTCGAGCTAGAGAATAAAGGCAGTGTGGCCCGCGACCACCTCGCATTAGGTACGATATGCGCAGCCAAATTTTGGGAAAAGCCACATAGAGCCCTCTAATGCCCACTCTTTTTCCAACAGAACGAACCTTCCTAGCCTGGATGCGCACCTCCTTAGCTTTCGCCTCAATCGGCATCGCAGTAACGCAACTATTCCGTCTGAATAGCACCTCCCCAAGCACACATGCCAATTTCCTCGACCCATCCGGCTCGCACCCTGGTATTCTTTCACCAGACCTCGCATCAGCTGCTTACGATTCCGCCGCGTTCCACACTTCCTCTGCATCTGCTCGTCTTCGTAGCGTGGGTAAGCCCCTCGGCTCGACTTTCATCGGAGTCTCGATCATTATACTTGCTGTTGGATTCCATCGCTACTTCCAGAGTCAGTATTGGATTATTCGGGGGAAGTTCCCGGCTAGTCGGGGTAGTGTGGCGGTTACGGGTTTAATGGCCGCTGCGCTGATTGTCGCTACTTTCGCGGTCATCTTGGCTGTCTCACCAGGGGCGGTTGAGACCTAATTTGGAGATTGTCATTGCGACCCCTTTATAACGTTCCTTGTGTTGTGATAGTCCCCTTTTGCTTTGTTGGTTTGCGTGCTGCATTTACACTTTCGGATTTTTCGAGTTCATGCGTTTTTGCTCAGGAGCGTGGGTGGCCCGTCCTTTTTAATAGCGAAGAGAAGGGAGGAGCAAGTACATATTTGGTATGCCTTGGCGTCTCGGTATACTGATGTTGACGATAGGCTATATACAATCATGATGAGTTCAACCATATGTAGTCCATGCGTAACCAATCTACAAAGCTTACATGCAACTAAAAGTCAATAAAAATATTTCGTTCTTTTCTGTCATGAACGCCCCGAATTCACCCGCGCCAGACCAGTCTAGGCACAATGTAGGAAGCAGGCGAGGAGACAGGGAAACTACAAGATGGTCGGGAGTATATCGACAATGATAGGGAGAAGAAAAGACGGGGAAAAAGGACCTGGGCAACATGGCTTGCAAACAATGCGAAGCAAGAAATCAGAGAAAAAAGGAGCAGAACAAGAACCGCTTAAATACAATCCGTTCATCGCGGGCCGAGCTTGTCTAGGGCGCGTGCACCCTGTTCCTGCCACTCCTGCTTGCTCACCCACATGTCATCCTTGTCGGCGATCTGAAGGAAATTGTGTTAGCAAGGTCGAAGTCAAGTGCAAATACAGGAAACTAACCAAGTTGGCGAGAACAGCACCACCCAAGAACACCATGTGTCTTCGGCGTGGGGGATCTTCGATGCGGACCTTGAATTTCTGTAACATCATTAGCCAAGTCATATTGATAAATTTGCCGGGAGTTCTTCAACGTACATTCAGGCGCTCTGGATCGCCACCCAATACCCGAGTGAGCCACAGCTGCTTCAACTCCTTCTCCAAACGAGAGGGCAAACCGGGGTACATGCTGCTACCACCGCTGAGCACGATGGCCTTGTATAGACTGGAGCGAACATCGACATCGGCGCCCTGGATACAGTTGAAGAGCATTTCAGCCATACCGGGCTGGTCCACATCAACCAAGTGAGGTTGGAAAAGGCACTCGGGGGCCTCGAAGCGCTCGCTGCCGACGCGGATGACACGGCCGTCGGGTAGAGTGTACGATTCGACGAGAACGGTGGTGTCTTCGGAAAGCTTTTTGTCCAACTCAAGGTCGTAGGAGACGTAAGCGAGCTTCTCCTTGATCTGGCGAACGGTCTCGAAGTCGGCGGTTCGGTTCAACGCATAGCCGCGGCGCAGAAGGAGGGCAATCAGGTTACGAGTGACGTCGCGACCGGCGACATCCAACCGCTTAATGTGGTGGTTAAGTACAGTCGACTCGTACACGGGAATAATGTGTGTCACACCGTCACCGGAATCCACAACCACGCCGCTGCTCAGACCTATAAAATGACATCAGTATTCACCCCGAACTCACGCTTCGGTCTGGTGGCACATACCCTGGGCATACAGTGCCAGCACCGCCTGGATCGCAACATAGACACCACCAAACCCGTATCCCTCGAGCATAACTTCGGCCATCTGCTCGCGGTTCTTCAGCGGGTTCATCGGCGGCTCGGTGAGGAGAATCTTGCGATCTGTGGGGTCAATCTTCATCTTCTCGTAAAAGGTGTAGTTCCATAGATGTTGCATGTCATCCCATTTCTTGACAATTCCATTTTCCATCTAAAGTAGACCTGGTTAGGCATTGACAACACACTCGCCTGGTTTGCGGAGAGGGCGGGGTAGAACAGGCAAGAACAAGGCCCGACATAAACATACAGGATAGCTAATCTGGAGCATTGATCGTGCAGCAGCGGCTTCATCACCGCACATGATATCCTTGACGACGATATCGCCGCCCTGCTCCTCCGTTCGTAAGATGGGCCGCCCCACTATCGAGGGAAACTGGTGCTCTGGGAAGTTCTGGCAAGGGAATAGAAATTAGAGAAGAGTAAAGAGGGACTGTAACAGCAGTGCAACATACCTGGGCGGCATAGCCGACCTTGAGGAAGCCGGTTCCTCCATCGAGGACTGCGGAGTAGCTTGTTAGCTTGGAGCTGGGACACGGTAGCCTGGGAGGATCGGTGTGTACCAATGGGCATTTCCGCCATCTTGGAGGAATTGGGGATTCGACAGTTGGGAGGAGGGATACCGTCGAAGAGTGGTAATCTTCCTAGAAACTCCCAAGATGAGCAGAACTAGGAGGGTTCAGGGGAGGGCGGAGGTGTTGGAGATGTTTGAAGTCGAGCGCACGACGGACGGAGCATCATAACTTACGTGACCGTACCGTACCTGATATTCACCCCACAGTTGGGGGGGCGAGCCGCAGCCATGACGGTATGTGACGGCATCATCGCATTCTTGAACCAGGCAAGCTCAGCAACGATGGAAATTGGCGTAAATAGAACATTTCAGCTGTTGAAGAGTAGTGGAATAATGCTGAAATCAATATATGCGCAAGGAACAGTATAGTACATGTGGAACGCCTCACATCAAGGGGGTACACACGTGGACTTGGGTACGAGAGCACATCAAGCATAGAATTTGAGCATAGAGATAATAAAATATCCACAGTAACAAAGTCCAATTGGTGAGATCTAACCTAAAGACAGAACCCGTTGATAGCATTGAAGAGCTTCCAGTCGGCCGATTCCGATATCCTCGGGAAGCACGCGCTCCACCATTCCTATCGTCCCTAACCCATACAAGGATCAAATTGCCCTACTTAGGTGCACCCTTGCTAAAACTCTTTTGAGCCGACATTTGAGCTTGTTTCCTATAGACACCATTGTACCCCATTTCAATCCACACCTAAGAAAACAGTGGGCAACGATGCCACAAATCGGCTGGGTAAGTAGCCCCTAGACCATCTACATACCGAACCCAAGAAATAACAATGCACGCAGTATGGACTCGGGTCTATGGGCCTAGCAATGGCCTCCAACCTGCAGCGGCACCTAGCCACAAAGAAGGCATTGAGCCTGGTCTACTCAAACCGCACGATGTCGCGCGGATCGCCCCTGCAAGCACTGGGAGCAGTCCCAGAGCCCAATTTCGAGAAGCTGGTCTCTAAATGTGGGATTATTTTCACCATGGTAAGCCGATTCTGCCGCGAAAATGCATCGCAATGAAAGTCTCATTCTGTGTCAGGTCTCGAATGACTCAGTGCTCGAAAGCCTGCTGTCCACCGCCATGGGTTCAAGCCAGTCCCTGAAGGACAAGATCTTCGTTGATTGCTCAACAGTGCACCCCGAGTCCGTGAAGTCTGCTATATCGCAACTGAAAAGCAAGGATGCATCGTACGTAGCAGCGCCGGTCTTCGGCGGGAACCCAATTGCCGTGGATGGCAAGCTTGTTTTCGCTATCGGGGGGCCTAAGAGTGCGACTGAGGCTGTTAGACCTCTGATCCAGGATGTGATGGGTCGACGTGTGATTGATTGCGGTGAGGATGCTACAAAGTCCTCGCTTCTGAAAATTGCTGGTAACATTGTGACCGTTAATATGATGGAGGCTGTTGGTGAGGCCCAGGTCTTTGCCGAGAAGACCGGGCTTGGAACTGGTGCCATGGAGGAGCTTATTGGAGAGGCTTTTGGTCCCGTTGCCGGAGGATATTCTAAGAGGTGTGTGACAATATTCTTTCGGTGCTGGCATTGGGGCTTTTCATACTGATCATTACATCCAGATTGACTACGGGGGCTTATGCGCCACCCATAGACTCCCGCCCTGGCTTTGGGGTTTCTCTTGCTATTAAGGATGCTAGACATGCTATGTCGATGGCCCAGGAACAGGGGGTTGAGCTTCCTGGCCTTGAGGTCGCGCGGGCTAATATGGAGGCCGCGAGAAAATATGGTGGAGAGTGTCTAGACAGCAGTGCAATGTACGGGACGCTGCGCCAGAAGGCTGGTCTGGAGTTTTGGAATGAGAAGAGTAGGAGAGAGTAATGTGAAATCATGTATCCAATAAGATGCAGAGTAATTATTGATAGGAATATTTGTACTTGTCTGTATGTCTAGACCGAAAAAGATCCCCGAAACATCTTTGGCCGCACTTATATGAGAAGGTGAGCCGTAGCCCTTCTCACAGCATGCTTATGCCCTGTATTGAGACTCGGTTAAAAAAAATGATACATTCCCAAAATTAAACAATTTGACTTGCGAAAAGCCAGAATTTCCTTTGCGCCGAAATCAATTGCGGAATTGAAAGATATGAGCCAAAACCATCTAGGCAGAGGTCAGACAGTAGTTGGAATGCAGTCCGCTTAGGCGGGTTTGTAGTCTCTTGGTGATTCTACTCTATATGAGCTGTTGGGCTGTGTTTTCGGCTTGATCCTCGCGGTGTCTGCCAAAGATGGATACGTCTCCGCAAAGCTAGGCCCCAGAGACCAATTAGACAAATTCCTCATATGCCGTTCAAAGACGGGGTTAATAACCAGCTCGTCCGAGTCACCGGCTGACAATAAACAATCCGTAGCCTCGTATGGCCAATTGACGTTCATGTCACGTGTAAATGGGATGGTCCAGTTCTCAAACGGGTAGTTCTGATAGTTTGTAATGATCCTGTCACGCATTCCGGGCCAGGGAACGTAATCCATCCAAGCAGGGTGTGGATGGAGAATTTGTGTTGGGCGCGGGGTCAACCATTCTGGGAGTCTCTCATAGTTCTCTTGCGTAGGGTAAATTTGCCAGCGCATGAGGAGGAACATGGTGTAGAGCACGGCAACCTGCTCCGGCAAAGAGGAGATATCTGGAAAGGCACACAGTATATCTGTGAAAACCTTTGAGACCGGATGGGAGTAGACACTTCTCTCTGGGTTTAGCAATGAGGAGACACTCGGGTACGGTGGCCCGGCTAGGTTTTGCCTAGGGATGCCTTGAGCGGCCTCACGTTGCCGGCTTTGAAGAAATTCCAAAAGAATGTTATCCAAAGGACATGTCGCTGGTAAGTTTTGTATTGGGGCGGCGAATGCAGGTGGCCCATGCTCAGAGGTAGTAGTCAAAGGATGTGGGTATATTGGTGACGGAGAATTCAGCGGAGGACAGCGGGGGATTTCTGAGCTGCTGCGGTGTAGCTGGTCGATTTTGGGAACACTATGCGAAGCATCAAGAAGGAAATTAAACCCTAGACGCTCTTCTGAGCCGAGGTTCAGGCCGTGTGTGATATTATGGCGTTGCGAGTCCAATGCGACACGGAGAGAGGCGGAGGGGGGGCCTCCATGGGTACTATTGCGGCGACTGCCAAGAGGAGGTGCAGAATGAGTCGGCGAAGGTGTATCAAGGCTGGCAGTAGACTCGGGATATGATTTTTCGCCTGGAAGTAGTGGTTGACTATTGGGAGTGAGGTGATCGGTGTCGGGCAATGGAGATGTATGCAAAGGAGGCGGGGCGAGACTGGGTATAGCTAGAGAAGGAGATGGATCTGTCTGGATTAGTTTTAGACTTGAATTTCATTGGGGTGCACAACTGACCTGATAGTTCGGGCTTAGCCATCAATGGTTGGAGGATGCCCATTGCCGCCTTGAGCCCTTGACGGAGCTCTGCGTTCTCCGACCGAATAGCCTCATTCTCCCGCAGAGCTGCTTGGAGATCAAGGGAGGGTTTCTGCGATGACAGCTCCCGGACCTGCTGCTCCAAAGCTTCTATGTGGCCTTTGGTCCTTTCTCGAATTGCGCGTTGCGCTTGACGGTCATTGGCCCGCTTTTTTGCCAACTGATCGGGGGTGAGATTGGCGACGCCTCTTGATGACATGCTATTCAGCTTGCGCTTGCGTCCTGATGTTGTGCCATGATCCAAGACCCCCTCCACGTCTATCGACCCCTCACGGGGAAGAATTGGGGAAGGCTCGAGTCTGCCGAGGGGTTTAGCCCGCGAACGATCAGATAAGTCGGACAAGTCGGGCTGAGGCGCCACATGCTCATTGGCGTTCGAAGCGCGGGTGGCCATGGCCTTGCACACGCGCTAATTAAGATTGGCCATTCGGGTGGAAATTATGGAATGGAAGTGAAGGAGTAAGAAGTGTGAGTATGGGGTGCTGCTATGTGGGTCAAGACGGTGCCCAGGTGAATTCCAAAACGTTTTAAACTTTTATGCGGCCCAAGGTGGTATTGCATGGCATCACATTCGTTGGGAATAAATTGACGATATTTCTAAATATAATATCTAGGAATAAGAAGCTCGTTTCTACGAAACAGTTGATGAACATGAAGTATTGAGCCAAACAAAAGAATGTACAGAGTATCAGCGCCATAGGGGACCTTGAAAAGGATCAAGATTATGCACAAAAAAACAAAAAGAAGTTGGTCGTGTCGATCATATACAAAGGCTTTTTTCAAGGTCCAATGCAAGAAAGCATAAGCCAGGCAAGGGGGTTGATGATAGGGGGCAAAAGTTCAAAACAAGAAACATTATTGGATCATATGACCCATTTTCGAGATCTATCAACATATTAGTATTAACATCTTAGTGAACGATGGTTCACAAACATACCTTAGTCTGTAGATAGCCTTCAATTTCAGAGCTCTTAATTCCTCTCTGGCCCCCAGTCCGCCATGCCAATGGAATCATCGGCACCCGCTCCTTTACGAGAACCTCCCGATTTGGGCCCTCGATAGCGCGGACTTTATCGGGGTTATTGGTAAGTAGGCGAATTCCTTCTGGGATGGCATCCGCACCACAACCAAGATCTTCCAAGATAGCTGTGGCCAGTCCATAGCTTCGGGCATCAGCTGGATGGCGGAGCAAAAGGTTTGCCTCGACGGTATCCGACCCGAGATCCTGGAGATTGTATGCCTTCAACTTCTCCCCAAGACCGATTCCACGACCCTCCTGACGCAGGTAAACAATCACACCTCCTTTCGAATGTGATGAGAGGGATTGAACCTCTGGCGGCGCATCAGAGGCAAGACCCTCAACCGGGAAAGACATCAAGCGTGCCGCCTCATCTAGCTGCTCGCCGCAATCGCACCGCGCCGACCACGCCGTTTCTCCCGTATAACACTCCGAGTGAATTCGCACCAGGGGCGGCTCGACCTGCTTTGGCGTTGAGGGTGACCCAGCCAGATCGTCATCATATCGGCTGCTGACTCGGCCTGGGTGCAATTTCCCAACGTACGCGCCACGAATCATTCGGTCCATCTCGGTCTCTCCTGGCCGAACGCTGTCCAAGCTCCGGCTGCGAATATTGTTTCCAAACACAATGGCCAAATGCTCCTTTCCATCCAAATCATTGTGATAGAGATGCAAAAACATTTCCGCTCCGTTGGTCGTCGGGATGCGCGCCCGCACAATGCATTCCACTGCTGGGAGCCGCGAGAGTAATTTGGGAGCTTTAGCATCCTGGCTCTTATGTTGAATATCTGCCGCCTGGCTTTCGTGAAGGACTGCGGTAGGATGTAAATCTAAGTTCAATGTGCCACCGGGGGTCGCAGGTGGGGTAAATGCGGGCGATATCAATGAGTCCGGTAGGGCCGGGGTTTGTTCGCCTGTAGTGCTCTGACTCAAGTCATTCAATTGTCCATCTGATCTGGTCGGAAGCGAACGCGGGGCGAGCTTTGGTGAGGCGTGGGCCGGTAAGTCGGTCATTGCGACGGGGCGGGGTAGTCGGAAGGGGTGACGCGTGAGGCTGCTGAGGGTCTAGTGTGCAGGGGTAGGGATTGAATGGCGCAGATGCATCAGACGAATATACACTTTTAATTGTAAAGTTGACTCTGCTCCGGCTATGCTCCCTCGGCATGAGGAGAAGATAGCTGAGTCATCTCTATGTCACCGCTTACTCTAGCACATTCTCTCGGGCGGTCCACATGGAATAGGTTTGAAGTCAAGAATTTACAACAATTTATAACTTCGAAGATTTCGTCAGCCTTATTTGATCTATATTATTATTTCTTTATGAAATGCTTGGCTTTTAGCCCTAAGTTAACCCCGAAAGTGAATACTGTTCTCACATATATATTCAACAACTCGAAGCCGACATCGGGGAAGAAAAGATAAACAATCACGGCAATTGATCACGCCACCAGGATGCAAGTGACACAGGTATGACCTGGGAACTTTCATGATCACTGTTGTAGCTATCTCGAAGGTACGGAAGATATCGTAGATCATACTTGTCCGTATTGTACGTGTTTGTCAAGAACATTGTATCGGTCAGCCTCGGCACTTCAATGAGGGGGCCATCGGCATCTTTCTGGCACCGGTAGATTGCTCGGCCACCTCTCTATTGTATATTGTACACATTTGAAACTGCTTTGTTCGGCTCCAGCTTTCTCCACGTAGATCCTAACTAGTTGGTAGCATCACCAGCTTGCCTACCCTGGGCCAAACGTGAACGCTGAATGATTATAGCTTGAAAAAAAGAGGTTATTCTTTCTACCTAAAGTATCTAGTCAAGATGAAAGCACCCCATATCCATGGTAGGCCTCCGAACTCCAGATAGCGCCGCGCTTAAATGGTATCATCATCACATCAGATCGTAGAAAAAGCCTGAGATTACTTGCCCAGAATGTCCAGCACAAATCGCCGGTCGACCTCCATCTCTTTATCGTCCTCTTCACCCTCAAACTTAAGACGATAGACATCCTTCCGCGCACCCATCACCTCAGCACGATAGAATGTGGTAGTGTCGGGGTATCGCGCGAGCACCTGCTTGCCGGCCGGATACGCAGACAAGTGGGTGCTCAGCTGGGGGATTGGAATAAGAGAGGCAGCGGTAGTCTTGTAAACCGCCCCCTGCTCACCATTCTCATTCGGCTCGGGGTCCTGCACATCATATCTGAAGACATGACGCGTCAGTCAATGTATGTCGATGGAATGCAAACGACCCAACGTAACTTACCGCCTCTTCGGTCCATCGCCAGTAACAGCTTTAATTATGCATTGTATCCCCTCGCCCTCGACACCTTGTTTGTTCTTGTTATGTTTGAACACAACCTGAGCTCCAACCACCAATAAGCCATTCCGCTCTGCAACGGTGCCCTTGGTCCCTTCCGTTGATCCTTCCTCGACCTTGACCATGATATTATCCTGGCGGCCCCCTTCGCGCGCTTGCGTGCTTGATGAGACGCTGGCGCTGCGTGGGATGGTCCCCTTTGAGCGAGCGGACTTGTCAGCCCCCGAGGTACTGGGGGAGTCGGTCACCGAACCTTCGACTTCATTTCTTTTCTTCCGAGACTTGTTGAACGAGGCGGACCGATTCGGAGGTGCTTCGGCTTCGGATGCCTTGCGCAACGCTGTGAGTAATTCTAGATTTTTGATTACGTCGCATGGCTCATCCTGCATGATCGAGCGCTCATCTTCGCTGAGCTTTTGGCTTAGGCGGAGCCAGCTATCCAGTTGGTCATGTTCAGCCATGGTCGGTTCTGCTTGTGGGGATAATGTTAGTATATGCAATTGATAAGCGGTCTGAAGTTATTTGGATCCATTGGACGCGACGAGCATATTAGAGCTTTGCGGTGGCGAGTATAGAGCCGAGGGATCTAGTGTGGGGACGCTCACGGTTGCCATCATGGGCGATCTTTTCCACCAAAGCTTTAATTTGCAAGGACAATGAAGTCTGCTGATCGAACTTCTCCTTTGATTTTCGGATATCCTGGCAGATCTTGGTCCATAGCTCCAGTTCCTCATTATTGCCAAAGCCGTTGTCTCTGGGTCGGGGGCGGTTGCGAGACATCGCGTCGCTTCTAGATTGTAAAGATTGTATGAATACTATGAGCAGCTAGCTGCCAACCAGAACCCTTTGGCAATAAGACCGGATTTGGAGCAACAAGTTGTTTATTGAAGGTGTTGGAGATGCGGTGATAAGAGCCCCGGGCGGTCGGGCTTGATACGCTAAACTACTTTGGGACATGGCGTAGATGCAGTCGACGTTGACAGTTGGACGAACTTCTTGTCTTTTCTGTTTGTCTGTAGTCAACTCTGAGAGGATTTGAGTATATTAACCCTATTGTCAGGATGTCTCTATGCGGCGATATGTTTTGGTTATAACGCGCAGGATGTTTGCGGAAGTACCTAATTAGGACTGACAGGTTAGGATACTCCGTACGGAGTAAATCCCAAGCAACAAAAAGCCGGGAATTCCCCGAAATGCCACGGGATCAGTTTCAACTATTAGAGCTCCCGACGTGTGTCATAGAGATCATAGCGATCACAAAACTCATATACCCTGTCTGACAGCTCTCACCGAAGGGCTTGGCGGGGCATTTCCAACAAAAATTTGCCCCTCCACTTCTTCTCTCAACATCCATTTCAAGATGCAGGTACCATTACTTCGGTTACAATGCGGTAAGATCTGAGCTGCTCTATAGAAGTAACATGACTGATATGTTTCTCTTTAGGCGTCAACAGCTACGACTGGGGTAAGCTAATACATGCGATATTGTGTCCCCCGCACTAATGTTCGTCATAGGCAAGGTCGGCCAAGAGTCGGCAGCGGCCAGATATGCGGCCACAACAGCCGCCCCGGACTTCGCGATTGAGGCCGAGAAGCCCTATGCTGAAGTAAGTGATAGCTTGAATCGAATATTGAACCTAATGGGCTTACGATACATAGCTCTGGATGGGCACACATCCGTCTCTTCCCTCTAAAGATGTTGAGACTCAGCGTACCCTTCTCGACATGGTTCAGGATAACCAGGCCCTGCTGTCGACCGATATCAGTGAGCGATTTGGAGGCAGACTCCCGTTCCTGTTCAAGGTGCTTTCCATCCGCAAAGCGCTTAGCATCCAGGCCCATCCCAACAAGAAGCTCGCGGAGCAGCTCCATGCCCGGGACCCAAAGAACTATCCCGGTATGTGTAACCCATGATCAAATACAATTGAAGAACACCTGGAATGGTGGCTAACCAACAATAAGATGACAATCACAAGCCCGAGATGACCATTGCCATCACTCCGTTCGAGGGTTTGTGTGGCTTCCGTCCGCTCGCAGAGATCACGCATTTCCTTCAGGCCGTGGAGCCTTTGCGCGCACTGGTGGGCAACCAGGCGGCGAGTGAATTTGAGCAGCTCGTCAAGGGCAACGAGAACTCAGATGACCCTGCTGTCATCCAAAAAAACAAGGCAGCACTGCGCTCCATCTTCACGACTTTGATGGAGTCGTCATCCGAAAAGATAGAGACAGCCTGCAAGGAGCTTATCTCGGCTGCGGACAGCAATCCCGATAGTTTTGCAACCCTGTCAGGTGAGGTGGAGACGAACCCTACCAACCCAGCCGAGCTGGCTGCCCTTGCCAAGCGTCTCGACGGACAGTTCCCCAACGACATCGGCCTGTTCATCTTCTTTTTCCTCAACTTCGTCAAGATGGAACCTGGCGAGGCTATGTTCCTGAAGGCGGACGATATCCACGCGTACATTTCTGGTGATATCATTGAGTGCATGGCATCCTCTGACAACGTGGTGCGAGCGGGTTTCACCCCCAAATTCAAGGACGTCGACACCCTCACCCAGATGCTAACTTACTCCTACGCACCAATCGAGGAGCAGAAGCTTCGGGCAACAGACTACCCATATGTCGTCCTGAACGCTCCTGCTTACTCTAGTGCCTCGTCCGCAATGCTCTACGATCCTCCTATTGACGAGTTCAGCGTCGTCAAGACCGACTTGAACCGGACTGACGCCAAAGCCACTTTCGACCCAATCGACGGCCCTAGTATTCTGATTTGTACTCGCGGTAAGGGCAAAATTACCGTTGGCAATAAGACCGAGGAGGTCCAGGAGGGATATGTTTTCTTCGTCGGCGCTACCGCTCAATGTGTTATTGAGAACACTGGTAGTGGCGAGGGTGATGAGGATGTCTTTACCACCTATAAAGCATTCTGCGAATTGACCGCGACCGGTGAGAAAAACTAGGTCACTGGTGGTTGAGCCGTCGTATTCTAACCTGTAGCGTCAAGATGAAACTCCTCGTTCTAGCATCAGCGCAAACCTGTGAAGTGCACAGCATAGGGATGATACTCTGGCGTGAAATAATAAAATATGAAAAAATATGAAAAGTATACAATACCAGAAGACGAATTGGAGGTGCTCAGCCTGTAGTTGCCGCCAAGGCCTCACCAATATTGTGCCGATTGTCTGAAGAGCCTGATCTTTGTGCCAATGAATCCATGGAATTACTTGTTCGCTGACTGTACCTGGACTGCCCTTTGTTCGCATTGCTGGTTTTCCTTTCTCTGGCATATATATGCAGTGTTATAGCATGGCATGAGACATGAGTTGCGCTCAGGCTCAGGCAGCTCAGGCGCTAACTGTGTTGGTAATATTGTACTATTGGTTTGAAGATCGGTCCAACATGACACTCATGTCTGATATTCATCCAAATTTATATTATTATTTGCAAGTTTCAACATGATACGTGGCGGCTCTTCGGCATGGTCAGCAAAATAGGCGCTAAGTGCACGATCGTCTCGGTGTCTGTTTTATATCTCTAATTGGAACGCAACAAAAGGTGTTTCATCGATCGTGTCACTTGAATTCAATAGAGCATTACGCATGTAGTCGATTTTGCGCAATTACCATATTTAACAGCATGAGTGACGCCGGGAGTCTCATTGGATCTTAGTAGAGCTGCCCTCCATTTACCCAGGCTCTGCAAAGCTTAGTGGCAGTGTTTTTGGTTTTCAGCCCAACATATAATAGCAACCAGAACTCATGACTGATACAAGAAATGTTTCAATGTCGGCCTGGTGACTACTTTGGCTTGGTTGACGATTGTGTTCTGCGTTAAGCGAGTAGCTATTACTCGTAGGATACAAAGGGGTTGAACCAAATAGCATGTATGGCTTGTAGGTGCCCTTTGCCAGCTTTCAGCTTTGCACTTGACGTGGATATAAGTTGGCCGTCACCTCGCTAAAATGATCCCTTGATGTTCTCCTACCACTCTCGTCTTTCAGACTTATCTTGTCGTTTCCTTGCAGGACAGAACATTCACTAGCAGGCTGAGATCGTCTATTTCATTTTTTTGTTCTCGTAATGCCAGCCCACAACAGAATCCTGACGAGAGCTTGTTCGAAACTTCCTATCTTGGTCCTTGACAGTCTTCGAAAAGGTTCGATGGGAATTACACTAGACGAAAAGCACCAACTTCTTCTTGAAGAATCTCAGCAAATTCTGAAGAAGTTGAAGAAGCTGGAGGAGCTAGATGTCTATTTCGATGCATCTGAGAATGCCCCAGCGGAGGTCAATATGCAGAGAAAACTAGCCTCTATCAGGTCAAGCGTTCAAGAGATCCAATCCTTCTGGCTACCCGATGTTCTACGGGCATGTGACTTATATCATTACAGCCCGAAAACTAGTGGGAAAGAAGATTCATTCAAAATTCCCCTTGAATTCCTGGCCATGCTACATGAAGCAGCAGGGTAAGCACTTTCCAGACCATCTGAATGATATCTCCCATGCTGACAATACTAAGGCTAGCATACAAGGACCGGGATTTTCAACTGGGGATCGAACTGCTAGATTTTAGCTGTCACATATTTTTCCACTCCCGCTTTGACATAAACGGAGAAGAAAGAGCCAAAGACGAGGAACTTGCTACAGCAGAGTTCTTGTATACACAAATTGGTATTGAAATGGAAGACTATGACTTTGCATATGAGCATATCAAGAAAGCGATGCAGCAATACCTTGATCAAAGGTCAGACTTTCGTGTTGAGGTACGCTACCGGGAGCGAGAGTGGATGCTTCGAGGTTGCATGGCGGAAGCATTGGATGGCAAGGGCTCCCATAAAGAGGCCGAAAGATACTATCGCGAGGCCCTCAGCCTCCGGCCACTTCATAATAAATACAGTAGGTACGAGGTGGGCCTCGGAAGGTGCCTGCTTTTGCAGGGAAAATCAACTGAGGCTAAAAAGCAACTTGCGAGTTTTCTCCTGGAGCTCGAAAGAGCACCTGGTGCTGTGAGTCGAACGAGAAATCATTGGTAAGACAAAAAATTCTAGGTCCTGACTCTTCCTCTTCTTATTGACCAGGTATCCTCAGGATTGGTCTTACTCTTTACTGGCTAGGAAATGCACACGATGGTGACGACGGCGCTACGGCATTCGAGTTCTATTTTCGGGCTTTCGAGAGTCTGAGGCTCTCGTTGGGCGAAGCAGACCCTATGTTTGGAGCGGCAAGCTACAAACTCGGGGAGCATCATTACACTCAAGCCGTCACTGAGTCATCTGATGTCAAATTCCATGCTGATGCCGCGTTGTATGTTTATATGAGTCTTGTTTTAGGTGTAACAAGGAATGTGCTAACTCTACAATAACAATATAGGCTCTACTTTCGCACAGCGTTGGAGGTATTTCACTCCGGGCATAGTAGCGAGTATCGGAAGGCTGACCGTGCTCGTGCCTTGTACAAGATCGGCTGTACCTACGAAGTCTTGCGAGGGCTGGACGAGGCAAAACGAGCCGAATACTCACAAGCAGCGGATCAGGCATTAGACAAGGCTTTTGATTTGCAAAAGGAGATCATCAGTACTCGCAACTTGGATTTGAACGAAATCATTCATGATCAACTGGTTAGCCGGTGGTCCCGCTAGGGCAGCAGTATGGGATTCGGGGTCCGGGGTCTTTGTCAACCTTCCTGCGTTTGCGAGATTTCCGTCAATTAGTCCTTCGTAGAATAAGCTCTGGGTTGCTGGATTGGTATGCGCCAGACTGCGAGCGGGAATCTCGAATTTACATGTATTCAAAGAATTTTAAATCATTCGTTATCCACAATAGCTTGAGTAGGTATTCCTTGCTTGACAGGACGCCCGCACTTTCAAAGAAAAACATTATAAAATAACTAGATGGGACATTCTACGACCCGGATCCATCTTCTGTCAAAATCTCCTGGGAAAGAGCTGCTTCTGTATGATAACCAAGCTAATTCAGTATTGCCCTCGTTATGGATCATGCTTGATTGATATTTCAAAGCTTCAGGTTGGCTGGAGAGGGGGGGAAGAGAAGAATTGTCCTATTGTCTAGCTGCCGTCGTCTGAAAGAGAGTTGCCAGTTACATGCCAACTATGTACATGGTAGCACTGGGTCAATAGTTTCAAGCTAAACCAGACTGCAGCCCTCCGGCACTGAGACGATGAAGCTTGTCGTCACGTGTGCCACTCACAGCAGCTTCTTCTCGCTTGAGGCCATACTGCTCTGCAGATTGGCACTCAATGCCACAATTTTACATAGAATTGCCAATACCTTCCAGACCAGATGGTTGCTTCTTGCGGCCGTGTGCGCCGTTATGCCTGACCTCGGTGTTTGTCTGGCCTTGCATTGGCCTGCCTAGGCCGCGGTTCACATCACCCGAGGTTGCCCCAGTAAACGTATCTGCGGCGGATACGTAAGTGGACTCTTCCTCTTCTTCCGCGTTCACATTGAAATTATTCTCTTCACCGGGGTTGGCGGTATAAGAGTTGCTTGCTGAGGCGGAACCGGGAGGGAATGCCTGAGCGTGGTATTCGGGACGCTGGTCAAGCTCGCTGACCTTCTGGCCAAGTTGATGCTGTAGGCTTAATTAATGCGGTGTAATATTGAGAGCTCTAAAGTAAAACATACACCCTTAGTGGTAATTGGCCCTTCACGAGGGACTGAGGGCCTAAAAGCACCCTGCTTGGCATTGGCGACGTTATCAGCTTTTGATGAATGACTCATTATGAATGGGAATTGTCCTTCGATGCTGAGAAGTAGCCAAAATGTTGATTATGATATACTAGCTCTCGGTTCTTATATCTCAGTGCGTATGATGTAACTATGTGGTATACCCTGCATGGAATATACAACAAATTAGCCCAATTTACATGACGTCAAGCTCATCGCCATCACAGTGACAAGTGGCTAGTGTTGCTTATTCTTAATGAACATGCTGAAACAGATAAAAAGCTAGGTTTTCATTAAATGAAGGTTCTATTCATTGCTTCAACTTCTCCATCGATGAGAGAGGTGAAGTGCTGGTGATATCAAAGCGTGAAATACCCTTAACAGCCACATCTTTGATAATACAATACAAGGAAACCATAAGTAGAACGTTGAAGTCGAAGACACAGTGAAATAGAGGAGCCGGCAACCTTCTCTGGTAGCTTGTCATTTTGGATTTGGATGACATGCCATTCTTGATTTCGTCTCAAAAGAGCAAGAATTATCGAATAGTAGGCGTGCGGCTTGAGGAAGGAACAGTCGACAGAAAGACAAGGACTGTCATGATAACCCAAATAATAATAAATCAACTGTTTTCACCTACCCCTTACTGGGTGTCGTCGATTTCTAAGGTACCTGGATTGTGGGCCACCATTTTACCATCCTTGTTCTGGAAGCGTACCTGTCCAAGAGAACGCATGCTTAGCATGATACAACTATCCACATAAGCTCATGACGCTGAACTCACTTTCGGCGGATTCTTTACAGCAAGCTCCTCAGCTCGTTGCTGGTTTGTGACTATCTCTTTCACCTGATATAGGAATAATTAGCACACTCTAGTGGCACAACGAACTGTTAGCCATGAGTTATGATAGTTGACTAACATATCCTTCGTGTGTTCCGCCGCGAATTCTGGTTCCAACATAATCGCCGGGGTGAATAACATTGCCGTGCTTGTCGGTAACCTCGTCATCACCCATGATGTTGAATGTTTGCGGCAAAGATAAATTAAGTAGCTAAAACTCCTTATTGAGCGTATGAGTACTCGATCGGAAATGCAACGTTTTCATATTTCTACATATATTAGTTTGGGCAGAGCCACAATGATCTCACATGTGCCTCATCCATACCGGTCTGATTTGGCCAGATGGCGCTACTGATAGCTTCTGGCTGGGGGCTGATGGACCACCCCTAACGAGGAAGATCTTGGATTCTAGTGTGGCTGGTTGGTTCAACTACGTGAGCAGATGGGTGCAGATATGTCGAGGTGAATGTGTCCTAGAAGTTTTCATAGGGCGTATTTAAGCTTCTTATAAGACATGATACCGCAGTATTGTTGGGTAAAACCCATCCTATCTTATAAGGGCCGGAGTTGACACCAGCGTCACATTTACACTCTCTGATTATTTCCTGACCCTTACCTTCCCAGACTCACCAGTGAACATTTCTCTATACTATACCCCGTAACTTCTTACAACATATCATCTCAGTACTCGGGTTACTGTTTCTGGGCGTTCCGTGACAAAGGACTGACGTCATCTGTCATCAACGCCAATTGCAATTGAGACGTGCTGGGATCGTGAGTCTGTTGGTTTCAAGTTCAGAACGCAATCAATCAAGTTTAAAGGGATCTGTAATTCCTGTTATTGTCAAACCATCCAAGGTACCTCTCCAGTCCATGGTCATCAACCTGTAATATGTGTGGTGTTCTTTCGTAAGTGGCAGTGTTGAAGGTCATGCATTCTTGATTGCACATACCCAGTGACCTTTCTTGCCTAATAGAAATCCTAAAAGAGATCTCAGCATGCGTCATCTCTTTGACCATTGTCATCAACGGGGTACTCCAAGGTTGATATATCTAGAAGGGCATGGCTCACAGCTCGCCGGGGTTTGAAGTTTGTACAGACATTGTGTGAACCGAAATTATATATTGTGACCACCAATTTTCATGTATGATTTCATGTTATGCCGAGAGAAAGCCTACGATGTTGGCAGCCCGATTCCACGGACGCGGTGATATTCGCCTCGAGAAGATCGAAGAGCCGCAATGCGGCAAAGGGGAAGTCAAGGTATTTGTCCGGCCTTAGCGAATATTGACATCTACTTCAATTCCGTGAAGGGCACTGATATTGTATTCTACAGCTGAGGTTGGCTTACGTTGGAATATGTGGTAGTGGTAAGCAACCATTGCCCATACTGTTCGGCATTCTACTAACATATGAAGACCTCCACGAGTACACATCTGGCCCTGTTCTGATCCCTAAAACACCACATCCAATCACGGGGTCCAAATACCCCGTCACTATGGGTCATGAATTCAGCGGCATCGTTGTGGAAGTTGGCGACGATATACAGCACATCTCCGCGGGCCAGCGAGTAGTTGTGCGACCGACTATCTTTGACAAAACCTGTCCTTCCTGTGCAAGTGGGAATCAACATTGCTGCGATAATATTGGGTTCATTGGTCTCAGTGGTAAGCTTGTTATATTCTTGATAGTGTGTGGAAGCGGTCGTTAACTTTTGGGTAATTAAAGGCTATGGTGGTGGTCTGGCCGAGTATCTCGTCGCTCCTGCCGAACACTTTTACCATATTCCAGAGAATGTCTCCCTGCAGTCAGCGGCATTGGTGGAACCAGTTGCAGTAGCTTGGCATGCGGTCAACATATCGCCTTTCAGACCTGGTGATAATGTTGTAGTCGTTGGAGGAGGTCCTATCGGCATTGGTATTGTACAAGCCCTGAAGATACATGGGGCCAAAGAAATCATAGTGGTTGAGCCCATTGAAAGTCGGAGGCAGTTAAGCAAAGACTTTGGTGCAACGCATCTGCTAGATCCCCACGACGTGAATATTCCTGAGACGGTACTTCGATTGACCGATAACATTGGTGCCGACGTCGTATTCGATACCGCGGGCGTGGAAGGAGCCTTAAACGGGGCTATACCAGCATGTCGAACCCATGGCACCATAGTCAACGTTGCGGTTTGGGAGAAAAGGCCGGCTGTCCAGGTGAATGATTTGATGTATAAGGAGCTAAACTATATGGGAGCAGCCCTGTATGATAATACATCTTTCGAACGTGTGATTCAAGCAATGAGCTCTGGTAAGTGTTGCATTATCAAAATACCTTGTTTACAGACACTAATCGATTTCCAGGCCAGTTGAATCCTGATAAGATGGTCACTTCGAAGATCATGCTGAGCGAAGTGGTGGAAAAGGGATTTAAATCTTTGCTTGAGAACCGGGATGAACATTGTAAGATCTTAGTGGATATGCAAGTCACAGGAGACGTGGCTGATTTTCGTTGAGACCGTGATAAGCATCATGTCAATGATTCAGTCTTCATGAACTTATAAGTGTACAGTTATATGCTTATGGCGTAAGACTAATAGCTCAGCGAAAGAGTCCCATCGTGGGTAAAATATGCCTTTGTACAATTTTGTCCAATGTGCTTAAATTAAGAAACCATACCGTACTGGGACCTGTGAATTACTGCATCCGGTTAGTTTTGTCTTTTTGAGTCGCCTCAATACGCCGTCACGTAACCTACGATGCCGACATAAAAGACCTGTTTTCGCTGCTCCTCCCTTTCTCTCACTTTTCCATTATTCTGCCTCTCTATCTTGCACTTATTGTCGCCCCCTCCACCTTCAAGTTCTTCTCTTCGCCTGTTCCCTGTTCTCTGCCACTTTCTTTTAATAAGCGCCCGCATATCCAAAGGGGTCTTTAGCCGTCTCTTCACAATATATGTTAAGCGTGAGTTTTCCCTTGTATTTTTATCGTGGATAAGTCGGTGGATCTTCGTATCGGCAAGCTACACTTTGTCGCATGACTCTTGTCAGTTCAACCTGCTCAAAACGCTCGGAAGAGGCAGTGGGCGGTAAGCAGATATAAAGGGTCGTTGGAACTCCTCAGACCGAGAAAGACGCTGACCATCTGTTTATGGTTCTTTCTCTTCTATTCTAATTCATTGCGTCTTGAGAATTTCCAAAACACTACAGAAAAAATTCGGTCCCGCATTCCTCAACGATTACGGCTCTCCTAGTACTGGGCAGGTCCAAACAACAGAGGAAGAGTGTGAGTAGCTACTACCTGTCCAAGAGGGTATGGTATGGCAATACAGGTACTGAAGATTATGCAACTAGAACAACATTAAACACACTGAACAAAATATGTACGCAACTAATGATCCTCAATCCAAATGATGATAATAGATTATTGGTGCTTCCAGGAGGATAGTTAATCAACATTGTCACTCTTAAATAGATCGCCATACTAGAGATCAATCGAACGGCCAAAAACGCTCGTACTCAGCCTTTTCCTCATCAGTCTCAGCCAATTGCTCCAATATCTGACCTTTGACTTCGTCGAGCATAGCTTTGCAATCATCATATCGCTCGTGCTCGATGAAACCTTTGTCTGGCCACAAATCCCCCATTCTCTCTTTGACCTCCGCAACAAGCTCAGTCCCTGCCACTGCACCATCGCTATCTAGTTTAATACGCTCAGAATCTTCTTCCGAAAAGTCAAATGGGAATGGGATGTCGCTGCTCACGGCAGGTAAGTCCGTCCACGTGTCCTTCAGATCGACTAGAAGCGATTGGAAATGTGCCTCGCCGTATTCGAACATTCGGTGGGCAAGAAATATCAGGCCGTAGGCTGCCGTCTTTCTAAACTCGACTACTCGATATAGATCTGGGTTTTTGGCATGCATGAGCTTCCGCCATCCAATTAACACATTTTGGATGGTATATTCGTGCACAGCCGCAGATCGTTCTTCTGGAGAAAGCCCAGAGAGTTTCGGCAGTGGTGCCAGATCGAGAGTCTCAGGCTCAAGGCCACCCCAGTCGAGGAAGGCCGGGTCGGGATTGTGGTTGAAGAGGGGCGAAATGTGGCAAGACTGCCAGTCGATGATGCCCGTAATTTTTTCGGGATTATGCGGGTCTACGAAGACGTTGTCATCGTGCAAATCGTTGTGCCAGAGGCAGGGGCTGGTGATGGCAGTATCCTTTGGGATAAGGGCATCGATGATTTGTCGGTACCATGTTAGAGCAATACTCTTCTTTTCTTTGTCTGGTCGGTAGAGTTTTGGGCCACAAAATAAGGCAATCTGTTTCGGAGGTTTCAAAGACTGGATTGCCTTTGTCTCTCGTGCCCCGACTGCTTGCAGATACTGCGTTAGAGAAGCCCCTGCAAGCTTATCAGCGGCTGCGCGAAACAGATACGAACGACGACGTACATGGCCCTTTCTCGATGTCCAAAATTGATCGGTCTGCATCAACCCAATCCCGGCCTGTAGCCGGGCCAATAGCAAATTCTGGGTCTCTGATGACCTTGCCATCCTTGACGTAGTAGCTGTCTGCTGGTGGCTGCACGTCTCCTGTATAGTACAAGCTACCATAATGCGAGAATGAAACGCTCAGCCATTGCTTCTGGAGATGTGTCATGGCAAGAAGCAATTGAAGCTTCTGGGGTAGTTTCAAGGTGCCCCAGACTTGAGACAGCGGAACACCCTCGAATTTATCCATGATGATAAATTCAGCGCCAACAGGGTGTGAGCTTGCCTGCGAGTTCCATGAGTATACGCGAGGCGCTGGTGTCTCAAGAACCTTTCTGGCCTTCCAAATCAGTCATGTTAGCATGACTCGGTGTGGATGGAGTTCAATTTAAACATACAAAGTCCATAGTGGCGACTTCACTGGCCGTAGTCAAGTGTGGGACGCCAGCATTCGGGTTAGGCACCTTGGCTATGACTTCTCGGCCATCGTCCATGGACATGAGGAATGCTTTGTTGAACATGCCGTCGGGGTACTTCTTGATAGAAATGCATCGAGAGGCGCCGACCGAGTCTGCTGCGACACGTGCGAGCCTATTCATGTCGAATCTGATCTCTCGCTTTCGGAGATTCTCTGCCTCATCTACAATAAAGCAGCCACGCGTGAATTTGAAGAATTCATCGTTAGAATTCCAGTCTGATAGAGATTAGAGATGTTGAGTTGCGCTCAGATGGACGTGCTTACCTGTCTGAGAAGGGCCCATGCTGGTTGGACTGTAGTCGTAGGATAATGTTGGAGCTTTTGAAATTGAGCGGCAGTGTTGCTTTGGGCTTGGAGGTATCCTTTGAAGATAGCACCAAAGACGCGCGGATGGGCGTCGGCACATATTCCAGGAAATGCAATGCCTCTGATGACGCCTTCCTTCCAGGAACCACGTAGCACTCGATCACAGGGACATCAAACTGTCGAAAAAACCAAGGGGCAAAAATAAGATCGATTCAGGGAATGCTGCTTTGTTACGCAAACCGAGCGATGATGATCCCTCTGTGATCCCAAGCGGTTTGCAGGGGTGACCACAGGTCAGTAGGGCCCGCCTGACCTCTCACATTGGTTGTCAAATACAATGGTATCCTGAAATGTATGGGTCCAATCAATGGTGTTAAAATCTCTGTATTGCAGTATCCGCTTTCCTAGCAATTTATGGTTAGCTATAAGCGGCGGATTCCTAATTCAAAATTACTGAACAAACTGGATAAACAAAATCTCTGGTATGCCGGTCCATATACTCCGACAATATCTTCAAAGTGTCCTGCCGAGCTAGGAAGCGATTCGAACAGGCTCGGCCAACTCATACTCTCCAAAAGTCACCCCACCGTACTACGAGCACACAGAATATCTTTCCGCTCGAAGAAACATAAACTTAGTCTGCGTCTTATTGAGACTTCTGTTCAATATCCCTCTTGAGAATGACTGTCGAAATGCTTTTGACAAGCTCCGAGTCGCCGGCGATACGAAAAACACTCAACCATTCATAGAGAACCCTTAATTCGATGTTATCACGACTGGAGGGAGCAAGTTCTGTATAAAGCCATGTATTCCTCATGTGAGAATACAAATCTTGAAAATTGACAAGACTGCGTAACTCCGCAACCATGCCGATGGCTTGCTTGGCCACCTTAATTCGCTCGGAGATAGAAAGATTCCGAACCCAGAGACGAACTCCTAAACTGACAGAAAGAGGTTCGATCAAAGCAAACGGCTCAGTGGACGGGAGTCGGCGTAGCACAAGCTGGGCTTCACAGAGCTCATCGAGTATCTCGTCAACCTTGTATTCCTTGCGCGCATTATTATATGAGTAGAATGGAGAAACACATTCAGGATAGGGAGGCTTCTGAGATTCATGACGCAAAAGAGAGTACACCTCTTGCACGGTGAAATCGGAGAGAACGCCCATCGTCTTCAAACACTCGCAAGCGGCAGGATTGCTCTCTAGAAGACCCATTCGAAACAAAGTCATGCTGGTTTGCTATGTATAGTTATAGATTCTTTTGACAGACATAGAATTTTGAAGGTTCTCGGTTGGTAATCCAATACGCCTGACACAGGAAGGTGTTGAGAACGAGAAGAGACCGGAAACCGGTTCTTTATATATGCGGTTGCCCACTGCCATGTTCTGGCCCAAAGCAGTGCCAGAAGACATGAGGCTTAGAATTGCCATGAAAGGTGCTTTGATTGATACATACATACACATGAACCTCTGAGCCACGCGGAACGTTCTTGGACTTGATGGCACGAAAGTTGAAATACACAGATACCAATGAATGGTTCAGCCACCCAAGTACGGGATTATTACGAACCATATTATTTACCGGGGTCATCATCTCTGAGACGTACCGTGTTCCAAATACAGATGAACGTTTGGCGGCTAATGTAACATTTCAATAGACAGTAAGCAGTATGAGTCTCAGCCACTTCACAATTCAATTATGCGACATTCCTTTGGGGTAGGTTTCTATCCAAGCAATGTCTACGAGGTACAGGGAAGAAGGTAGGTTTGAAAATGCAGCTTCACTACAAAATTCACGCAAAGTGAAGTAAAGCAGGGTTAATGGATGAGATATATATCCTCAACGCCTAGTCTTGGGCCAACACAGCTGAGACAGTATGTCCTCGCGTGGTGACGTGCACTCCATTTGACCAAAGGCACCAAAGGCGAAACGAGAGCTTGCCCCTTTCTCGTTTCCAAGGCCTCTCAAGCAACTGGTGCCCTTGAAGGGGCAGTGGAATTTGAATTTTCTTGAGCATAGTGCTAATATAGTCCTTTGCCGCGTGCTATCAGGGGCTACTCAAGCACCTATCAGGACAGGACTCGGGGTGCTCGTAGCTTTCTGGTCCATCAAATGTCGTATTCGACATATCGAGTACTGTTAAGTGATGGCATTTGAATACTGCAAGGCTTTCTTGGGGCCAGCACATCTCATCCTATTCCGGCTATGAGACGACGTGTCGCACTGAATCAGACCTAACTAACAGCAGGGGTTGGAAATGTGAACCCGCGCCTTTGTAGCCACGACTTCTCTTCTCCTGTTTTCAATTCCAATCTGCTTGCTGATTTCCTACATAGCCTCATAGTTTCTTCTGTTAATACCGCATGCGTATCAGCAGACATCACGCTTCACTCATTCTATGGCCATGAGTCCTTTGCCGATCGCTATATGGTTCCGTCTGTGGTATCCTGCTTACCTCCTGTGTTGTCCTTGACAGGAAAACATGGCGCTCTTGACCCATAGCCTCTATTCCTGTCCAATCGTGAATCGGTCATTGCCCAGAGTAGACGAGGTCAGGCTGATACGTGAGGTTAATGGCAGCCTTGGAGGTGTTTAGGCTGTGTCATCGTCTGGGGTCTTTCTCTCTCATCCTCACACATATAAACCTACCCACACACCAACTATCATTCTCTATTCAGACATTCTCTTTCACCTCTCTTGGTAGCGGAAAGAACTACGTTCACGCTCCTATTTGCCTCCTTATCTTCCACACCACGTTTCTGGCATAGGAAACAATACACTCCCCATCGTCTAAGCAAATCCTTCTTCTGCGTTCGCCCTTATACAAACTAATCATCGCGCTTAGGAAGTTTCTATCTCTATTATCAATCTTGAATGTTATGGCATGCCTTTTATCGATCCTTTTTTGATCGATTTCAACCCAAAGTGATCGGATGCCCTTACCCCTTGAGCTAAGTTCCGTTGTTTTATCAGGTAACTATTTTACATTTGGCAGCTACCAAACAGCCTTGCAACGATCTCGACAAGGACAGAAATTCGATGGACTTACTACGAGGGCACCAGTCCCTATGTCGCACACCCGTGCCATCATCTTCTTTGCCTCAAATATACTGAGATCATTGCCAAAGGTGCGTAAATCGGGTAGGCTGACCTTGAAGAATCTTTGTATAATAGGTATCATCGGCATCTCTCCAACGTGCCCCTAGTTTCTTGACAGGTATGTTCCCCGAGGTCCGTGGTTGCTTGCTAAATTTCCCATATATGACCTCTCTTACCATGATTTCTTTTTATATATGCAAGTAAGTTCAACCCCAATTTCCATCGTACGGCTTACAGTAGAAACCCCCTTAAAACGCCAACACGCCGAACTCGGCGCTAAAACGGAACCCCTGGAGATAGATCACGATGCAGATCGGCCCAAAGCCAATCAGCGGCCGACGGCTTCACATCCTGCATGCTCCACAGCCGAGGGAATGAAAAGAGCGGGGAGCCAAGCTATAAAGATGTGAGTCCCAGCTCCCCTTCTCCCTCAAAACTTCCACAGTAATCTAGTCATGTCCAATCACGGTGTCCCCCAGCTTGGCTTGTGGGAAAAAGCAGATCTCCCATTCCTACACCTGTCCGTCTTTGCCAGTCTGGTGTATGCTGCCATTACTGGTGTTTTCCGGGGTAAAGCCAGCCCCAAGCGCTATGATCATCATGTTCTAGCGGCCGTGATTCGGAAAATGGTGGATCGGAGGTCAGATCGGCAGACACAGTATGTCCCCCCGGCTTTTAACCTGCACATCACTCCCAATCATCCATGAGAATGGACATGAAAATTGACGTGGGTCGCGCAGGTATCTCACCCCTCCAACTTCAGTCGCCTACGCAGCCGTCATGAAAAAGCGTGGCCTTGAACCCGAGACTGTTGCGCTCCCACACGATGCAGAGGGCCACTGGATCGGAAATAAAAATGCCAAGAACGTGATTATATACTACCACGGTGCGTTCCCCGATCTCTATCGTGTAACATAACACGTGCAGTAATGATCCGCAAAGCAAAAAGTCCATAGATCTGTCAGAAAACACAATACTAACAACCCCTAGGTGGCGGTTTCGCCATGCCCGCCATTGCTGCTTACTTTGATTTCTGGCTGGAGATGCTGAATGCCCTGAATGGAACTGGCCACGACTTGGCCGTTTTCTTCCCGCGGTACACACTGACCCCACACGCCTCGTACCCAACTCAGCTTCGCCAAGCCGTCGAGGCCCTGCGCTACATCATCAATGAGACTGGTCGCTCGCCCGCCAACGTGATTATTGGCGGGGATTCCGCGGGCGGGAATCTGACTGCCGCGACACTGTTGCACCTGTCTCACCCGCACCCTGAGATCGAGCCTTTGACGCTCTCGGTGCCGTTGGCAGGCGCCTTTACATACGCGCCGTGGATTAACTTTAGTACGGAGTGGCCATCGATGAAGGAGAATCAGTGGAAAGATATTGTTACGGAGTCGGTTTTGACTAGGTGGTCCGATGCATATCGGGCAGATAAGCCGGCGGATAATTGGAATGAGCCATTGAATGCGCCGGCTGAGTGGTGGAGTGATGTGAAGGCGGAGAGGATTTTGGTTCTTGCTGGCGAGGATGAGATTTTGCTTTCGCCTATTCAGGAATTTGTGAAGAAGATCAAGTCGGTCTTTGAGGAGGTGACTCTTGTCGTCGGGCAGTATGAGTCGCATGATGCGCCGTTTTATACGATGACAAAGGAGGACTCCCAGACCAAGACGGAGTTGCGACAATGGTTGGCTGCTCGGCTGTGATTCATCTCCTGGCACTTATCGGGGCACCAAGACGGGCTAGAAGCCAGGACTCATTGTTCCTATGTCTCGTACCAAACTACAGATGGGAAATTGAATCCAGATATTGTTCTTGCAAGCTTGAGAGGTCGTATCTTTTCATAAGCAGGATGGGCTTCCCTGACTCGGATTAAGTAAAACAACAAATATATGGGACAGCATTGAAATTATTCTACGATGAGACTTTAGCAGAGAACTTGGCTGCTGCAGCATCGAAGAACTCGCTTTTCTCCTGGATATCGGTAATAAGAGGGTGCGCGGGTTGGACCTGCTGTAATTGGCTAGATGAGAGACTAAAGTCAGTGTCGGGTTCGCTATCGCATATGAACGGAGCTGCGGGGGTATGACATACGACTCCAGGTCCTCGGTATTCTTGCCGGCCAGCACATTCAAAACAATGCTATTGGCAATTAACTCGACGTCGGTAGGGTATTTCTCAAGGGCGGAGGTGAGGGCGGCCTCAGCCTCGGGCAGGCGACCCAGGTGGATCTCAGCGACAGCTTGACCGACGATAGATAGGGGTGCGGAGGTGCCGGGCGCGGAGGCGAGCTCCTCGTAGACGTAGAAAGCAGACTGGTACTTCTCTCCGCCCTGTACAGTAGAAATGCAAGTCAGCGCTGATACGCCGTTAAGGGGCGCTTTTTTTATTAACATACAACTCTCAAGCCAACCCATGACTCGGCAATGTTGACCAGCAGCGAATCCTGAGCCCAGCGCTTGGCAGCCTGGACTTCCTTGAGTGCGAGATCGGCCCGGTTTTGTTGGAGTTGAATCTGGACGATGAGGGAGACGCTAATAGACACGCCGAGTGTCGGATTAGTATGCCCAGCTATATCACAGTCTGCTTGCGAAGGGTGTACTCACGCCTCGAGGTTACCCTGATGCTTGGACAGCAACGCTAGCGCCTCCTCGCTGTGGCCCTGGGCCTGGAGCACGGTAGCAGCGAGAACCTGCACGGTGTTATTCTCGGGGTAGTTCTCTGCGAGCTCTTGTGCGAGCTGCAGGGCAGCGTCTGTCTTTCCGGCGGACTGCAGGGCCAGGGCTCTGACGGCCGACAGGTCGGGGCTATCCTCCTCGATGGAGGGCTCGGCGAGGCTTTCCTCGTATTGACCGAGAGCAATTTGTGCGCGGAGTCTGAGGACTTGGGCAGGAAGTTGATTCTCGGGGGAGAGCGCGGCGGTGTCGAAGTCGATCACATTCTGGTATTGACCGGAGTGGAAGGCGCTGTGGATGTTGAGGAGCTCTGCGGGGAAGCCGAATTAGCGGTGATCGGAGCTGTTTTAAAAGATACCAAGCTTACCGCCCTCTGCAGAAAATGGATCCATGTTGGCTGTGGTGGAGGAATTGGTTCGAGGGAAATGGGTTGTTGTTGATGATGCGCTGTGGCCGCACTTGTTCACGGTGGCTTTATGGCGGAGAAGCAACTCTGCCGAGATAACACGGGGCAGGTGGGCCGACCGCCTTGGATGTACATCTGGACTTCATACTTCATCCACACTGCATCTACAAGTCTATGGTTACGTATATATTCTCATGATGTGGGCTCGGAAAGTTGTGATTTTATTCGTTTTTAGAAAAAAAAAAAGCTAAGCGTACATGGTATCGACATGGGACAAATATCAACACTCCCATGAAACAAACCAAAGCAAATCGGTGACATGTACATCAGTTGGGGCCTCGCTCAAACCAACTGGGTTAAAGCCCCTCTGGAATGGATCCCCTAGCTGGAAAGAGTACCCCTTGTTTGCTCTCCTGTTTTCTCATTCACGCAACGAGGCTAGGACCCCCAGCGCCAATAGACAATATAATTCGTATCAAGTCCCGTCTCTTGGGATCATTACTGACGAAATCTCTTCTTCAAGGCCCGGAAAGCTTTGCGGGCCTTGCTTGATACAAGCTGTGCAACGATAAGAAACAACCACTCGGGCTCGTGGTTGGCAGACGAAGAGGGCGATAGTGAGGAAGCGGCGGCGGGGATAGAGGATTCCCTGGAAGGTCGTGGTAAGGCTCCACAGAATGGGAGAAAGCTATTTTCGTACTCCGAGTCAGTCGCAGTCGTGGCCAGTGAGCCTGAGTCTCCTTCTTCGTAGAGGAACTCGGCGAATCTCTGCCTTGGGGCGTGTCGGCGAATTGTACTGTACAGCCGACGAATGGATGACTTGCTGCGGAGTATCGGGACTGGAGGTTCGTGCTCCAGCTTTATTGGACTCAGCGTTTCAAAATTGAGAGAGGATCGTCGGGGTAATTGGGGCAATCGTTGGTGTTCGGATCGAGAGGCTTGGTGGGGGTAATGGGTGCTAAGATGGTTGATGACTACCCGATGGACTGGAACTTGATGGATATCAAGTGTGCTGTAAATGATATTAGTTTGTACTGGAAGATATATAAATATAGTTCTGTACCTTGGGTCGATGCTTCCGTTGTCTCCGGAGAAGGCGTCGAGCCAGTGAGAGTCCTCGGGCTGTTCGTAGTATATTTCCACACAAGTCATTGTGTTATATTTTAGAAAGCCTTCTGTTGATTTACTTTTAAAGGCTTCGGAGGGTTTGGAAGTTGTTGTAGCGTATCTCCGGAGTCGAGTATTCGATATACTCTACAGTGAGGGCCAGTTGAGATATACTTGAAGTGAGTCAGATATCTATCTGATGGCAGAACGACGCAATAGTTAGAGGGAATTGACGAAAAATTAAGTATAAAGAAGAAAAGAAATGTATTCGACGGCCATGTATATAGATCAGTAATGGATAGCTACTAAGCCTACTTTGAGGACGGACATCGAGTTCCATAGAATGAAGATTCAATTCAGGTCGTACTTTCCCTAATCGAGGTATAATTAGGACCACTACCATGGGAGCTAAAACAAGGGCTGCTCGAAGATGATGGAAGGAGCATCGGAGGCACAGCAAGAGGCAAAAGGAAAGTACACCTCAAAGTCAGGAACAGCTCCGACAGCGAGAAACCTTACAAACAAGGCAACAAATTTTCCTAATATAGATCAGCCGGCATACATCATAGTGATGGTAGAAGACTGCGAGCGTTGAAGACGAGATACGTCAATCAGCGCCAGGAGCGAAGTGTAGAGAATGGAAAAGGTAGGGCTGGTTAGGTAGCTTAATATGATTTGCCAAGAGCCAATATCAGATAGTTCTACCTCATCACTACAAGAAAGGGTGCGCTTTTTGTCCAGGTGTAGGAACAAACCTAATGAATCACGGTTTATACGACTTCTGTGGGCTATTCTGATTCAGTCAAGACCTAAACAAGTAGTGGATTAAATTGCCTATCAGTATCACTACTTCTGTGCTGCCCCTTTCCATGTCCAGATTTGACAGAATATAATGCCTTCTCCCCCTGAGTTCATAGCACTCACCTCACCTACATCAAAGATACTGGATGGCCTTTCAACCCCATCAAGCCTTGAAGGCAGCCCAATTTAAATCGGTTGAATGAGCTGGTTCTCCAGTGACACTGAAGAGATAGCAGGACTGTCCACCACTAGGTTCCCAGTAATCCACCGAGTTGCAGGTCGAGTCTGCACTGCACAGCTTCAGGCATTCAGTGTAGGAGATTCCAGATGCTACCTGACGGCCGTTCTCACGGTACTGTTTGCCGCAACGAATCTCATACTTTGTGCCATCTAGGTCAACTTGCGAGTTGTTGTGATCGTTGCAATTTATTTCCTTGGGCGGCGGAGGTGTGGCAGGATTGGCTGGCACAATGGGCTCTTGATCCTGCTCTGGTTTAGGAGTAATATTGGCCGGAGGGGCCATTGAGCCACAAGTATTACCACAGGAATCTTCAGAGCACGCTCCCGAGCAGCCAAGCGAGTAAGCAGTTGCCCATCCGGGGGCGTCGAGGGTGGGCTTTGAAGTACGCTTGCCAAGGTAGCACTTCTTAGTACGTTTGTGATAGTCGACACTCTGGCATCCGATGAACGAGGCACAGGACTCTGTGCATTCTTTCAAGGAGTTCGAATCGAGCTTGTGGAACCAAGCTGTTCCATGGCGCTTCTGACAATCCAAGTGGAACACCTAAGATACTGTTAGAGATCATTCAACGATTTACTATGGATGGTACGGAAACGATTCACCTGTTTGTTTCTGGCAGTATATATCTGACCATCTGCATCGGGGCACTCGGTTGAGCATGCTGCTCGCACACTTTCAGGGACCTCGATCACCGGAGGATCAGTGAGATAGGCCCAGTCATGTAGTGTGTTTCCGCACTTCGTGTCCGAGAAAGTGCCACTTCCATAAAGCTTACAGTCTCCAGCTTTTTCGTCGTTGTAATCACCGAAGACGTAGCGGAACCTGCTCAGAAACGGCTTTCAGATAAAGATGTATACCCTCCTTGGATATGAAGTACTTACGCTTGACAATTGTCCGTCAAGGTGCATTGGTTGATGCAGTCATCATACCCTGTCGTCTGAACATTTTTGATGAACTTCGATCCTTTAGACTCGTGCATGCAGCACTGGAAGTTGTAGTAGCCACCATCACTGGTCTCAATGATATCGCCATCATCTGAAAGATGTCAGAACTAGCTAGCCACTGAAATTCACGGAAGGGGCATCATTTACTTTGCGGACATTGAGGAGCGCCTTTGATAACCACCTGGTTAGCCTTGAGCGTTGTTACCTGTGTTCCGTCACAGCTTCTGGCTTCAATCGAGGGAGCAAGGTACAGATTGATGAGGACAAATGCACTCGTGGACAACTTTAGAAGCCCCATATTGACTGAAGGCTACTCACATCCAAAAGGTCTCGTTGGTAGGAGGTATTTATATGCACCAACCTCGACCCTTGAACCCCTCGGCTATCCAAATCGGTTTCAGCTGCGGATCACGTACTTTGCTTTTCAACAGGCTCCTCAGCTCCGCCTCGTTCACCCCGTAACCGAGGGGAGATCGTAGGCTGAATTGGCGTTTTATCAGAAGCGTAACTATGATCATGTTGATGACACGTAATAAAATCCCATTTAGTGAGCTATTGGCAAGCCAATTCGTTAGATCACGCATGCCCATAGGACCCGACACAAGCGTCAAACTGGCAAATTTCAGGTCACTGTATCGAGATGCCGAGCATTGGGGGATCACATTGCAGGCCCTAACATTCATCTACGCTGCAGATAATCAAATTCTACTGCGTAATCATGGTGGAATAGAATATAGCTTGCAGAATAAATTACTCATACTTCATATTCATGATGGACTTGTGTCTTGTAACCCAATAGTCCGGCCATATGCATATCCCCTCAATAATCATTCTGCATATTCCCTATCACCTGCAAATGACTGAAAAGCAAAAGCAAATTGTACGAAAGGATAGTATTATGCTAATGGCTGAAGTCGCTTTTTCGCGAAGTCCTAGGTTATCTTGCCAGTTAGCCTGCTAAGAATCATGCACACTTTGTGTCAGGATGGAGATATGGTGTGAAAGTGAAGGTGAAAGTGAAATGCGCCTAGCTCAACATTGAATAGACCATGTACAATATAATTAATGGACGATAAAGCAGCGGTTTAAAGTTGACATTCAAAATGAAAATCCTCGACATCCTTTGACCTTCATTACCTATCAGAGCTTGCGGGTGCCAAATCATTATACACGCAAAGCATCCTTTTGGTTAACATCCACTCTCGTATCCTTCCAGCTCCAGATGTTCATGCCAACCTTAGTTCCCGAGGTTACCGGCATCCCTGCATGGAGTGTTTCCCGATATCCAAGTCCATCCTCTCGAATGTTGACCCAGTAAACGGCGCTGCCGGCAATTGGCTTGAAAATGACTCCAGGTTCCGTGGATTCGCAGTCAATGTAGTTGCACCAGGCACTTTCCTCTGGTCGAGGAATCAGAGGGAAGTGCGTGCCACCACCCGTACAGTCACCTTTCAAGAAAACGTTGTAGGTTGAATACCGGTTAAGGCGATTGGGTGGCGAGTCGAACTGGTCGTGATGATAAGAAAAGAAGCCATTCTCGCGATAAAGTTGGAGAGATAACTGTTCCATGAGCAGGTCCGAGTCCAAGTTCTGATAACGGACTGCCCTCTGTTCGATACATTGCAAAATTTCGTCCCGTGGAGGCCATGCATTCTCCGATTTTCGAAAGTTTTCGTCATTGCTACTAACCCCCTGTCGGTAGACCACAGAAGGGGTGAAACTTTCTTTCCTATACGACATACATTAAAAATTGCCATGGTTAGTTTTGGGGAGGAGAGTAATCATACGTAGTCTCCAGCAAGTGCGAAATCTCGCCTGGAGAGACAAAATTCGGGATATAGATGATGAGAGGATTCTCATGAAGTGTGAAATACTCCATGTGGGAAAAGTCCGGACAGGCGAGAGACTCGTTCGCAGAAATGAGGCCTAGGTCCTGCAGTCCCTCCGGCCAGACTTTGCCATCGGGCTCAAAATTTGTGTGCGCAGTCGAAGGCTCATCGTCGTCGATGCCTGTGATAGACACGCGTTCATCCGGCATGGATAAACCCACGACATGGACGCCATGAGCATTGGATTCAAACTGTATCGAGAGTGGGATTGTAACATGAAACCTCTCAATTGTATTGACGGCCATAGTTAAAGTGGAAAATGCACATGCGATCGAAGGAAATTGTATGGAGTACGTGTATTGAGAGAAGAGGTAGAAATTTTCTTGGGGAAGTGCGAGATACCCAAAAATCATGATTAGTCTGTTACAAAAGTCTTCTATTGTGCGATATGATAGTCTAGCATGAACCAGTTCCACCCAATGCGACTTATCCATGCTAGTTTAAACAAAAGCAAAGGAAGAATACCAAGGTTTCAAGACCCAAGCCTACAGCCAGCCACTGTTATGGAAACTTGGTAGAATTTTGAGGCTATCGGACAGACCAAAACATAGATGACCGGAAATTCCAGGCATTTGACAGGTCGGAGGATGCAGGCGGCTGCATTACTTAGGGTATGAGGCGAGCTGAAGGTTATCGTACATCCTGGGGTTATATGCAGGGGACAAATGCACTGCATATCATGTAGGCAATCTCGTTCTCAGCACATCTACGGAGTACCACATCGTAAATTTCTGTCAACATGATGTGTCTCAAGCCCCCATGAAGATTCTATCATGACTCCAGCCCTACAAAACTGCAAGACAAAGTGATAGGTGGTAGATTTTTGAAGACTACCGATGCATAGATGAACCAACAGAATTTGGTGCTGGGGTACAATTCTAGTGATGATATACGCCAGTATTTACATAGAAAAAGGAGTGAGTCTCAGAACCACATATATTTGTTCCAATGAAAATTCCAAAGCAATCAGGCAGCATAAATCCGATGATAACAACGTATAAATCTGCACCAGAATGGACAATGCCGAACAATGTCCTTTCTCCATCAACAAGCTCATTCCTCCTAACTCTCCTCAAAGCTCTTCCGATCCACAATCATTTACATACACCATTGATCTCGTTGCTGCCAGGGAAGGTCTCCTGGCATGGGTTATTGAAGCAGCCGTAGTGGCTGCCGTCAGCTCTGAATACAGCAATGGCACCAGGCGCAATTCCATTGCAGTAGGCCGCAGCGACTGCTTTTGGGTCTGGCGCTGGGGGTGCTGGCGCCGGCAGTGCCGCACCACCAGGACATCCCGGATCAGGGAATCCAAAAGTAAAAGGCAACATAGCGCACTGGTTACTGGAGATTCTGGTCCACTTGAAGAGCAAAGCATCGGACTGTCCGAGTAGCGAGGCCAGGAGGATAAGCTTCAGATTGGTGATATGCATTTTAAAGGGCTGAAAGACGAGGGTTCCTATATCTTTTAGTATATAAATTGTAGAAGTGGACAGGTTGAGAGTGGAGGATACCTTTGATAGCCTGGAGTGACTTCAAACACAATACAGAGTATAGGGCTGGAGTTAATGATTGACAAAGCCGAATTGGTGTCTTTATATGTTGAGATCGGAGGCCAGGTACTGTCATACTACGTAAGTTCTCCCTTTTATGTTTTTATCTTCTACTATGTCCTCTCTTCCCACAACTGTCACGTCTTCAGCTGAACAGTGGAGCATGCAAATAATCTATCTGCTAGGCCGATTTCTTTGAGAAAAGCAACCAAGTTTCATGTAAGATAACTCACGTTCATGCATTTCGGGCACTAGATCGCCTCAATATCTGCATTGAATGTGATGAGAGACCCGTCATTCAGGGGTGACTCGCTATGGATCCTCGCAACAACATGGTGGCTAAGCTGAGTACGAGATACCATCGCCAATCGTGCATGAAGAACTGTGGGCTTGAACAAGAAAGCAATTTCTGTCGGGCATGGAGCTGAGGGTGGGGTACACCAGCTAGCAGCTATCGAAATAATGCCTTAGTTCTCTGTTACCTGGCAAAACAGAATAGCTTCCTACTCGGGAGAGCCAGGTAAAGAGAGAGGTACAAGTGGTATATCCTCAGCACAGTTTGGCCATTCTATAAATAATTCCGTTCCTCTTACCTCCTATCTTTCACATCTCGATCGCCTTCGGAAATTTCTCGTTTTTCATCAATTCCCTGACAATGAAGCCTGACACCGCTTTCTTCCTGATTGGGGCGGCCCTACTCGGGCTTGCTAATGCCCAAATCAAGCCCGGTCCCAGGCCTGCTAGCCCGGCTAGCCCGGCTACTGGCGGCATCAAACCTGGTAGCGGTGGTGGTATCCAACCTGGCAGCGGTGGTATTCAACCTGGCAGTGGTGGTGGTATTCAGCCTGGTAGCGGTGGTGGTATCAAACCTGGCAGCGGTAGTATCCAGCCCGGCACTGGTGGTGGCATTCAGCCTGGTAGCGGTGGTGGTATCAAACCTGGCAGCGGTAGTATCCAGCCCGGCACTGGTGGTGGTATTCAACCTGGCAGCGGCGGTGGTACTACCCCTGGATCCTGGACCTGCCCCAACCCGCGCAAGCCATACAACCAATCCCCAGCAGTTACTACTAGCATCTCTTGTCCTGCGAGTGAGTCGCGATTCCTCCTCGTGGATAAGGTCTTCGGTTTCTAACACAATACAGGCGATGGAAGTATCTACGAGACTGTTGATGGTAGCTGGTACTATCTCCAGTGCTGTACGCAAGGCTCCGCCAACGCGTTATCTGTCGGTACGCCACAGGTCTCGAGTATGGAGGAATGTCTTGAGAAATGCGCTGATGTTGCAAATTGCGAAACGTAAGTTCACCGGAAACGTGTGTTTAGTAGGCAAACTATTTTTCTAACCTTTCTTAAGTGTCTCATTTGAGCCTTCAACTCTCTACTGCAACCTTCTCGACTTCGGCTCTTTCTCTCCAACCCCCCACGGAAGCCAGCTCCATGCCTTCCCAACTTCCCCTCCGGCTACCAAGCAGCCTACAATGACAACTCGTCGTTGCGCTACTACCTGTCCTGAGGGAAATGGCCAGATCTACGTGAGCCCGTTTGGTGAAGTGAGATAACCCTTTTCAAGTCATATAGACAGTACTTCCAGCTGACTATAAATTTAGACCTTCTACATGAGCTGCGGAATGCGCCACGGTACCCCGTACCTCAATGTCGAGTCTGTCTCCTCTCTTGAAGATTGCATGGATCACTGCGCAGGCTCCCCTTCATGCAGCAGTGTCGACTTCGACCAAAACAAGCGAGTGTGCTATCTGAGTAACAATGACAGCCCCCCAACTATCACAGCTCCTCGATTTGCCGCTGCTCACTCCGTCGGCTGTTCTGGAGCATGCGAGGGCTGTGGCAAGAAGTCGTGTGGGGCACCACAGCCAAAATCTGACCCGAATCAATGCGTTGACAATCAGATTGTTCATGTTGGCAACCACCCATTCCGGACCAAGTGTAACCAGTGTTACGTGGGCCAAACAGCACTGTCAGTTTCCAGGCCTGAAGCCAAGACCTACGAGCAATGCATGCAGCTTTACTTGTTAGAAGCCAATAACTATGTTGGAGCGCACTGGCTGAAGAATGGCGGATGTCGTTTGAAGCCTGCTGGCTCTGCGGTCTCGGACCATGTCAACTGTGCTGCAGCTTTCGTGCCACTCTGGAAGTAATCCGATTGAATTGCCAGCCTTGTCTCAGTTTACTGTTACTCTTCGTCATTGAGGCATATTCTTCTGGATGTGCTGTCCTGCCCTTTCGGTTGATATATCACTTTTTTATGTCATTCCAATATATCGATCTACAAAACACATTCTCCTCCGTATAGTTCCATGCTAAATGGTGCTAAGCAGCACTATCTTCCCCGTCTGTCAAAGTATTTGCCACCTGAATTCCAATATCAATAGAAAATCGAGGCCAACTCCAAAACTAGACGTCTACAGCTTACTTACACTGACAGGAGGCATCTCATAGTCTCAGAAATAGCGTACTATCTGGAGCCTCTCAAAGCTGCTCATCACAAATTCCAGCTTTCATTCTTACATAGCTGATGATACCTCGCTTGATCCGATCCTGATTACAGTGTCCTGCATTTACGTCGTATCAACAGCGATGCTGATACTGTCTAAGCAATGGGCTATGTGGGTTCAACGAGGCTGTCATACATGCATCCTACAAGATCTGGTCACACCGCATATGCATATATGTATGCATCCAGTCAATATTTATGACACATCACGAGCATGTAAATATCGCTGTGTAATACCCTGGAGCTGATCTCCCCCGTATGCTGTAGCCCTACCGGTTAGTGGAGCTTACCCTGAGAGATTATTTAAGAGAGGGAGACCAGACCAACTCTCTTCCAGTTTCTGAATCCTCCCTCTTGGCAAAAATGGTCAAACTCATCAATATATTTGTCTTCAGTGCTCAGCTTCTCTTCATGATTCCCCCGATACAGGCTCAGGGATTGGCAGGGCAAGGATCTGGGGTTGCGGGTGCTCGCTTTGGCCAAGGCTCAGGATCCAGAAATGGGGTTGGTCGTGGCTGTTGTTACTTCGAAGAGCCGGAGTCTGATTATGAGCCTGAGCCTGAGACTGATGTTGAGTGTAAACCACAGTGTGAGAGGGATCTGCAATTTGTTTAAAGCGGCGATTCTGATAGTCTATCTTAGGTCCTTCGGCGCATGAGAAGACATTTCAATGCAATGGCAGAAAATATAAACAATTCTGCGGCGTTCGTATGTCTTGAAATACCTAAAGATTCATATGGCTTTATACTGACTGTTGCTTACAGATGTCGCTACACCTACGCTGAGAGAATTCGACGTCTCTTCGTACCAGGAATGCTTCGACAGCTGTGTCCAGGAAACTCAGTGTCACGCTCTTGATTTTATGAACAACCATTGCTGGCTGAAAACGCAAGGTGTTGACCCGCCCCCCAAAGCCATGCCTAGTAATCAGGATATCAGCATCATCTTCCTTTAAGGGGTTGACGTCGAGACCTTCGGGATTTGGAGTCTACGTGACATCTAAATTGTCTTGGTTCATGATCTGAATTTCAGAATTTGAGAGATGATTTCGTATGGGTTAGGAGAAGAGCGATTGAGATCGTGTAATATATGAATGGTCTTTATTTGACCTCGAGAATGAAATAAATTTGACTGAAGGACTGATAGGAGCTTGTTTGTAGTTAAAATCCCAGTATTTAGACCGTTGTACTCTGTCTCTTCGAATCCTGTTGATATCCGAATATATGCTGTGTTTGATACAAGAGTCACAGGCCAATTGGAGTCAACAATCTTTGATCAGCCCTGCCATCTGAATTTACCCTCGCAGAGGGTCTTCACAATACCCAGGGGCATGAACCCGCGATTAACAGCAGCCAGGCCACCGTAAGTACGAACCATCTCCTCACAATACAGCTCCGCCACCCAGCACCAGTAGGGTGTCATTTTGCCCCACATAGGATTGATAAAGCACTCGGAGAACTGTTTACCAAGCGAGTTTTGCTCCCTTTCAAAGCCCCCGGTTTTTTGCACGCACGTCTCGATCGGCACATCGGTCAATTCTTCATACACCTCCTCAAGGGAAGCGTTGAATGTTTCTGGGTAACGGGTGAAGTCTTCGAAGGACATGAATGGCTTATTTTCATTGCTCCATTTGCTCCAAAATTGACTGCTAGGATCAGCACCGTCTTTTTTGAACTTTTCTTTGGCCTCCTCGTATTCCTTCTCGTCCTTCAGCGAAGCCTCGCGGAACAGCTTTTGGGGGGTATATTTGATGTTTTCACGCATGGCGAGAAGACCAATGTAAGGATTAAGGAGCTCCAGACCGCCGAGTTCAACGGGGTAATAGAAGAATCCGTCGGGGAGATTGTGAATACCGAACCTATCCGCAATCACATTGCGTAGGTAGTCGGTGACACCACTGATTTGAGCGGATGCGCTTTTGTCGTCTGAGACTTTACAGAATAATGTGCGCTCAATGCGACTCAGAGTGGAAATCGCCATATCAATATGGTCCCGACCGAAGCACATGGCTGGTTTTGCAAAGTTGTTTGTAAAGAAGCGGCCAAAGTAGCTGTTCCATGCCTGTACCCAAGCGAATACACTTTTGCAGGACGAAAGCTGCCGTGAAAGCTCTTCAATATGCGTATCAACTTGAGCTTGGTCAATTATGAATCTTTCTTGCTCCTCGTCCAAAACTAGGAAGCCCCAGCGGATATCACCGGTGGGAAGGACGGACCCTGTCGACTCTGTCGAGGTCTTCTTCGCGCCCATTCGCACTGTTCCAGTTTTCTGTTGATTAAACTTCAGACCCATCACCTGAGTAAACTCCTCCATTGCCTCCCAAGCTTTGACGCAAGTATTCTCTGCTCCCCAAAACCAGAAGTCATCATGAAGCCGGTACAAGAAAGCGCCATCTGTAGCTTTATTGACTGCGTAATCCATACAGAAGAGCACTGACTCTCCGAAGCAATCACCGAGTGTATGACTCATTGGAAGGCCACGCCTGCGAACTTTGACAAAGGCATCAGGTCCATCTTGGGCAAATTTGAGTGGGGCTTCCAGGAACACGACGAAGAATTTGAGCCATGATTCGGAAACTCCAAAAAACCTTAGCACAGCAAGCAGAGTGACATGAGGCATTGAAGGGCCAAACCATTCAAAGTCCGAGCGGATGGCAGTGAATTCTCCATGCTGGTGTTTATGGATAATGGATTCTGTGATCAGAAGATGGAGTAGGGAGTGCTTCGTATCCAGAACATTCCTTGATTCAGAATTTTCCTCATCATACAGAATTGTACCTTCATCGGTTGAAGTGGGCAGTTGGCTCATGAAATAATCATTAGTGTATGTCTGTCTGCGATTTTTGTTGACCTTGCCAGATTCCGAGTTGGCATCTCGACCAAGAAAGTACTTGCGCATTTCTTTGTGGTCTTCTGGGATATCCTCATGCGGATTCGTCCAGGCGTTGGAACGTAGAAATGCCTCAAATACCTCCCGCAGCTTCACGGCCCACGTTGTCCCGAGGTACTGTAGTAGCAGGGCGTCGAGAAGGTCTTCGTCCATGAAAGCTCGGTATTTACCGTTGAGTTGACGGCGAAATTCAACAGAGATACCGCCTGCAGCATCAGTCCAGGTCCAGCTGTCGAGTGAGGCAATGCGCATGTTGAGCACGTCAGCTATCTCCTGGGCAACCTCTTCGTTCCGCATGCAATCTTTCAAAATCCCACGCTTTTCGTCACCAAGAAGATCAGTCTTGAGCAATGCTTTAGAGACCCAGTCGAGTGTATCTACATCGAACCACCGATCGCTTGAAGATAGTTCCGTTCCAAACGACTGAATACTTGCTCGGAGGTCCTTGAGTGCCTGCTGAGAAAGCTTGGACTTGGTGAAAAGATCATTGAGATAAGACTGGATTGCATCTTCATTGACGTGGGTTGCAGGAGTAAAAACTAAGGACTCCCATTGCGCCCGTTGCTCGCGCATCTCTGCGCGCCCAGCCTTCTCAAAGCTTGCGTCATCCGCAGCGGTAGAGATGCTCCCATCCAATTCCGACAGCCACTCTGTAACCAGCTTGCTGTAGAACTCACCATGCTCATGCTTTATCTCAAGATACCGCAACTCATTCTCAAGTTGAGTGATGCGATCCTGTAGAGCTTTCTGTGAAATGGATGGGTCGTAGCGACTCTGCAGAAGAAAGTGGCGCATATTGGTATGATCCCCTAGCTGCCAGCGACCGATACCTCGTGAAGTTTGTTTCTTTTCCTTTTCCGTTTCTTCATCCGAGGAATCGGCATCTAGATCCGCGTCATTTTTATCGAGCGAATCTTTGGGGTATCCCTTCAAACGTGAGATTCCATCCAGCAAAGCCTGAGCGCGGGTTTGTAGATCTGGGGCTGCATTGGCATGGGCAAGAATTTCGGTTTTGCGTAGGTCAAAGAGAGCGCGCTGCTTAGAGAGTTCATTGATTTTCGTGGCAGTAATAGACTTGAGAGTCTGTGGGAGAGCTCCGTGCGCCATAGTTAGGTCCGAAGTTTTCGTTGAAATAATTTCTCAATGAGGTGAGTATATTAGAATACTTGAATTCTTCAAATCAGAAGACAGATGAATTGAAGTTGAAATGTTTTAAATGGGGAGTTGTGACGCTGTGGGTCGAGGATATTAAAGGGGCAAATTTAGTTGATATTGCTGGACACTGAGTCATACATTGAATGAGATCCTCGGCAAATTCAGTGAGACGTTTCCAAGCGAAAAACAAGGTGGAGCAACTGAGAGTAGATCGGTTCGAGAGGTTGGGACATTTGAGGCTGCGATCGGGTACCCAATCGGGTATAGCGCCTATATATGGCTGGCAAAAAAGCCACAGTACAGATGTGTTGTATGGAGTCGACAAAGCCCGGTGGCATAAGGCATGTCAGGGAAGCTGATGCACTCATGCCGGCTCAATGACAGCAGAAAATTCCTCAAGCATACCGCGAATTCTCTTTTTATAGTACTCACCAGCAAAAATGGCATCGGCAGACTTCATACACACATTGAAGAGATCAGTACGAGTCAAGGCGAAATGCTGCGCAGCCAACAAGTACTCGTTCGAGACCGGGCTACAAAAAAATCCTACATCGTCGGTCTTTGGGAATGAAGGGTCAGAAAAAAGGAAACTAAAAAAAAATCAATCGCCATGTTATTGGAACAACTTACACACAGCACAATGGGGCAATCCTCGTGTCGCCAATAACCGAAATGATGATCCAAGAAGCCTCCATTAATCATCTTTGCATGAACATTGCAAGATATGCAAAGTTCGAGGCCGAGCTTACGCCGCACAATCTCCTTCTTGATCTCGTCAGGCACATGAATAACATGGCCCAGTCGGTCCGGCCGAAAAGAAAGAAGGGTCGAAATTTCCCTTGCAGAAGCTGAGGCTGTTGTCTCGGCAAAGTGAAGGGTGATTCCTAGCCCGTTGGCTTTGGCTTTCGCAAAGGATTCTTTGTAGATGCTGACGTCGCCTTTGGTTGGGTTGCCGCAGATATCCACCCCCACCACCCCGCGCGACTTATTTTCGATCGCAAGATCGACGATTGCGTCCGCCTCTGTTGCGGTCATGCTACCCCGATCGATGACTAGGATCAAGAATACAGACATACGCTCGGTTTTCGTTCGAAATTTCTCGATTGTATCCAGGACTGTGTTGACGTATTCTTCTCGAGTGATGCCGTGAGATGCTCTCGGTATGGTCCGTAACTCGAGATACACCACTCCATCTTCGAGAAAGTCTCCAAGGACTGAGTCGGTGGCATATACTAAGCTTTCCAGGTCATTGCAGAGCTGGTATGTCAACTTGGAAAAGGTCGAGAAAAACCTGAGCCTTGATTAGCCTGCAGGAGAAGGAGTTTGTAGCAGTGGTGCGATCTCTAGACACCTACGTTTCCAGTGTGTAATCGACCTTTCCTGGTGGCATTAACACCAGTGGATCCTCCACATCGAACGCGGGGTTCTGTTCTTTTTTGCGATTCCAAATTTCATGGAGGCATTGGCGACTGATGCTCCCGCTGAGATGAGCATGCAGCTATGAAGTAATCCAGTCAGTAGAACTCAAGACTAGACATATGCAACAATCTTACCTCAATCTTCGGCAATGCTTTCGTGAAATCCCGGTCAACTGGTTTTGAATCATGCATGGCTTCGTCAGTCGTGGGAGTGTGAAAGAATAGGAGAATGTCGACAGAGGCGGACAGAAACTGCCAAGGCAAGTGACTTCTTTCACAATCTCACATCACCACGCTACTACTTAGGTAGTCCTTTTCTCACTGGCTGAGATATACCCCCACATCATTTGGGTGATCAATATCAGACTGTGGGTCTGAGGGATATTTGGCATTTTCATTCGGGTGCCAAGCGGCTAAGTATTGGACCGAGATAGTACAATAGCATGTTTGAACGAAAGCTAACAAATTCAGAAATACGAGCAAGGCGTATATAAACAGAAGGGAACAAGCAGAAAAGATCTCTATTCTATACACTAGTTACCACAATGTCATTCTTTAAGATAGTAGTGACAGCCAATTGGCTCCTGATGATCACAACTCCTAACTCCCAGCACCCGATTCCGTAACGGTAGCGACATATTTCAGCCTGGTCCTCATCCAAAATTGTACACATTGCGACGATGGTCAAATCAAGCCATCATCATAGGAGGCATCTTATCATCATCCTTGTCGGCTGTGTGGGTTGGAAGCTTGCTCCAGGGAATGATGAACGTAGACAAAAAGGCACAACCAGCCAGAGCGGTTGCAACCGCAAAGGCGGTTTTGAGTCCTTGCATATACGCAACAAGAATTCCAGGAAGATCATCCGGACCAAACACATCTCGAAGCTGCGCAGCACCTGTTGAACTCACTAGCTCTGGATCCACTTGAGGGGCGCTGACGGGTAAATGGGCTAACAGTTGGTTGATGAATGCGACTTGCCCTGATGCGGTGGTGAATGCACCTCCGACTGTCTGGAAGACTTTATATTGTGTTAGCTTGACTTTCCTATATTTCTGGGAGGCGGATGCATACAATAGAGGTTCGCTGTGACGGCCGAGATATCTTCTGCACCGACATTGGCTTGCGCAATATTTAGGCCGTTCTGGACGGAGAAGGCGATGGCAGATCCAGCCAGAATTTGGAACCCAATCCACTTTCCAACTGAGGTGTCGATATCCAGAGTGCAGAGCAGGCCAATTGCTACCGTGGCAATTGCCGAGCCAACCAGCATCGTCGGAGCTGCGTGGCCAGTCTTCGAGACAACTATACCTCCAATAACGCAGAAGATGCCCACCGCAATGACCATCGGAAGGTTGTCGACACCAGACTCGATTGGGCTGGCACCTTTGACGCTTTGGAAGTAGATGGGCAGCTGGTAAAGCAACAGAATGAGGGTACCCATAAAGAAAAATTGATACGGGGCGACACTCCATAATGACCGTTGTTTGAATAGTCGTGGCTGTAGCATCGCATACTCGCCGAGATAGATCTCCCAGGCAATAAGGGCAATTGTTAGGAGACCAAATCCGACTAGTAATCCAATAACCTTGCCGCTTTTCCAGGGTAAAGTGTTGCCGCCATACTGAAGGGCGAGGAGGAAGCAGATGATCGTGGCCATGGCCAATACCACGCCAAATGGATCCAGTTGTAATAGCTTTTCTTTGAGGCTCACCTTTGGGGGCTTTGCAGCTGCTGGAAGGTGGAAAAAGATAAGTACTAGGCCAGCAGCGAGACCCCCAATCGGCAGATTGATATAGAAACACCACCGCCAAGTGACACTCTCTGTGAAGGCACCTCCTATCAAAGGTCCAAGAACAGCAGCAAGACCATAGGTGAGTCCAATAATGCCCATCATGATCGGTCGGGTTCTCGGTGGAGTACTAAAGGCAACGATACTGGTGCCTCCCACTGAGATTCCAGCACCACCCCAGCCAGCAATGGCTCGACCGACGATCAAGGCCTTGGAAGTTGGGGCAACACCGCAAATCAAACTTCCAATCTCAAATATCACCATTGAAACGATGAAAGTGTATTTGAGGTCGAAGTACTTGAAGGCCTTTCCCCACGTAGCCTCTAGACCACCGAAGGTCATGAAGTACGCGGCGGAATACCAAGATACATCGTAAAGTCCATGAAACTCATCAGTGATCTTGGGGACCGCGGTTCCAACAATTGTCTGCGCTACTGCGTTAGTAAAGAAATAGGTATCATTAACAATTGCTCCAGTTGGCGTAGTTCACTTACCTGATCCAGAGAGATTAGAAAAACGCCCATAACTGACGCGCCAGCAAGCAGGACTAGTTTTAAGCCCCGTGGATATTCGGCTTCGGGATCGGCCTGCTCTGACAATCCAGTTTGCTCACTGTCGCTGGCATCCTCGAAGATATCTTTCTTATTCTCCATGGTGCTGCTAGCAGCGTCGGCTGTTTGGGTGTCACCAAGTGTCACCATTTCGAGTGCTCTTCTTTTGGAAGTAATTGTCCAGGTATATAGCTGCGTGACAGTGAGGGCTCGAGAGAGGAGGCGGCTTTCTGTCCAATGGCAAAATCAAACACGGAGATTGACTGGAAATATAAGGTTTTCCAGCTGGGGAATCTGGAGAAGAAAATAGCTGTTACATCCCATTTTCGCAATTTTTTCGGATGTTCAATAAAGAAAGCTAAGGATCAAAATGAAGGCCAGATAGATGTAGATTATAAATTCTGCCTTACAAATCTTGTGAGATAGCCCTTCAGGAGGGACGTGCGTAGTTTAATGACCGATCAAGCCTTTCTTCTCGCCTTTTTCTCGCTCGATTCTCGCCCCCTTATATCCACACTACTTTAACCTCCGACTTAATAAATCGCCGAACTTTTGATCGCCACCAAATTGCTGACTCCTTATCGTTACGTTATCTCCTGGGAATTCATTTGCCCAATTAAGAATCTTAGGGTACAGATTAGATTCGTAACTCGGAGGTTTAGGGCTGATTTAACCGTTGGACCCATTATATTCCCGATCTTACTGAAGATTCCTTCGTTCAATATTTTAGGTACTTTCTAAAATATTGGGCTTACCACCTGGATATTGGCTGACATCCCTAAATAGTATCAATTCAATCTCACCTGGTTCCGTCCCGTAACCCTAACCTTATCAAGGATGTTTAACCTTACCCACGATGCTGAATGGTTGGCGTGAAGGACCTCGTGCAAATACAATCTCGGAAGCTATGAGGTAACAGTCTGTAAGTACGGAGTACCTTGTTGGTCAATTCATGTATTGTGAATCAGACGTTGCACCCACACAAGCTTTACACCAATTTAACCGACTGTGGCTGTGCAGTACTTAAATCAAATTTGATACAAACGCAGGGATCTTGTCGAGCGCGTAAACCCGCACAAAGTCCCGTATTGTCGCTAATACAAAGTAGTATAAAGGTGCGTTGGGCGCTAGGACCAATTATGGATAACAGCGTATCACACCCCTGTAAGGGAGCTAGCTGTGCATGCAAGGCCTCCAGCATACGCACGACGTGTCAAATCTACTCCGTGCTCTGGAAGTATGATAATACATGCAGTCTTACTTCCCATTGCTAATGGGAACCGCAAACATGGTGCATCCTTTTGATCCCACTTTGGGACGCCTCAGGACTTTCCAGATGCACTAGCCACAGGCGAGGCAATCACTGACTTAAACTTTATTTCTAGCGCCAAATATCATGAAATTTCTTCCTTTTCATGTAATATTTGAGAAGAGATGAAGAAATAAGATATTTGGAACAATTCATATTGGATGCTTAAATCACTTGCCCCATTATACCGACTAGATAGGATCTCCATCAACCCGATCCAATCCCTGTGTGTAAATAATGTCCACATAGGCACTCGAGGGGCTAGGGCCCGAGGAAATTGCACGGGGATTGGACTCCTGAAAGGCCAAGACTCTTCCAAGATTACGCTCGAGACACTAGTGTAAAAAGGTATACGGAGAAGATTGCTGGTATCTATTATTTATTCTTTTACGACATAGGGGCTTTTACGTCAAGACGCAAAGGCCATGTGCCCAGATCTATTTCCTGCAATTGATCTTGCTGATCGCTGGGACCATAGAAGCCCCTATTCCATGATCTAGCAGGGTTCATTCAAGTATGCATATGTACATAGATTATTCCAATTTCAATGGCGAATATATATACTCCGTTTCGAAAAAGGCGAGTGCAACCTCGTATTCTGGCCCCCTTCTGATCATTAATATCATCAATACCACGAAGGCTAAGTCTGACAGTATGCAGTGGGTCCATCGACTTGGAACAGGAAGCTCTAGCGAGTCAGCAAAGATCTTACTTACTGCTGATTTAATACAGTAAATTCTCAGTAACACGAACGGACGCCACAGGTACATCATCCGTCTAAGTTGATCAAAACAACCCTAAGCCATTTCTTCAGGGCCGTAGTTGCATTGCCCATGAATGGTGCATTGCGTGCTCTATTTTCCCCTTTGGTCAGCCGTCAGCACACGTTATCGCAGGCGTATCGCGGCCCCAGAGGGGGTTGTTTATGTTGAAGGGTCGAAGCGCCCTAAATAAACTCACCGATATGAGGCAGATTGTTCTGAAGTCAGCTCGGATTTGTTGGCTTCCTTTTGGCTTCCTTGCACGTGAATACTTCTTTCATACATCTCCTTTTGCCTTGTCTTCCTTTTTCTTCTTCCATTGAGTCCTACCAACAATCTCTGCGACCAGACAATTACCATGACCGCCGGCCAGACTGCAGGGGAGCCTGCAGCTGCAGAAACACCACCTGCTCCGTCCTCTTTACCTCATAGGCAATCTTGTGATAGGTGTCACAAGCAAAAGCTGCGGTGTATCCGTGAACCCAACACAGGGGTATGCGATAGATGCCTGCGAAAACGGGCCCAGTGCGTTTACAGCTTCAGCTTGCCCAAAGGTCGCCCCACCATGTATCGTTCAGGTGGGGCCAGTGGTACGGTGCGCTCAGGCACGACAAGTGCACCTTTGAACAGTCGCCCAACGAGTCCGCCAGTAGAGCCAGCAAAACCTACTTGTAAGTATCTGGCAGTATCATGTCAAGCCTGGCTGTTGAATTTGTATCGAAAATTAACAGTCAAAACTGAAGCCTCAGGAGCCGTCGACGAGACCAATGCAACAAAAGATGCAACTCAAGCCACCAATCCAGCCACAAACGAGAACCCTGTCTTGACCGGTGTCATGAATAGTGCCCCACGATTGGAAAATTTGAATTGGGATGATATGCAGCTGGACGGAGAGTGGAACAGTCAAGACCCTGTCCAGGTCGACAAATTATTGACATCTCTTGGCGCCTTTTGCAACGACGGGAGCGCACCGGATGCGCACACCCAATCTTCGCCAGACCAACTTCACTTTCAAATAAATACCTCCAATTTCCAACCCTATGAGCATGGCCTGCCTGCCGGTGGCCTTTTCCAACACCATGATGTTGGCAGAGGCGAGATAGACGGAGGTATGGGCGACGGCACAATGAACACGGGCCTGGAAAAGCCAATTCACATTCCCAGTATTGCTGTGACACAACTCTCTCAGCTCAGCATGGACCTTGCCTTATTGCGCTACACAAGCTACAACATGGCCAAAGCAGCAGAATCACCCTCGTGTCACATGCCAAATGATAGAAGAATCCCATTGATTGATAGTTCTGCATTCGAGATCGTGAGCACATGGCTGGCCCATGGTCAGGGGTTCGCAGGAATGAATCCGTTAGCACCTGGCCCATGTGAAAACCAGGTTCCTTATCCAACTCCCATCTCTGAAACAGGGACTTGCGCCGGTCGCACGTTGAGAGAGGTGTTCTGTTCCTCGCAGCGGTTGTTAGAAATCTTGGGTCAATTGCAATTCAGTCTCATGGTTGAAATGAACCCTTATCCTTCGCCCATAATCACCCCACCGGAGAGACCATCTACTGCAGTCTCAGGTGGGGACAGCGGGTCCCATGGGTTGCCGAATGGTTCGGGTATCGCGGGCCGGTCCGCCCCATGCCCGAACTCGGGAAATGGGACCATGCAGGTCATCCATTATTTGGTCATGGCTTGCGAGGCGCTGCTATTGGAGATCTATGTGGCGGTTCTTGTCGCCCTGCAGCATGAGGCATACTCGTCGACTAATGGGACTGTCCTCGGAGATGTACGGCTGGTGTTGGTAGTAGAGCTCTGTTCTTACCTTATCGAGCGCCAGCTCCAAGCCGTGGACTCATACCTGGCACCTCAGAGTCGTCTGAACCCCAACATGATGGGTGGATCGGCTCCTGGGAAGTTCGATATTCCTGGGGGGCCAGAAAGTCTTGATAAGGATAGAGACATGTTGAACGACCTCAGGAACCAGGTGCAGGAGAGACTCGGACACCTTCGACAAATCTTGCGTTGTAGATGACAGAATACCCCCATTAATATCAGGATAAATATAAGAAATCAATGATAAAGGGGAAACACACCCTGCGGGATCAGGCTCCGGAATTCAACCCGGATATGAGATACACCGACAATTTCATTTTTCATGGCGTTCTGTTAAGAATGGGCGTTGGGCACTGCTGCCCCATTATGAACCAATGCATGTTCTATAGAGGAAACTATCAATGAACACCTTCAGCTCCGATAAATAAGGCTGGAATGCGTCTCCTCTAGAGTAGGCCATTATTTGAGAGCTAGTCCATACCTACACCGTACTCCGGACTCCTTGCAGTAACTAGGTATTATCCACGGATCTCCTTGGTGTTGATTTGTCATTAACAGGGATCCTACGGAGTGCTCACCTACGCTGATTTGAAATCACACTTGCTCGGAGTTCCTAAAGCGCGACCCTAACCCATTTCGGGCATCTTCGTTTCAGAAGCGTTGGATTATGTGACCTTGAAGTCATGTGCTTGGATGAAGTTTCCAACCACTCATTTACGACCCTTAATAATAGGCCGAAGGTCAGTCACACTTGTACACATTTGAAACTATCCAAATGCACGGGCTACACGGATTCGGCGATATAATGAGTAAGAAGGACTTGGACCTCTTGGAATGGGGCTCCAATGCTGGGTGGCGAGAGCAGCTAGCAGTCTTACATGCATTATTATCTCCACGTTGGCGATACACTTCGTGTTTGACAGTCTATACCACCATATGATTTATGTGGCCTATGTTACTTTGTAATTTACAACAAAAGAAAATTTGAGTTCTTTGCTCGGTAATACACAAATCATGTAATAGCTCAAATAGCAAGTCTACCGAGGTTTTATATCATTTAATCATGTCTGCCATGGATGCTTAGAATCATATGACACTAGTAGGCCTATCATCATTTCGCCTCAGGCTTTGACATCAAGCACAATTGGCGCGTCATCCAGCTTTATCATCCCAGTGATAAAGTGCTCTCCAGTCTCTGCTCGCTTCTTCGAATCCTGATACGAGGACCTCGAAGCCCGCACCGCCGCGCCACCCCTTCTCAAGATTTCCTCATGGTACCCAGTAACTGCAGTCTTGATAGCATTAATATCATGGATGCTACCGTCAGCGCTCACCTGAGCCAGTACTTTAGTCAACTTAATCGCATCAAGGAAAGCATGGAATGCACCCTCGCCGCGGGAAGGTGTCATCGCGTGCGCTGCATCTCCCAGTAACACGACACGACTAGAAGGCAGACTTTCAAGTTCGAGATCGCGCCAGATATGGGGCTCTTTACGGATTCCCTCGGCCGGGGTGAGTTCGAAAATTTCCCGCAGCTTCGCCGGCAGTCCTGCCGTGGTCTTGAGGACGTGGTTTAGCTTTTCTTCCTGGCTAGATGTCTGGAGCCAGTGCTGGGAATTGCTGACTTCCGCATCTGGCTGCATGAACATCCAGTAGAACCGCCCAGATTTGGCGTCGGGGAGGACTTTATGGAGTCCGACAAAGCCGATGAAGCCGAGCTCAGGGTTGACGAGATTGTAAGCACTGTGGCCTAGAGCGAGCTGGCGTGTAAAGGCATCGCCAGATAGATTCAATTCTCCCACGATGGCGCTCAGCGGGACGACCTGGAGGAGGTCGCTGCTAGGCCTTTGCAGAAGGGTTGTTCGAACTTAAGGCCCGGGAAGGATGGAGTTAGCCTGCATTATGACACCAAAGTCGAGTGAACTTGAGATTGAATCACATACCTGGACTGTAAACCCCATCGGCACCAACAATAATATCACCCTTAGCACTTGTGCCATCTTGGAAGAAGACCTCGACGCCTGCGTCATCATGTTCAATCCGAATAACGTGTTTCCCCCACTGAACAGGGAGATTGGTCAAAAGCCATTTCCGAAGCAAAGACCGCTCTGCACGAATGAATGGCACTTCAGGAGAATCCTATATCGTCAATATCATAGGCGAACAGTCAGTCGCAGGGTTCTCTTCCAATTTGATAGCAAGCCATGCACTCAGTACCATACCTCGAATCCATAGCCTTGATCCTTACCACCATAATAGTAGCGGAACTGGCCTGGAAGGGACAATGGGGCCAGGTGGTTGGTGGCCTCTCTGACGTCAGGCAGATCTTCTGGAAGAGAGGAGATGAGCTCGTCGACAATACTATATCTCGTGGTCAACCTGTGATTCTTGATATATCGACTTCAATTCTTACGTGTGAAGGGCAATGGCCCATCCTTGAAAGCGCGCATTGCTGTCTACGTCCCGATCAAAGATTTCGTACGAGATGCCCTGCTTTCGGAGGTTCTGGGCTAAAGTGAGGCCGCCAATGCCGGCCCCAACAATGAGAACATGCATTTTGGTTATTGAAGGTACAGTAGATGATTGTTCCAAATAGAAGGATGGGGAATAAATACAAATTACAATCCGGATCATATATCACCGTGGCTCTGGGAAATCATACTTTTTTGACGCTAGGGCACTAAATTTGAACGGTAGAGCTCCAGGCGTTGCGGTGGAGGCCTAAGACTCCGACGACCGATAAATTCGGCGCTTAATAATATTAATAGAAAGATCGGCCGCAACATAGCTTGATGATATGCAGAGATGTACAGTGCTAGGGGTCGTATCTGAAAGACGAAATGGGGTTCTGGCCAGGACATCCACTGGTGATTCCATTCCTCAATTCACTTCCAGCGAATGATATAATTATATTGAATGACATGAGCACTTTCTTCCTGCAATTCAATAAACCGCCGAAAGCTTAAGAGGCCTGCCAGGTTCGACGACAATCGGTGTTATTCATGGATCTTACGATGGCCATGCAAGATAGGAATTGTATATACTATGAGGCTCGTTGTACGTGCATATATGACGTCTGCCAGAGGTAGTTTGTAGATCTTTCATCGCATTCTTCTTCAGCCTGCAATCTTGCTCTATCTTCAGCTACTTGGTACGTAGTTTTCATTCAGAATCAACGAGAAACATGTCGACAGACGAAGTTACCCTCCCCCTGGTTGACCTTAGTGGGTACATCAACCCCCAAAAGCCAGGCGACAAGGAGCGAGTCATCGCCGAGGTGCGCGATGCGTGTGCACAATATGGATTCTTCCAGACTACCGGACATGGTATCCCTCTGAGCCAGCAGAAGGGGTTGCTGAAGAGCATCGAAACTCTCTTCAGTATGCCTCTGGAGGAGAAGCGCAAGCTATCATTCCTGAAGAACCCTTGTCGCCGAGGATTTGAAGAGTCTGGGGCTTCGCTTCGTGACGGCGATGCTCTGCCAGACTCGAAAGAGGTGAGTTCGCTAAAAGCACTGTCTTCATTGCCATCGGTCTCTTCTTCTAGTTTGTTAATCACAATCAAAAGGCATTTTACATTGGACGAGAGGACCCCGTCGTAGAGCACTCCGGCTTCTACGGACCCAATGTCTGGCCGCCTCTTCCTAACGAGGTATTCCATGATCCCGTGTGGGAATACTACGAAGCAACTCACAAGCTCGGCGAAATCATCTGGGAGATTCTTCTCCTTGGCCTTGGACACCCCATCTCGCTGATGGAAGAATTCGCCAAGCGCCCGATGGTTGTGATGAAAATGATCCGGTATCCGCCGCAAGCCGGAGATTTGCCTGGCCAGTTCGGTGTCGGCCCCCACAAAGATTTTGGCGGCGTTACTGTGCTACTGCAGGAGGCTGGAAAGCACGGTCTTCAGGTCTGGCATGAGGGCCTCGAGAAATGGCTGCCTGTCAAGGCCATGGAAGACGTCTACGTCATTAACTGCGGAGATATGATCGGGAAGTGGTCTGGGGGCCGTTACAAGAGCGCGAAACATCAGGTCATCAACGCGGCTGACAACGAACCCCGGCTGTCGTGCGCCACCTTCTTCCATGGTGATTTGTTCGCGACGAATCCTCTGGACCCATCCGACCCCGAACGAGAGACTGTTGGCGCTCTGCTGGTGAAGCGATTCCGCAACCAATTTTCTTTCGACAAGGAACTTATTGCTGCCGTTGGGGCTTGAGAAGGCTCCAACATTTGAACCTTGGCAGGCTAGATTGTCAATAATGGTGGTAATACGAAGTGTTTAAATATCCGAACTTATCGTAAGATCGTAAGTCACCGATCTCGATATAATTTAGAGTTGTGAGGTAAATGGCCGAATCCCTGTAAGCATATGTTTTTCCAAACCTCGAGATGATTCATATAAAACTTTTGCGTCAACCCCTGTCAGATCTCCATATGACAATCAATGTACTTTATCAGTATGAGACTTCTCGTCCTCAGCGGTTTATGCGCCCTGGCAGCAGCTGCCAGCGCCAGTCCCAGTGCCCAGGCGTGCAAGTGTTTCCCCGGCGATGCGTGCTGGCCGTCTAAGCAAGAATGGAACAGCTTCAATCGCACAGTAGGTGGCCGTTTGATCGAAACGGTGCCTCTAGGCTCTCCTTGTCACGCTCCCAATTACGATGAGGCTTTGTGCAAGACATTGACAGCCCAGTGGAAGTTTTCAGCAGTGCAGTAGGTTCAAACCCCGATGAACAAAAGGAAGCATATGATTAACAGCTAGACAGTATCAACTCGTCCTCGTCAATTCAAGACCCTATTTATGCCAACCAAAGCTGCGATCCATTCACCTCTCGCGATTCGCCGTGCCAGCTGGGCAACTATGTGCGATATTCGGTGGATGTGACCGGTCCGAAAGATATTGCAGCAACCATCCGGTTTGCCGAAAAGAAGAATATCCGGCTAGTGATCCGAAATACGGCACATGATTACATGGGACGTTCGACCGGTGCTGGAGCACTCGCCATCTGGACTCACCACTTGAAGGAGACCGATGTCAAAGACTGGGCTGATTCCGAGTACACTGGAAAGGCCATCAAGATCGGCGCCGGAGTGCAAGGTTTCGAGGTCGGCCAGGCTCTAGCAAAGCATGGATTGGTTGCCGTGACAGGCGAATGCCCTACAGTCGGTGTTGCTGGAGGGTATACCCAGGGTGGCGGTCACTCCCCTCTCAGCACAGCATATGGTCTATCCGCCGACAACACCCTGGAGTTCGAGGTCGTGACAGCCGACGGCAAGTTTATCACGGCCAGTCCACATTCCCGCAAACATGCAGATCTCTTCTTCGCTTTGAGTGGGAGTGGCGCTGGGAACTACGGCGTAGTAGTTTCGGTCACCCTCAAGGCACACCCAGAGGCTATGACTAGCGGCGCCGGCTTCACCCTGGACGACCCGAGCTTGGATTACCCGGCAATCGTAAATGCCTGGCATGCAGCTCTGCCTGACATTCTGGACGCAGGGGTAATGGCCACATATTATGCAGAAAACGCCACCCTCGTCGTCTACACCCTCACGGGTTACAACCGCACGCAGTCCGACATGGAAAAAATCCTAGCACCGTTTGTCAAGTCAGTGGCATCTTTGAATGTGGATCTCAAGCCCAAGTACACCCAGTTTGATACTTATAACGAGTTCTACTACGCGTACTTCGGCCCTCTCCCCGTTGGCGTCTTCGGCTCAGCCGGTGAATACCTCATGGGGGGCCGTCTGCTGCACCGGGATGCACTCCAGCACGTGGGTGGTGCAATCAATGAGACGCTACAACTAGGCGTTCGAGTCATCGGCCAAGCGACTAACGTCGCCCGCTTCGGCTCTAGCAGCAGGGCCGTTCTGCCACAATGGCGAGACACGTTGGTCATGTCTTCATACACCCTCCCTTATAGCTTCGATGTGCCATTCGCACAAATGAAGGCCGAGCAGAATTATATCACGGAACATATTATGCCGATCATTGAGAAGGTGACACCCAACGCGGGAGCGTACATCAACGAGGCGGATTTCCAGCAGCCTGATTGGCAGGATGTCTTCTACGGTCAGAATTATAAGCGTTTGTTAGCGATCAAGAAGTCGTACGATCCGAAGGGACTGTTTTGGAATCCGATCGCGGTAGGGAGTGAGGGATGGAAGACCAAGATTGATGGGAAGTTGTGTCGGGTTTGAGTGAGTACAAGTAAACAATGCGAAGGAGCGATGTGCAAATAGTGCAAACAGCCCGAGTCAATTTTTGAGGGCTTCGCAGGCTTATACCACGATCAAATGTATCAAATCATCGATTTCTATATTCTTCCTCATTTTACAGATTAAAGATCAGATTGTGTATATTTATTATCCTTTTCCATCCAGATATCCTACCAAAATCCTAAATCAAAATTCAAACCGCTCGATATATATATGTCGTATACATACATACAACATAGGATGCTGGTAACCAAGCCATATCCCGTGCTATACCTCAAACAGTGACCTTGGGGTATTGATAGATTGATAGACATTTACAAAAAAATCCATACCAAGCGACAAAAGCCATGTTAGTGGGAATATACAGAGTATATGGCATGAATTAGATTCTTGCTAATAGGTGCGAGACTCTAGAAGTGAGTCGTAAAGCTGTTTAATCTTTTCATACATGGAACAGAAGCCCATAACTAGCTACAACCGCACCTCTGTAGATCCTGTAAATCTCTCATCTGTAATAGAAACAAAAATAATGACCACAGCATCGGATCTCCTCCGGATTCCGTCGGTTGAAAGTGACTGCATGAAGCTCGAATTGTAATACATCCAATACACCCTGCAAGTTGTATAGAAACGAGTGGACAACGCTAATCTTGCTTCCGTGGGAAATCAGGTTAGTGTCAAGTCATAATTTTATCCTCATATTGGATTAACTGGGATTTTCAGAAACTTGTAATGAAAATTACGACGATACAAGCCTCCGATGCGTGGATTCTACGTCTTGCACTTTGTTTTAATTCACCGCCAATCGAGAACGTATATATTCAGCCAGGAGTCTATCGAGCTCTGCAGAGTCTGTTCTCTTTATCTAATGTGAACTCATCCGCTCCCACCGCAAAATGACCATACATCAACCGATGCGGGTCATTAGCATGCTTGATCTTTAGCAGTTTGTCATAGTTATCTCCATACATTGTCTGCTTCCAATCTCCTTTATACCACGGATCCATCTCATTCAGATTGACACCAGACCCTGGCGTCGCGGCCTCCATAGCCGGGAAGAACTCATCCACAAGCTGCTTCTTCAGCGCGAGACTCTTCTCGGGATCCTCCCAGTCCCAGGGATTGTTAGGATTGCAGTAGGCAATTGCCTTACGCCAGGCCGGGTGGACTGAGTTGGGCGGATGGGAGCCACGGATTGGCGAGCCCTCGTCCACGTTGATGAAGGAGCAGCCGACGAACCATGTGCCATCGGCGGTGATAGAACGGTATGCATCCATTAGCTTGGCATTGGATCTGGGCTCCAGCACCGTCGCCCGCGGGATAAGCCGGCTGGAGATGATAGGGAAGCTCGGACATAGGTTCCCGTAGGGCAGAGGCCCGTACGATGAGACCAGACTGTCGGCATACGTGCGCGCCTGGCCGGTCTTAAGCTCATACGGGAGTTTCAGCCGTTTCAGGTCCTCAATAAAGGGGGCGACGAGAGCGTCGACGGCGGATGTCTCCTGGTCCGGTAGAACGAAGCTGAAGACTTGCAGGGTGGCGTTCGTCACGAGGAACTGAACGTTGTTGGTAGTGTTGTTCACAAAAGATGGGCCCCGTTGGAACCAGTTCCCGATAGCTTTCCAGAACGCGGCGTCATTCGTGTTGTTGACAACTAGCGTGCCTCCGGCAACGGGTCCGTCTGGGTACGCTTTGAGTGTCACACTAAGCACAACCCCGTACGTCCCGCCTCCACCCCCAGAGAGTGCCCAGTACAGGTCTTTGTTCTTCTTGGGTGTGGCGGTCAGATACTTCCCGGCGGGGGTGACAAGTTCCCACTCAAGAACCTGGTCGGCGGGGGCTCCGTATTTTGTGACAAGCTGCGAGTGGCCCACACCTTGTAGATAACCCCCGGCAATCCCGCTGAGGCCACATTCGGGTGCTACGATTCGGTACCCTGCAGCATCCATGGCTTCATAGGCCTCCCCGGCAATGACGCCAGGGCCCAGCTTTACGGCTGCTCCAGAATAATGGGGACTCACGTAGTGGGGGTTAATCTCGATAGTCTTGAGGTTATACATCCACAGAGAAAGAGCTCCATAGCCAGTGGATTTGCCCATATAACTTGGACTTTGTTAGCGATTGTTCTTTCAAAAAGGTATAGGGCATGTCTCACTCAAGACCGGTACTTTTAACAACGAGACGAATGTTGTTCTCACTCGCGAATTTCAAGCCAGCCTGCACGTCGGCGGGTCCGGTCACATCGATGGAGTAAACAGCACGATTACCAAGCTCGCAAGGCATGGATTGCGGCGTAAAGGGTGAGCATGAGGTGTTGAGAAAGTAGGCGTTCATAAACTCGCCCGGTTGTGGTTGTCTATCATGATAAGCTTCTGTTCATCTTTTACGGTTCCAAGAGGGTATTGCATACAAAGTCTGCGCACCAGCTTCATTGAAAGCTTCCTGTAGCCCCTCACATGCAGGCTCATTGAAGGCCGGGTAAATGCCAGCATCGTGACAGATGTGCGCCAAGGGAACAGTTCCGATCAGTCTGCCACCGACCGTACTATTCAAGCGATCCCATACCCCCTGTCTTGGCCATCCCTTATCACCAGGGATGTATCTGCATGGCGGATCTGTGTGACTGCTGGGAGGTCGTGCAGCAGCGGCGACGACGGAGATCAAGAATGGCCAGAAGCGGATAGCCATGTCGACAATCATGTGAAAGTGTAGTTGTCTACAGGTGATATCATTGATCAGAGAACGAAGGAAATGCAGGGGGTGTGCTCTTACATAAATCCTCCGATGTTGGTATATTAATAGAGCGTTTCGGCGTCTTTACCGCGTCTCGCCCCCAGCCTTCGGCGGTTTTCTTATCATGTTCATAACCTCGAAAGCCCTGTAAATGTATTTCAGCTGAGCAAATTAAAATGCTCCCGAGAATATCTTTTGAATTCAGGTAATCGCTATAGTCTATGGTAATATATACTATTATATCTTGAAACTAAATTCTACATGATCCACTAAATCTTTAAGTGTCCTTTAGAGCAAAATACCACTTTTAATGCTAAGGATTAGGAACGGATTCAAATTAATTCAATCACAATATTTGATGATAGATCGAGTGAAGAACAGAATCCTATTCGTGCACAAAAGACCAATTCATGCTTCGAGACGCAAAAGTGGACTTGAAAGATGTGGTGATAGCTTATGAAGACTGGATTTTGGCCACCTCAATGCAGGAAATTTAGCAATTCGGGCTCGACAAATCGAGAACCAATAAACGCATCGCGTCTGGGCTTGTACAAGGATCGAGAGCCGCCATTGCAGGGCTCAAAGATGGAGATAACATCCTGTCGATGTCCCGGGCAAGTCTCTGTATGATGTCGCTGGGTGCGAACTTCGGAGTTTGTATCGAGAGAGCCGGTCAGAAAGTGCAAATCTCGTATTGGCCGCGCTCATTTTCAAAGGCTCGGGTTTATTACTTGACATTCAGACGGGGCTAGGTTCATCGCAAATGATGCAGACCCTCTCAATCCTAAATTTTGCGTGCCAGTCAAGCAGAAATCAACAGCAACGAGCATAAATATAGACACAAAATTAGAAGCTATCTTCATTTATAGTGATTACAGGCTGTCGGCCTTTCTCAGCCACCTTCGTGGAGCCAGCTGATATTTTATTGCCAATTATACTATGGATCGAAACGTCCTTCATAGCCAGTTATTTCATTGAATGACCTTCCTCTTGCAGCAGGCCTTGCTTGGGGCAAAATGCTTTCCAAAAAATATATCAGTCCAGTCAAAGCAGAAGGAGGTAGAAGGTTTCTGCTTTCCGAGAAGGCTACAAGTTCCACATCAGGCTTCTATAGGGCTATTGTACTGAGCTCAGGGCAGCCAGATTGTCAAAGCTGAAATGGGAAACTTAGAAGCCTGTACATCCTAGTAGAACAGCTCCAATGACATCAAAACTGATTATTTGGTAGTAGAGCATTGAATGTAAAGAAAAGGTGAACTCTATTAAGTAGAAAAATCTGCCAGACAATCTATAGGCTTCGCGGTCTAGAATCAGGTACATAAGAACGGAACAAAAATGGGCAAGACGTATATATATAAGCCCCGGATTAAACAAAACAAAGAAAAGATCGCACGGCTAAATGAACAAATTAAAAATCAACAAATGCGACAGGCATTGCTTGCTTAACGGCGTGATTGAAGGACCTGGCCATTCTCACCACTGCCGCCGACAGTCGCCTCCTGCGATGCCAAAAGATAGTCAAAGCCAAGGGACTTGATCAGTCCAAACCACTTGAGAACTGGCATTGGCTCCAGACCCTCGCGGTCTCCTCGCTGCTGCTGGATATAAGCGCTAAGCTCATCCGTGTGGACAGCCAGCGGGCTTTCGTAGTGCGAGAACTTGGTCGTAGCCGTCGGAATAGGGGCCGCGGTAATGGAATCGCCAAGCCACTGGGAAACCTGCTCGGTGGGAATCAAGTCCACACGGCCCGCCCAGACGCTCATGTCAGGTACCTTGCTCGATGTGTCGACGTAATGGATGAAAGCGTCCATCAGTCGCTGTTTCTCCGCGGGATCTTGCTTTGTGGCGGGAAGGAAGCGATAGATGGACGACGGGACGTCCAATTCTTCCGCAGAGCGCTCCAGGATACGTTCGCTAGCCCACTTGCTACCAATGTAGCCATCTGTTCCGTCCGCGGTGGGCACATAAGCGGCCGCAGAGCCGGCGTCCTCTGTCGTGGCTAGCTCTGGAAGAACACCCACTGTGGAGATGTAATGAATGGGGACCTGGTGCGCGGCAGCAAGTTTGGCCAATTCTTTGGTAGGGTGAACGTTACTTGGGCGGAGAACATTGTAGTTGTCCCAGAATGATCTGACAGCACCCATGTGGAGAATGACATCCACTTGGCTTGCTAGCTCGCGGAATTCGTCCACACCCAGTCCCAAGAAGGGAAGGGACAGGTCACCTGGATGATAGGCCACATTTGGAGCAGAGAACAGCGGACGTACACGAGGCTTGTCTCGCACAGCGACACAGTGAATCGCGGCCACGTCGGGCCTTGCCGCAAGCTGCGGGAGCATGGCCTGGCCAAGGAAGCCTGTAGCACCTGTGACCAGCACTGTCTTGGCTGTCGCAGGGGTTTTAGGGGCAAGGTCGCGGAGGAAAGTGGGCACGGCGGGCGGGGTGGTTTCCTGTTCCCAGTTAATGGGGTCGACGGTCGGGCTTTCTTCGATCTTGCGCGCCATATCGCCGAGGACACTGGCTCCTAGGAGTTTGGCAAGAGGAAGTGCGACATTGAAGGCCTGGCGGATGCAGGCCTGGAGACGGATGACCAAGAGGGAGTTGCCTCCCACAATGAAGAAGTCGGTTGAAGGCCCTAGGTCAAGCCCCAGCTTGTCAACGTTCTTTCCCAAGACTTCCCGCCACACATTCCTAAGTTGCACCATAGTCTCAGTCAACTCGGCGTCGTCCTGTGTCTGCAGAACGCGGTCAGGCAGCGGCATAGCCTGGACTGCCTTGCGGTCAACCTTGGAGTGGTTGCTGAGAGGGAACTTGTCGAGCGGAATGGCCATCACCGGTATCATATACTGGGGGAGGGAGAGACGGGCGAGCAAGTCCCGCAGGAATGCATCTTTGTCTCCGATGTTGTGCTTGGGCTCAAAGACAACGTGGGCGACCAGGAACGGCGAATCACCGTCACGAAGCGTGACAACAACCTCTCTCAACGCACCGTCCGCAACGCAGATCATGTTGCTCTCGATATCGCTCAGCTCGATGCGAAGTCCACGGATCTTGACTTGTGCATCGCCCGCCATCCGACTATGGAACACCATAGCCCCGTCTTCTTGCAGATGGCCAATGTCACCGGTGCGGTACATACGCGTCCAGCCGCGGGCGATATCTTCAGACGTCGCAAATGGATTGGTCACGAAGTGTTTATCGGTGAGTTCTTGGTTTTTGAGGTATCCGCGAGATACACCGGCACCGCCGAGACAGATCTCTCCTGGCATACCAACGGGCACCGGTCGCAGCTGCTCGTCTACAACGTAGGTGAAGTAGTTGGGAAGGGAGAAGCCGCATGGGATACGGCCCATATCTGCCAACTTCTCTGTCTCGCGGTACGGGATCTCCATCTTATGCGACGAAATGGAGATCTCTGTCGGACCGTAGGAGTTGAAGAAACGGAGCTGTGGAAGATCAAGGCTTGCGAATTCTTGGGTGACGAGGGTGGTAAGTTGCTCACCACCACCGAAAGCGAAACGCCAGCTGTTTGCCTGTCGAAGGGTGTCGCCACCGTACTGCATCCAAAGCGAGTACTCAGACGGCGTGGCCTTGGTGTAAGTAATGCCTTGCTCTTGTATGATCTTGGTGATGGAAATTGGATCGCCACGCTTATCGGCAGGAACGATGTACGCCATGCCTCCATTGCAAAGGGCTGTGTACATCTGATCCGAGGAGTGGTTGAAGGTGAACGCACTCTGCTGGAGAGCGCGCTCCGCCCCCAAGCCCCAAGATTTGGTATATCCCTCAATCTCATTTCGGAGACCTGCGTGGGTGACGACAATTCCCTTAGGCAGACCTGTCGAGCCGCTGGTGTACAGGATTGCTGCAGTGGAATCCGCGTTTGAAGAGTTCGGGATGTGAGCCGCGGCTGCCTCTGGGAGGGTCGAGACATTGATAATGCTGGATCCCGGTGCCTCTACCTGTAGTTGTGGAGCATCGTCCTTTGTGGTTTCGTCAGCGAGGATGGCGAGAGGCTCGCAGTTCTTGGCGACAGTGGCGAGGCGAGCCAACGGATTGCGGAGATCCAATGGCACATAGACTGCACCGATGCGCATAATGGCAAGCATGGAGCATGTCCAATCCGCCGCAGGCTGCTGATAAACAAGTACTCGAGAGCCCTCATGTACACCAGCATTCTGCAAGGCCTCGCTTATAGCCTCGATCCGGTTGATCATACCTGAGTAAGTGAGAACCTTGCCAGTGCCGTCCATCAGGGCGACTTTGCGCGGGTTCTCCTCGGCAACCTGGTCAATCCGGAGGGGGAGTGTTCCGGGCCAGTCAGACGTCAAATTAAGACCTGCCTTGAAGTTAGTTTTGTTTTCCTTTTTGAGAACAAGCTTGACTGGGTAAAAGTTAAACTCACCGCGGCCGACCTCGACCGCTTGGGTCAGCTGTCGTTGCCCAAAAATGGGAGTGGCCTCCAGAGTCAATGACGCATCGGTGGTGACAGTCTCAAGGAAGTTGACATAGGTCTTCAGCAACAGGTTAGCAGCCGTGAGATCGTAGAGACTCGTCTGTACTCGAATCATCACGAGGGTGTCTGTAGCATTCCACTCAGTCACATCCAAGGTAATGTCGTAGGCTGTGCGTCCAGGGTGAACATCTTGGAATTCAAATTCACAATTACCCCAAGGGTACTTCTGCTGGGCTCCCTGTCGGTAATCCAAGAAGGCCTGGAAGAAAGGACTGTGTAGCGAAGAGCGAGCGATGCCCAACTCTGTGAGCAGCACATCAAACGGCAAGCGTGACGTTCCCAGTGCTGCGTAGGTCGTGTCTCTGGCTTCTGAAACGGCATCAGCAAAGGTCTGGTCGTTCTGACGACGGAAACGAAGGGTCAGAAGGTTGAGGAAGAAACCAATGCTGCCTTCCACGCTGCTGTCGTTGCGGGCGGCATCAGCAATGCCGATTGTCAG